AGTTTCAACAGTTACTTATTTTGTAAATTTTTGTTAGTTAATAGGTTCGAATTGAATTGTTTGATTCGCAACTAGTTTCTTAAGAGTAAAATGTTCAAATGGTCCCTTACATTTGAGTTTACTTGAATTCACATCCTTAACATTAACATTTCAATATCGTAGTCCCAAACATTATGTATTCAAACTTTTTTTGGTCCTATTTAACTGTTTCGACCATTTTCCTGTCAAGCTCGATGTTGACATGCCGGAATCAGGGGTATTTTCGTCTTTTTATTTAATTTGAACTTCTGTTAAAATTTAAATCATTAAAAATAGGATAAATGCACTTTTGGTTCCCAGAGTTTGGGTAATAACAAGATCGAGTCACCACAAATTTTCAATTAGCAAAACTAGTTCACTAAAATATTTTTGTCATTAATTTGATCAATTTAACAAAATTTTTAAAAATTTAACTGTCAAATCTTAATTTTTATCGATTTCCTTATCAATTTTCTTATGTTGGTAACCAAGAGGACGGGAACAAACCTAGCTACCGTGGAAATCCAGTGCAGAATTATAGAATGTGGATGACTAAGGAAAATGGGGGAGGGGATATGTAGGGGTTTACCCCCCATGAATAATATCCTCATCTTGAATACTAGGGGACTTCATAGTTCCCTAAAGCACAGAGAACTCAGAAGCTTAATCTCTGTGCAGAATATTAATATAGTAGGTGTAGTAGAAGCAAAGTTAAAAGAAGACAAGCTTCTTGATATAATGAAGAAATGGGGATCAGATTATGGATGTACAAGCAATAGTAGTGGTAATGACAGGCACAGAATCATACTGCTATGGAAGAATGATGATATGAACCTGACTATTGTAAAAAAGGAAAAACAGCTTATACAATGTTTGGTAGAGGATTGAATCAATAAACGGGGTTTTGCTTTGACAGTAGTATATGGTGCCAACTCCAGAAATGAGAGGATGCAGCTCTGGGATGAACTAAAACAATATCAGTCAGTCAATCAGGTATGCGTGGTGTGTTGCTAGTGATTTTAACAACATTATTGACCAAGAAGAAAAAGTAGATGGTCTCCTTGTTACTGCTAATGAGATAAGAGACTTCAAGATGGCAATTGAGGAATGCCAGCTGGTACATCTACAAACGCAAGGGGGTCCATTTACTTGGAATAATAAACAAGTGGAAAGCAGTCGAATCAGTGCAAGATTAGGTAGGGTTTTGGTAAATGAAACTTGGTTAATGGATTATGAGGAGAGCTATGTGATGGTACTGCCGGAGGGAATGTCAGATCATTACCCTTTAGTAATCAGGTGGGATAGTAAGAGACGGAGTTCCAAGAAAAGCTTTAGGTTTTTCAATATGTGGACAATCCGAAGAATACTAGAATCTAGTACAAGAAGTTCGGCAACAACCTATTAAAGGCAGCAATCAGTTTCAATTGGTGCAGAGACAAAAAAGGTTGAAACCAGGGTTAAAGGATCTGAATTGCAGATGCTTTGTAAACATTGATGTCCAAATGCAACAGAAGAACCAAGAATTGGATCAAATTCAGTTAGCTCTACAACAGCAACCTTATAATATTCAACTTCAGGAGCAAGAGAAAGCACGTGTTCAGTAGTATGTTACGATTTGTGAAAATGCTTATAGCTATTGGCAGCAGAAGACCAAAGAGACTTGGGTGCAAAAAGGAGATTTGAACTCAGCTTATTTTCACTCTGTGATTAGACAAAAACAAAGAAGGAATCGTATTCTGGCATACATAGAACCTGATGGCAGCATCACGGATGACTGGGATAAGGTGCATAATCATTTCTTAGGGTTTTTTCAGAACTTGTTGGGGCAGTTTGTTCAGAGGAAGACGGTAAAGGGAGAAATCTGTGAGAATGGATACACACTGAATCTTGAGCAACAAATGGACCTGATAAGGGAAATCACAGATGAAGAAATAAGACGAGCCATGTTCTCTATAGATAACTCAAAAAGTCGTGGTCCAGACGGCTTCAATAGTTGTTTTTGCAAGAAATTCTAGAAGATAATTGGAGGAAGTGTTTGTGAAGCTGTCAAAGATTTTTTCAGAAATAGATCTTTACTGAGGCAGATCAATGCAACTATAATTGTATTGATATCTAAAAAGGAGACTCCGCAAACAGCTGCTGACTACAGATCAATATCGTGTTGTAATACATTATACAAGTGTATTACAAAGGTATTGACCAACAGAATGACTGATGTGATGACAGTATTGGTAGACAAGAACCAAGGGGACTTCATACGGGACAGACTTATTGTCCACAACATCTTGTTGACCCAAGAGATGCTATAGTTGTACAATCGAAAACAGGCCTCCCTCCGGTGTTTAATGAAAGTGGACCTGCAAAAAGCATATGATTCGATTGCATGGGAGTTTATTGAGGAATTGTTTGCAGCCTTTCGATTTCCAAGAAAATTTGTCCATTGGATTAAAGAATGTATCACCACGTGTAACAATTCTTTAAATATGAATAGAGGACTGACATGCTTTTTTGAAGGTAAGCGTGGAATCAGGCAGGGAGATCCCATGTCACCGCTCCTTTTCGTTCTGCGCATGGAGTATTTGACAAGATTATTCAGAGCTGAAGTCGAGAAGGGGAATTTCCATTTCCACCCGAAATGCAAAAAGGTAAACATGACTAACCTCTGTTATGTTGATGATCTGATTATACTTTGTAGAGCTGATAAGGGGACCATAGAAAGAGTGAAATGTGTGATGAATGAGTTTTCTGAGACTACAGGGCTGAAAGCTAACCTCAGTAAGTCCCATGTATATTGTGGTGGAATAGATGACAATTTGAAGGAGGAGATTAGAAGGATTACAGGATTTAGTATGGGCAGTTTTCCCATGAAGTATCTGGGAATCCCTCTCTCTCCTACAAAATGGAGTAATTTGGATTGTCAGGTTCTAGTAGATAATATTACTGCTCGGATAAAATGCTAGACTTCTAGGCATTTGTCCTCTGTCGGGAGGGTGGTGTTAATTAATTCCATTTTACTTTCCATGCATACATATTGGGCCACAACCTTTATGTCGACAAAGAAGACCATAACTCAGGTAATTAGGGTTTGTAGAGAGTTCTTGTGGGGGAAAAAGGAAAATGGCAGAACGTATTCTTTGGTAACATGGGATGACATCTGTAAACCTAAAAAGTATGGTGGTTTGAATATTAAAGAACCAATCATTTGGAACCAGGCAGCATTAGGGAAGTAACTATGGGATCTCACTACCAAGAAAGACAACTTATGGGTGAAATGGTGTCACGAATACTACATTAAAGGACAGAACTTTTGAGACTATCAACCAGCCAAAGCTGCTTGCCGGCATTGGCAAAAACTTATGAAGATAAAGGAGAAACTGAAAGAAGGTGTCAGGCGTGGAAAATGGGTGGCAGGAGATAAGAGTGTGTATACAGTTCAATCAGGTTATACTAGCCTGAGAGAAGTTGGACAGAAGATGCAAGGTGTTACTGTCATATGCAACAGAATGAATGTTCCAAAGCACAGGTTCATACTGTGGCTGGCTTTCAGGAAGTGGTTATTAACTGCTCATAGAATGTTGAAATTGAGGATCATTAATGGTCCTATAATCTATGGTCTGTGTAACGAAGAAGAAGAGAGTTGGGAGCATCTTTTCTTTCAATGCAGGTATGCTAAACAAGTGCTATCCCATTTAGCTAATTGGTTGGAATGCAGGAACCTACCTGATCAGATGGATCTCTGGAAATCTACACTGTTGCAAATCTAAGTGCATGCAAAGGTTTATGTTTGGTACACTGGCTGCAGTTGTTTACTATATTTGGCAGATGAGAAATTATATGCAGCATGGGTTGGAATATTGGTTTGTGGATGTAATAGTTAGTAAAATCAAACAGTAATTGAGTTGGAGGCTGAAGATGTGCAATCAGAAGTTTAAACAGGGGGTCAGAGAATACTTTGTTAGATTAGGTGTTGTCTAATTGTTTGGTTTAAAATGTTATAAAGCTAGAAATAGGATGCGAATTGTACACTGATGTTGCAGTTTTTGAGAAGTTAATACAAATTAACCTTTTCATCAAAAAGAAAAAAAACAAAAACAAAAATCTCTTTTTCTTCACCACCGCCCCCTTCATCCGGCGATTCACCACCTTCCCCAAGTTCATATTCAGGACGTCCGGAAGACGGCGGCGACAGCAACAACGGTTCATCACCGCCACCACAATTCCTCGCCACCATCCGACAGTAGTAAAAGTAACAAATCCCCACCACCACCGTCGCCGACGTCCTAAAATAATAACAATAACGGAAACAACAATGGCATCTCACCACCCGCCACCACCACCGCCCCCACCTCCTCCGCCACACCAAAATTCAACCCGGGGAAAAGAGACTCTAAATCAAAGAAAAACGGGACAAAGGCAAATTTTAGTCACCTAATTACGTCTCCGTTTGGAATTGATATAATGTTTCTTTCACGGTTCCACCCTTTAAGCTAACTTTGTGTCCGATCAGATTTGTAGCTTTATTATTGATTGTATGATGTAATTTGAGTGATTCTATAATGCAATGCTAACTATTTCATATAGTACTACTCCTCAGTTCTTTGGTGCCTATCAATTTTTGGTCATGAAATCTCAGTGACATTTTTTTATCGTGATCTCATTTCTTCTTTAGGATTGTGAAAATGTGTAAACAATATTTGACTGGTCCAAAAGTTGAAATGGATGATGGTAATGGTGGAAATGGATGGCTCAAACGATGCATCAATTTATTATTTAGCAATGGCTTTTCTCTTGTTTGGATGGGTTTTGCTTGACATTATCATTCTTTTTCCGGCGACGGTGGGGGTGTGGGGTTTTTTTTTTTTTTTTTTGGATGGGTTTTGATTTTTTTCAATAATATTAAATCTTATTAATAAAAAGATATTCAAAAGAAAAAAGGTTTTTTTATTGGGTCAACTAGTAGACCCCACCATTTATAAAGAATGATTAAGTATAAAGACAAAAATATCCCTGATTCTGGCATGTCAACGGCAGTCGACATCGAGTTGGATGGAAAAGTGGTCGAAACAGTGAAATGAAATAAAAAAAAGTTTGAAAACATAATGTTAAAGACTACAATATTGAGATGTTAATGTTAGGGACAAAAATTCAAGTAAATACAAATGTACGGGACCATTTGGACATTTTAGTCGTTTCTTAAACTTAAAGTTGAGTAGTACTCTGATAGTCTGATGAATTCAGATACTCCTATGTTTAAATTTCCCAATAGTACAGCTTCATTGACATAAGGACAAACCCCATATTCTCCCTGGCCTGTAACATTTCTGGTTTATTCCACCACAGTTTGCATGACCATAATATCCATCTCTGTCCATCCATCAGAGAGGAAACCTGCTATTTGCTTCTGTAACCCATAATACAACGACAAGCAAACAGTTACATGGGAGAGCTATCATGTTTAAACCAGTTATATGGCTGTATAGGCAGTATCATCTTCTACAACCGGCTCAGATATGACAGTTAAGATGACAAATGCTCCGAATAGTATGGTGATAATGGCTGTGAAATTGACAAGGAAGGCCTCAGCACCATATTTAGCAAGACCTGAGTTCTCGAGGAAGGTGAGCTTCTCAAGGAATCCCAATGCGGCATTTCCAACTGCTAAGAGATATATGAAAATACCAAAAATCACGTGCCATGGGAGTACTTCACGCCTGATATGTGATGTGCCACCAGGATAGAAAAACACCAGAAAGCCATAAATCCACTGCAATGGAATGTGAAGCACAACAACTGAATTTAGAAGGTTATGTCCATTCAACAAAGTTGTAAGGAAATAGCTAGTCTAAGTCGGCTGTTGTGAAGCTCAAAACCTAAAGCTCTAGCAGAGAGCTTCACCGTTGAAAACAGAATCTATAAGAAAGTAGATGTACAGCAAAATTGTGGTGATGGGGGCCCATATAAATACTCTGCAGCCCTAAAAATTCGTAGCATCGCAATTTGGGTATAAGGTTTGACAAGCAAGACCATTCACCCATTGATCAAGCCATCACAAGTTTAAAACCAACACAGTATTTTCAAAAGAGATGTCAAACTAAGCAAGCAGGCAAAGGCCAAGAATGGCTTCTAACAAAATTTTACATTTATTGATGCGACGAGCCTCCTAAAACCCGGTTTAACTAAATGATGACGAAGCAAAATAAAAATATGGAAAAAAAGTAAAAATGAAATGGAAGATGGGTTCCAGAGACATGATATTTATTGGAAGACTGAGCTCAACAGGATTAGCTATAGGTCCAGAAGAAGCTAAGCATTAATCAGAAATTCATGAGTGTAGTAGAAGTTCATGATTACCTGTATTCCATAGAGAACAATAATTCCTATCCCAAGCCAAGAATGTAAACTGTAAAGATTGGCGATATTGCTTTCATTGTGAAACTTGAATGCCGTGTATATCCCAATGATGCCAAGTATGAGGGCAAGAGCATGCAAAATCAGATGTATAAGTTTCTTCACATCCTTTTTAAGAGGGAGAGATTTATAGGATATAATGGCTGCATTGATAGAAGCAGAAGGAGTGATGAAATCAACGGCTCAAAGATATTCAATGTAAAGTTAACTGATAAAGTGACTTTTCTGTACATATATGGTATAAGTTAATTAATCAGCACCGAATGTACCTTCACCCCCCATTATAATCAAGCCAAGAAGCATCAGAACCGGATGGATCTGGAAGGAAAACAATTTGAAAGAACGCATTAATTCAATCTTATCCATAGAAATAATAATTATACCACAGGCATGCATGCTTGACCGAAAATAATAAGTTACAAAGTTGCAAGTCCAACAACAGCCACTCTAATAAATTTAGTCACCCCAACGCCAAATTAAACTAAACCAGTCAATCCAATGTAACAAAAGAGAATCAATGTGAAGGTGCCATTAGGTTTTCTTTGAAAGATGTTTCTATTGCAGACAGGACATGCTCTTTATGAGATGTCATGGAAAGTCTTGTAAGTTCTCTATATGTATTGAAATATAGTTGGATAGAAGATTAGCAATCATATGCTATACCTAAGAAAGAAATTATCCGACATTTCCATTAATGGCTTTGCAATACATGGCACCAGAACAACAGAAACCGCCATAAGTTTATAACACACTGCAACGGATACCCAACTGACACGTGGATGACATAGAAATCAGTCGCCAACTTTCCGGATTAAGAGGAAGAAGAAAAAGAGGGGGAGAGTCATCAATGACAAACTACTTGAAAACATATTAGAAGCTTGCGTAACTGCAGAAAGTAAGTTGAACAATGAAACCTAAACGAAAGGTTCATTAGTTCCAAACTTTATCCACCACATAAAAATGGAAGCTATTTATCTCAATGTTCGCAAGTGTCTTATGCTCTGCCACAACTTTCCCATCCGAACCACAATGGCGCACAGCTGAGGCAACTGCTTCATAAAAAGAAAGTAAAGCTTCCCCTAAACAAGAATGCCTATCCACTGGAAGAAACTAGAACAAGCAGTAAAAGTTCAGAGGCCTAGAGCTTTAGACTATCAGGCACAAAATCCCGAGCAACGAAAAATAAACAATGGAAAATATTGCCAAGCATTGCAAAAATGCAATCAGCAGGACAGAAAACTGTAATCGAGCCAAGTAACAAGTATCCATTCTGTATTAAGTTCCAAAGTTAAAGCCAACAACTAAAGTCCAGAAGAGAAATGAGTCGTGTAGACCAATTGCCAAAAGAAAAGGAAAGAAGAACAAAAGATCAATTTTTAAAGTTCCAAAGAAGTTGAAATTCCGTTAATGTCCAACAGCGATGCCCTAAATTAATAAGTACTAAAAACTAATAATAAGTACTAAAAACTAATAATACCTCATTCTGTATATCGTATTTTTTCCCGAAAACTTGGACAAGTAAAGCAATGCCCTAAATTAAGCTAACTCCAAACGTAAGAGCAAAACTCAATTCGAGCAACAACATGAAGAATCATGCAGGCCAAAAAAAAGACAAAAAGAAGGAAAAAATACAGAGAGGGAGAAATAAGGGATGATAGAGGAAGAGAACAAACATTGAAGATGAGGCTTTTGTTGGTGGATTCCCAAGCTAAACCACCCCTGAAGCTAATGCACCATATAAGCACCAGAATAAGGGCAGCCACGCCCAGAACTTGAGTCACCGCAGCGAACGGAACCGCCTTAACCCCTGTCGCCATTACCTTCTATCCTCTATATGCTCAAGATCCTCAGTAGACAAAAGTTCCGATTGGTTAACAAAGAGAAAAAAATTCAGGCAAGACAGAGAAGAGGTGGATAAAGCAGAGAATTTTATTATGAGGGTGGGGATGGTTCACTGATTTTATCCGGGTGTTAAGTAGGAAAAAAAATCACGATTGTTGATGATGAGTGATTCTCTGATACGGCCAAAAGTCTTCGTGTTGGATCAATATTACGGGGATTTTCTTGTAATTTTATATATATAAGTATTTGGGTTGGGGAATTTACTGACGTTTTTCCATTGACTGAGACATGAATAGGAAAAAAAAAGGGTCCGTACGATAGATGATTTGGTAGAGTGTTCGGATGGGATTGGATTGGAGATGGATGGATTTTTGGATCGTTTGCTGGATGTAGTCGATAGGGGATGAATTTGATGTGTGCACTTTGTTGTGGCTGTGTAATTCACACGTAATTACAACTTTCAGCAATTAAAATATTAACCATCGATTTTCGGTAATTACTAATTACATCCCATCTCATTCAACAGTTTTCGATCAACTGTTCCACCATCACAATGTTTAAACTGGTATAACAATTAATCATCATTATCCATTGTGGACCAGCCCAAGGATACTCCACGATTCGAGAGCGTCCAAATAATCAATTTCGATTAGTTCCATTTCTACCCCCGGCTGTTTTGAGGTTATTAAATTAGGACTACTAATACACAGAAACTTCTGGGTGACTTTAGTAAGTGTGAACCATTCCCAAATATTGGTTATATTCATTATTAGAATTATCAATTGACAATTAGTACATTTCTTGACTTTTATCATCTGGTACGGACTACGGACCCCTTCTTTTTTTTTTTTTTTTTTAATTATCCCAGAGCATTCCCAACACAACAATTTTGGATGAGAGGTTTCGGCCTTTTGGGTAAATCGACTATGTGGCCGTTATTATTTCGGGAATGGGCCACAAGTCCAGTTCAGATCTGAATATATTAGTCGTCAACACTAAGCGAAATCCAACGGAGAACCAAATTGACAAGAGAAATAGTAGGCCAAAAGTAGTCCATTTATGCTCGGCATGTTGCCCAAGTTTTATTTATACTTAGATTTTTCCGGCCCGCGATTACTCGCGGGAATAGATTTTACACTTTAATAATTTTAATATAATTTTGGCTTCATTTCATTTTAAATTGAGTTATTCAAATAAATTCTTTAAGTTCAAATCTCTTGAAGTAATTGTCAATTTTTACCATCTCATTCAATCACTTTTTTTTATTTTGGTTATATCTATTCATTTTTCAAAGTAGAGGAAAGGTGGACATTCCATAAGAAAAATGTAATTGAATTTTTGTGACGCTTTTGTATTATTTTATAATAAAAATAGATGTAAGTTACTATTTTAAGTTGAAAAATTAAAAATGTATGATAATTGATGGTTAGACCTTTATGGAATTGACCAATTTTTTTATTAAAAAAATATTTTTATAATGTATAAGAGTAGACTATTTTTCTGTTATATAGAGATTATTATTTAATTGTAATATAGGATTAAGACATTTTTGCATTAGTGTAGAAGATCGTGGATACATTCATATTATTTAAACTTTAAAGTGTCAAAAATTAAGAAGAAAAATAAGAATGATTTTATGGTAAGACATTAAGAAAATACACAAATTGATGAATTATGTCATTCATTGCTTAAATTAATACACAATATCTGTACTTCCAAAAAAAACTCAATTTGTGTGCTTAATATCGAAAGTTTTTTAACAAAAACATTATAATTTTTATATTATTATTTACCGTAATATCTTCAATGGCCATATGTAGCAATTGGAATTGATAATGATAAACAATACATATTTTGGTATAACACTTAATTAAATATAAAAACAATCAAGTGAACTCCAGTTTGCATCAAGTGAACGTAATATTTGTTTTTTATATAATTTAGAAGTTGAATAAAAAAAGAAAAAGACAAAAAAAAAAAAGGCTTGAGGGGGACAACGGCAAATTATCCAGTATACCCGGGGGCACCGTGCCCCCCTCCTATTTTTTGCACGAGTAGTCCTTATTGTACCTTTTTATCAATCTTTCAATATTTTGCAATTTTAGTCCCTGTGACTTTTTTCCTTCTCTTCAAAAAAAACAGCTCTAATCTTTCAACGAGCATATCTTCCAATCCGTGAAGAATTTGTGAACGAATTATACATGAAATTTATAGTACTCGTCGAGATCTATCCAACGAAATCCATTTCGAATATTTTTTTTGAGTTTAAAAATGATCAAATTTCTTTGGGCAGAATAAGTTGGATATCCAGAAAGTTGGATAACCAGTGTGCACGAGTTGGATAACCAGTATGAACAAAGTGGATAACCAGTTCAAATAATTTGGATAACTATGTAAATCCATTGGATAACCAGCATTAGCGCATTGGATAATCCAATACACACCAATGATTGGATAACCAATACAAACGGGTTGGATAACCAACTTAGTTTATTATTTTTTTAAAAAATAATAAAAAGAAAAACCAGGTTGGATCAATAATACTAATTAGTTGGATAAACAGTATTAACATAAATAATCAAGATGGATAACCAACTTATTTTACATTCATATTGTTGTGTTCCTTGTATCGTTTGATTCGTAAAGAATTATAACACGAATTATATATGAAATTTATAGTGCTCGACGAGATCTATCCGATAAGATCCATGTTGAATATTTTTTTTTGAACTTTAAATGCATTTAAATTTTACGGGCAAAAATGAAGAAATGCGTTTTTCGTTTTTCTTTGAAAAATGGTTATCCAATCGGTTTGGAGTGATTATCCATTATGTTTGTACTTGTATCTAATCATATGTTTGACATTCACTCTTTAAAAAAAAAAAAAACAAGATGGATATCCATCTCTATTCTATTCTGCCCGTCAGAATTAAGTCATTTTTAAGTCCGAAAAAATGTTCACTGTGGATTTCGTTGGATAGATCTCGACGAATACTATAAATTTCATATATAATTGGTTCACAAATTCTTCACGGATTGGGAGATATGCTCGTTGAAAGATTAGAGTTGGATATGCATACAAACCAAATGGATGGATATCCAGTACAAACAAGTTGGATAACCAGTATGAACAGATTGGATATCCAGTTTAAAAAGATGGATAACCAACTTATTTTACATTCATATTATTCTTTTCCTTGTATCTAATGATTCGTAAAGAATTATAACACGAATTATATATAAAATTTATAGTACTCGACGAGATCTATCCGATAAGATCCATGTTGAATATTTTTTTTGAACTTTAAATGCATTTAAATTTTACGGGCAGAAAATAAAGAAATGCGTTTTTCGTTTTTCTTTGAAAAATGGTTATCCAACCGTTTTGGAGTGATTATCCATTATGTTCGTACTATTTATCCAATCATATGTTTGACATTCACTCTTCAAAAAAAAAAGGTGGATATCCACCTCTATTCTATTCTGCCCGTCAGAATTAAGTCATTTTTAAGCCCGAAAAAATGTTCACTGTGGATTTCGTTGGGTAGATCTCGACGAGTACTATAAATTTCATATATAATTTGTTCACAAATTCTTCACGGATTGGGAGATATGCTCGTTGAAAGATTAGAGTTGAATATGCATACAAACCAAATGGATGGATATCCAGTACAAATAAGTTGGATAACCAACATGAACACAGTGGATAACCAGTTTAAGAAGATGGATAACCAACTTATTTTACATGCATATCGTTGTGTTTCTTGTATCTTTTGATCCGTAAAGAATTATAACACGAATTATATATGATATTTATATTGCTCGACGAAATCTATCCGATAAGATCAATGTTGAATTTTTTTTTGAACTTTAAATGTATTTAAATTTTACGGGCAGAAATTAAAGAAATGTGTTTTTCGTTTTTCTTTGAAAAATGGTTATCCGTTGTGTTCATGCTGATTATCCAACCGGTTTGGAGTGATTATCCATTACATTCGTACTTGTTATCCAATCATATGTTTGACATTCACTCTTCAAAAAAAAAAAAGAAGATGGATAACCACCTCTATTCTGCCCGTCAGAATTAAGTCATTTAAGCCCGAAAAATTTGCACTTTGTGGATTTCGTTGGATAGATCTCGACGAGTACTATAAATTTCATATATAATTCGTTCACAAATTCTTCACGGATTGGGAGATATGCTCGTTGAAAGATTAGAGTTGGATATGCATACTAACCAAATGGATGGATATCTAGTACAAACAAGTTGGATAATCAGCATGAACACAGTGGATAACCAGTACAAATAACTTGGATAAGCATGTAAATCCATTGGATAACCAGTATTAGCGTATTGGATAATCAATATGAACAAAATGAATAACCAACTTATTTTGAATTAAGAAGTTGGATAACCAAATGGATAAGCAGTAGAAACAAAATGTATAACCAGTTCAAACCGATTGAATAATCAGCATGAACACGATGGATAACCAATTTAGAACAAGTTGGTTATCCATCTTGTAAAACTGGATATCCACCCCTATTCTGTCCATCAGAATTAAGTAATTTTTAAGCCCGAAAAAATATTCACTATGGATTTTGTTGGATAGATTTCGACGAGTACTATAAATTTCATATATAATTTGTTCACAAATTCTTCACGGATTGGGAGATTTGCTCGTTTAAAGATTAGGGATGTTTTTTTTGGAAGAGAGAGAAAAAAACTCACAGGGACTAAAATTGCAAAATATTGAAAGATTGATAAAAAGGTACAATAAGGACTACTCGTGCAAAAAATAGGAGGGGGGCACGGTGCCCCTGGGTATACTGGATACAGCCTCGGGGACAACGACCATAATAAGAATTTCCCCCTCTTGCATTAATGACAAATGTCCAAATAATATGGTCTATTTGATTAAAAAATTCAGACAATCTTTCTGAAAGTATATAAATGCCCTTAGAGTGTACCAATGACGAAAAATACTGTAGTTGTCCCTCTCTTCCTTTATAACAGTAGTAGATTATACTCCATATGAAATTATACATAATAAGAATAAAATGACATTACCTTTTTTTTATATATCAATCTTCATTAAAAGTTAATTATTTATAAATAAAATTGATAAATGTTAAGCACCTAGCCAAACTTTTTTCTTTTTCCCTTGAGACACCATAATTTAGGCCCAAAAAATTAAGTAAAACTAAAATCTAAAGTGAATGAAAAGGAGCTGGGATTAAAACTTAAAAGGGCCACGTGTTTTTGTCTGGACTTGAAAAAGTTGTAATATTTAAGCATGTTTTTCAATTAAATTACAAAATTACCACTACTTTATTGATGTTGTTCCAACGACGAAGGGCACTGTTGTTTTTGGGACTCTTGCTTTTATATAGTAGTAGATAGATTTTACAGCCAAAACAGAAGGGGAAAAAAATAAGAAAAAAAAAAAAAAAAGAAGAAAAGAGGAGACATTGACTGTACCGTGTACCCTATAAGCACAAATGTGAAATGGAAAAAAAATAAAAATTGAGCAACCCAAAAGTAACTTTGGTGACAGAGCTGCAATTAGTTAGATGGGTTAGGGGAATTTTCCCGTTTGAGATTCGTTAACCACACAACTCAAGATGACTTCATGCAGCTTGAGTTTAGTTATTGTAATAATTTTATTACTCATGTTGGAACAATTCTGCAATTGCGCTAGCAAATGAACTGGTCAAGTATGCCTGACCAATGAATATTAATTAATTATGCTTTTGTAGTGAAAGACAATTTCCTTCTACATGGCCGGTACTCTGGTACCCACCTTTAATATTTATATTTATTTATTTATTTTGGTTGGTATCATTAATTTAATTCACCGCAACCGTTTGAGAATCAAAATTCGTCATCTTAAGAATTGTTTATTATGTTACATTAATTTTCAACTATTTCTCTGATCTTGACTTCATTCTGTTAAGATTAGAACCCCTTGTTCTACTTTGTCCCGCATCAATGACAGCTAAACTTTTGGAATGGCAACATTTTCTAAAGTAGAAGCCACCAAACAAACACCGGAGACCCACTTCAATAACACACTGCCAGATGGTACAATTATAAAAGGCGGTTTGAGTGATTGCAAATGCCAACCATAGAAGATGATACAAAATCCATCCGTAATGAAAAATAAAAACAATCTCAAATTCTCTGCTTCTTACTATCTCAAAATCCTTAAAAGGCGGTTGAGTAATTCCAACTTAGCACAAAGCCTTTATTTGTATGAGAAACGTCACCCGAGGCTAGCTCATATTAGTAGTATCAGTATGCATGGGCGAGCCCAGCAGCACATGTTATTTGCATTGACGTGGCATCTAAGATTAATCAAATCCAAATTCCAACTGTCCAAGATCTGGAATCTGATTAATCCATTATTATTTATACCTGTACTCATCACCAGAAGAAGCTCGTCTATTACACTAAATTGTGACAGTGGTGAGAATGGAACAAGAAAACAACACTGCTGCTAATTCATGTATGAATGAATCAGCGAAGCACACTTTTTGTAATAACCTTTTTCGTTTCCTTGGGATCCATTCATACATCATACTATTAGTCAAGTTTTAAGTTTTAACTTATGATCCCACACAAGACACAATAGTCAATCTCACCGGTTAAATCTCAACTCCCGTGGAAACCAGCAACAATTACGCTTTGAATCCCCCAAATACACAACACAGGTAGCCCCTAAATGGATCCGATGTAACTCGTCTGAAAATTTATATCACTGATACGCATAAATCCCTAACTTCATTGCAGACTGGAAATTGGAAAACAAAGTTGATAAAAATGAGTTGACTTACTGACACTCGTACCCACTAGAAAATCTAGTGAACGCCAGCTCTCTTTGTCAGTACCACATGAAAGGAAATAGCACACTAGTGATGCTTAAAGTATGCAAATTTTAAATACGAAACTTAAGTGAAAACCACTCGGGACCAAATATCAAAAATAAACCGAAAGCTAAATCAATGATAATTTTCTACTAGCTACCTTCAATTTGAACCTTTAAGGAAATGCACGCAATCACCGACATACCAGCTAATTTTAGCACCTTAGTTCCCAAATAAACCTTTTATTTTCTACTTTTTTTCATTAATTCTTTGGCTACTGAGAAAGACGGTGGGACTCTGGGAGAATAGCTGCCGGGCTATATTCCAAACTTGCAATACTGGAAAGAGTATATGATTCTTCTTGCCATGAAAATAAACCACCAAGGAAATCTCTAATCTCCGTGTGAAAAAACTCACTGTTAAAGAGCCGGTGTGAAAATGTTCAAGTCTGCATCATGGAGGAGCGAGAAGAAGATCAAGGCAGTATTCAAGATGCAGTTTCAGGCTTCACAGGTACACATCTTCTAAGAAAAATTGCATTATTAATTTTGGTTCAATTTGGTCGGAGTTATGTCTTTCTTCAATCTAGGCACTTTAGCTTGAACAAAACGAATTCTTCAGGTGCCAAAACTGAAAGCGAAGAACTTGATGATTTCCCTGGTTCCGGCCGATGTTGGGAAACCAACCGCTAGATTAGGAAAATCCCCAATCATTGAAGGCACCTGTTCGTGGGAGAATCCAGTCTATGAAACTATGAAATTAGTGAAAGAGACCAAAACAGGGAAATTCAAAGGAAAATTTTATTACTTCGTGGTCTCAACGGTGCGTGCAAAAAATTCCTATTTTCTTCTCATTTTACTTTTTCAGTCAACTTATAAAAACATTTGCAGGGATCATCAAAATCAGGTCTTGTGGGAGAAGCATTAATTGATTTTGTGGATTTCATAGAGGCTGTCAATCCTGTAATGATATCTATGCCCCTTGAAGCAACGGAGACAGGTGCACTTTTACATGTGAGTTCATTTTCTGCAAATTTTTGAGAAGTCAGAATGACAAGCAGCCTTTAGCAAATTCAATGCCTTTTAGAAGGGCAATTGACAGCATATAACAAGTTAATGAAAGTTTCTAACATGGTTCGACAGGTTACCATTCAGAACCTAGAAGGAAATTTGGATGAAAGGTAAAGTTTGTTATCTCCCACACTTCACTGTTTTGATTTGTAGGGTCAAATGGTGAGATGCTATCCACTTTGTTGGAAAATGCAGATCCGTGGAGGAAGATGAAAGTCCGAAAACTGATTACTATAGTGGAAGTTTGGACTCACAACTGGGAGAAAATGACAGAACAGAGAACAAAAACCTTGAAGATACACAAGTAAGGTCTCGATTTGTTTACCTATTGTAGTCTGGTATAACGTAACTCAAAAGAAAAGATGAGTTCATATTCATAGGAATAGATTAATTAAAGCAAATGTACGTAGCAGACAAAAGCATATAAACTTTGCTGATCTTCAACAATTCAAAATCCAAGCAAGCAAACATCTTTTTGGTTATATTTATATATATAATTTTACAGGACCAGCAACCTAATGGAATAACTCATCTCTATGAGCAAAAAATCAGCTTTTCCAGTGATGACCAATCGCAAGATAATATGTATAGGGCTTCTCCAGACATCCTGGGAGATATGTATCAGATATCCCCAGATTGGTCATTCAAAGACACTTCTCATAAAAGCGTAACTGAAAGGGCAAACAGCCCCAGGAAGAAATGTGCACCGGAGAAAATGCAACTTCATCCCGATGAGGTGGATAGGATGAATACTCAAATTAAGACACTGGAAAGGCAGGCAGAAATGGCAGATTTGGAATTACAGTCCCTCAGGAGGCACACTGCTAAAGAGACCACAAAAGTACAGGAATTAACTGGACGAATTGTCTCCCTAACCCACGAGAAGGACGCACTTAAAGCAGAATGTGAGCAGCTGAAGACCTCGTTGAAAAGCATGCAAGAGTCAGAAGTTTCGAACAATTCACTGCCAACTGAAAACTTGAGCAATACATCTGAAGAAATCAACCAAGAGCTTAGCCGACAAAAGCAATTAAACAAAAGGTTGAAATTTCAGCTACAGAAGACAGAAGACTCAAACTCAGAACTTATTCTTACTGTAAGAGGTCTTAAAGAGGAGTTGAATCGGAAAAATACGGAAGTACATCATCTTTCTGCAAAATTAAAGGCCAACAAAAGTGAGCCAAAAGCTCAACCAGATGCACACATGTACAGAACGGGGCGGAAGAAGGAAACAAAGGAACTTGAAGAAAATGTTGAAGAGCAGAATGACACGGATGAATTAGAATACTTGAAGCAGGAATTGAGAAGCTTAACTAATGAGCTGGAGCTCTCTAGGAAAGAGAACGAAGAACTAAAGCTGCAAATTCAACATCTTAATCAGGGCTATGAAATAGTTAAGAAGGATAAAGATGAGGTATACTCTACCTTACAGCAAAAACAAGTAGAAATTATGGAAATGCAAAATGAGTACTCTGAGTCCTTGAATACTGTGAGGAAACTCAAACTCCAGGAAGAGAGTTTTATGCGAGAAATCGAGAAGCAGGCATTACTACACTCGGAAGCTTTATCTACAATTGATGAGCTAGAAACTGAAGTTAAGAGCCTGGAGGAGAGACTGGAACGGGAGGCAAATGATTTTCAAGATAAGCTCACAGAAGTCAGTGAAGCAAAGGCTCAGCAGGAGCAAAGGGTAATGCGAGCAGAGGAAGCATTAAGAAATGCAAACTGGAGTAAAACCAAAATGACAGAGCGTCTTAGGGAAGAATTCAGGAAAGAAACTGAAGAAATGACATCCAAGATCAATGAGAGTGAAAAACTAGCAGCGCAGGCAGTTGCAGAGGCCGATGAACTACGACAGCAAAACGAGTCTCTTCAGAACCTACTTCAGAAAACCAATGTTGAGCTCCAAGCTTATAAAGAGAAATTGGAGAGAAAGAACAAAGACCTTTCCAATGGAAATAGTTTCAGAGAACAGGAAAAAAAACTTTGTTCACTCAGGAAAGAATCTGAAACCCTAAAAGAGGAAAATAAACAATTAAAGACTCTGATTGACGAGATGGAGAAGAGAGAGGAAATCATGCACCTTGAGATGCAGAAGCTCAGCGATCAACATGACAAACTGCGTCGGAAGGTACAGTAATCATTATCTCAAACACAATTCAGCACAAAAGCACAGGCTTATCTAAGCCTTTGACAGTTAATTTTAGAGTTTATTAATCTCTACGATAACGATGTAGTTTTGGAAGAGAAAAGAGTTTATTACAACTTGATCTAGAGTCAAAAAGTTTATCACTGCTAACAGAAATTTGGCATGCTTCATCAGGAGAATCTGGAATTCAAGCTACAAATTACTCTTCAACAAGTTCTTAGGCAACTTTACACAATAGCAATTCTAGGCATAGATACTCATTACTAAATTAACTAAGCCGAAAACCTTACAAAACTTTTTATGACGCCACTGCATTCATTCTACGTTAAGAATTCAAGCATCTTCATATACTACCTAAAGACAAATTCGAGTCATTGGGTTTATTCTAACTGATTGGCATTTACCAAATTCTCACTCCCTTTTGATATTATAGTGTGGATTCATCCTCTCATTATTAAGATTCTCACTCTCTTTTCAGAAGGATATCGTCATCAACACTGCTGAAGAGACTCATTGTGAGAATGATAACCAAGGCACAATCAAACAGGTAACTGTTACCTTTAAATCCTCATAAATACCAGTTAGTTGCTTGCATATGCATCGACATATTGGGTACCAAATAGTTAAATGCATGCCAATCAAAATTTATTCTGCTTTGCTAAATAAAAGTTCATGGCGCTGAATTTCCATGCATTGAAAATTTACTGAAGCTTATAATTTATGGCCTCCACCCATCACTCAAGACTGTCTGGAAAAGTTTCTCTCTTTTCAGGATTTTAGATATACAGTAAAAGTATCATTTGTGAAAGTATAGTCAATGGTGGGAGAAAAGTTTTTCTACTGAAAACAGAAAGAATTGAGGAAAAATATTGTTTTCATGAGCTGATGATGGCAACCAATCATGGTATATATCCAGTTATCACATTAGCCATATAATAGTTTTCGAAGGACACAAAGATATTTATATAAATATATGCCACCTGAGTTTCATGTCTCTTCATTATGCAACGCATCGATACATTAATGACGGGTAAAGAAGTCGCTAAGAAGAACTGCTGATCCTGATCCACAGAAAACTGGACCAGCCAACAACCAAATCACCTTTGATGGAGAACCTGAAAAAAAAGGTGAAGGAGCATATGCACATCATTGTGGTGAATTGGACACTTTAGATGGCACCGCAGCAGAAATAAAACTTTGCAAGGCACAATCAAAAAGGTAAATGCACAAAACCAATTTGACTACCAGCTTTGATTTTCTTTCCTTTACGTTAAGACTATCCATGTTACGATACTCATTACGCATCCATAAAAGAACGTAATTGACCTTACTGTTTTTGCCCCAGAACTTATTCTCACTCAAAGAACGAAGTGAAAAAGGAAAGTCATCATGCCCCCCATGTTTCTGATATGGCCAAATTATTAGATGAAACAGCATCCTTAAAGGAAGAGAAGAAGCATATGGCAATTGAACTGAAAGAGATGCAAGAAAGATACTCCGAGATAAGTCTCAAGTTTGCAGAGGTAGAGGGTGAAAGGCAGCAACTCGTCATGATGTTACGGAATCTAAGAAATGGAAAGAAGGCGTAGTTTTTCGTCGACTCTAAGTGCTATCTCTAGCTCTCCCTGAGTAAATGAAATTCATCAGAAGCAATCAACAGATTGGGTTTGCAAATCCTCTTCCGGGGATCATTGTTTCCCACTTTCCCTTATCTCTAATGTCCATTCTCCTCAAAAAAACAATAATATCGAAGAAGCAACAGTATCCAAAGTGAAAAAGTAAATATAGCTACCCCCATGAACTTTTCCAGTATACAGCAGGATCACATGAGCTTGTTAAATTTGCTCCCATGAATAGTTAAGCATCCCGATGTGTAAAGTGAATATAGTGTTTGCCATCACATTAGGAAACCCAATAAATATAAGGACAGAATTTTATTGCCAATGAACTTTGAAAATCTGGCCTCGGATATTTTGTGAAGGGCCAAGATTTGGACAAGCCTAGAGAAAAAATTATTCCAAATTCATGCTCAATGTTTCAATGAAAGAGAGACGAGAGAGGGGTTCATCAGTTAGCAGATAAACTGAATATTCTATGATCTTGCTGACCTTTTAACCTTGTTAGGCATTTCATTGCTCATTCACAGATGGTTCTTCAATTTTCTTACCCAAAATATCAAAACTACATGATCAAGGCATGAATAAAGAGGGTTTAAGTCCCTTTTACAATAATAAGGTAATGGTTGGTTCAATTTCCCTAGTTGAAAAGAAGACTTAGAACTTATGCCAAAAAGAAACGGAACCGATTAACGCAACTTTATTTTCTAAAGGAACAGTTTGGCTTCAACTTCTCACTATGGTGTGACTATCTTAATGTATACAAAACAAGTCCACTGCATTCTGTGATTTGGTTCTAAGTAAATTGGACAAGTACACGACAAGGCTAAACTGCAAGATTATTTCCCAAAGCAATTCTTAATATTGCAGCAAGTTAAAATCATCAGACTAACCTGTGGTCCAAAAACACATGATATGCTATCACGTTCTGTCAATACTTGCAACCACGGAAAGGTTGAGAGTCTTTGTTACTCCAAATAAGCTTACTCTGGCCTCCACTTCCCATCGTTGTGAAAGATAGAGTCTGCATGGACAAGTAGAATGGTTACAATGTGATTGGGAGGGCATTTTCTCTCATCATAGGGAAATAAGCATACCCTTTTAGCTCTTTTGTCAACTGGCGTCCATGTAGGAAGAACTGAATCAGGTGCTTTCTGATTATTATAGAAACGGGTTGGTTTTCCAGAATGCTTTTGTCTCTTATGGTTATTTGATTTCTTTGAGATACCATCCCTTTGGTACTTAAAATACTCAAGAATAGAGGGACTTTTTCTCTTATTGGCATTTGATTTGTTCCTAGAGGGCCCAAACGGAGGAGATAAGCCACAGGGGAGAGATTGTTGACGTTTTCTACTTTTTTCCTTGATTTTATTGAGGAATTCAATAGTCCAAGGGGACTCGCGGGGCTGTTGACAACCACTTGAGTGAATAGCATTCCAGAGAGGCGTCCCACCAAAATGATCTCCGTCCATTTTCTCTGGTGGCTTGTAAGAAGAATTTACCCCAGTTTTCTGTAGTTCATCATTGTGCAATATCCCCTTTGGTTGCTTAGAAAGAAACTCAGAGTTGTTAAAATAGGAACCCAGGCCACCCGTGTTTAGTTTCCTTGAGCTGCTTTCGATTATACTCTTAGGAGAACAAGCATTGTACTTGGAATCAATGTCACCAGGTGTTGGTAAAGAAGCCAAGCTTGTTGCTCCAAATGATACTCTGTTCACAGTTCTAGAAGCCCCTAATGCTAAGTTATCCTCGGCTTCATTACGCGAAATATTCATAGACTTCAAGGTTGGCACATCTTTTCCAAATGCTGCACATACATCAGTATCAATAACTTCACCTGTCAAATCATCAAGTAGGTTTCCAGAAATCATGTGATTACACCAATGTGTTTTCTTCCATTTAGCCATATCCACGGCCCGGTTTCCAGAAAAATGTGAACTATTCCAAGCTTCCACTGGTTTGCTCTCTTTCCACATAGGAACATCAACGATGTCAATACCAGAAAATGAAAATTTCGATGGATCCACCCTCATGTTTGCCTCATGGTTTCTGCTTTGACGTAACATCTTGATCTCTGAGGATAAACCAGGATTCTTAAACTGTTCGATATCAGAATTCTCAGGCATCCAAGAATTTAAAGGGGGACATCCCCTAGGAGGACTTAATCTAGCATCTGGAAATACTGAAAGGGGCTCAAACTGTGAGAACTCGTTTATATTCACATCAATGTTTGGGAGATCATCAATGTATTTCCTTTTCCTTGCTTCAGAGTCACTTTTCGGCTGAAATCTGTCAGAAGTATATGATGCTGATGAGGAGTTATCTGTCATTCCAGATTTAGAATCCTCCCGTTCCCCATATCGCCACAAAAGATCAAGAAGAGCAATACTTTCATCGGGAATCTTATATTTCTGAGCAAAATGCATTCTCCGATCAGGTGGCCATTCTAGAAATTCAACAAGTGTGCTTCCAGAAGACAATAAGCATTGAGCTGAGAGTGGATTTATAGAAGGAAAAGCAGTCAAAAAAGATTCTGCTAAACTTTCAGAGTCTGGCATTGTGGGATACAGACCTCTGGTAAGCTTTGTTACAGATCTAATGGAGGATAGCACAATTTCATCTGTCATTGCAGAAGAATATGAGAAGAATATCTGAAAGTCAATTCCCAGACTAGCTGCAGCAGCATAGAGTTCATGTGATGATTCCACCACACCAGCCAGAAAGTTCTTTTCCCCCTCAAAGATCTGGAAAAGTAAACATAAAAGATAAATTATCCAAAACTTTTTCGACGAACAATCGAATTTTGTATGATAGGATCAAATACTAATTGTGAATCGTATTGAATAGTTTAAGCTTTATGACGACTCGTGCAAGTTTAGCATGATTGACTAAGGACACATTTCGCAGATGATACCAGAGATGCACTTTACCCAGTTGTGGCGTAACTAATATGAGGACAGGACACTAGTACCAAAAGACCTTGAAATGTCAAAAAAAAATTTCATATATGCAGAATAGCAAAAAGAATTGCACTAAAATCTCAGAAAGAATATCTACAGTATTCTATAAGGAATTGGAACTTCAAGGTGCTATCAATGTGCTGAAAATGAAAATTTATCTAAAAGCATCTTATTTCTCACACAATTGTTAGATTCGATGTTGCATCACCATGTCCATCAATGGTTTAAGAATAGCATTTGACCAATACACTCGTTTGCAATCAAGAACATGAAATATATTTACCAGGATGCAGCTGCTGAACGCATAACTGAGGGATGTTAAAGTGCTGGCCGCGATATTCTCTACACATAAAGCTAAGCATGAAAAGGCCTCATCAGAAGCAGAAGCTTTCTTTCCAATGTTCTTTAAGTCATACCATGCAAGACATTGTGCAGCACCAACTACCAAATCGACAGGTAAACTAAGATCACGTTCTACAATATGTGCTCCTCCTTTCTCCAGCGCCAGAATCTTCTGGTATGTGCTTCTTCTTGAAATTATCATTTCTTTATCAAAGTTTCTAGTGTTAACAACAATGACTATGCCAGGGGACGATGTATTGTTCATGTCAATTTGGTCTGATTCCATACCCAATGACACAGGCTGTGAATGCTTCACAAAGCAGTCTAGACCCTCCACTACAGCTCCCTTTGGGGATCTCTCGCAGTTCCCCTCAACAGGGATAAAATTTAACAGTTCCACCATCTTGCTGTCGCTCGGATTCAGCACAGAGGTAATATAAGGATCACCCCCCTGGGCAGGAGAATAACTTCAGTATAATGTTCTCAAATATTCAAAAATTATGCACAGGACAAATAATCAATTATGGTATAATGAGTAACTGGAAATTAGTCACATTAGTTAATGCATGAACAAAAGCATAACAGCTCTTTCCATTAGGCGACGTAATGGAAGAGATCAATACCAAGGAACCGAATCAAACACTTGACAGACCCATTCACAACAAAAAGAAATTTAATAGACTCGAGCGCTGTCTGTGAAACTACAGAAGCCTCATTAGAGAAGAGATCCCGACAAATCACAGCAGGTATCGCATCTTCAAACTGAATGCAATGAGGAAATATACCAATTGCAACTTATTGAAATTAGAAGTAATCCTTACATGATCTCAATCTACAAATTACAACGTATGCCACTATTCTTCCCAACAAATATTCAAAAGTTCCCATGGAAGAAACCAACCAATGGATGTAACTCTCAAAATGTTTTTTGAGTAAAGACCTAGACAAACAGATTTCATCAATAAAACTGAGTACCAGAGAGAGGCAAAGAAAGAAAAATGGCAATAACTTAGTAGTGAGGCTAATGAAACAGAGCAGTATCTATATGTTTAATGCAACCACATAAGCTTCTCCAGAATGGCTGAAACAACACACATCATGCAAATGAAATTATCCAGAAGAAAAATAAAAAGAAAAGGCAGTTTAACATAGGCGTTTGTCCAGCACGGGCAACAGCATGATCTTCCATTCTACGGTAATAGTAAATGCCTTAGTTTAACCTCAAAAACATCATGGAATTTGTCTGGGAGGGCTATATATTTTTTAAAAAAAATAAAAAAAAAATAAAAAAAAAACCTTGTTTGACAACCACATGGTATAAGAGAAAATCAGATTAAAAGCTCAACCTATGATCTCGAGCACAAAGATAAAGAAACTTGCCTCCGAAAATGCAGGGAGCTTTGGCATGTCAACACCTTCACAAAATGCTTTAGGAGCTCCCCAGTCCTCCAGTTCTACTTTGATGAAATAGAGCTGAGGACAACCATCTTGTCTCACAGAGATGTTACAAACTCTAGATAATTTGTGGCAACCACCATATTCCAAGATAATGCCAAATTTGTCAAACGGAAATGATGCAGAAAGGTACCTTGAAGACGAAAAATATTGTGTCATCTCCCACTTTAAAGTTCATTAATAATTCTAAGACATAAGTGCCAAACAGGAAATGAAAACTACAAAAACTCAATCAAAATAAAGGAAACAAGTTGATTGATCTTCCAAGATGCCATGTCAATAGATAATTCACTTGACAGCAGAGCTTCAGAATATATTTTTCAAGGATCTACTGGAGTAATTTAAGATCAGTGTAGGAAAAAAAAACTATGGCTATGTGCCTGCATATAAAGTTGAGAATAACTTACTCGTGAGAAACTAAACAGCAATCTGAATGGAACATAACAGTTGCAGCATCAGAAAACTCTTGGACTCCGTCCTTATTTTCCCTGCAAGTTTGTAATTCTTGATAAGATAGGCCCATTAAATTCATCAGTTTCTTTAATGGCCACCAAGCAATAGGATCTGCGACTATCAACACTTTTTCACAGATCTCAGTGAAAGTGGACCCCAACATTTCTTGAATAACAGAAAGAGAAGGATGAAATCTTGTTATCTCCTTTTCAGCCTTTCTGCTCATATCTTCAACCATAATCTTGAGGAAGCTTAATTTAGAATTTAAGCACTGCAAGCTACTTAACAACTTGTCTATGTATAGTTGACTAGGATGCAAACCATAGTAGCACAGGTACCAAGCCATCTGTTTGATTGCGCAAAGAGCAACCATTGAGATTATGTTGTCATTAGAAAGAGCCTTTGAAGTTCCTGGTGCACTTATCTTCTCAATGTGGCCAATTATCTCTTCCTTCTTAAGGCGAAGACAAGAAATGCCATCAAAATCATGATAGCAGTTAAGGGTCTTCAATAATATAGCGTCACTTTGTAGGATGTCCATATAACTTTTTCGGAAATTCTCAATCAGTATAAGGAACTCGTGTGATAACTCCACCCGAAGTATCTTAATATTCCATTGCTGCAATTGAGAGCCAGCACAGGCAGGAACAGAATCAGCAGAAAAAACTGCAGTTGATGCAGTATTCCAACCAATTGACCATCCAGAAGACTTGCATGTTTTTACACCGCACTCCACTTGATTCAAATGGTTATCAATCTTGGCAAATTTGCCAACGGAATCAACAGGTACTTGGATCTTTGCAGCACCAATTTCAGATAAGATTTTTTCATTTGCTTCCAGGCTGCATTTATCATTCCCCATCGTTTGAGTTACTTCAGAGAGGCAAACTGATGGCACTGAAATTCGTTCCACAAGTATTTGGGATATTTCCTTCTCTCCAACAAAGTTTGGCTCATTAGAACAATCACTTGAGAGGAGAAATTTGAATACAAGCATCCTGTTGTCATACTTGCTTAAAGTGGAATCGATAGTGTATGTGTCTATCCCTTCTAACATTCGCTGACAGGAAGAATACATATCACACCTATCTTTCTCTAAAACATACCAGTCCAGATACAGACCATCAAATGCAGAGGAAGACTCTGGTTCCAACACGGAGAACATCTTTTCACTCAAAGAATGTAGGGACCAATTCCTTTGGCTGTTTGAAATAATGGGCACAGGAAACGACTTGAAGGAATCATCGACTAGAATAAGCTCATTACTAACAATTAAGTCATCAAAGCTCTTGAAATTTATTCCTTCACTTAACATTGGGCCGCAACCTTTTATTGTAAACACTTTCCCCAAACCATGTAAGACTTCAATAAAATTATACAGCTCCATACCAGTGAATTGAAATTCCTCAAATAGGATTATGTTCATTGGATGATTTGCTGCATCCCAGGAAACTCCCTGATGGAATAATAATATTTGACATATGTCGGAATCTTCACACCCACTAATAAAATCAAGTTCTTGTTCACAACTTGAGCATATTACCTCCACTCTGGGGTACTGTACAGCCAGACAATGATTTGACAGATGCATTAGTAAGTCAAATTCTTTATAGTCCATAAGCTCCTCATAACCACTTGGCACTTGATTTTCTTGCACCCAGGTTTCATACTCAATATTTTCAAAAGTTTTAAGTTCATCCCTTACTGATATGTCATTGGTGATACCCAGACTTTCCTCGTCAATTTCAAAAACAGGAAATGAATAACTGGAAGAATCAAGTTGTTCCCGAGCAATACTATAACCTTCCAATAGATCAACCTTCTGTTTCTGAAATTTTTCTGTCGAGATGCTATTAACTGAATATACAGCATGCTGAATTTCACGAAAGTCCTGCATCCTGAGTTCAAGACTGGGCACGTCCTGAATTATGTGGCCATATTATGTCATGTACACATTTTTTGACAGTTTCAAATAAACTAGATACATATTTTCTTTCCTGCACTCCAGCAAAGAAATCCCCATTCTAGATTCAAGTCGAACAAAGATTAACAGATTCCAATAGAGATTAAGTTATTATGTAAGAAGCATGCCACTAGATAACCCAATCTTCCAACTACCTTGTCAATGACTCTCTATCCAACTCCTCCAAAAATCAAAATGACAGAAACCCACAATCTAAGACTACCATCAAAAGATTAAATTCTGATATCCAGGAGCTGCTACTAATAAAGCTATCACAATTACTTGATTAAATTGGTTAGTCATAGCTCCTAAAATCAGCAAACATGCTGGGGGTATATAATTTTGAACTCTAAGTTGCTCTTTTGAAACACACATCTGAAGTTGGGTACATGTAATAAGTTGAATGCGTACTTAAATATCACCAACGGTATGAAGAGAGAAGTATACCATTTCAAAAGCAACTTCGGGAATCCCAGAGATGATATTTCCATCCATCCTTTGACAATGAAGATCATTCTGAAACAAACACAAAATATAAGGACAAAATCCAATCAGAATAGTTTAATGTTGCATGCAACAACAAGTCGGCATTGAGACATAAAATGCTAACCATTCCACAGAAGGAATGGATCTCTGGAGCTTCGAAATGGATGATGTTGATACCAGCAATGCCCTCAACATCAGAAAATCTCGTAGCTTTTCCCTGAACTAACTGAATCATTTTCATATGACTGTCAAAGAAAAATAATGGGAATTTAATTTAATTGTACTTTTGAATTCTCAACCTGCATATCATATCCTGGGTTATTTATTCCCGGATTATCAGAAAGTATCTCATTCTTTTCCTGCAAGAGAAAGATATACATATGGATCAGAAATTAGATAGATGGTGAGAGAATGATCGAAAGCCATTCTGAGTAATAGGAGATGCCATATTGACCGCCAGAAGATTACTTCTCCATCGAAAAAATTCTATTATACTTTTCCACTGATGAAAACTTGAGTAAAACTCACTAAGATGAAAGACTGAAAAAACATAGATCAATGGACTGACATAACCACTTGAGTGCTGAGAACAATGTCACCAAAACCACCCCACACAAACATTTAAATTTGACCAACTTGCGATAATTTAGAAACAAAAAACGAACTATTACTCTGCCGAGTTAAAAATTGCTTAGGAAAGCAAAAAATTATTCTCCAAAAAGCCTAAGTATCAGTAATTGCAATCAGAAGCAAAAACCTCCGCATTGTGCAACAGAAATCAATTTCCGAGGAAAATAGATAAAATTTAAAAAAATTGGAAAAAAAAAAAAACTCAAAAAACTAAACAATCAAACTAACAAGTCTGGGGTTAAAGCATAAAAATGCTAGAGATACGAAGCAAAAAACGTAAATCTATTCTACATAAATCCATTAGGATGACTAACATTCTGATATAGAAAGTACCAACTACTGTATAACAGTTAATTTTGCGTTTGGTGAGCAAAAAAAATACTAAAAAGCAAAAACAGAACACGCATGCACATACAAACTAAATCCGAAATTTTTCGCCAATAAACAGTTCATCGAATTTACCAGCGAAGCGTCAATCTCAAGCGAATGCCTCGGCTCAGAAGAGCAAGCTGTTCCACCGGAAGAATCGCCAAGCGCCAACTCTCCGATTGGAACATCGATAAATTCGGGTAGAACATCGGACAAGAACTTCGTGAGGGAGGTTTCGATCGGTAATTTCTCGATATCATATGAATAGCAGCTGTGAAGAGAGAGGGCATCAAAGCAACTCCAAATGTCTTCGGCATTTGAGACGGACGACGGAGGAAGGTGTGGCGGAGAGAAATGGTGGAAATCTAGGGTTTCGATTGGGGCGGGGTTGAAGAAATCGGTGCTGATGAAACGAGTACGCATATTATGAATGTTGTAACACTAGCAAGTGGGGGTGAAAGCGAGGGAGACTGCAGAGCAGATGAGGCTTTTTAAAGTGTAACGGGTCGATCCTTAATTCTTAATGTGGGATGAATTTGGCGCTTAAACGAAAGAAAAAGCTTTCCCAAAACGAAAAGGAAAAGGAAAGGACAAAATGCTTTCCCAAAGAAAAAATGGAAATTGTAAAAAATACGAGTAACGTTGGGAAAAGGCCCGTTGCAAATGGAAAATAAATGGGCCATGCCCAACATCTTTGGTACAAAACGAAGTGTGGCGTATAGGTAACGTGTACCACTATTATCCAACTATTTTGAATTGCGAGGAAATACATAAAGTTGAATCTTAAATAGTATCTATTGTAATTTAAAATGTTTATTTAATTGATGGGATTAGAGATCTAACATCATGAGATTGGCGGGTACAATTACGCTAATTTCAAAGAGATTAATTTTCCAAAATATTTTGTATTTTTTTTCTTCTCTTCCATGATTGCATCTATTAGTTAGTCAGCCATTAAAAAGTAGTAGTTTCTTGGCTTCGGTGTGATATTATCAAAACAAGTTTACTCCTATAGTGATGTTTAAGTGTTTTACTTCTTTTGCTAATTAAAAAAAAATCATATACTATTTATTTATTAATAATAGTCACATTTGATTATTGTTGAGTTTAAGTGGGAATGTGGACAATAATACCTTTCTATCCTAATTTTTTTTTAATAGTTTGGTCTGTACAAAAAATTTCTTACTTGTTATTATACTCCCTCTTGTCCACAAAAATAGTCCACATATTTTTATCCTTAAAAAAATTCTTAAAAATAAAAAGGTGGAGTAGGCTTCTTTTTTTTTTTTTAAAGTATCAAGTTCTAAGTGAAACAATTTCAGTTGAACGAAACCCTAAGTAACCAAAAACAAACTCTGGTTTTCTGAATATTAGTATGCCCCGTCCAGAGAAGAGAAACAAAAAAAATATATATATCCCATAGAAAGTAAACTCTAATGAAATTAAGGAAAACGGAATAATGATGGCCCGCGAGAGATAGTCAGCCCACGCCGAATTTCATGACCGGTTTGTACGTTTGTGCAAATTCAATCAATTGGACAATCTGCATCATCAATCATGCTCATGCATGAATCTGGAGCTTGGACTTCTTCCATTTGGGGAATGAGCTATTTCATACTTGTGCTCGTGCACTTGTGAGTCAAATGGTGAATTCATCGAGACCTCCATATAGCACTAGTTTTATTCATAGCACATTTGTATCACTTCTGTCCTAAAAAGTAATCCATATTATAATTTATACACGATTTGTAAATACGTAAATTATTTTTTTGGGACAAAGGAGTACTAATCTTTATTTCAGGAGATTTCAGGAGGGACATGATTGAGAACTCATAAACTCTGCTCTGTAGGATATATAAAGTAAACTGACCAGACATTTCTAATATCAGTTGCTTTCCAATAAGGCATACCAATTTTATTGTTACACTCATGAAGAAATCGCAGCTCATTTATGAACGGTTTACAATAGAGAAATTAGTGGTACAGCAGCGCTGCATTTTGGGCTATATGCTTATGGTATCAACATTCAACAACATAAATAAAAAACACTAATGAACTAACTTTAAGTAACGATGGCAAGAATTTGGGGCTTAAAATTTGGTTTTTATGGTTTAGCAGCTTCCTCTTTTTTCTCTTCTTTCTTTTCCTCTTTGGGTGGCTCTTCTTTCTTTTCTTCCTTCTTCTCTTCTTTCTTTTCCTCCTTTTTCTCTTCCTTAGCAGGCCCTACAGATATGATGTCTACTTTTCCTACCTTCTTCAACTTCTTCACCACCGCCACTGCGTCCATCTCTCCAATCACTGTCAGCTTTTGTTCCTTCAGATCAGCAGCAATCGAATCAACCCCTTTACATAATTAAAGTTCATCCCACAAACAAATCAAATTCCAAGCTCAAACAGAGTACAATCGTAATCTCAAATCTGGCTGCTTGATTCATGAACAGAGAAAAAAAAAATCCATATCCAATCCCAGCTGGGGGAATCGGGACTTACCGTAAATATCAGCGGCAGCTTCAAAAGCTTTCTGTTTAGTTTTCTCATCGGTCATGGTTAATACCTTCAACACCACCTTCTGCTACAGACAATCCAAGGAAATATAGAATCAAATAAATCAGTGAGATAAGTGGAAATATGAATCAAATTTCCACAAACCATCGATCTGTGAATAGATCCTTAGGGAGTAGCTAAATAATAACATCGGAAGATTGATTATACCTGAGCCATGTGAGCAGCTGTGGAGAGGAAAAGCAATCACTCGATGTTGGCAGTTAGGCAGAGGAGGCACAATTCCAAATGAATGAATAAATGATGGAAACGCGAGAACAAAAAAAATAATAATAATAAAGTGAAGAAGTGAAATGGAAAAAATGGGTGGATTTAAAAAGGGCGAACCTCAGCCGAATTAATTTCTGGGCCTAGTAAAAATTGTCGTCATCTGGGGAGGTTGTACCAAAAGTACAACAAACACAGAATACTCGCACCAGGTTTAAAAATGTTTATGCCCATCATTTACCCGCCATTCACCAAATCTTGTTACCCTACTCTTTTTATAATTTCCCTACTGAAAAGTGTTCTGTTTGTCCCATGTTAATACTCCTGCTGTCCTAAAATTATTGTCTAATTTGAATTTTACTTTTAGGATAATTTGAACTAAAAATAAAAACATAAATTGGACAATAATTATGGGACGGAGGGAGTAATTTATTTTGTTAGTAAAATTATATTTTCAAACGAGGGAAAAGGGGTAGTATTATTTTCAATAAAATTTGTCTAGAATGCTGACAAACAACTTTTTTACTAGTACAAAGGGGTGTTCCAAACTCTACGGCCAAGGGAAAGTCTGCAACTATATGTCCCCAATTTCAATGGGCCGAAATTGAGAGCTAAAAGGAAAGTTGAATTTCGATGTCATTGATCCATCTAGAAAGGCTGGTTTTGATCCTAATCATATTGCCACTCAACCTTTAAGTTGAATTTATATTACTCATTCTACCAAAAAAAAAAAAAAAATTTATATTGCTCCAACCAATAGACAAATCTTAAAAATGTTGGACGTAATGCAATGGGAAATGATGACATACGGCCAAATAGTTTCAACATCTTTCCCAAATTCCTTTGTTTCCATCTCTGCTCTATCAAAAAGAAAAGGGAAAAATAAAAAAAGAACACTTTGTTTGGGAGTATGCAAAACTGAGTGAAAAATATTTCGAAAAGAAGAGTTTCATCTTTCCAAAATAATCTACCCTACCTCAAATCCTGATTATTTGAGGCCGTGATTTCGAATGTGTAATACATCACGAAACAAATTTTGTTTCCAGTAAATGGGTTTGTGGAAGATTAACCTAATTTATGGAAAACCAAACCAGTAAACGAATGGAAGATTAACCTAATTTACGGGTTTATGGAAGATTAACCTTGGTGATTTGTCTCCATACCCAAACGAAACAAAAATAGACATGGCAGTGTGTTGTAGAAATTAATTTAAACTTACACATATTTTAAATGCATATAAACATATTACTCTTCCCAGGCCAAAGGTAACACTAAAAATAATTAAAAAACTACCCAAAAAAAAAGACATGTAAAAAGGAAGGCTCTCCTCTGATCCTGTCCTAGTAGTACTGAAGGTATTTAAGTAGTACTATATTTTATCACATAATTGCGCAAGCATGCGGATTTTCATCACTAAAAAGGGAGGCAACGGCCTCATCTGAGGCGACCGCCACCGAGTAAACCGCCGGAGTGTGGAAGAAGCTGTGGACGCCGGGGGCAGCAACGTTCTTGGTACTGTCGTAATAATGGTTAACAACGTGCATTGGGTATTTGTAAAACGAAGCGAAATAGGAGTAGCCTCCTGGATATGGCCATGGCTCTGCTGCTTTCCCAGTTCGTTTGATAGCTTTCAGCACCTTCTTTTCCTCCAAACCGTATCCTCTTGCCGTGATTTTCTGCACTTCCATGTCCACCTCAACTTCCTCCACTCCTGATATTACAAATTTTTGTTACCACATTACAGATAATGTGAGCCTTAATTTTATTGAATAACGCAATTAAGGAAATTAACAGAGACGGGACTGTCAAGAGGCCACAGTTTATAGAGTCAGAATGCAAAATTATAAGAGAGGCGGAGAGAGCAATGTGGTTTTTAAGTAACCGAGGAAGAAGAAGGAGAATAAAGAAACCACCTTTGAGCTTGAACAGAGCTTTTCGGATCTTGGATGCACATCCTTCACAATCTAAGTTTGGGACTCTAACTTCCACCATCTGCACAACATTACGCGCACCACAAATTTCAATTACACCAGCCAAAAAAAAAAAAAATGTACAAGAAAATGGGGGAGAATCAAGTCAGTAAAAACTAGAGATAAATGCAAAAGAAGACTTACAGACATCCTGAAACTAGCAAATGAAACAGAGTAGTGAAGTTACTCTGCAGCTTATTTGCTTTTGTGGAGAAAAGGGGTCTCGCTTTCTCGCTGTGTTTTTAATGTTTCCTAGAGGCTCCCCATTGGCTTCGAGTTGTTAACCTTGACTACCCATAATATATATAAAGGCGCTTTGCTTTTGCACTGGCTACTTTGAGTAGCGGCATTGGGCTTCGAAATCGGAAAAACAGAGCGCTGGGTTCACGCGTGAGCTGGGATGGCGTGATTGCTCTCGATGGCGTTATCCCCCACCCCCCAAAAACCAAAAACTATCTGCTTTTTTTTTTCCTTCTCTGTCTTCTGTTTTCTGAACAACTGACGAATGGGAAATAACTTTTCGATGTGTGTATATGTGTATTTTATTGCGTTCCAAAAGAAAAACAAATTATACTCTCTCTGACTTAAGTTGACGCCATTGACTTGTGCGAATCAAATTGAGCACTTCTGCTCTCCAGTAAGCATACATTAATTGCAACTTCTGTACCTCTTTCATTTCAATTTACAAGGATGGCATGCAAGAATCAAGATGGTCTCATTACACAATCCATTGAGATGGAAAACAATTGGAAATCCCTGCGAGATTTTCTACAGTAGCGCATATATAAGTATGTGTATACGGGAGAAAGTGATGGAATTCTGTCATTCTGGAATCTGCTTTCTCCTTTTTGCGCATCTGTCTCTGAGAAGCAATAGAGGAGAAAACTCATGATGATGTGTGCAGGAGGGGCTCATTTGCATTGGGAGCATAATGATCACAGGGTGTGATGATTGCTTGCTGTGTCTAACACTGTTCAGCATCCTTTCGCTATCACACTCTGCCCAACCTTTTATGTAAGGGGGAGGATTTTTGAATCCACTAAATTTAGTTCTTTCGATCACTAATTTTTAATTTTGATCATTTTACTCTTGTCATTTGACCAAATCAAGTTAAAGGAGAGAGAGAGGGAAAGACAGATAGAGAATAAGCCACTCGGATCGAAACGGGTAAATCATTCGGTCCAATTCATGTGAGAACGGACAAATTATTAATTTTTATTTTAATACTAATTTATTCACAATATCGCTGCCTGTTGAATAATTCATACTTTAAATATTATTAACAATATTTATACTTTAGTGTTTAAACTCTCGACTTTATATTTACTTGAAAATAAATTTAAGATTATTCGTTAAGTTAATTTATTTAAATTGATATTAAAATATAAAATTTTACTTCAATTATTATTTTTTAAGATAATTTTTAGTTAAAAATAATAATATACATTTATAATAAAAAATAATAATTATACTATAAAGATTGTGACAAATATGCACAAACAGATTAATTATTTATTGTGTTACAAAGATCGGTGATACTTAATATAACTCAAATAATAAATTATTCATAAATTTAATGAATAAAAATTTTAATGAACTAAAAACTAGATTAACTAATTAAAAAAATAGCAATAAATCCGATTGCTAGATTCATTGCTATTTTTTTAATTTTTAAAATTTTTTAAATAATAAATATTGCTAATTTTTTAATTACAAAAAAAATAAAAAATCTAAAAATGGAAAAAAAAATTACAATGAATCCGATTGCTATTTTAAAAATTTTTATATTTTTTAATAACAAATATTGCTGTTTTTTTAATTAAAAAAATTATAAAAAAATCTAAAACTTAAAAAAATGGACATGATCGGACCGGTTCACCATATCAAACCGAACTGCGACCGACCGTGGAATGAATCCGTCCCGAGTTAACCCAGGACGAGTGGACCGCTCGTCCTCTTGTTTGCCCGAACGGATTCATTACCCGTCTCGAGTTAAGAGGCGGGCGGTCTACCCGTCCTGGATTAATTCGGGACGGTTTCATTGTACGGTCGGTCTTTTTTTTTAATATTTAGTTTTCATTTTTTTTTTAATTTTCTCTCTGATCAAGTTATTTGATTTGAAAAAATGATAGGAGTAAAATGGTCAAAATTAAAATTTTTTGTGGCTTAACGAACTAGAGTTAGTGGTTTGAAAAAGTGACGCACTTATGTAATACCTATTCAGAACATCTTCATGTTTATAGCATTGTCATACCCCAGTCTTCTTCCAACTTTATTGATAACTACACAACCTGCTAACTTCAGAAACACGAACTTTTTGGTCTCTGAGAAAAATTGAAAAAGAATCATTGTACCCAATGCGGGCATTCAAGTGAAATATCAGTAAAACATCAACTAAAAACATCAATTAAATAAGGTATACATAGTGCGTCGACTCTGACGAATAACCACACTACATTTGATGCATTTTTTTAGAGTGCTTTTTTTTTATTATTATTATTCGAAATACCATAATAGGATGTTTAAATGTTCCTATTCATCATCGAAATCAAACCATATAATTTTTTTTGAAAGACAAAATCATCACGAACAAATAATTTTTTATATTGTTCAGTTTTTATCTTTGTATATTTTTACTTTGTCACATTTTTTTACATTCAGACGCACATTTCAAATAAGCATATGTGACTAATAGCCTATAGTTTATTCCTGTAAGAACCCCATTAATGTTCCCCGATAGAGTGATATTAGTGTCTTCTTTATTATACGGCGGAAATGGTCCAACTATTTTTTTTTTTGTCTAATAAATGTGGATGGAGCTTTGGGCAATGCAGAAGCCCAACGTTTGGCAGACAGAGTACACTATATGGCCTGGAAAGTGAAAGAAAAAGTCTTCAAAATTGAAGAGCTCTCCATCAATTCACTCCCTCCTCCAACTAGCAAGTATTTTCTCAACGAGTTGTTCGAATGCATTCATAATTTTGGTCATTGTGAAGCAAGAAAAAATAAGAGTATACAAATATAAAATAGAGCAAGATTCTTTTTCTTCTTCCCCCCAATCCAGGACAATTTTTCATTTTTTCTTGTTTTTCATATAGCAGGGTTTCATGCATTCGTTCCAGGACTTCTAGTATATCATCGTCATAAAGCATAATCGGGAAATAAGTGATATTAAATGTCAAAAAGAAAAGGAGGCTAACAATGTCCATTTGATTCAGTTTTGGTTTCAAAAGAAATTTGCTATTTATTCCACGCTAGAGTGGCGTTTAGACGGTCTAGTTAATGCTCCCTCAATTCCAAATAAGTGTAGTTTTAACAAAATAGAGAAATTTCAAAATAAGTGTTGTTTTCGGATTTCAATACATTTTCTGTCATAAATTCCCAAACATACCCTTAAAATAAGTAATATTATTGGTGAATATATATTTTAATATGGTTAGTTGAGGATATTCAAGTAATTTAATTATCCTATTTAAGTGTTTCTTAAACTGTATGTAAACTCTAAAATGACACTTATTTTGGAACGGAAGGAGTAGTTAACACGCCTAACAAAGAGGATCAGGCAAACGCATAATTAATCACGTAAGATACGCAAATAATGTCCATAATTTGATGTAATGCAATTAAACCACGAGTCTTAATTGCGCCGCCTTCTCCTTGCAAAATGTATTCCCTAACTTTCTTCGCTGCGATCGCGTTGCGACCAGAAATTTAAAACGCCGGCACTTAAGAAACAGAACAATTAGAGGCGAACTTTAACCATCAAAGCTGCTGTAGAGAAATTTATTTAAAAGAGAGATATGAGTGAGCTAGAGCTAAGTGTCATTAAAAATCGTTCTACTGGAAAATCATGGCTTCGAATGCCTCTTGCAAAGAACACCATCTCAGCGAGATATTTGATCGCAATTCTTTTTTTAACCCTTGTCTGCATTGGTGCATTTTTGTCTACCCGTTTGCTTGATTACTATTACGTACCTGTAAGTATATCTATTAACCTCGCCAATCTCTCATACTAATACGAAATTATGAATTATCAGTTCATCCACTTCCAGTGTATTCCAAATACTCCAACGTAATTACACTAATTTCATGTTCTGGTTCCTCTCAAATTAGCAGCAAAATGTTGTTACTGTTTCTGGCATCCATGCATCTGACGCGGAATTACGGACTGGCGGGTTCCCCAGAAATCCCCTGAACCAGTCAAGTATCCAAGAACTTGAAATTGGATTCCCGCTAAATTGTTCATTTGGTCAAGAAACACAAGTATGCCTGGGCAATTATTATCCGGTCAATTTTTACAAAAAGGATCCCGACACGTCATCAACATCGGCCCCACCAACCACGTGTCCGGATTACTTCCGTTGGATCCACGACGATCTATGGCCGTGGAGAGAGACCGGGATTACGGAAGACATGGTGAGAAGGGCCGGCGCGACGGCTAACTTCCGGCTGGTTATACTGAACGGGACGGCGTATCTGGAGACGTACGACAGATCGTTTCAGACACGAGACAGATTTACGCTTTATGGGATTTTGCAATTGTTGCGGAGGTACCCAGGTCAACTCCCCGATTTGGACTTAATGTTTGACTGCGATGACCTTCCGGTCGTCCGTAAAGAATCCCACAGCGCTCCTGGAGCTCCGGCCCCTCCTCCCGTGTTCCATTATTGCAGGGATGATTCCACGTTGGACATTGTTTTCCCGGATTGGTCATTCTGGGGATGGTACTCAGAAAAAAACTTTGCAACAATTTCTAAATCTAACTTGACGATTTATACAAATTTATTGATATCCAGAAAATATCTTTAATTTTTAGGCCTGAAATCAATGTCAAGCCTTGGCGGACTCTGTCAAAGGATCTACAAGATGCGAATAAGAGAATTAGTTGGGTGAATCGGGAGCCATATGCTTGGTGGAAAGGCAATCCACACATGGGCCAATCAAGGCCGGATTTGATGAAATGCAATGTTTCAGACAAAGAGGACTGGGGCGCCCGTCTTTATAATCAGGTTACCTTATCAAAATTAACTTGATTGCGTAAAGGATTTTGAGGGTTTAGACGAAATGTAACGGATTACAATTTGTTGAAGTACACATTTTTGTCCAGGACTGGATTGAAGAGACAAAACAGGGGTTCAATCAATCTGATCTTTCAAACCAATGCACTCACAGGTATTGAGAATTGATGCTTTCTTTGTCAAATTCGGGATTGTTATTTTGAGAATTGAAACCATGATTCGTCTGTTTCCTTCCACTTGGTGAACAATTTAGATACAAGATTTACATTGAAGGAGCTTCGTGGTCCGTCAGCGAGAAATACATTCTTGCCTGTGATTCCCTGACGCTACTGGTCACGCCCCGATACTTTGATTTTTTCACGAGAAGTTTGATGCCGTTGAAACACTATTGGCCTATAAAGGACCATGACAAATGCAGGTCGATAATGCATGCTGTTGACTGGGGAAATAGTAATAAGGAAACGGTAAGGCTCTATTTGGTTGGTTTTCATTGCTTTTTTTTTTTTTTTCATAATTTGTAATAATTAATAATTGTCTCATTCCAACCTATCTTTTTATATTTTTAATAAATTTTTTTGTATTTTCAATTAAAGAAAAACACTTAAATATACGCGCTAAAAAAACAACCCGAACATTCCCTAACTAATCTTCTCGATCGGCCTTTAAAACTAAATCGAAATAATGGTCAAGGCCGATAGCTTATGATAGATCATCAATGTCTGATAATGTGGCAGGCACAGTTTATCGGCAAGGCCGGAAGTGATTTCATTCGGGAAAACCTGAAAATGGATTATGTGTATGACTACATGTTTCATCTGCTAAGCGAATACGCTAAGCTTCTGAAATACAAGCCAAGTGTTCCCCCAAAAGCAGTGGAACTCTGTTCAGAATCAATGGCTTGCCCGGCACCAGAATTGGAGCAAAAGTTCATGAGAGAGGCGTTGGTTACAGGCCCAACAAGTGAAAAACCATGTGTCATGCCTCCTCCATATGATGCTGCAACTCTTCAGTCATTTCTTACGGGCAAACAAAATGCGTTCAAGCAAGTCGACGAGTGGGAAAAACACTTTTGGGATAACTGGAATACTACGACTTAGAATTGGTCCTTAATTTTTTTTTCATTTTAGTTTGCTTAATATAGCCCACGTGTTTGTGTTTGTAGCCTACCTCTAATCATACTTTCAGTAACCAAAAAAGGGGAAATGGTACACTCTGACCATAATATACGGGCGACATTAGATCCTCCTTTTGGTCAGACTTACTATCATGGAAGAGAGCACTTTTTTTGTGGGGGTATCTTGGTACTACTTTTCCTTTTATTTTAAGGAAAAAGAAACAAGCCCTTGAATATGCAATATTTGTTTGAAATTAGTGAGCGTGTAAAAGTGAAAAATACAAAATTTACGAGTCTTCTTTTCTAGTAATTCCCATTTCCTACGATTTCATTGGCCATCATGGATTTTGCCCATCTAATTTCATTACCATTGTCTGCTTTGTAGTGGGATAAGCTGTTAAATTGGCTTAATTTTTTTTATAGGAATTTTTGTGATACTTTTATTAGTTTGTGTAGCGCAATGTGTGACATTACTTAACTAACTAATATTTAGTAAACTTTTAGAATGGTTATTTACACTTGGTCAACTTTAAATTTCAGTTCCAACCATTAACATTAACTGAAATAGTCCCGAACATTAAAGCTTATGATTTTTATTTTTTATTATTTTTTTATCTAAAGTCATTGTTCTGTCAACTTTTCCATTTTGTTGACAATTGACTCTTCCACTGACAGGAATATTTTCGGCACTTCAAAATTTTTACAAATTTTTTAAATAAATTAAATTAAATTATTTCCAAAAAATAACAAAACTAACAAATGAATCTAAGTAAATAAGTGATGGTGCAAGTATACCATTCCAAAAGATATTTTATTAAAGCAAGTAGCATGTTGCATGTTCCCATTAATTGAAGTCAATTCTAGCTTCCAAAGTGTAAAAAGATGCCAGTTAAAAAATACTGCCTGTAAGAAATAAACAAGTGAATTCTACACGCAATTGGAGGAAAATTGACTCCAAAACATTTCCCTTGTTCCAAAACTAAAATTTTCTAATAAAAGTTCAAACACAAAGTAAAACAAGATTAAAATTAAGTACTAGTACTACTATATTTTCCCTCCCACTTATACCAAAAATTAAAATGAAGTCTCTGGCGCGATCACCACCTTAGGAGGAGGGCAGGGCATTGTATCTTCGGGGGAGGGTCCTACGCTGCGTACCCCATCTTGTCCGGAGAGTGGATTCTGGAAAGCAACCAACGGCCACATGACTTTTCTTTGGGATGCAAAAGTCTACCGTGGTTTACTTTCTTTATTAGTATTCGACTATTAGTTCCATTAAAATATCTAACACATTGATTGATGTGGGTTGTACAGGAAAAAAAGACGACGTAATTATGTCATTATGTATATGTTAGTGATACTTTGTTCTATAATTTGAAATTTGGCAGAAATAGTTCTGGTGCCCTGCCCTGTTGTGATTTGTAATGGGCATTAATATGACTGTTAAAGTATAGTATTGTACTAAGATTAATCTCATGATCTCTACCGATAAAGGGTTAAAGGGACAAGAAAGAGGTGTTTTTTGTGGCAGATTTTCGCATTAAGTGCAGCCGAATGTGTTACGTAAAGGGAATGTCAAAAACTCCAATAACATCCCCTGTACATTAATTTGACCTTAAAACTAATTTATTTATCAAGATCAATGAGGTTTTAATTTTTTCCCCCCTTCAAAATCAGTAGTTTAATTTGGCCAGTATTTGATTATGGGTTCAATTTAGGACTAGTATAAAATACACCTCCAAGATTTAATTGAAAATTGATATATGCATATGAACTCAGCAAAAAAAGTTACGAAAGATGTTTGTAACTCGATAGAAACTCGTTTTAAATTTTTCAAAATCTATAAAATTAAATAATAAAGATATTTTAAATAATCAGCTAAACTTAGGAGGGGTGTTTTTGACATTAACCCAGAATTTGAACTCATCAAATGAAGGCAGAGAACCAATACTAAGCTACCAAGTACCAACACAAAGACTGCTGCTCATCCAGCTCCTTCATTTGGACTAGGTTGGTTGAAGTATTACTGTATTTAGATTTTAGAGTTCTGACGCTTAAAAAAGTAAATAAAATTTTAATAAAAAAGATTCAAAATTATCACGAGACTTCAGGGGAAGTCTGCACGCGTTCTATGCGCCTACACTTGTGTTCATTGATCTTTTTTGTTTTTTTATTTCTATCTGTAAAAACCTGAAATTACAAATTAGTGACCGACAGCCCAGCTGAATTCATGCTAATTTTTCTCCCATCCCGTCCCGTCCCGGCCTCTCTGGTGTGAAGAAACAACTGTGAACTGCTGAAGTGTATTAGTATAATCTAATGGTAATTAAAGTCAAACAGTGTTTCCAAGTTGGTGAAATTAATTCGAAAAATCTTTACCAAAGAGTTGAAGAAAGAAGCCCATTTTTTTAAAGTTAGTTAACCAGCTTTTCCCCAGGATGAAGAAGCTTTTAACACAAAAGGGTTGGTTCCAAAAGTCATTTGCTGACATCTGTACAAACTTCCAGATGAAAAGTTGGGAGGCTTTTCTTTGAGAGAAATCGAGAAAACTTTTATGAATTAGCTCGAATTTGTACTTGTAGTGATGAAGATGGACCAAGAGCTTGGTAAACCCAATGGATCATCATGTCAAAATACGCACAAACCTTTCCCAGAGAAGATCTTGCTTCCAATGCTAGCTAAGAGCATTCCCGGCCGATCATCAGTGGCTGTACTACTTTTGCTGATTCTTCTGTGTTCTGGCGCTTTCTTTTCCACTCGTTTGCTCGATTCTTCCCCAAGTGTAAGTTGTTAAACCCAGGCAGTAGTACTTCTCCTTTAGTTCTTGTCTTTGTACACTTAAATTCCCTTTTTCCTACTGATCAGAGACAGTCGATTACGCTCTCTGCCACTCTCCTTAATTCATTCTACTTTTTCACTTACTTATTGTTTATTACTATACTAATTGTCGTTGGCATTATTCGAGATTTTGATTTTTGAACAATAAGTAGTAAAACTTAAAGTTTATGATTATTATGTTATTACAATGATTTGAAAGTTGCATCTGGAAACGACGTTGTGGGTTTAAGATGTTTTAAAACGTTTGCAATGATTAGTCTTGTTCAAAAACTAGTATTTTTTTGGGATACGTGATTCTTCTTCTTCTTCCTTTCTTTTTTCTTTTTCTTCTTTTCCCCAACAGTTCAATGGATTTCATCTGCAGCATCAATCCATATTTTCCCCCTTAAAATCTCATAACTTCACAAGCCCATCTGACAATGCGGTGGTTCAAAAACAAAAGAAGGTGGTCGAAATCCCGCTGAATTGTTCAATCGGCGTGACAAAGGGGAACTGCCCTGCTAACTACTACCCATCAAAATACTCTCCAGAAAATCCGGACCCACCATCAGAGGAGGAGCGGCCCACTTGCCCGGACTACTTCAGATGGATCCACGACGATTTATGGCCGTGGAGGGAGACTGGGATTACGGAATCTATGGTGCAGGCGGCCCGGAGAACTGCCAATTTCAGGCTGGTTATACTCAATGGAAGGGCTTATGTGGAGACTTATCAGAAATCATTCCAGAGTAGAGACACTTTTACACTCTGGGGAATTCTTCAGTTGCTGCGGAGGTACCCTGGTCAAATCCCTGATTTGGACCTCATGTTTGACTGCGTTGACTGGCCAGTCGTTAAGAAACGAGATTTCATCGACCGGCCTGATCACTCGACTCCGCCACCTCTGTTCCGCTATTGCGGGAATGATGATACCTTCGACATTGTTTTTCCAGATTGGTCTTTTTGGGGATGGTAGGAATTTGTTTTTCGTGATTTTGTTCATCTTTCTTTCTCGTGTACATATGGCCAGTTTTTAGATGTACCAGCAACATTTATATTTATCTTACTATGCGTCATTTCCTTTCTTGTGCTATAAACTTTAGGCCTGAAATCAATATTAAGCCCTGGGAGCAGTTGTCAGAGGATCTTAGAGAAGGGAATCGGAGGAGTACATGGGTAGATAGGGAACCTTATGCTTTTTGGAAGGGTAACCCTATAGTGGCGAAAACCAGGGAGGACTTGCTCAAGTGCAACGTTTCTGACACTCAGGATTGGGGTGCTCGTGTTTATGCTCAGGTACTAAACTGATCTGTCTCACCTATGCATTACTCATTATGTTATGTAGTCTGGTCTTGCTCATTTGGTCGTTTTTATCTGAGAGAGGGAACGTCATTCCTTTAATACTAGTAACTAATAACTCTAGGGATGTCAATTTTACCCCTAGCACCAGCACCGTAATGCTGAGAGGAGTTTTGGGAGATCTAGTGTCCATCTATAGAGAGTTGGTTTTGTGGTAAACCTACAGAGAATTGGATTTGTTGGTTAACTTAAACAAAGTTCAGTTCCGATACTACTTGAACATTTCAGAGTTGATCTAGCTTATGTTATACAGTAATATGGAAAGACAGTGGGATTAGTTGATGATTACTCAGGAGGTTTTGATAAAGCAAAGAACGTTGTCAATTCTCATTTGTATGTAAGATTGTAGAGAAGCCAGTTTGCTATTTTCTAAGTATTTAATTTGTGTAGAGTGAGTAATCATAGCTGCAGTTGATGAGGAATCATATCAATGGATTAATTAAGGGCAGCAAAAGGATGATGAGCATTCCTCATCACTGCCTGGGCTGCGTTTTAGTCCTCACAACTTCTGTCAGTCGATGTCTTTGATAGTATCGCTCTGTGATGGAACTGAGTATAATAGAACTCAAATTTGCATTTTTTTGATGGGTTTGGAATTTGTATGCTTTGTAGGACTGGAATAAAGAACAGCAACAAGGTTACAAACAATCGGACCTGGCCAGCCAATGCATACACAGGTACAAAATCTTTTAATCGGCCTAATTCGCTTCCTCAACCAAAATAAATGTGATCACTCATGTTATTACTGTATTGCTAAATAAATTATATGCAATTGTTGCTAGAAATCTCTCTCCCTTGTTTTCTGAATCGTGGCATATTGATTCTTTGCTCAAGCATCAAACTCTACCATTAGATGTCCTATGTTCTGTTCTAAATTGGCCTTGTAATAACTTTACATACAGATACAAGATATATATTGAAGGATCGGCATGGTCAGTCAGTGAGAAGTACATTCTTGCTTGTAATTCTCTGACACTGTTAGTAAAGACGCATTACTATGATTTTTTCACAAGAAGCTTGATGCCTTTACAACACTATTGGCCTGTTAAAGATGAAGACAAGTGCAGATCGATAAAGCATGCAGTTGAATGGGGTAACAAAAATCAAGAAAAGGTAATCCCTTGTCTTGAAAGCTGAAAACTTATCATCTACATCTAAAAGAGCACAAATTTTGATTCATTGAGAGTGCTATACAATTTAGCCGTGACTTGAATTTTGGGTGCATCTAGGACAAACTCTTAGCAAATACATTTTGACACTTGTTTTCCTTCACGATCTCAGGCACAGGAGATAGGTCAAACAGCCAGTAGATTTATTCTGGACGAACTGAAAATGGATAATGTATACGATTATATGTTTCATGTCTTGAGCGAGTACGCTAAACTTCTGAAATACAAACCGACTATTCCTCCAAACGCAGTTGAACTTTGTTCGGAGGCCATGGCTTGCCCGGCAGGTGGATTAGAGAAGAAGTTCATGGAGGACTCCATTGCAAGGGGTCCAAATACCAATATCCCTTGCTCCTTGCCACCTCCTTATGGCCCTGCAAGTTTTCATATTATCACTGAGAAAACAGAAAGCTTGATAGAAGAAGTAGATAGATTAGAAAAACAGTATTGGAACAATACATCTTAGCTTTTTTGTCTTTTCAATATTAGAACAGATTTACCCTTATGCTCATTTTAGATGTTCTCATAAAGTGGTGCGTGTTCATAGAAGGAAAAGCACTTCAATAGGAAAGAGGTACATTGTTGTATGATTTCTTTTCTCTCAAAATTCGATTCAATATTGCATGTCTTACTTGGTCAATGTTCAAATGTGTTTAGATTTGTTTTTTTTTTTTTTGTTTTTATTTTATTTTATTTATTGACAGATTCTCCTAAAAATAAAAATTAATGAACTTTAGGTCCCTTCTCCTCATGCATGTCTTTCTGTAGCATCGCTTCTTCCTCTAACTTACACCAACAACTCCTCCTTTTTCTCCCAAACCATTTCCTTTTTTTCCTCTAACAACATCACCATCTTTCTTTGCGTTCTCTTGACTCTCATCTTTCCACGTTCATCTTGAATAACCTAAAGTTTCTCAGAGCTGAAAATCTCCTTCGATCCAAATCTTTCCGTTCACACATATGTTTTGGTGTTGAGAAATTCTCTTACCTTTGATGAATCTTCATATGCAATCAACTTGTTCAAGTTAACAGAGTGGATGTTCTTTTATATGCCCCGGCTTGTTTACAGTCTTTAAAGCATAGCGAGACGGTGACTGAGATGCCTTGTCATGTTGGTTCTCCGGCTGCGAAGGTATTTGTTTTCTAAAAACTTATAAATTTTGTACCAAACACTTTAAATTTAATGTCGATCAATTCTCTGGAATCCCTCTTTTTTCCTGCAGTATTTTGAATCTATCTTCTTTTCCTTTAAGTATTCATTTGGAAACCAGAAATGTATAAATTATAACAGTTTGGACAAACAGATATTCATGGTGTGATCAATCTGCAGCTGATTAGGTCTATTAGAATGGCCTTAAACTTAGTACTGGTGACCCATCGTGGGTAGATATGAATTCATCTAGAAATTTGGCTACCTCAACGCTAAGTTGTGGAGAAGTGCAGCGAAGAAGAAGAATAAGACGTGAAGATGAGGGACCAAGTAATCCAGATCACTCCAAGAGGATCATCAGGGCAGCAATATGCGTACAGGCATTCACCGGAGAAGATCTGGTTACCATTAGTAGCTAAGAATACGTTATTAGCCATATTCTTCGTGATTCTTCTGTGCATCGGCGCATTCTACTCGACAAATATACCCAATTCCTATGTTTTTAATGTGAGTGGTTGGCAATTGAAATTTCAATATGTAGTAAAAACCATAGTCTTTTCAGTTCCATCTCATGGCATTTGTCTGTTATGTTAGTAGCAACTACTTCGGTTTTAACATGGTGACATTTTGTGTATCTATTTGCAGTCAGTCTCTAGTTTTACACCAATGAAATCGGTTTTCTCTGCAACTACCGTTGATGATAACAAGATGCCTTTTGCCCCGAAGAATACAGTTGAATTCCCGCTGAATTGTTCGGTGGTTGATGAGAATATGAAGACATGCCCAGCTAATTACTACCCATCAAAATTTGTACCTAACAATACTTCAACAAAGTCGAAAGGCACATGCCCAGAGTACTTTCGTTACATCCATGAAGATTTATTACCTTGGAGAAAGACTGGGATTACAGAAGACATGGTTTCTATGGCTTCCAAGACGGCCAATTTCCGGCTGGTGATTTTGAACGGCAAGGCTTATGTTGAGACCTATGAGAAAGCATTCCAGACCAGAGATACTTTCACGCTGTGGGGAATATTGCAGTTGCTGAGGAAATACCCAGGTCAAATTCCCGATTTGGATCTCATGTTTGATTGCGTTGATTGGCCAGTCATCAAGAAGGAAGATTATGACTGTCCCAAACCCAATTCCTCAAACCCGATTCCAGGGCCACCGCCTCTGTTCCGATATTGCGCCGACGATGTAACCTACGACATTGTCTTCCCAGATTGGTCATTCTGGGGATGGTAAGAACTTGAATATTCCCATGAAGCTCAATGTTCTCAGCAATAAACTGATTTGAAAGGGTTGTTTCAGAAAATGGTTTTTGAAAGTTAAAAAGCTGAACGTTTGCTTTTCTCTTTTAAGGGCTGAAATCAACATAAAGCCATGGGAGCATTTGTCTAAGGATCTGAAAGAGGGGAACAAGAGGATTAACTGGACGGACAGGGAACCGTATGCGTATTGGAAGGGCAACCCAAATGTTGCAGAAACCAGGATGGACTTGCTCAAGTGCAATGTTTCAGACACTCAAGACTGGCATGCTATGATTTATGTTCAGGTATTTAGTGGCCTTTTAAGTGAGTATTTCCAATTGCTGGCATTGGCAAGGTTTCTAACATGATTAATAGCTTTTCGAATTCGCAGGATTGGGTTAAAGAACATGAGGAAGGCTACAAGAAATCCGACTTGGCAAAACAATGCAATCACAGGTAATGAATATGCTGTTATAATTAAAATGGAATTTGGTTCTTAATGTCAATTCCAAAGCTTGTGATGTGAAGTTTCTTTATCTTGTTCTGTACTGAGCTAATGTGCAACGAAGAGATGATTGATTTCTTGCATGTCATAAAAATGCAGATACAAAATTTATATAGAAGGATCAGCATGGTCTGTGAGTGAGAAATACATCCTTGCCTGTGATTCTGTTCCATTGATAGTAAATCCAAATTACTATGATTTCTTCTCAAGAGGATTGATACCTCTGCAACATTACTGGCCTATAAATGTCGATGACAAGTGCAGATCTATAAAGCATGCTGTTGATTGGGGCAACAGCAATACGGAACAGGTAACCCATGAACTGTCCCATTAACAAGTTGCAGAGGGAAAATCTTGTGTAAACTTGTGGCGTGGTTATTCATCAATCTCTTAATGCATCGTCTTGATTTATTTTACTTTATGCAAGTTGCAGGCACAAGTTATAGCCAACGCGGCTAGTAGTTTTATCTTAGAAGAGCTGAAAATGGATTATGTTTACGATTACATGTTTCATCTATTGAATGAGTACGCCAAACTCTTGAAATATAAGCCACGCATTCCTCCAAATGCAACTGAGCTTTGTTCCGAGGCGATGGCCTGCCCAGCCCAGGGGTTCGAGAAGAAATTCATGACGGACTCGACCGTTAAAGGTCCAAGCAGCGAAGCGCCTTGTGTTATGCCTCCTCCTTATGATCCCGCGACTTTTCGTTCCATCATTGATAGAAAAGAAAGCTCAATAAAGCAAGTAGAGAATTGGAAAACCCAAGATTGGGAAAGTTAAAGTAAGCATTACAAGATTGAGTTATGTTGCTCCTAGGTGTTCATCCTGAATTATTATAGAAATACGTACAGATATCAGCTTCGTAACATCTTTCATTTCGAGAGTCAGATTCGACAGAGAAGCATAGCGAACAGACACTCATTTCCAGATCTCATCTTCTGTTGTCCAGAGAGTTTTTTGTTCTGAATGACTGATAAGGGCAGAGGTATGTCTGGCTTCGAAGACTAAGCTGACTGCAAAAAGAGCTAGTCCATCATGATTCTTTAATCAAAGTAGCTAATCCCGCATTTGCCAGCTCTGATCGCACTAATAATCAGAATTTCTGCTCGGCTGCATCCGGATAGCTGAACAAGGGCCAGTCTGCTGAGCTTCTTGAACACTGAAGTTGCCAGAACTCATAAAAACAAAGAATCAAAAGTCCTCACTTCTGTCTTCGTATTCAGTGTTACAGATTTTTGGGGTAAGATAATGAGAAATCTGCGCATTGTTGCATTTCTTGGGAGGTGGATCTCCACAAATATCAAGATTTTTCGAGGCCTTAGTTGAAGGGTATTGAGCATTGGAAGCTCTGGTCCTATTTGCTTGGTTCGGATGGCTTAAAATTTTTTAACTTGACCTACCCTGCGAGATTTTTAACCTTAAAGGTCTTTAATTGAGAGTGTGAGATCTCAGTGAGTTTTTGTTGCATTGTCGTCGTAGTTCCTGGAATAATTCCTATGAAACTCTTCTCAACTCATCGAGATGAATCAAAACTGATTATTAATTTATCACTATATACTTCATAACGTGAAGAAATTAAATTAGTCCTGATAATCTTTCCGAAAGTTTATTTATATTGGGCTGTCTACATGATTTTCCATGTCAGCCGGTTTGACCATCCGCATCAAAATCTAGACGACAAAGACAACTTCCAACAATGACATTTTGCATTTCCGTCAGCTTGATCATCGGCCTCAAAATCGTGATGATAAAGTCAACAAAACGAATTTTCATTTTCGTCGGCTTAATCGCCGGCCTTAAAATTGCGATGATAAAGTCAACAAAACGGTTTTTCAATTCTGTCGGTTTGACCGTCGACCTCAAGATCACGACGATTTAGTCGATGATCTCCATCACTAACCATCTTCATTTTTTAGCATGTCCGTCGACTTAATCATCAACCTCAAAATCTTAGCGAATACATCTACCATCTCTTTCAATGAATTCAATGATCAAGCATGTCCGGCGGCTTGATCATTGTCCTCATAATCTTGACGATCAAGTTAACACCCAGCAGCAACGGTTGTCTACATTAATTTGCATGTCCATCAACTTCACCATTGGCCTCAAAATCTCAATGACAAAGTCGACAACCTCCAAGTCTGCAACAATGAGCGTCTACATGATTTTCCACGTCCGCCGGCTTGATCATCGTTGGCCTCAAAATGTAGAGGACAAAGTCGACGACTACCAACAATAACAATCTTCATGGCTTTGCGTGTCCGTCGGACTAATTGTCGGTTCCAAAATATCGACAGTGACGTTGACAAGACAGTTTTTCATTTTCGTCGACTTAATCGTCGGCCTTAAAATCGCAACGATAAAGTCGACGATCTTCATCAATGACTATTTTCATAATTTCTATTATCCGTCGACTTCATCATCAGCCTCAAAATCTTGACGAATAAGTCAACGAGCTCCTTGAATTAGCTATCAACCTACATGATTTTGCATGCCCGTCCGTCCGTCCACTTTTTCGTCCGACAACAAAGACGACAAGACCTTCTTCAATTACTATATCTGCTTGATTTTACATTTCGGTAGACTTGATTGTCGGTCTCGCAACCTCCACCAGAAACTATATACTGAATATTGCATATCCATCTATTTGATTGTCGACTTGGCGACGACATGGAATCAGACGCAACGAAGTAATTCTGAACGTATTGAAGGTGTTGTTGCTGAGAGTTTTCTCACACTGAAGTTAACTCGGGGATCATGGTCGTGATTCTACTTTCATGGTTCTCAATCGCGGTTGATAGTTTGCTATATAGTTAGCTTCCATTTTCTCTTGTCATACCAACACTTCTGCTTTGATTAGTTTGAGAAAGTTACTACTCCAAAGATTCATCAACCTCTTGTATGTACTGATGCTAAGATTAGGTTAGCAATCAACATTGTGTTCCTCACAAAATAATCAATGATCAATTTAACAAATGAAACTGGAGTTCTACGGTTCCTTGAACACCAACTTAGACAATTCTTGCCCAAATTATGAAGGAGAAGATGCAAAGGTTCAAATAAAATGTGAATTTTTTTTTTATGTGTCGTCTGATTGGCGGGTTTGTGTAGTAAGTGCATTTAATTTTTTTCCCTGCGCACCTAACTTGACTAACAAAATCTGAATTTTGAAATGTACTTCGTGCGGCATATAACCCTGCTTCATCAGGAACTAAGTTAGCTTCTTAGCGGTAGGCCCCTGCACCTAAAATGCCGAACTAATTAAGCACCAAATCCACCCCCCAAAGAAAAATGAGCGGATAGATTTCATATTAAAACAAATGACATTCCCCTCACAACTGTGAATTTATTGTGAATGGCCAGAAATAACAATTAAAATACATATTGAATCATGCCATCAGGCGAGTGATCAAAATAGAGAAACCAATTAAGCTTCTTCTTCTTCTTGTATCGGTGGGTCTTAAAGAATGAAGAATGTCCGCAGACCCAAGGGAAAGAAGAGATCACAAGAACAAGCCCAAGAATTTATCTATTACAACTGGCGATCTTGGCTACCTCTCTCTTTGTTCCTCCTCTTCTTCCTTGGCTTGTATATCTACTCACGCTTTGCTGGCCCCCTGGTAAATATATTTTAATACTATACTCTTATTTTGTTTCCCCAGGACATTTTTAGCCATTATAAATTTATCTTTTTGATGATTCAGGGGCTGACAAATTCGGCAAATGTAAAATCAACAGCGGCTTGGTGTCCGAGTTATTTCCGATGGATCCATGAAGACTTAAACCCATGGAAAGACACCGGAATCACACCGGAGATGGTGAAGACGGCACAGGAGGACGCCGATTTCCGTTTGGTAATAGTGAATGGAACGGCCTACGGGGAGGTTTACTCCGAATCCCGTTCTGAGAAAGCTAATCTCACCTTGTGGGGGATTGTCAATTTATTAAGGAGGTACCCCGGTCAAGTCCCTGATTTGGACCTTATGTTTTACACTGGTGTCCGGCCCGTTATTAAGAAGGAGCTTTACACTGGGCCTGGTAAAGAGGCCCCTCCGCCGTTATTCACTTATGCGGGAGATGATGCTTCCTTGGACATAGTTTTTCCAGATTGGTCATTCTGGGGATGGTATGAGACATAAATACAATCGCGTCATTTTAATCGTTTATATATTCCTTCCGTCATTAAAAAAATACTTTCTATGTTCTGAAATTATTATTAAATTTTTATTTTTATTTTTAGTTCAATCAATAATTTCAGAACAGAAGGAGTAATCTGTTTGTTAAGAATAAAAATTTAGTGTGTATTATTTTTTGGGGAGGTAATACCATTTTTTGTACGTCTAGCGATTTTTTTTTCCTATATGAATCATTTCTAGATATTTCCTAGAGATTATTGGTGCCAATTTTTTTTTTTTTTTCACTTCAATGTGTAGGCCTAATCGGAATATAAAACCATGGGAAGAAATGTTAAAGAAGCTCGAAGAAGGCAATAGACGGAGCAAGTGGGTAGATAGGGACCGACATGCATACTGGATAGGAGCTCTGAGTTCGGCAGAGAGGATGGATTTGGCAAAATGTAACGTTTCCGACCAACATGATTGGAGTGCACGTATCTTTAGCGTGGTAAGTTGAGTTAGACCTAGTACTTACTACTTACGATCATTTGCATATTTTAATCCTTCATAATCAGATGCTATATGTACAGTCCAAGTGTTAATTAATTTCCCAACGTGGACTTTATATCCATAAAGTACACGATCCAACTTGAGATATACTACATGTCACTTATGATTCTCGTAATGAGGGGTCCTGTAATTATGGTTGCTTCATCTTTCATCCATGGTATTGTGACCTAATATTACTAAATCTAAATTTCTAAAGTTGCCATGTCGCAGGACTGGAATGAGGAAAAGAAGCAAGGTTTCAAGCACTCGGAATTCGAAAGTCAATGCACCCACAGGTAACATGTTCTTCGAGAACGGACTAGCCACTCCTTTACTGTGAGTTCAAGTTACACGTATTGTAACACTTGCATAACCTATGAGCAGCTTGCGAGGTTGTTCACTTTTCTAAATCCTAACTAGTCGAACAAAGATGTTTTTTGATTGTCATTTTTATTGTACACTCTCCGTCTAATTATTCTACTTTAACAAAGTATTTTTTTTAAAAAAAAATAGAGAGAGTAGACTAAGGTTATGTTTGGAAGGTTTTTTTAGTGTATTTCTTTGTATTGGGAATGTAAAAAGGTTTATTGGAAATGTAAAAAGATGCATTGGGAATGTAAAAAGATATGCTGGGATGGGATAAATATTAATTAAAAATTCTGAAAAAATGAGTGAAGAAAGGAACCAAATATGATGAAATGGAAATATGTAACTAATGTGCGCTTACTTTTATGAATGACACTACAATAGAGCTATAGTTCAATTACTAGATTGAGAGAATACAATATCTCTCTGAAGATTGAAATGTAAAATTTTGATGTGGTCACACAGATATAACATCTACATGGAAGGAGTTGGTTGGTCAGCAGATGAAAAATACATTCTTGGCTGTGATTCAGTGGCTTTAGGAGTGAAACCTCGTTTCTACGCGTTCTACTCCAGAAATCTGATGCCTTTGCAACACTATTGGCCCATAAATCCTGATGACAAATGCCGTTCTATTACGTATGCTGTTGAATGGGGTAACGCCCGCATGGACGAGGTACCAAATCTTAATTAATTAATTAAGAAGGAACAAAAATTTAGAATATATTCTTCTGTAATATAAAAATAGTCCACACTGAATTGAATTTTTTAGGACAGATGTAGTAATAATTAAGTTAATGTATTTGAATAAATCTACAGGCACAGACGATAGGTAAGGCAGGGAGCGAATTCGTCCAGGAAGAAATGAAAATGGAGAATGTGTATGAATACATGTTCCATCTCTTGAATGAATACGCTAAACTCCTGACGTACATACCCAGGGTTCCACCAAATGTTGTTCGACTCGGTTGGGAAACCATGCCTAAATTGTTACCGGACAAAGATGATGAATTGAAAAAACCTGCCGGAGATCCGTCTCAAACAGAACCGTGCAGCCTGCCGCCACCGTACGATGGTCAAGAAATCGGTTGGATTCTGGAAAGGAAGGACAACTTAACAAAGCTGGCGGAGTCTTGGGAAATACAGTACTGGGATTCTCAACGAAATAATTAACTACAACTAGCTTGCGTACGTTTGTTAAAAGCCCTAATAGCAATACAGTAATTCAGCAAAAGATAATAAAAAATTTGATCGAGATATTAATATATCTTCGATCCCAAATTGTAGCTGTATAACTTCACCAAAATATTCATTTTTCCCACCCCGTCATTCAATCCAAATTTTCTACTGCATATATTTTAATCACTCAAAATCCGGTGTTAAGCATAAATGTGAATTGTGCTAAAAGTCTCTAAGTTCAAAACTTTGAGGAATTTGCAAACTTTTATACTTTACTGTTTCTCTTTTTTACTCCTTTTGCCCCAGTAAAAAATTAAAATAATCCATAGATTTTAAATTGTAAAAATATACCCAATTCACATTTTACATCGTGAATTATTTTTTTTTTTAAAACATAGTCCAATTTTCTTTTTCCTCTGCCCCAAAAAATGTCTGGACGTGGGAATATTAAGTAATAATCCATCGGTTGGCCAAATTTCATAATCTCTTCCGTTTCCAATTCACACAAAGGAACTTCGTAGCTTACCTTGGACAAAGGATTTTCTTAAAAAGTAAAAAAATTATACTACTACTTGTCATTTGCCATTATTATCAAGTTAATACTTATTATAGTTTTATAAGAATCTGTTCATTTGCACTTGAGAATTTCAAAGGCACTTATCTTATCCAAGCGCCAGCTAGAAGATGTATTTGGTTTTGATTGAGCCATCTTTTCCTTCAAGATGTTTAGTTGTATAATTCGTGAGATTTTTGACAAACTTATCTAGAACTACTAATAACTAAATTCGTATCTAGATTGCATAGTAACTACTAATCAGTACCTTTATTTGATAAACCAGATGTTTATTAGTAGTATTCTTATAAATCTCACTAATTTACACCACTAAATCTTATCTTTAAAGTTCAATGAATAATCTAATACATTTGCATTGAAAATTGATGATTAAATTTATTGGTTCCATGCAATTTAATTATGGATTATGGTTTGTAATTTTGTATCAGCCAATTACAACTCAATAACTTCAATCTACTGATTCTCCACTAATTATCCCATGATTAATCATGCTTGAAACTTTAAGCACCCTTTCTTCCGACAAACAGAGTGCTTGAATCCATGTTTCAAACACTTTTCTTCGTCAGAACTACACCCTGATTCACCAAAATTATCTGTTAAAAAAAATAAAAAAAATTAGAACAACGCGCATATATTAGTGATCTTCTTGCCTTTGCAAATCCCTTAAATTCATCAATTATCAATATGCTACAGCGACTGAGCTGCAAATTTGAAATGTTTGCTCAAGTAGTTAGCATGTAGAAGATATCCCTTCAAGAAGGAGACCATTTAATTCTCGAGCTGCTGGATAAAAAGCATCTGGTGAAATTGATACAGAGTAAATTGTTCATTACGAAGAATCCAGCAATAAACCCAATCGTCTACTGCCATTCCAGATCTTCATTGCCTCTTACGCTCTTATTTGTTGTGTCCACCATTGCTTTCGCCTACTACGCTTGGTTGCTCCAGTTCTCCAATGTAGGTAACTTCGTCTTTATTTAGCCTACTCTGTACTCTGTACCCTGTTTTCTAAGTTCTTAGAAATAGTCAATTTTCCTGGGAAGACATTTGATTCTTCTTAAAGTACCTACAATCACATTCAGAAAATCTTACTAGTAATTCATGAACCAGTGGAATTCGCAGATCCAGATAGGGAATTTCACCCAAATATTCTCTGGAATCACGTTTCACAAATCTGCTGGTGTCGAGGATTCCATCATACAGAGCAAGAGAAGAAATCAGGCCGAATTTCCATTGATTTGTTCCGTCGGGAATGCCACCGTGCGAACTTGTCCGGCGAGTTACTATCCGGCGAAGTTTGCGGCAGCCCAGGAGGATCCACGAAGATCTAATGCCCTGGAGGGAGACCGGAATCTCGTTAGACTTGGTAGAAATGGCCAGGAGGAGAAACCCGAAGAGGGCTAATTTCCGACTAGTTATACTGAATGGGAAAGCTTACGTTGAACGTATCGAAATTGTTTTCAAACCAGAGACAAATTTACCCAGTGGGGTATTTTACAGCTGTTACGACGATACCCTGGTAAAATCCCTGATTTGGATCTTATTTTTAACTGCGACGACAGACCTGCCATTGTCAAAGAATGCTATCCCAACCGACATTTCGCGGCACCGCCACTTTTGTTTGGTTATGACAGCCTTGATGACACTTTGGACATTGTTTTTCCAGATTGGTCTTTCTGGGGATGGTACTTTAATTAATAATAATTGATTACTCTCTTTAGGTACTTTGATCTATGAACATGGTGAATTAATTAACGTTTCAGGCCTGAAATTAACATCAAGCCATGGGAGTCATTGCAGAAGGACCTTAAAAAAGGGAATGAAAGGAGTCAGTGGGTGAACAGAGAACCCTATGCCTACTGGAAGGGGACTGCTAGACTTACCCCAACCAGGATGGGGTATCAAAATAGATAATAATTTTGGATCGGAGGAAGTACAACTTGGTGAGTCTCACCAAAGAAGTTAATTTCGCTTTTACAGGACTGGGGAAATGAGATTAAAAATGGATTCAAAGTTTCCAATTTGGCAAGCCAATGTACACACAGGTAGACAACATCTCTGCTGAATCATCTTGGTCATCTTTCGCTGGGGGTAATCCGCTTTACTTGATCGTTATTATGCAGGATACAAGATTTACATCGAAGGAATTGGGTGGTCAGTGAGTGAAAAATACATTCTGGCATGCGACTCTTTAGCGTTGATAGTGAGGCCACGTTACCACGATTTCTTCACCAGAGGCCTAATACCTTTACAACATTATTGGCCTACTGGAGTCCATGATAAATGCAGAGCAATTAAACACGCAGTTGACTGGGGTAACAAAATCTGTGGTACACTTATCAAATACTCGCTCTTTTCTAAAATTATTATTATCAGTTTAGACTTTCAGTTTTAGTAAAATTTAAACTAAAAATGAGAATCCAAATTGTATAATAATTTCGGGATGGAAGGAGTATTTTACTGTTCCATTAATACTAATGCTGCACGTGATTCAACAAAAGGCACAGGCGATGGGACGAGCGGCGAGTAAATTCATTCAAGAGGAACTGCAAATGAAATACATATACGATTACATGTTTCATCTCTTGACGGAATATGCTAAACTTCTAACATACAAACCGACCATTCCTCCAAATGCGGTCGAACTCTGTTCTGAGGCAATGGCCTGTCCGGCCGAGGGATTGATTAAGGAATTTATGGTGGACAGTTTTGTTAAGGGTCCATCGGAGACAGATCCATGCACATTGCCGCCTCCTTATGATGCTGCCACTCTTCATTCTGTTCTGAAAAGGAATGTAAACGAAATGAAGCAAGTGGAGGATTGGGAGAAAGAGTATTGGGATAGATTCAACATAACCAGATCTACTTAATTAGTTCGGTCAATATTGTTAATTATGCATAGCCATTAGAGATTACACTTGTACTTGAATAAATTCACAATCCAGTTCCAGCTAATAGTATGTACAATTAGTTCATGTAATACCAATCGACGAATATTTCTTGCTCCTTTTCTTGGTTATACCGAATAAGAGAATCCATTTTGGATCCCTATGAATGTATTACCTTTTTTGTGTATCTTTTTTCGTTTATGCACTTTAATCTACTCGTAAATTTTAGATTTCCCCGCGAAAGAGATGGAACCAAACAGAAAATGTTGTCACTCCCACCCCCACCTTGAAAGAGGAGGAATCAAAAAAAAAAGAAAAGAAAAAAGGAGAAAGAATAAGAAGAAGAAGCTAAATGGGTAGGAAGTTATAACACTCTACGTTAACATTTTTAATCACTACTAACAGAAAATTACTCCAATAGTCTCAAAGTTCATAACTTCAAGGAATTTGCAAATTTGTATATTACTATTTCTTTCTTTTTCCCCCTTTTGAAAACCTATTGACTAGACGCATATATAAGATGATTAAGCAAATAAAGCATCGGGTAGAGAAAGAAGAGTAAAGCCGGCAAATTCTCATAATCTCTTCCACGGTTTCATGTCAATCCGTACCTGCCATGTCATGCCTGATGCAAGTGCTGCCGCCATTTTTTGTATAGAATAAATAAATTTCTGTTCAATGTATGGGGGAATAACAGATTAGGAGGAGAACATAGTTAATGATTATTCTTGAAGGCCCATATAAATCCACGTGTGGTTCCACCTCAAAATTAATTGTCGTTAATAAGTGGGTTGATCTTTGGTACTTATATATAAAGTCACTTTTTTTTCGCGGTGGTAATGTGGGACAGAAAATACATCTTAACACCCTCCCTCAAGTCCAATGGGTCTCTAAAACTTTTTGATCAATGGACTTGGATCAAGACAAGAACAGAATAGAACACGAGTCAACGCTTAAATGGGAGAAAGTCAATTATACTGCTGGATCGATTCACAACAAACCCACGAGTCAACGCTCAAGTGGGAGATTATAACGCTCAAGGTTATATTCTAACAATTACAATGAGACTACGTAATTCAATCAACTGAACTAACAAAATATAAACTTATACCGATTGCATTGCCCTAGCCAGTTAATATCTCTCAGCAACTTTTCATTTGAAACTAAAAATAATAATAATTTCAACCGTCAATTTAAAACTTCTATTATTTTATACACTAATGATTTTACGATTTATGTTCTATTCCATCAACTACATTTCAATCAAGCTGCTTCCTCTTGGGGGTGGCGGATGATTTACCTTATACTTCTTGACAAACTAAGGTGGGCTGCAAAATTATCGGTAGTTATGCATTCTAATGATAATTTTGTGTAATCTTAAAAGTTAAAATCTAAATTGAAAAATCATTTTAATTTGGACAGTGTAATAGTGTAATTCCATGGATGATTTTTTATATTGTCTTGACTTTTGGGACCAATTACAATGACTTGAGTAATACTACTACAATACTACTAATTCCCCAATAATTAATATTGTTTATATAACTACATTTCTTCCAGGAACTTAGAACGTGGCGGCATGTTCCAACAGTTTTGCTTCATCAGAACTACACCCAAACCACAATTACCGTTGACCAGGAATCACTAATTTAGAATATTTAATTAGAATTCTATTTAGCTTCTTGTTTTTACGTGTCTTTTCAACTACTAATATGATACCATCGCTTTGTTTCAAATTTGAAATGCAAGAAGTATAGCATGCAGAAGCAGAAAACTAACACTTCAAGAAGGAGAAAAGCTGTAATATTCATGCTGGTACAGAGCACGTAATTATATACAGAAAATATCGTTGATGAAGAATCCCGCACTAAATGCAATCGCTTACTGTCATTCGCGACCGTCATTGGCTCTATCATTCTTATTTGTTTTGTGCACCATTGTTTTCGCCTACTACTACGCTTGGTTCTTCCAGTTCTCCAATAATGTAGGTAACTCGTCTTTAACTAATCTTTAATCTAAGTACCCTGTTTTTGGTATTATTCAAATAGTAGATTTTCTCAAAGATGTATGATTCTTTTCAACTACTACTTCAAATCGGAAAATATTTGGATCTTTCATCTGTTGTTAATTGTTGTCTCCAGTCAAATTCGCAGAATCAGCTTGGGAATTTCACCCAGTTATTATCGGGCGTCAGGTTTTACAAATCGGATGTTAATGAAGACTCGAACGTTAAGCCCACGAGTAATCAGCCCGAATTTCCATTGATTTGCACAGTTGGGAATGTCACGGTGCGAACATGCCCGGCGAGCTACTACCCGGCTAGATTTCCGGCAGCTCAGGTGGACCATAATCTAGATCCGGCATCCCAACCGATGTGTCCTGATTACTTCCGATGGATTCACGAAGATCTAATGCCTTGGAGGGAGACCGGAATCACCTTAGACATGGTAGAGATGGCTAAGAAGAGAAACCCTAAAAGGGCTCATTTTCGATTAGTTATAGTGAATGGTACGGCTTACGTGGAGACGTTACGACGGTCGTTCCAAACCAGGGACAAATTTACACAATGGAGTATTCTACAGATGTTACGGCGATACCCTGGTAAAATCCCTGATTTGGATCTCGTTTTTAACTGCGAGGACAAACCTGCCATTATCAAAGAATTTTACCCCAGTAAAGATGCCCGCGCACCACCGCCTTTGTTTGGCTATGACAGAGATGATGCCAGTTTGGACATTGTGTTTCCAGATTGGTCTTTCTGGGGATGGTATGTACTGATATATTCTCTCTGTCCAAAAAAAAATAATAAAAAAAAATAGTCCATATTTAGTTTTCAGATTTGTACTGTTTTTAACAAGTTTCAAAATTCAAAGTGAATTATTTTTTGTGAGTACTTAACTTGAGCTTGTAACAAAAATGCAATTATGGTTGTCTTTTTTAAATTAGGATTGATTTGTAAATGGTGAAATTAATGCAATTGGTAGGCCTGAAATTAACATCAAGCCATGGGAGACATTGAAAAGGGACCTAAAAGAAGGGAATGAAGAGAGTCAGTGGGTGGAAAGGGAACCATATGCCTACTGGAAGGGGACAGCTAAACTTGCTCCATCAAGGATGGATTTGCTCAGGTGCAATGCTTCGGAGAAACAGGAATGGAATGCTCGTATTTACGATCAGGTACATATTGTTTGACAATCAAAATTAAAAAAATAAAATGCACCTTGAAACAAATTTGAACCAACAAGTTTAATTTTGCTCTGCAGGACTGGAAAAGTGAAACCAAAAGTGGATTCAAAGCATCCAACTTGGCCAGCCAATGCACACACAGGTAATCAAAACATCTCTCTACTAAATCATCTTTTCATCAATAATGAATTTACTTTAACTGATTACCTCATTCTGCTATTGAATCACACAGATACAAGATTTACATTGAAGGAATTGGATGGTCAGTGAGTGAAAAATACATCCTGGCATGCGACTCTGTCACGTTATTAGTGAAGCCACGTTACTACGATTTCTTCTCCAGGGGATTGATACCTTTACAGCATTATTGGCCAATTAGAGTTAAAGACAAATGCAAAGCAATTAAACACGCAGTTGACTGGGGCAACAGCCACCCCGAAGAGGTAGGTAATTTAACCAACCGATCCTACTTTGCTTATAGTGTATAAATCTGTGTTTCATTACAAAAACGAATCGATTTCAGGCACAGGCAATGGGACGGGCGGCGAGTAAATTCATTCAAGAGGAGCTGCAAATGGAATACATCTATGATTATATGTTTCATCTGTTGACGGAGTACGCTAAACTTCTGAAATACAAGCCAACTGTTCCTCCGAATGCAGTTGAACTCTGTTCTGAGGCAATGTTCTGTACGGCCAGGGGATTGATGAAGGATTTTTTCATGGACACTGTGGTTATGGGTCCGTCGGATACAGAGCCGTGCAAACTTCCGCCTCCTTTTGATGCTGGAACTCTGCTCTCGGTTCTAGAAAGGAATGAGAATGCAATCGAGCAAGTGGAGGATTGGGAGAATCAATATTGGGATAGGTTAAATATAAGTTTTACACCCCCAACTTAATTAATTAGCTTATTGATGCTGCATACAGAAAATTTACAGATTACACTTAATTTAATAAACAAACACCATCTAGCTATTTGTAGTCCATAATATTACCAGTTAACGAGCATTAATTTGTTGCTCGTTTTCTTGGTTATCAAGAGATGATAATCAACTTCGGCTCCATTTTTCTGTTACTCATTTTAATCACTACGCGTTTGTTATAATATTTCTTTCTTCTTCTTTTTTTTTTATTTACGATTTTAGTGCTCTTGCTTTTCAATTTAATAATCCGTTCGTTTTATTATCTTAATAATTTAATGGGATTAGAGTGTTAAAATGAGGCAAAGTAGAGAAATATGCATGATAATGTGCTACTACTATGTACTGTCAACTTTTCTTATAATTACTTCCAACAATAATTTTTTTTTTCTTGTTTGAAGTTTATACATATTGTGTTAATCGGAGATTTGTGTGTGTCAGTGCATGACAGTGTCAGTTCTAAAATAAAAGAAAAATAAAACAAAAAGCAGTTCCCTATCACATTATTGACGTGTATAATTTTACTTATGAAAATTAATGGCTTCCACTAAAAATATTAGGGTCAATTTATCCCACATGTAAGCTGCTAAGAATTTTACTCTTAGGAGATGATCCTCGTAGGCTCGTACGGTATAGTACATTACAACGATTACTAGGAAAGACCTTATATCATCTCGTTCGAATCATAAATAATTAAAAAGAAATAAGCACATAATAATTAAAAAAGAAATAAGCACATAGGAACAAACTAAAAGAGAAAACAAGAAGCTAAAAACATGTGGTTTTCTTCCTTCACCAAATGGAAAAGGAGGAAGTTGGGTATTACGTTTGATTTAAGTGTCAACGTTTGGAAATTGGAGATGCGTGACAAAGAAGGCTTGAAGTTGATATCCCGAGAAGTATTTTCTTTTCCCTGCTTTTTTCCATGTCTAAAAAGAGTATGATCAACTCAAAGTGAATAATATAGGTCCAAACTTAAAAGGAAGGACCGACTTAAATTTATTTTTTAACTTTTCCTTTTTGTGGTGCAAATACCCATTTTCATTTCTCAATTGGTAGACCAAAGCAGATTAAAGCAAATGTTTCTATTATGTTTAATCTTCCAATTAATGGAAAAAAAAGTTAAATCTTCCGAAATTAGGGGGGGGAGGGAATTCTCGAGATGCATACATAACAAATATAGCACGAACAACAAGATTATTAAAGAAATTAGTGCATACTCGCTCATAAACTGGTTGGTCTATTTGAATTATTACTTTTTGGTATAATTTATACTCTCTCTATCCCAAAATTATTTTTCAGTTTGAGATTTCACTTTTAGTACAATTTAAACTAGAAATAAAAATTTAAACTGGACAATAATGAAAAAAAAAGAAATTCAAATCACACAATCACTTTAAAACGAAGTATATAGTTCATAATTATGCCTTACCACTTGTAATGAATAATATGTAATTTAATTTAATCTCCATAAAGTGTCAAACAAGTTCGGCCGTATTTAGAAAGGCAGCAATAGCAGTCAAGAACTTCAACATTGAAACGTATAGCTGCTTGTTCACAATTACTGTATTGACCATTTGGAATAGTAGTATTGACCATGTTCACCAGCCAGAAAAGGGGGGCAGCAACAGCCCAGAGGGAAAGGAATAATAGCCTTTCTTTTGAGAATTCACAAATGTCGCAGAAGCAAATTACAGATCATTCAAAGGTGAGGGATGCAAATGGAATTCTGTATCGACACTGGCGATTCACAATCTCCATGGTGTTCTTGCTCAATGTTTGCCTTGCCGTATTCATGTCCATCCAATTGCTCTCCTCTAATGTAAGTATACTCTTTTTGGAATATAGTGCTTTTTCGTTAGGTTCATCATCATGATTATTATTATTATTCTTTTTTCCTTTTCTGAGTTCGAGCACGAGTTGCATTAGTTGCTAAGATGAGAATTAACAAACCCAGAAAAAGCAAAGTAAGAAAAAGGCAATTAGACTAAGTCATGATCATCACGAGATTCATTCGCAACAGAGCCGATCAATCACGTTTGAGTGTAACTCTTGAGATCACCATATTAAGAAATCAATAAGTAACTAAACCAAAATTTCACTTCCCCCTTTATTCCAAAGCAGAAGATGATGATAAATGAAGTAGCAGTGGTACATGGATTTCTTTATCGTTACTGGAGAACTTCCCTGTCTACATTAGTCCTGGTCAATCTTTCCATTGCCGCTTTTGTTTCCGCACGCTTACTTTACTTCAATGTGCGTTTGCATTTATTTTTTCTTTGAATTTTTCTGCCTACCTGATCGTTTATATACGTTATTGTTTGTCAGGCTCTAAATTTCCATTCTTAGTTGTTGAAAAATTTAACTACAAAATTCGTCTTTCAAATAGGATCTGGATTCATCTTTCAATTATTTTGTAAATTAATTTGGTTGCATTCTGTATTCCAGTCAATCAGTGGGTCAATTTGTTCCAGCAAATCAATACTGGCTGGGATCACTTTTTCTAAGAACCCTCTTAGACCTTGGAAGAAGAAGTCCTACAACAATGCAAATCAAATTGACTACTCATTGAATTGCCCGGCAACCGGCGCTAACGCCACCGCAATCACTTGTCCGGCGAGTTACTTGCCGTCAAACTTTCTTACCCAAGATCACAACGAAGAAGACGAAGCAGCCAAAGATCAAAATCAGCCCACCTGTCCAGAGTACTTCCGGTACATCCACGAAGATCTATCGCCATGGAGAGAATCCGGAATCACATTAGCTATGGTGGAAGCGGCCCTGAAAAAAATTGTCCATTTCCGATTGACCATAGTGAATGGTACAGCTTACGTGGAGACTTACAGAAAGACGCTCTTTCAAACCAGAGAATTTTACACTCAGTGGGGAGTTTTACAGCTGTTGAGGCTTTACCCGGGTAAAATACCTGATTTGGATTTAATCTTCTACGCCGGGGACCGCCCTTCCGTCGGCATTCACAGGGGCGCACCGCCGTTGTTCGGTTACGACGGCGATTATTACACCATGGACATTGCTTTTCCAGATTGGTCTTTCTGGGGATGGTACGATCCTACAGATTCTTACTAATCAAAATTGAAATTGTAAAAATTCAAAATTTGATTGAAATACACGATGATGTTTGTTATAGGCCTGAAATCAGAATCAGGGGATGGGAGTATTTGTCAAAGGAGTTAAAAGAAGGTAACGAGAGAAGAAGATGGGTGGACAGGGAAAGGCGAGCTTACTGGAAAGGGAACGAAAAAATGTCAGAATCCCGGAGGGAATTGCTCAAGTGCAATGTTACAGAGAAACAGGACTGGAACGCTATGATTTACACTCAGGTTAGGCCATTGATATTTTGCCTTAGAAAAATAAAAATGGGTTGTGGATTCAGAATTGCATATTTCTTATTGATTACAGGATTGGAAAAGTGAATCGAGGGAAGGTTTCAAGAATTCCAGATTGTCAGATCAGTGTAAACACAGGTGAATCATTGATTAGTAAGATTAATACACTGAGTAATAAACATTTGCTCTGTTACTGAAACAGTTTTGATTAACTTTTGGTGGCACAGATACAAAATTTATATAGAAGGAATTGGTTGGTCAGTGAGTCAAAAATACATTCTAGCTTGTGACGCTGTAACTTTGCTAGTGACTCCACGTTACTACGATTTCTTCACCAGAAGTCTAATGCCATTGCAACATTACTGGCCAATTAGAGTTGAAGATAAGTGCAGATCAATTAAGTATGCTGTTGACTGGGGAAATAGCCATCCCCAAGAGGTAAATTTCTTTTAGTTTACTAATGAAACACGATTGGTATACGCGAGAGGATGGGAAAGATCTCGTTTGCGATTAATTACCTTTTTTGAAACTGCAGGCACAGGCTATTGGGAAGGCAGCCAGTGATTTTATTCAAGAGAATCTGCAGATGAAATACATCTACGACTACATGTTTCACCTATTGACATCTTACGCTAAGCTTCTGAGGTACAAACCCAGTATTCCTCCGAATGCGGTGAAAATTTGTCCCGAGTCATTGGCCTGTCCCGCTGACGAAATGGTGCGGCAATACATGAAGGACTCTGCCGTAAAATCACCCTCCGATGTGCCTCCGTGCACCATGCCGCCTCCTTATGATCCTCCCACTCTTAGGTCCATCATGGCAAAGAAAGAGAATACTTTGAAGCAAGTGGAGGAATGGGAAAAACTATACTGGGATGCTCACAAATCATAGTATTCAGTGATTCTATTTAAGACATCAATAAGTACGTTTTTATGGAGATCCTTTTATGATTTTTGAATTTTTTAATATAAACAGTACAGTTAATGGTTTTTCTTTTTTTCTTTCCTTTTGTTTTTTCTTGTTTTCCCCTATATATTATAGGAAATCATAAGTTGTACTCCCTCGATCCTTTATATAAGACATTTTCATTTGTCTTAAATTTTACCTAATATAAATTTTTAATTGAAGAAAAAATCTTTAAAATATTTACTAAAGATTAGGAAAAACACAACAAACGTGAAAAATATATTTTTAAGGTTATTTTTTAATTAAAATTACATACAAGATGAAATATAAGACAAATCGAAATGAGTTATGTTAAGAACCGGAAGGAGTATTAGTTGAACCTCTTCAAGATCAAGATGCTATAGGCTATAGTAAGTTACATTTTGGATTAATTGAATCACATTAAGGTGTATATGATATGAATAATCATTTATTTGCATATATACATTATTAATTGAAGGTAATGTTCTTTGTTTTACCCAATTAAGTATTCTTACATACACTGACAATATTTACATTGTATTTTTTTGATAATTTGGCTCGTATAGACGTAACAAGTATTTGGAAAAAAATCACATACTATGTATAACATGATAGTTCTTTTCCTACTAAATTTAAGGACATTCTTCCCACGTTAGTTTGGACCATGCTTTCCTTCCATTTCTAGAGAATCACGTGACTGGCGCATGGCATTACTATAAATTACAGAATTGTAGAATACAGAGTAATGTATTGTACATGCATAATTCCCAAAAAGAAATAAAAAGAAGGTGTGTGTAATCAGTAATGCACAGATGTTTCTCTAAAAAGTCATGACGATCTTCGTGATATTGATTTTGTGGGCTTTGCAAAGTCTTTATTTAGCAGCCGGTCGGTAGAAAGCCCGGCGAGCCACCGGAAGGAGGGAGAGGAAATGAAGATAGGTGAATGGGTGGAAAGTTTCGGGGAAGCTGTGTCAGGGTTTACCGACAAGATACGTTTTCCGACATGGGTTGCTATGAATTGGAGTTTAGGAAGATGTTCTTCGATGGCGTTGTTGTTGCTCTTCTTCATCACACTCTCTGTTGCCGCTTTCTTCTCTACTCGTTTGCCCGATTCTTCTGGCAGCTTCAATTCTGTAAGTTCGACTAGATCCCTCCTACACCCCCGCACACACACACCCCAAATACTCCCACTTGCATATACAATTAATTATGGCTAATTGGACATCTCTTTAATTTTATTTTTCTTTTAATGTTTGAATTGCTTTTATCTAGATTTAAACTTCGATGGAACTATTACTAAGTGGGCTGCTAATTGTCGTTCCCCTAAATCTTAGGGACCGCCCCCTTTAAACGAATTTACCCCTGTCATAGAATTAAAACACAAAAATTCTTTTGTTCCTTCTCTCCAAATCCCCCCAAATTCCAAAAAAAAAAAAATATTTCTTTAATCCTGTGACTGCAATAATGAAAAATCAAAAAGGTATTGATCAATGCATAGGTGCATTAGTAAATCATAATTTTCATAATTTAAAAAAAAAAATTCCAAATTTATGAGAAACAAAAAATTATTGTGGGGGAGAGTTTTTTTTTTAAAAAAAATAAAAATAAAAATTCAAGTTCTGGTTTATAAAAAAAAATAAAAAAAAAAATTAAAACAAAAGGGTTCAGGCCGGGTAAGGCATCCGGTGATCACACTGGACCGACGGTAAGGGCGTCCATTCCAGAGGCTCACCCGTCCGAAGGAGCGTCTGAAACGGACATCTCAACTGTCGGTCTAGCGCAACCGACGGGCGTCCCACCCGGACCGAACCTCAGATGCCAATTCTACCAAAACTGCGCCCGACATTTACGTATTACTGGCGGTGGAGGCGTCCTATGTTGACCCTCCTTACGGTTGGGCGTCTAGGCCGGGCACCGATGCTGTCGGTGGAGCACGATCGTCGGGCGCTCAACCCAACCAAAATCTTTTTTTAAAAAAAAAAAATTGAAATAAAAAAATTTAAAAAAATTAACAATATTATTTTATTTATCCATGGATTTTTGTCTCCACCAAAACCTATTAATCATTCGTTGTTGAGGACTCTGAATTGAAGAAATGTTTTTATCTTTTGTTTGGAGTTGAGAGAATTTGGAGAGGTGGAAGAAAATAGTTTGTATGTTTTAATTTTATGACGGGGGCAAATTCTTATAAAGGGATCGCTCCCTAGAATTTAGGGGAGCAGTACTTAGTATAACCCGATTACTAACTGGACAACAAAACTAGATAAAAGCTAAAAACTATTCGTTCTATTCTAAAATTATTATTTAGTTTGTACTAAAAGTGAAATCTCAAACTAATAATGATTTTTGACACAGCGAATAGCCTTTTAAGCAAGAACTGATTACCCTTTGCCCGTTCCATTGTGCCAAAAAATTAATTTACTGAGCGCAAAACATAAGATTTGGCACAATTCTTGTTAATACTCTTAATCGTCAATATTTTATCTGGTAGAAAATTGCACACGGGTCTACATTTCCTTATTCTGGAGCCCAAAAAAAAAGAAAAAAGAAATCCAAAAGTCAAACATGAATCAAATAGAGATGGATGTCTTGATCATTTCAGTCTAAATGCACTCACTAATTTCATTGGCGTGGTGATTATTTGGACTTATGCATTTTATGTATATACTTCATTTTCCCATTTTATTTACTTTTCCGCGACCGAACTTTGCAGTCAATACTTGGAAATAACTCTCTGAAATCACTATTCGCCGGCTTCATATCCCCAAACTACCCTCCGAAGTCGCAACAATTCCCCCTCAACTGCTGGGCTGCTAACTTAACAAAATCATGCCCATCAAGCTACTACCCGTCTAATTACACGACGCGAAAACGGCCCAATCAAAGCCCATTACAACAACCCAAGTGTCCAGAATACTTCCGCTGGATCCATGAAGATTTTTGGCCGTGGAGAGAGACCGGAATCACGGCGGAGATGGTGGAAGTGGCTAAGGCATTGGAGTCGGCTAAATTCCGGTTAGTAGTCGTGAATGGGACGGCTTACTTGAAGACTTACAGACGTGCATTTCAGACGCGAGACGTTTTCACCCAGTGGGGCATCCTACAGTTGCTCCGGTTGTACCCGGGTCAAATCCCTGATTTGGACTTGGTTTTCGGCGGCGGAGATCGCCCCACCGTTCCAAGAGATACGTACCCGGATCCCAATGTCAAAGCTCCTCCGCCACTATTCAGTTACGACGGCGATGCTTCCACCGCTGACATTGTTTTTCCGGACTGGTCATTCTGGGGATGGTATGTGGTGAAGTTTTTCACTATTGCAGTATTTCGATTGTTATATCGTAACTAATTTAATTAAAAATGTCAATTTTTTTTTTTTATACTTCAGGTATTAATAATATGGTAAATAAATGTATTAGGCCTGAAATTAATATAAAGCCATGGGAGACGTTGTTGAAGGAGCTCAAAGAAGGAAATGAACAGAGCAACTGGACAGACAGGGAACCTTATGCATATTGGAAGGGCAACCCAAATGTTTCTCCAAACAGGATGGATTTGGTCAAGTGCAACGTTTCAGATACGCAGGACTGGAAAGCTCGCATTTATGCTCAGGTACATAAGAAAAAAAAGTGACCGGAAACTTTCCGCGCAAAACTAACCAAGTTTGGAATTAGACAGCGACGCTGCTGTGCAATGTCGCTTTAGATTCAAGGCTTACCTGCTAATAATAAATATAAATGGAATGACTTAGGATTGGGTTCGAGAAAAAGGTCAAGGTTTCAAAGATTCAAATTTAGCAAGCCAGTGTAAGCACAGGTAAATAAAAAATAAAAAAATCACATCGTTGTTGGTTTTAAATTTTGATGCAGTCAATTATTATCATCTTGATCCAGAGTACTCTGATGCTGGAAATTAACCGTGTATGTTGTAGATTCAAGATTTATATAGAAGGAATCGGGTGGTCAGTGAGTGAGAAATACATACTGGCGTGTGATTCACCCACGTTGATGGTGAACCCACGTTTCTACGATTTCTTCACTCGAAGTTTAATGCCATTAAAGCATTATTGGCCCATAAGAGATGACCAAGACCGTTGCAGATCAATTAAGCATGCTGTTGATTGGGGAAATACCCATCCCCGACAGGTCTTCCTTATCTCTCTCAATTTCCACTCTCACTAATTAAACACACGCTTACGTTGATGAAGGACTTGTTGGTTTCGCATTCCGTCACTTTCTTAATACATCATCTTCCAACAAGCTTTACTAAATAGTCAGTCTAAATTAATGGGTTTGTTTCTTTTTTTCTTTGTTTTGAAAAGTACAGGCACAGGGCATTGGCAAAGGAGCTAGTAAATTCATTCAAGAAGAACTACGGATGAGTGATGTTTATGATTACATGTTTCATCTCTTGACAGAGTATTCTAAGCTGCTAACATACAAACCGGTTGTTCCATCGGGAGCAGTAGAACTCTGTTCAGAATCTATGGTCTGCGCAGCTGAGGTTTTAGTTAAGAAGTACATGATGGAGACTCTGGTTTCGAGCCCCTCCGATGGGCCTCCGTGCAACTTGCCGCCTCCATATGACCCGGCAGAACTTCATTCTTTTCTGGACAGGAAAAAGAGATGCATAAAACAAGTAGAGATGTGGGAAAGACAATACTGGGATACTAACAAGATTAACTAACACATTATTTGGACCATGTCCACATGAAATGCTGAAGCGGCTGCCTCGTTTGCTTTCCAATTTCATTTTTCTACTTCTGTGAATTTCTAGATTGACAAGTAAATTAATCGTATGAACAAATCGACGTCCATCCGGAGAACCAAACATTTTATAATCTCTTCCCAAGTCAGGGAGAAGATGTAGTATAAGTCTATATATCCGGTCCTTACGTAGAGGAACCAAATATTTTGTTTGTATTATGAACGATAGATGCATAATCGATGACCTTATTTAAAGATATATACTACTCCCTCCGTCCCATAATCATTGTCCACTTTGCCCAAAAAATTTTGTCCCAAAATTATTGTCCAATTTGACTTTTTATGGATCAAGTTACACATTTGTCCTTAGCAAAAAACATTATCCATAAAAATCTTTGTGGTTAAATAATTAATTATGTAGGGGTATATCCAGTTGTTCAAGGTAAAATATAGTTAATTTGACTAAAAATAAAATCTTTTATTTTAGTAAAACTGGACAATAATTATGGGACGGAGGGAATATTTAGCAAAATTCCGTCAATTAAGTCAAAAGCAGCTAAATGTATGTAAAATATAGAGAGAGACAGAAGAGAGAGGGGGAGAGGACCAAAACAAAAAAAAGATTCGAACAGAGTCCAGGGACTACATTTTAACTTAATCATCAGCTTCATACGTAGGTAGTTGCCTGAAAATTCTTAAAACATGTGCTCTCAAGTCCTAACGTTGTAAAATGGATTCTCTTATGTACCCACAACATAATGATAATAAAATAACCCGAATTCTCTCCAGTCTAGAACGGTCGGTGAACAAAAAGTCACTCTAAGAAAATTACACGTTGCTTCCTCACTTTTGAGACCGCATACACTTTTATCACATTTCTTCATAAATGTTTCCAAATTATCTCTATACTTCATTACTTGTTCTATTTTAGACCACTACACCCCACAATAATAATAATAATAATAATTTAAAGCTAGCAAATGAAAGCTAGGAAATTACCCGTGGATATTGGTCAGAATTACATTTAATATTGAAATAAAAATTTTGAAACAATTTGCTTTTAGGAAAATGTCTTGAACGAATTTCAATCTAACCAATTATCTTGTTTGATAACAGATTTGATACCAATTTAAATTTTGGGTGATCTTTTACATCCCAGTTATATAGAATTACAATCATGAAACCCTCTTGTCTAAGCGCTGATTTTCATCAGGTTGACTCTCGTGATATTGCTCATCAAAATTCAATATAATTAAGATTTATATTTTCGTTCTATCAAAAAAAAAAAGATATATAGTTTCGTTGTGCTTTCAAAATTTTTATTTTAGCCCTTCGCCATAAGTACCATATTTGGTATAATTTGATCAAACCAAAATAAAAAATTTCATTTTTCTTTGTGTATAAACTGCGAGATAATTTCATGCCGTAATATACCATAATTAGATTGATTGCAATTTCAAGTTCAATCCATAATTTTAAGGTGACCGATACCAAATAAAAACATTATGTTTACAAGTTTTATGCCCCTCAGAAATACACGACCAAATCCCATATGTTACAAGTAATTAAGGATCGAATATGATCGTTTTAATTTTGCTTGAGCCAAGTGGGACCAATAATCAAACTGGATGGGCTAAACCCAAAATATGTCACATAGAAATCCATAGGGGACAAACTCAAACTCAAAACTTCCAATATAAATATGCTTTATTATTACTTATTATGAAAGTAGTGAACTCAAGAGCTCAACAAGCTTCTGGGTTTGCTTGCGATCGTACAGTGAGTCACATCGTATTGTTGACCATAATGTTTCCGTCCAGAATCAAAGGAGCCACTTAATTGGCCGGCGGGGGACCAGGAAGTCGATTATTTAAGCTTATTCATACATTTGAAGATAAAGGAACGGCCGGAGAAATCAATCGCGATGAGGATACATGAAAGGGTAGAAAATACTGTGAACGCTGTTTCAGAGGCATACCGGAATTTTTCCGACAGAATATGGTTTCCAGCATGGTCAGGAGGTTCCAAAAACGGTGGAAATTTAGGAAGATATTCTTCCTTGGCGTTACTCTTCTTGATCTTGCTCTCTGTTGGTGTTTTCTTCTCTGCCCGTTTCATGGATTCTTCCATAACTATTACTGATGTAAGTTCGACTCTCTCTCTCTCTCTCTCTCTCTCTCTCTCATACACACACACACCCACACACACCTCCACGGAAACCTTGGTGCGCACGTTTGATCATAATTCTTCTCCGACGTCTGTGGGCTGGGCAAGCAATAATCTTAATATATACGCATAAATTTACAGATATCCGTAGACTAATAACCTTCTAAACTCAGAGCTCAGAAGCCTCTATATTGTATGCGCTTTTGATCATAATTTTTAGTATTGATTACCCTCTTTGCTTTTGAATTTTGCCTTCTTCTTTTCTTTTTGTTAGGCTTATTCATATAATATCATGTGAAAACAAATTAAGGATTCAGGCGCAAGGTTTTCCCAAAATAAAAATAAGAATAAGAATTTAAATTTAAACTAGCTACAAAGGAAAAACAAGTTTTTATTTTTTTTTATTTGACTGTAGCGTTTCAATATTTAAATGTTTGTAATTTGTTTTAGGATATTGGTTAGAGAAATCAAACTTAATTCAGCTTGGTCAGTTTGCATTTTTTTAAAAAAAAAAAAAATTATCAACCAAAAATAAACTAGCCAGGGGTTGAACTAATCTGAAAATTGCAGCAACACACATTTTTATTACTGACTTAATCATATTATTACAAGCAACACACATTTTTTTAGTGCACTCCCTCCACCCGCAGTTAAATACACTTTCACATTATCATAACATCTAAATTGGAAATTGTGTAGCAGTGGCCTTCACCTTTTTCACTTGAAAATTATATACATCTAGCACACGTTAAAAATAAGTTTAAAGAGTCAATTGACACATTCAAAACAAGGGAAAAAGAATAGCAGGGATGAAAAAGGGAGATTGCAGCAGTGGTTCAGTTAAATCACAATTTCTGTCAGCATATGATCCGTTATAGTTAAATGATTTTATTATTCGGTCGAGAAAATTACATAAGCCTTGTTTGCCCAACCATTTATTTTACTTTTTATTTCATTTTATTTCTTAAACACAAATCCCGATGCACTGTCCAAATAACTTTTTAATTTATCTTTTAAAATATTACATTTGGTCATTATACTATTGTAAATTCTTCATTTTGGTCACAGAATTATTGCAAAATCTTTATTGCATTTGATCAATGAACTATTGTAAAGTCTTGTGTTTGGTTATTACACTATTGGAAAATCTTCATTTTGGACATTGAATTATTTTAATATCATAAATGGTCACTATACTATAATACTTTCTAAACGAAATCCAAATAAAAAACTAAAACAAAACGTTGTCCAAACAAGCACATAACTTTTTTAAGTTTATTTAAAAGAAGAGTATTATTAGAAATTTTGTGGTGGTCACCATTCTTGATTTCTATATAGGAAAGTACAAATTGAAATCTTGATACTGTTTGAAGAATGGACATCGGATTTAAAGAGGGTTTATATTCACAAAATTGATCATTTTTCAAAGTCGTTGATATTCATTTTTCAAATTTCTAAAATAATACACACCCAGGGGGTCAAGATCAGTACTTTCCAGCATTAAGAAAAAACTATCCATAAATCCCAATGGGAACATGACATCTGGATCTTTAATGGTATTTGATGACTTGTCTCTGTCACACGTCTTCATCAAAGTTGAAAGTTCGTTACTGGGAGTCATTTTATTAGATTTGGGATTGACAGAGACGGATGATAAATTACGCGTTGGTACTTATCATTTCTTCCTCGTATTTTATTTATTTATTTTTTTTATTGACAAAAATTGTGCAGTCAATTGCCGGAAATAACTCACTAAAATCACTGTTTTCCGGCCCGAAATCCTTAAAATACCCTCCTGTGGAGTTGGACAAAAGTAAAGCCCAATTCCCCCTCAACTGCTGGGCTGGAAACGTTACAAAACAGTGCCCATCAACTTACTACCCGGCCCACTACACGGCAAGAAATCAAAATGAAAGCCCAGAGAAACAGCCCCAGTGTCCGGAATACTTCCGATGGATCCATGAAGAATTATGGCCGTGGAGGGAGACCGGAGTCACGGGGGACATGGTGACGGCGGCTGCGGCTTTGGGTTCAGCTGATTTCCGGTTAGTAATCGTGAACGGGACGGCTTACTTGCAGACGTTCAAACGGTCTTTTCAAACCAGAGATATCTTCACCCAGTGGGGAATTCTACAGTTACTGCGTTTGTACCCGGGTGAAATCCCTGATTTGGACTTGGTTTTTAACTGCGGCGATCATCCGTCGGTACCCAAAGAAACTTACCGGAAACCCAACGCACAATCTCCACCGCCCCAATTCAGTTACGACGCCGATGATACCACCACTGATATTGTTTTTCCAGATTGGTCATTCTGGGGATGGTACGAACTCTAATAGTCAATTTGTATTTTCCCACAGTTTCATTATTAATAATGGTGTAATAAATGTATGATTAGGCCGGAAGTTAATATAAAGCCATGGGAGAGATTGTCGAAGGAGATCAAAGAAGGAAATAAGGAAACAGAATGGAAGAAGAGGGAACCGCAGGCCTTTTGGAAAGGGAACCCATATGTTTCACCGAATAGGGTGGATTTGCTCAAGTGCAATGTTTCCGGCAAGCAGGACTGGAATGCTCGCATTTATACTCAGGATTGGGTTCGAGAAATACAGCAGGGTTTCAAAAGTTCAAACTTAGCAACCCAATGTAAGCACAGGTAAATCAGAAAAAGAAACCATCGGTGAATGAGCTATACAGGTTTTTTTTCGATTGTGATATGCTTATTGAATTGGAATGAATTGATTATGCAGATACAAGATTTATATAGAAGGAAGAGCGTGGTCCGTCAGTGAGAAATACATACTTGCCTGCGATTCACCCACTTTACTAGTGAATCCACGTTATTACCATTTTCTCTCCCGGAATTTAATGCCACTGGAACATTATTGGCCCATCAGATCAGATGACAACAAATGCCGATCCATTAAATTTGCTGTTGAATGGGGCAATAAACATCAGCGGGAGGTTAGCTTAGCTCGTCTTAAATTTTGCCATCATCCTTGCCTAGTATAATATTCAGTAGTATGTAACAACTTGTTTCTGTGCTGGGAAATTGAATTTTTACAGGCACAGGGCATCGGCAGAGCAGCTAGTAAATTCATTCAAGAGGAACTACAGATGAAATACATCTATGACTACATGTTTCATCTGTTGACAGCGTACGCTAAGCTTCTAACTTACAAACCTGTTGTTCCTCCGGGTGCAGTACAACTGTGTTCAGAATCTATGGCCTGCGCCGCAGAGGGTTTGATTAAGGAATACATGATGGACACCCTGGTTTCAAGTCCCTCTGATTTGCCTCCGTGTGACGTGCCTCCTCCCTATGATCCGGCAGCTCTTCATTCATTTTTGCAGAAGAAACAGAGTTCAATAAACATTGTGGAGACTTGGGAAAAACAGTACTGGGATACTAAGAAGATTAACTAACCATTATTCAACCTTTACGCCGTTGATCTTTCTCGACGTCCTTTTTGCAATGCATTTTTGTTGACACAATAAGAGCCCATGTGAATGCTGAGGAAGGAGCTACCTCAGTAGCCGGAAATTTTCAGCTGTATGTTCCAACCTATAAAAGCATTAATTATAAAGCTTAATTCGTGAATAGCTTCAAAAGGAAAGGAAGTATCTCTACTGCAATGAATGAAGTTTCCCACAATGCAGTTTTTTTTTTTTTTTGTAAGTTCAGCAGCAGTTGGGTAGCAACTGAATTATAATAAAGTTTAATAAATGTCTTAAGGTGCAGTAGAATTTGGTAGTCGATCTCGTGTAAGATCATTTGGTACCATAATCATAATTCATAGGGAAACCCCTGAAGCCCAAAGGTTTCCTCGTCGCAAAGCTGTGGGGGGAGAGACGTTTGTATGCAGTTTTCACCTTGCTTTTGAAGTGATTTGCTACGGTTAAAGTGAAGTAGTTAGCAGGCTATAAGTGTTAAGAGAATGTGCCCTTTTTGGCTGTAAGTACATTTCTATTTCGTCCCTCTTAATCATGTATCAAACAATTACTGTGTGGGGGTAGGGGGAAAGCCTCAGGATTCACTCTACAATGTTATTGTCGGTCACTTCAGGATCTTATTCTAACCATAAACAGTCTAAAACACTTTCAAGTCAAACTCTATAATTTAGAATTAATGACATTGGTGGCCAATACAACAACTTTCGGTTAATTAATACTCATCCTCTTCAAACTTCAAAGTTGTATTCATCTTCTTTCAAATAAATAAAAAATCCCACATTTTTAGTACCAAAACTTTTCTCTTGCCGGATCATGTGATAGAAGCATGCCAATCATATTCACCTCATACAACACTCATGTGTTTTGCCATCCTGTTTCCTCCAGGTTTTCTTCGTGAATGGCCCTGCTTCATTTTCCTTCATGCATGCTTTCTCTTCCAAACTTTCTTATGTTCTTCCAGGAACCAAGAAAAACTGACACTTTAAGTATAACCACGTTTCGGGTTGCAAATACAAGCCCTTGTTTTCACCCGAAGCTTATTTTCAGATATTTACGCAGATTTTGGATCGATCAGAGCACCCTTGCAATAGGCCTGCAACAACACATCGTCGCGGTATATCCATATACAGAGGAAGGACATGAAGATAAAGGAGAGATTTCAAAGCATAGTGAATGGTGTTTCAGGGCGGTTAAAAGATTTTGCAGAAAAGATATGGCTTCCGACATGGCTGGTTAAAACTAGTGTAGCAAGATCTTCTTCACTAGCGATTCTCTTCTTGGTTTGTCTCTGTGTTGGAGCTTTTGTCTCTACCCGGTTCCTCGACTCTTGTACAACTACTGTAAGTATAGAACTTAGATAGTTTATTACTGCTGTTCATGTTTCTTTATTCGATAATCGATTTCTGCAGTTTCAACTTCACTTTTAACAAATCTTATGTAGTGTTTTTGAGACCCTTCAATCACAATCCTATTTTGTGGATCAACGCCAAGTAAATAAAGCATATTATTGGCTTCCCATTAATTTTTGCAGCCAATGACTGCTGCACCTAACTCTCAAAACTCCATTTTCACCGGCATAACATCCAACCGACCCAGTCCTGATAAATTGCACCAGAGTAAATCCCAACTCCAACTCAACTGCTGGCCTGCAAACAGTACCAGAAAATGTCCATCAAATTACTACCCTTCAAATCATTCAGCCGAAAAGCAGAATCATCACAGTCCTCAGCAACAGCAACAACCCATCTGTCCGGAATATTTCCGCTGGATCCACCAAGATTTATGGCCCTGGAGAGAGACTGGAATCACGGCGGAGATGGTGGAGGCAGCCAATAAAATGAAGTCAGCCTTTTACAGATTGGTGATTGTGAATGGTACAGCTTACTTGCAGACCCACATGCGTTGTTTTCAAACTAGAGATGTTTTCACCCAATGGGGTATTTTACAGTTGCTGAGATTGTATCCTGCCCAAATCCCTGATTTGGACTTGGTATTCAACTGCGGCGATCTGCCGGCAGTTCCTAAAGAAACTTACCCGAAACCTAATGCCCAAGCTCCGCCGCCACTTTTTAGCTATGACGGAAATAATGCCACCTCTGATATCATTTTTCCGGATTGGTCCTTCTGGGGATGGTATGAACTATGAAGTTTTAATCCTAGTTTGACTACAGAGGGAATTATATGATAAAACCACGTATTTATTAAAATGGTTTATTTGATTAGGCCTGAAATCAATATAAAGCCATGGGAGGCATTGTCAAAGGAGCTGAAAGAAGGGAATGAGCAGAGTAAATGGATTAACAGGGAACCGTATGCATATTGGAAAGGCAATCCTCATGTTTCTCCAAACAGGATGGATTTGCTCAAGTGCGGGGTCTCAGATAAGCAGGACTGGAATGCTCGTATTTACGTTCAGGTGATCATAGCTTTTAACCATATATGATTCCAACATTTGCACATGTTTTTGCCCGAATTCTCATAAAGATTATGAAGTTCTTTTCATGGTTGCGACATACATTTCATAAAAAATTTTACAGGACTGGTTTCGAGAAACTCGGCAAGGTTTCAGAACTTCAAAACTGGCAGATCAATGCAAGCACAGGTAAAAAGATCCCTGTGTTTAACTTAAATCTTGTTTTCTACTCCCTCTGTCTCAAAATTATTGTCCAGTTTAGATTTTCATTTTTAGTTCAATTCGTATGAAGACAGAAAATCCAAACTGGACAATGATTTCGGGATGGAGTATTACTTTTGTCAATATTTTGATCTGATTTTCCTCTGTGGTTTCAAATTGATGATGCAGATACAAAATCTATATAGAAGGAAGAGGATGGTCTGTAAGTGAGAAATACATACTTGCATGTGATTCACTTAGTTTAATAGTGAATACACGTTTTGACCATTTCTTCACCCGAAGTTTGATGCCATTGCAACATTATTGGCCCATAAGGGATGACGATAAGTGCAGATCAATTAAGTCTGCTGTTGAATGGGGCAATAGCCATCCAAAAGAGGTGTGCTTAGCAGCAACTTCCATTGATCATTTCAAATTTTGCAATCATCTTAGTCCCAGTATAATTTAATAACTTAATTTTATGTGCTTGGGAAAGTTCAGGCACAGGCCATTGGCAGAGCAGCTAGTAAATTCATCCAAGAGGAACTGCATTTGAGTTACGTTTATGATTACATGTTTCATCTATTAACAGAGTACGCTAAGCTTCTAACATACAAGCCAGTTATTCCTCCGAAAGCTGTAGAATTGTGTTCAGAATCTATGGCGTGTCCAGCGCAGGGTTTGATGAAGAAATACATGATGGACAGCCTCGTTTCGAGTCCCTCTGATGTACCTCCATGTACAATGCCTCCGCCTTATGATCCTTCAACTCTTCATTCCATTTTGGAGAGGAAAAGGGATTCCTTAAAGCAAGTAGAAATGTGGGAAAAAGAATATTGGGGCACTCACAAGTAACAAGAATCATTAACAAAGATGATGTATAGAAAAAGTAAATGAAGTTGAACAAAGCTTTGTAAAGGCTATTTATACCAGGCTAATACCATCAAATCTCAAATTACAGAATGGTTGTTGCAATAATATTACATAGACTAATTGACTTAGTATTATCAAAACAAATGAATCAAACCAAAATAAGATAGACAAAAACAAGGGGAAGAATTGGAACAGAAGTACATTGCTTGGAAATATAGCAGCAAGTAGAGCCCCAGTCTCTCATGATGATGAATCAAATCAAAAAGATGGAACACACAGATGTGGTGGATTCAGAATTCAGAGTGCCCGGCTTTTTATAATGTCGAAGCTCATTTCGCTAGGATCTGTGGCCTGGAGCTCCACCTGAATGCCGTCCAATTCTCTCTTGAATCTATCCTTTGAGCTTGCATACACCATCTTCATCCTCACCTTTGATGTATCAGGTGACCTAATTACCATATTATTGACAAAAGAAAAGTGCCAATAGTTAACAAACATGTATGTGTGAAAGGAGTTTTTCCAAATGTTAAGCCAAATTCACTTTTACTGGTGACTCAAATCACACTATACCAAGCGATGAAGAATATCTTGCTTTTCTGGCAGTTCTCGACGGTGATGAAATCAAAATCAAACACAGCATAGCGGCACTCATCGGCAGGCAGAGAATTGGTGAAATCCTCATAACTTTCTTCAGGACTCCCAAGCTTCTCCACCACCACAGATTGGCCCTCAATCTTGAAAATAATAAAACGATAGTTCCTCTTGGCTTTTAACTCTAAGAACTTGAGCTTACACTCATCTTGAACAGCCATTCCAGAAGCAGCATTCGCCTGACAGAAACATTTAATACAACCAAATCAAATTCTAACCTCATACTTATGGCTGCTTTTTCATGTTTCACAACGAATGATTTCTCCTGATTCCTCCTACACACACACACACACACACACACACACGTGGGAAAAACAGAGAAACATTCTGTAATTCTCCTTTCTTCAATATCCCTCAACATACATGGATGCCTATTTTATTTAATTCGGGAGACATTTCTTCAAATCCAACGATGAGAAGAAAAACCTCTCTTTACAACATTTTAGCAATAATGTCTTACAAAAAACTAGAAGCAATTACTAGGATCACGTGTAAAGAAGAGTCATTTTTTCATTAAAGAAAACAAAACCGAATCTAATGAATTCTACTGCTACACTCAGATTTCAAGTACGTATGGCTTTTTACATATGATCAAAAGAAACACAAAGATCATAGGATCACAATATGCAAATCAGAACCAAGTTGAGATCCTAAACGTGACAACAGAATGGCTGATCACTGATAATAAAGGAGGTACGATGAAAAATAGAAAACCATGAATCTTCAAAGGCATGTCACAAACAAAAAAGAAAGAAAAAAAACGTACGTACCATGTTGGGATCTTCAGAAAGGATATCCCTGCAATACAAAAATATGGGGAGAAGAAAAAAAGAAGAAAAGGAGGAAAGAAAGAAAGGAAGAAAAGATGAGAAAAAAATGACAATGAGGTTATGGGAAGGAGAGATCCATGAAACTGGAAACAATTAAGATATCGGCAGTTTTAAAGGAGGAGAAATATGCGGGGAAGAATAGAATTTTGAGGAAGAAAATGGGGGTTGAGAATGGTTTTCACCTCATGGGGCTGTCATCATGTCCACAACTCACTCTTTTTTGGGTTTTTATTATTTTTTTCTTCCCCAACCAAGTCATCGCTCGAAGGAGGAGGATACATACATTTTGCCATGCCTGCATGACCGTCAGCTTCCCTCTTCTTCCTACTCCTTGACAACTCACCATTTACACCCAAAAATTATCCCTAAAGTCAATTTTATTTGTACCATATTCAAATCATGATCGCACGGCAGACGCATTCCTATCATGTTCATTTTCTATTTTTTCTTATCAAACTCATCAACTAACCAATATCCAGTTCTAGATTTTTATTTCTTTTGACCAACAAAAGATGTCAGATTCAATTAAGCTCGTACCGGAGATATTTATCCTCGTCAAAATACTCATCACAAATCCAACTTCCCTTTTTTCTACACGAAAATAAGGGCACCAAATAGTAAGAAAGAACAGTGGTATTTCCTTGCCATTATCCATCTCAACTTTCTATAAAGAAAGATAATTTTGTATACATCAATTGCTGCAAAATTTCTTCGTACACAAATACATCAAAACCGGCCTCGTGAAGTTATAACAATTACATTCTTCTGTTGTTTGCTGACGATTAACCCACGAAATTCACCACCTTTGTACCTTTTTTCGTCTTTGATTTTACATTTTTGGTGTTTGAATCTGAAATCTTGTCGTTCTCATCTGTTGATGCCTTCACTGTCATGAAGTCGTCTTCAAGATCATCACCACTGACAAACTTCTTGACTTGGTTTCTAGGTATTTCATCAATTTTAACTGTACAAGAAGAATACACAATCAGGTGCCATTATCTTTCTCTGTTGTTAAGCTTGAAACATATTCACTAACAGCATAACATATTTCAGACAATGAGCTGAATGTAGCCACGACATTTCCCAGTACACCAAAAAGTTAAGATCATCCTAGCACTAAGTAGTGCTCGCTTCAACTCTCGTGATAGTTCCCGTCAGCTTTTCAGTGATCACCAAGTAGGACCGGAAGAGTTGAATGACAAACTACAGAAACTTAAGCCTTCTACTACTCAGAACTCGAACTAACAAACGACTTTTTCCTTCTGACTTCCATACTTCAATTTTCAAACATAACCTAGAACTTACATAAGGAATTTCCAAAGTATGATACTCTAAGAAGACATTTTACATTCCATGTGGAAGCAAACAAATCTATTGCAAGGAGTACGGAATATGGTGTTAACTTACATGCTTTTCTTGGTCCTCCGAATGCATTAGAATCTTTTCCACTTTTATTAGGACAATCTTTCGCCAGATGTGTCACACCACCACATATTTTACAGGAGCCACCCTGCCAAGGTCACATATTAGCTTTTCGTGGTTTAGCGTCCAATTATACAAACATTAAATCACTATTCACACACACATACCTTGGGATATATACCATGAGTGTTTTTAGGACAATTTTTACTCAGGTGGCCCTGTTCATTGCAAATAAAGCACCTCGCAAATTTCGTTCCTCCTGCACATTTGAAAAGGAAAAAGGAGATATAATATGATTATTGATGAACATTATTAGTGAGATGGACAAACATAAGTTGGTTTGTGAATACATCAAATTAATTCAATCATACTGTGCCACTATAAAGAAAACAATAGGATATGCCATTGAGGGATACAATGTCTTAGTACAGAGAGCAACTACTGGCCAAGCATTGTGATTTCGGAAAAACATACCAAGTTATGGAAGCCATAAATTCCACAACTAAATCAATTAGGGATTAAGAATAAACTTTGATAGAAGACTATTACCATCTTGAAGAGGCTGTGGACACCTGGCAAGAGAATGCCCCGTATCTCCACAGTTATAACAGAATTTCTTCTCGGCAGAATCATCACTTTTCTTCGAGCAGTTCTTGAGACTGTGGCCTCTTTGTCGACAAAATAAACATATCTACATACATCAACAGCCACAATGAAATTCATTGTAAGTTTCTCTGGAAAAGGGTTCTAAACAACAATAGTAGCAAAGAGACTCATTCATGTACAATGTCAACCACTGTATGAAAACGAAGCAATTGCCTTGGTTCCAAACACTTATGCATCACTCAGAGGAGTACAGTGCAATAAAGAAGTCTAATACCTCAGTCTATATGAGTATAACGTAATACGAACCCAAACAAAAACAACTAAGCCATTCGTCTTTTCCAATTAGCTACAAAATCACACGGTGAATTTAAACTTTATTGTAAAGCACGGCATACAATTTCCTCAACGACATCCAAAAACAAATAGAGAATTGACGACAGAGTCACACAATCAAAAAGTAGCTAGAAAGAAGCAAAATCAAATAAAACCGACCTTATTCTTTTCCCACTGAGCTTTCTCTGGGCAATTCTTGGCAATGTGGTCTGGGGCTTTACATATATAGCAGCTCTCCCCGGGTTTCATTCCCGGGACTCTAAGTGGGTGCTTTTTTCTTCTACTATTCGGATTATTTGGGTCTCTGGGTTCGGATTTTTTCTTCTTGAATTTAGAGTCTTTCTTCTTCTTCTTCTTCTTGTTTGGGTCCTTGGGCGGCGTTGGCTCCGGCTTGGGGAATAGGTCAGGGTTTTCTTCTTTAAACCGCTTGCGGGCCAATTTCTGCCTCTTGCTCACCATTCTTCACTCTTCTTCGAGGGCTAAGAAAATCGATATTTTGGGAGATTTCACGCAGTGGAGGCTGGAGAAAGTGGGGGCCGGCAGCCAAACTCGCCGGAGAAGAACGATGAAACACAGGCCGAAATGTGGACAACAAACGCAGACTAAAACCTCGGGTTTACGGGTAAGGGTTTTAGTAAATTCAGGGTCGAAGCTCACTGTGTAAACTTTTCTGTCCAAGCTCTCTAAATTGAATAATTTATTTTGGCCCAATAATAACTAGGCTACTATGGCCCAAATAATGCACCCCTTCAGCAGTTGACTTTTGTTGAAAATTACTCGGACGGAAAAAGGGCCCAAAACTGCTGCTTCTCCTTCCTGTGTAGAATTTGTCTTTTGTATCCTTGGCGTCGTCTGTGATGTTACAACTATATATTATGTTATACTTCATCTAGTCCAAAAAAAAATATCCTACATTAATTTTGAATTCGTGTTATATTCCCGCAATATAAGTGATATATATTCGATCGAAAAGAACTCAACTTGAATGACCGATAGCTAGTTCAATTGCATTCAAACCACTCCCATGCATCTTTAGTCGAGGAAGTACGCTTCTAATAGATACGAGCCACAATTTCTCTTTAATTATATTTAGCCATTGCTCCTGGCAAAGGTTGATAAACACACGCGACATGACCATGTACGGCTAAACGTTGATTAATCTATACATGCCATTTTATTGAAGTGAAGACTCCCGTGTATTTAAATTACTTAAATTTCTAACCAACATGATTGGCGTGGTGATTCAGCACTTCGTCCCCTTAATTATGAGATTATGAGTTCGATCTCTGTTCATGTGTATGAAGCAAACTATTTGGCCAGTTTCCTATCCCTTACTGTGCTGACCGTAGAAACGAAGAATTAGTTACTAACTCTTGACTAGAGGGATGCCCTAGGAAATTAAAAATAAAAAAATTTAATTTCTTAGTCTTCATTTGTGGCAGTTGAAGGGAGAAAGAAAAAAGGGAAATAATAAAGGTGATGAGCAATCATCAGAAGGTGGACGTTTCTATCGATCCGAAAAGCAATGAAGGGTGTGGATCGCCTTGTTGAAGGAGGGTAATTCTTTATTGGGAGGGGTTGCTTGATAGCAAAGGTTTTATGATGGTTACTTCTCACTTGAGCTTTCTTTCACCTGATCCACCCTTTTGCTTCCATTCGCAGCTATAACATAAAATAGCACAACTCATTAAAATACACGCTTTGAACTTCAATAAGTTTTTGCGTATATTTTTTGCGTATTGGTTCGTCGTATATTTTTGCAATATTCCCTGTAATTAAGGATACTGAAAATGAGGTTACACAAACTTAATACTACATTGTAATCTTCGTCTCTTTCTGTTGACTATTATTTGGAAACCAGAAAAAAGAAAAGATTTTTTCTTTTCTGCAATAATAGGTTATTGTGATAAAAGAATTCATACATGCATACACTACAAGAAAAAAGATTAATAGAGGCACTACATAGCATAGTTTTCAAAATCCTGATCCAAATCTTAGAATCTTACGATCCGGAATTAGGAAATCGATCCTGGATCTTATAAAATCTTTCTTTGTAGTGGGATCTTATGGAATCCTTCAAAATCCCAATCCGGATTGTAGGATCCTACGATCCAACGATCCCATTGATTTTGTCGATACTTGTACAAGTTGTTAATTTTGTATAAAAAGAGGGGAAAATGATTAGAAAAGATATAAAAGTTGAAATTTTGAGTTAATGATACGGATGTGGGCACTAGTCTACTTCTCCTCTTTAAAATCAAACAAGAATTGAACTAACAAATTGAAACTCGCAATTTCAGAATTATTATAATATTTTAAATGGTTACGATCCCACCGATCCGATACCACCGATCCAGAATCCGATCCGATCCTGAGACGTCAAAACGATCCTGTGTGAAATCCCGATTTTGAAAACATTGCTACTTAGTGTCTTCATAAATATGTTATAGTGACATAAAATTTTTAAAGGCATTGATTACTTGTGTGGTATATACTCATGTCACCATAAGTCCAATAATTAATTGTGACAATTGTAAATGTCATTAAAACTAATTTCTTATATTATTATTTAGTAATTTTTTTATTATTTGATGTCAGGAAATCTAATTAATTTTTTACTATTTATTAACTTTTTACCATTTAACTATTTATTATAAAATAACTTTTTTACTGTATAGTATTATTATGTCTAATTAACTTTGTAGCGTTTAATCATTTATAAGCGTCATCGTAGATCTATTCATAAAGGCATTTTTACTACAACACAATTTTCAATATAAAAAATAATTTCTAGATATAAATTAATGATTGACTATACTATACAAAATTTAAAGAGTTTAAAAGGATGACCATAAATAATTCATGTGTCTTACAATCCAAAGTACATAAATTAAAGTTTTCGTCACCATATGAACAAAGTCTTCATCCTCGTATACCACCTTCAGATCCACAACATTATGGTGCCCAAACAGCTTAGTCATAATTTCAGCTTAACTTCTGACATCTTCCTGGGTGACCAATCTATCTTTGGATACTGATTTGCAAACCAGTAATTCTCCAGTCATATGCTAAATTGACCCCACCCTGATCCTAGAACATAAATATATCCTTCAAATTTGATGTCAGTTGAGCGGCTTAAATTGTTTCCTTCAAGCTTTCGACTTTGTAACAAAAAAAGGAAAAGAGGCTGACACATTGTTGCTGCTGCAATTGGCAAAAGCCATTTGAATCCCTGATCTAGAAGATATCGGTGTAAACCAACCAAGATCAGTTTTTTGCAAAGGTCAAAGTTCAAAGTCAATACTTTGAAAAATATACAGCTTACCTTACACCAAAACCATATTCCAGTCAAAGAACTCAATGGAACCTTTTAGTAAGAAGCTCGTAGGTTAAGTTTCAAAAGTGAAAACCATCTTCAGAACTGACTAAAAGCTAAAATTCCTTCAATGCCTCCCCAGTCATCAACCGAATCTGAATGGGAGAGGAGAGATTGAAGGAGAAGACACTATATACATTAGAAAAAGAATGAGGGCAGAAAAAAATATTGCCGCCTCCTCAAGATGTCTAGTCAGACAATACATCAATAAATATAAAAGAGAACCCACAAACTTAGAAAATATGATCAACCCAAAGCGTATAACTATATGCTTAGAATTGGTTGTTAGCGTAACAAAAGGAAGTGTATTCCACCAGCACCATTAATCTTCTCATTCAATTCTGAACAAAAACTCATAAAATACTACCAAAACAACATGTACAGACAAAAAATTAGCCGACCAAGATAGAACTTTTACAGCTATAGCTTAGGACAACCATTCATCACCAAGTGAATAATTTAAACCAGTGTTATACAAAATGCATCAAGAGTAGTACCTCTTTCACCGTAACCCTTGCTTTCTCCTTTAAATCTTCAGGCTCTCCTTGTAACTCTGACTTTGTAGATTCCCAACCGAACAAATTTCCAAAAGTTTACTCTTATTCATCGTGACTAAACCAGTAAATTTCAATAGTGTACATGTATGGGACCTGGAAAAAGAGTGCCGTTGACATTAGGACCAACTGAATTGTTCACTATTCTCACAAACTAAAAGCTGCAATCTCAAAATTCAAAAAAAAAGACAAAAAGAAAAAAAAAACACCAACAGTGGCAACGAAAAGAATGTACAAGCAAGACCTATCAAACACCATTTGCAATATTCATTTTAATCCATTTAAATCCCCAAACGAGCTTTTTGATTGGAATTAACACTATTTCTTCACTTTGAAAAAATAAATCAGTCATTTCACCATAAGATTAAAGAATAATTACATGCCAAAATAAACACATACAAAAAGGAATAGATATCAATGAAATTCCCATAAGAAAAACTTTACCATTTTGACTCCAAGCCATCAGAGAGTGGATGCCATAGTTGTTGCCTTGGGGTTGACAGTTGTGAACTGTGAAGCTATGATGGAAAAAAATTTTAAAAGTCCATAGTTGTTGGCTTGCTGCCTCCGGCTGTTACTGATGATTTGGAAACCAATAATCCAACTCCAAAACACACCACCCATATCTCCACGTCCATCGCCCATCCTACTCCCCCCACCTCCACCACCCCCACACTATTCCCCGCCGTCAACCACCTTCCATTCACTATCACCGCCATCACAACAGTAACACCATCCGCTCTCAATTTCTCTCTGTTCAGGAATCTCCTCCAAAGATGGACACATCTCTCTCATCTTAGTACTCTTGCGTGTTTTCTTGGTCTCCCCCCCTCGTCGAAGAATAATCTCAATTTCTTCGTTTTTAACATCAAAGTTGATGGCGTGGCAGCAATTTCGAAGGCAGTTACCGCGGCGGTGGCACCCAAAGCTTCCGGGCTCTGTTATTCTCTACTGAAAGAGCTTCACCACTATAAACTACGTTTGTTCCACTTAAGAACACCTCCGTCGAGGACAGTGGAGATATCAAAACGTGGAGATTGAAAGAGGCCACGATTTAAAAAGGGGAGAACAACCTCCTCCGCCGACGGCTAAAAAGAATAACCACGAATTGAGGGATTAAAAAAATTAACCCCCCGACCAAAGGCATTATTTTTGCAAGTGGGGGTTTGAAAAGTTAGGTCCGGGAGTTCCATTTACTTTTTTTTTTAAAAAAATATTAATTAATTATAATTGAGTTATTTTTTTCACTTAGTGGATTAGTTTTTTTTTTAAGTGTGTCATTAAAACTTTAGTGCACTTAAAAAAAATTAAGATGCCTTTTTTGGCCATATGTTGTGACATTTTGCATATAATGCCTTAATATATCAATTCTATTAAGGCATTTTCCTAAGAGTGCCCTGTTATCTATGTCCTTTTAGCTATATTTTCTTGTAGTGATAAAACTCTCTAATGAGTAATAATCACTAACAGATCTATTGAAGTGGATTTCTTTGCCATTTTTTTTTTTCCATTTGGAGAGAGGTATTATATACATATATATATATATATATATATATATTAGTTTTGGGGAATAGTCCTTCTCCAACCACCGTTTCTCTTAGGAGAATGTTGATGTACAGTGTTTCCCGGAAGTGACCGACCATTGTTGATTACTAGATTTCATTATCCATTTTATTTTTAATTTTTTATTTTTTGTTTCCCTAATGTTCTTCTTTCTTTTTTTTACATATTTGCAGGGTGTCAACCGTCGGCAACAGTGACTAATCCCCTTGCTGAATTGTAGGCACTTCGATGGGTGGGACAACTGTCCAAAGTATTTAAGGTTGCTTCATACCCATGGCGAGATTCGAACCCTGAATCTATGATTAAGAATAGAAGAGTATTTTTCGCTCCACCACAACCACTTAGGTTTTGTTTCCCTAATGCTGAACAGCTGAAGTTCCAAATCCAATTCGAGCATTCGACTACAGTTGGGAGATGGAATGGAACACAACTTTCATGCCATGTGACAAAGACAGCTTTTATTTTTATCCTTTACGCAGATCAAAGAGTGAGCTGCACGTTTACTATGGGGCCTATGGGCCGAGTCCCTCTATTTTTATTTCTCCCAGTTTATTCATCTCATGGGCCTTCCTCATACTTGTCTCCTCCGCAAGGTATTGGGATTTTATTGTAAATCTGTAATTTAAAATAAAATAAAATAAAATCAGAAGAATACTAAAAATAGAAAAGATATAATATGCACTGGGCGATAAATCAAATGAATTTTTTGATTCTTTACTTTTTGTGACAAGAATTATCCCATAATAAAATACACCCAACTTAAGACTTGTTCTGCTATTCCTTTGACTAGAGAGATTATTCAATAAATAATTTAATTGTTTTTAGTACTACACAAATCCAGCTGAGCATCATCTACCACAAGATTCCTCGAATACAATTTTTAAAGAAGGAAGGAAATTTACAAATTAAAATAATGAGAATATAGGATCATGTTTATAGTAACAGAAGAACATCAGAAGGGAATGAGGGGGGAATTAATTAATAGCGCAGATCACATGATGTTATTCGCCTCATCACGTGCTTTGTTCAACGGCCCACCGGCTTATTCTTTTAACTCCCTGATATTCTCCAGAGACATCCTCTAGTACCACTCCCCCTATATCTGTCAGTAACCCAGCTGGGATCCACTCACGCTCCAATTAGGCGAGTGATGATCAGCACTTTCTTCCAGCCCCCTCCAGAAACTATTTCGTCATTCCCGCCCCACGAATTTCTACAGATTTCAGAGCACTCTCATCAATTACGCAAAATTGCCATTTATTCCTGTGTCCGATATGTCCATTAATGTTGTACTCTTAAAATGATCATTTTTATACTGGATAATGGAGATGGTTAGAATCCCTAAAACACGGAGCAGTAGTAAACTTAAGTTGAAATCCATAATTATTTATGTATGAGATATTCATCCGATTTGATTGGTAATAAATTGAAAAACATGAATAATCAAAGTATTAAATATTATATATTATTTTTTAAAAGAAAACATTAATGGTGCTGATATCAAAATTTAAAAGAATACTTTTTTTTCGTAGAGATAAAAGAAAATAGTTAGTGAAAAAATATTTACTAACTTGATGATTGAGTTGTCACACCTATTAGTAAAAAAGTAACAAAATTATTCATAATCTTAAATCTTTAAACTATACTTATTGGATAACACGAAAAGCAAATATATTCTTCTTCAGACTCTTATGATTTTGGGTCAGGTTTTAAGTTGGATTAAATCATCAGGAAATAAATTGTGATTATGAGAGTACTTTACAATATGCATAAAGATGAGGGGGCATTCCGGAAATTTACTCGAGAAAATGTTGAAAACTACAAAAACCCAAAACAGAAGAAAATTTTTCGTCTCCTCTAAAAATTTCAAAATTCAAAAATTCCCACCTCAGCACCCCCCTCCCCCCCCCACCCCACACACACACACATACTCACGCACTTGACAGTCTACTTTCCCCCAACACTGACAGAATAAATAACCCCCCAATTCCCCAACGCCTCACTCAAAACGCAAAACTCAAGAGAGAGAAGAAAACCCCCTTAATCCGCAAAGCAAACCCTACATTTCACTCTCTCTATCCCTCTCAGCTAACAGAATTTGGAAAAATGCGTGAAATCTTGCACATTCAGGGAGGCCAGTGCGGCAACCAGATCGGAGCAAAGTTCTGGGAAGTTGTTTGCGCCGAGCACGGCATAGATTCCACCGGAAGGTACAAGGGCGACAACGACTTGCAGTTGGAGCGGGTTAATGTCTACTACAACGAAGCTAGCTGTGGGAGGTTCGTTCCTCGCGCTGTCCTTATGGACTTGGAGCCAGGTACCATGGACAGTGTCAGATCTGGGCCTTACGGACAGATTTTCAGGCCGGATAACTTCGTTTTTGGACAGTCCGGTGCCGGAAACAACTGGGCCAAGGGACACTACACCGAAGGGGCCGAACTCATTGACTCCGTTCTTGATGTTGTGAGAAAGGAGGCTGAGAACTGTGACTGTCTTCAAGGTACTTTCAACCTTCTTTGCTCTTGTTTTTCTTCTCCCCCTTTATGGTGGTTTTACTGTTTTTGGGCTATTACCTGACTGTAGTTCTGCTAGATCTGGTGTATCGGTGAAGGAGTTACACTGTTTTAGTTATTTCAGCATAATTCCAGTTTATGGCCGGTTTTATCTGTTTTTTCACTGGCTTTTGGGTGAAAATTTTCAAGAGTTTTAAGAGCTTAGTTCTTTTAATCGGCTCTTTAGAATAATTGCTAGGGTTCCAGTCCCCCACCCCCCTAGAAATGCATATTTGATTCCTGTCTTTTTTATTAATTGGATTTATGTAATGCTCTGTTTTATGAATTTGATGGATTTGAGTACTAATTGGTGGCCATTGGTTGCACACAACAGGTTTTCAGGTTTGCCACTCGTTGGGAGGTGGTACTGGTTCCGGAATGGGAACCCTTCTCATTTCCAAGATTCGAGAGGAGTATCCTGACAGGATGATGCTCACATTCTCTGTATTCCCATCTCCCAAGGTCTCTGATACGGTTGTAGAACCCTATAATGCCACACTTTCTGTCCACCAGCTTGTAGAGAATGCTGATGAATGTATGGTCCTGGATAATGAGGCTCTCTATGACATTTGCTTCAGAACTCTTAAGCTCACCACCCCCAGCTGTAAGTCTTTACTGTTGATAGAAACTTCAAATCCTCTTTAATCATTTTTTAGTTTGATTATAAATATTGATTGACCTGTCATTGATCTGTTGCTGATTAGCTAGGGTAAAGAGCATTTGATTGTTTATCAAAATGTCTATGCTTGTTTGGCCCTGTCTCTCTGAAGAGCAACTGTTTTTGTAGCTTTTGGAAGTATCAGATGATATTTTACTTAATGCATGTATGGTCTCTTTTATTCAATTCTCTGAAAATGAGTAATGTCTTGTTTTCTTTTAAGGATTCTTCCTTTTTTGTTAAAGTAATTTCATATATTAGGTGTTGAAGACTGAGCAATTGTAGTGCTTTAAAGTATGAACAGGGAATGATCTGCTTGAATATGTTTGTGATTACAATTTGTCTGATCGATTATCCTGATTGTTGGTATTTTGTTTTTGAACAGTTGGAGATTTGAATCATCTGATTTCTGCTACAATGAGTGGTGTTACGTGCTGCCTTCGGTTCCCCGGTCAACTGAACTCTGATTTGAGAAAGCTGGCTGTTAATCTTATACCTTTCCCGAGGTTGCATTTCTTCATGGTTGGGTTTGCCCCGCTCACATCTCGTGGGTCACAGCAGTATCGAGCCTTGACTGTTCCTGAGCTAACACAGCAGATGTGGGATGCCAAGAATATGATGTGTGCTGCTGATCCCCGCCATGGCAGATATTTGACTGCTTCTGCAATGTTCCGAGGAAAGATGAGCACCAAGGAAGTTGATGAGCAGATGATAAATGTTCAAAACAAGAACTCATCCTACTTTGTTGAGTGGATACCAAACAATGTCAAGTCTACTGTTTGTGATATTCCTCCCACTGGCCTGAAGATGGCATCGACTTTCATTGGCAATTCTACTTCGATCCAGGAAATGTTCAGAAGAGTGAGTGAGCAATTCACAGCTATGTTCCGCAGAAAGGCTTTCTTGCACTGGTACACTGGAGAAGGCATGGACGAAATGGAATTTACTGAAGCCGAAAGCAACATGAATGACTTGGTATCTGAATATCAGCAGTACCAAGATGCTACTGCTGATGAGGACGGCTATGATTATGAGGAGGAAGAGGAGGAAGTGCAGGAAGCTTAAGGGATTGATGTAATTGTGTATTCTTATGGTTTATATAGTGAGTTTATGTTGCAAACTTTTCTATTGTCTGAATTGCTGTGGGTTCTTGCCACTGTTGGTGGCAAGGTCTTCATATGTTTTGCTATAGTTAGTACTAGTATGGAGTGTTCTACCAGACAGCCTCGTTTTGCTCTTGGATGATTGATGATCACAGTACAATAGTTGAGGTTTATCTTACAAGTCTACATTTTGCATGATTTGATTGTTTTGGTTCTTGTGCATTTGGGTTTGATGAGTATGGATAATTGGAAGAGTATTATTATTATATATAAGCATGACGATCATAATATTATCTTACACATTGCGTCCTGTGTTTTGATTTAAATTCTGTAAACTAGAGTACTGGTTGATGCAGGCTTTGGTTTGGATCCAGTCAATCGAAGCCTGTATTGGTCAAATAACAGTGTAACGTGGGATAACCATCACAACTAGTGTAATCAGTGTTTGCTAATTGGGAGATTATGTAAATCCTAGGTTTGCTTGGATAGAATTGTGTATGGGAGTTAGTTGATTCACATTTAATGTTTATGCTCTACTTGCTTCGTTTTGGGTTAAGCTTTCCTTTCAGACTTGCGTCTTGAAGTAAGTCAATCCAAAATGCAGATGGTTTTGAAGTCAATATCTTTTTCTGTGGATCAATCCACATTGCATATGGCTCATTTCCCCCGATTTAGAAAAAATTCGCAAACTTGCATAATGGGATCTGCTTCGCAGCTTAGTTTGTGATTTTCATCTTGTCAGGGAATAACATGTGACACCTCGTGTGCACTTTCGCTTTTTAACCAATCACCATATTGAGAAAAGAAAAAAAAGAAAAAAGGGCTCAAACTAGATGTTTGTTTGTTTTTTTTTTTGGTGAATCAAGCTAGATGTTTCAGTATAACAGAATTGTGCTTTACTTGCTGGGCTGGCTTTTCGTCTTCTTTTTCTTTTGGTGGTGTGGGTGGGCAGCGGAGTGTTTTCTTTATCTGAACTTTCATATAAAATGGTTATCTCTTGAGAACGATCTACTTTCCAAATTCCAACTTAGGTTTCAGATCCAGAAGCGTTGCCTTGAAGGGTTAACTCACAATCATACTTTCTCTGAGAGGAAACTCCAAGGTCTAACCGTGCAGAAAAAAAATATTGAATAACTGCTCACAACCTGATCACGATGTTTTGGGTCTATTCAAACACCTCAAATTACAACCAATGTCACTTAATCAAATTATTAAGCTCATGATATGTATTAATGCATTTTGTATTTCTGACTCATGCAACCACTAACAACTAAACCATTAGAACAAATCATTTTCTGAAATTAGATATATTATGTATTTTGTGCTATACCACAGATTAACACCAGCATTTGAACCCTCGACTGCTTGCTAGCCAATGAAGAGATTTGAAAGCTAAGTGGGAGATGTAAGAAGGGAGTTTTATTGTTTCTATCAAACGTCACAATTATTTCCATCTCCATGGTTTCCAGGCATTATAAGCCACCATAATCAAACGGTATATGGAAAAAACGGTGATGCCCAATCCAACTGAATGTATTCAGAAACAAGGATAATCTTGTCACTAATGCAATGAAGAAATTTGCAGCTACACCAACGACCACTACTAAGTCATTCATGACTTGACATTTTGGCTGTACAAAACAGGCTCCTTTAGGCTCCAAACTTGGGGACCTTTGCAGTCGAGATCTGTGAGAGGAAATGTTCAGCTACTATCCGCCTTTGTATTTTGCCTGTGGCAGTTTTAGGAAGGGAATCTGTGATGAAAATTTTCTTTGGGACCTTAAATGCTGCAAGGTTCTTCTTGCAGAATCTCGATACTTCAGCCTCATCTATGTTGGACCCTTCTCTTGGGATAACTGCACAGTTTATCTGGAGAAAAAATCACAAAATGAGAAATTTTTTTGTTAATGGTGAACCGCCTAACAAATGGATTATACATGATTGTTATAGATGAACACATGGATTGAGAAGCAATCAATTGTATTACCTCCTCTCCGTATTTGTCATCAGGGACTCCAAAAGCAACACCTTGCGCAATGTCTGGATGGGATAAGAGAACAGCATCCACTTCGATTGGCGATATCTTCTCTCCTGAATTTTTTTTCAACATAAAAAAAAGATTAGTGTTGTGTTGTCCTCCAATCCTTTCAAATAAAGAAATAGTTTGAGCTATGGCTACATAAATTGTACATTTTAAAGTTACAGAATTACTAAAGAGCGTCACATCTAGAGGCTAACAAAAAGCAACTACAACAATTCATCCCAAGTGTAGCCAATTCATCATGGGAAGCAATGATGCTATTTTCTACATGTGGATCATGGTTTCAGCAGAAAAAAATAACAAACAGGATGAAGTCTTTGAACCCAACCCGCACTCACAAACTCCTACACTTCAACCAAATAAAGATTTACCAATCACCATCATGTAATATGGCAATTGTCAACTCACACAAAAAGTTCTAAATTTTACCCCCCAAATCAAATTAATCAGCAACATTGTCAGCCTATGGGCCATGGCCCAGCATTTAGCGTCTACACTTGGATATTCGACGTGTATCCTAGGATATTCGAGCACACCTACATTGTACTGAAAACTCAATAATGCACTAACCCCAGTGCCAATCATAGAAAAACATCTACAACGAGACCAAAAGCTACATAACAAGCCAACAAAATTATAATCACATATTTTGCAAAATGACAAAGCTATTAGGACGAATGATGATGAAAGAGAAATAATTTACCTCCACGATTGATCAATTCCTTAATCCTGCCAACAAGATGCAGATAACCATCTGAGTCAAAATAGCCGATGTCTCCAGTGTGGAACCAGCCAAACTGATAAGCTGATTTGTTAGCCTCAGGGTTATTCTTATACCCTTTAGTCACGTTTGGTCCCCTAATACAAACCTCACCATTTGCGTTAGCCTCTTGTGGCTTTCCATTTTCATCCAGGATGGCCATCTCTTGACCCACGGGTTTGCCAACTGACCCGGACACATGCGGACCATCCTCCGGTAATGGGTTGGATGCCATCAAATGCGACGCTTCAGTCATGGCATATGCCTCCAAAACTGGAGCCCCAAAGGATTCCTCCAGCCGGGCCAGAATACTAGGAGCCAAAGCTGCACTGCAGCTCCGGATGAACCGTAGCTTCGGGTAAACGGGTTCAGGCTTGTTGAGGTGGCGGTCCAATATGATCTGGTGGATGGTAGGCACAGCTGTGTACCACGTGGCATTGTACTTAATCATGTCCGACCAGAAGGTTGAAGCAGAGAATCTTCCGGCAGCTGGGAGCGTCACCGCTCCACCCGCTCCAATAGAGCTCAGTAACCCGGCCATCAACCCGTGTACGTGGAAAAGTGGCAAAACAATAACCGTAGAGTCCGACTCAGTGAGCTTATATACCGATTGAATGTTCTTAACGGAGGAAACGAGGTTAAGCTGAGTCAACGGGACGCCTTTGGGACGGCTGGTGGTGCCGGAGGTGTGGAGGAAGAGAGAAACATCGTTCGGGTCATTGACGAGCTTGGATACCAGTTCCGGGTTCGGGTCGGATTCATATTGTGCGTGGGAGGAGGAAAGCTTGAGGTCTCCGTCGGCGGCGGGCAGCGCCACCGCCACGTGTGGAATGCTAAGCTTAGAAGCGGCGGTTTGAGCCGGTTCGTTACCTTCTTGCGGAGTGAACAAAATTTTGGACTCTGAATCGGACAAGTAAAACTCGAACTCATCAGCCGTGTAAGCAGCGTTGAGTGGAGCCGCCGTCGCACGGGCTCGGATTACGGCTAAAAACATGATCACGTACTGCAATCAGGCACAAATCACTCATTAATGAAACCCTAAAAATGAATTAATTCTCAATTAGAAAACGGCGACCAAATTAAAACATGAAAAAATGAAACTGTTGAGAAGTAACAAAAGCAATGACTATTGGGGGAAACTAACGAAATGATAGTGAAAGAAAAGGAGAAGAAAGGAGGAAACAAACCTCGACGGAATTGGGGAAGGTGAGAGCGATAACGTCACCGGGTTTGACGCCGGCGGCGACAAGGCGGGAGGCAGTACGTTCGACCAAATCATGGAGCCTGGCATGGGTGAGATCAAATTTGTTTGAAACCGAGATCGCACGACGGTCGGGGAATTTTCCGGCGACGTTCGTTAATAATCCGGTGAGAGTGGAACTTTCCATCACATAGAAAAAACAAATCACCAAAAGCTACTAAAACTGCAAGAAAGACTCAAAATGAAACACGGATGATATATTAAGGAACTAGTAGTAAAAGAGACGTGAAGAAGCCAATGAAATTATGCATGCAAAATTCATGGGAGGATCAGTTTATATATATTTGGAAAACAATGCAAAATGAGGAAGAAGGTGGGAAGATATGGGGTGGGGGGAGGTAGAAAAGGCTTGCCTGGGGGAGGTCTCAGTATCACACGTGTCATCATCTGGAGGGGGGGTGGGTCATGCAATTGTATATCATACCTTTCTAGGTTTTTGTGAAATTTTCCTAATCCTATATGGCAGTCCGGACGCGTGGTCTCCCCCGTTTCTTAATTAATCGAATTTTTTTTTATATATATATTTTCCCGCTGTCAGCATGTATTTTTAAACTAATTTTACCTCTGATTATCAAAATATTCAATTCATGCATTTACAGATTGATGATACTATAATTCTTATTTTTATTTTCCTTAAAAGAAACAGCAATGAATATACGTAGATGATTAGAGGAATATATTAGTGATAAGTGATGTGATTTGAAGTAATAAAAAAAAGAATCATGGATTGGGCAGATTTGTTTAAAATTGGGAAGTTTGGCAAAGAGAAAGAGATGTTTGTTTGAAAGGCTCTTTCTAGGTGGTGACACGCAATCACTGTTGGAGCGGTTATAATTTGCCCAGATTCGAAAGCTGGACGGAGAACGATGATATCTTGGCTGACGTGGTTTTTACTGGTCCTTTTTGTCCAAGTGGATTATGCTGACCCATAGCTCTCCCTCTTCTTTCTTCTTTCTGAGGTTGAAAAATGAAAACTTGAAATCCTTGTAATAACAAGTTTCCCTGTTTTTTTTTTTTGTTTTTTTTTTGTCTTTTCCCTGTTTAACCAGCACATTTCTTTTTCTGGAAAAGAAAAACGAACCAGTGGTGCTATTTTTTTTTTATTTTTTATTGCAAGTTTTATCTGTAGACCACAAACCAATGCTTGGTGATTGTAAATATTTGCAACATTTATTAAGCTAGTGTTACTGCTGTGCTTGTGCATCCCTTTCAGCCTTTTAACTATCGTTTTTTTTTTGGGCCAGTCATAGGTTTCGATTTTTTCTTAGGTAAAATACGTCAATTTTAGTCAAAATCACAACACCAATAAATTATGGACCATCCATTTTAAACGTTTTAATTAGTACTAGTATCAGTATTACCTACGTATGTCATTTTGGTTCGCCTTATTTATATTACTTCAAAGACTCCATACTTTATAATTTGATATGAGGGGCCGAGTGATTATTTTGTATTGTCATGTTTTATTACTGCCTCATTTTGTAAGGATTTGGCTTGCCTATGATAAAAGTCAACAAAGGGACCGGGCGGCCGGGCGGGGTAGGACTAAGTACGAAATGGCTGACGCTGTTTGGTAATTAAGGGGAGCCTCGTGAAGAAGACCAACTTGAATTTGGCTTCTAACTTAAAAATATTCCCAAAAAATGTGAGTATCCTTCCACCCTGCCCATCACCCTCTTCTGGAATCTGGATTGATCGAATTACAAAGAAGTGGTTGCAATAGAGTTTCATTAAGCCACTAGGAAGCGACTCGATAAGGCGTTTTATTTTTCAACCCCCTTTTTTTTTTTTTTTTGGGTACATTTGTGATTCGCCATTCATTTTTTAGTTATTAACTTCCACAATCCATGTCATTTAATGTAACTTTACAGCATGAAACGCCTTTAATCAAATCATTGTTATAATTTAAAAAGCTATAAGCTAAAGGACAACCACCAACTCAAATGGAAGAAAAGAATCAAGAGCCAATGTCCATCTTTGCACAGTACCCCCTTCATTAATCAAATCAAAAGAATTCAATCATTTGGAATTGCATTCTCCCTTAAACCCGTAATAAAGGACAAGTGGAAGTTAAAAAGCCTTTCAAGGTGGACTTGGGACATTTGGCTCTTCCTTCCCCATTTTTCAGTGTTGCCCCCAATCATCACCAGTTTCCTCAAATGTTTGTCATGATTGTAAATTATATAACCTCTTGTCCTAAAATAATTGTCATATCTGATACAAATGATATAAACACAAAATCTATAGATGAAAATCATTTTAGGATAAAGAAAATGTATACATATACATTACAAAAAAAACAACTTCCATCTTCTAAGAGAAGCAAATGAAAGACTTTCGAAAAAGGAACATGATATGTATTAGTGGTACTATGATTTGTTGTCACTTTTTTGCTAAATTTTTTTTCCTGAAAATTACACTTTTAACCCTGATTGATAAGTACACGTTTGTCACACTTAGAATCATAATGAAATTTCATTTGTACATGCCATTGATGCTGAACTGCATTTATTAATTTCCAAAATCCTTCAAAAAAACAATTGACTGTGTCGAACTCCATTTTTGGGATGGATGTTGCGCTGATGATTGTGTGGGTCGTACTGTTCAAAAAAAGAAACCTTGAGCAAAATGTGGCCCAAATAAAATTGGAATATTAGTGAACTGGAAATATTGGGCCCTGTACAAGCCCAACCATCCATTGCACGAAAAGGGCACAAATCTTTCAACTATGCACTTACACTAAGCAGATCCAAAACCTAAAGCCACTTTTTGGTCCCCTTCCTGTTTTGTGTTAATCTTTTTCTTTTGCTAAATCCTTTCTGTTAAGCAAAACAGAACATCCTAATCACATAGATCACCAGTAGTAAACAAATGCTCAGATCATCATTAAATTAAAATAGATCTCATACGAGCAACAACGATGACAACCAACAACGTTGTGGAAGGAAATGGTGTATAATTATTATTATTATATTCCGCTAAGAAGTGGTAAAAGAGAACAACTGAGGGAAGTGTTGAACGAAAAACTAGAAGGAACTATCACGCCTCCATTTATTTCATCTGTGTACTAATGTAATACTATATCCCACACAAATGAGGACTGAGGGGAGGGGACATCGGTAATGGATATTATAAAACACGAAAATTCCATGCACGAAATGCAAAGTAGACGCCTCTAGGTATATCATTTTCCTATGAATACTTCATCAAAGTATAATTAATCCTTTTTCTTTTTTTTTTTTTTTTTTTTTTACTTTGGTACGTTTATATATCCATCCTTCTTCAATCAAGGATTAAAACGGTGGGAATGCCGGAGCAATGGGGTCGACCTCAGCTGCTTTCACGCCGCCACCGGATTCCGGCCCAGCCGCCACAAAACTGGAGCTTCTAATTTCCGCCATTTCCCGCCTTGCATCAGCTCTCTGTACCTCACAAAGTTTCGGAAGGTACACACCTATTCATTTACAATGTCAAATTTGTCAACAATTAGAAAAAAAAAAAAAAGGAAAGAAAGAAAGAAACTTCTTGACTTGCATAATAATCATATGGCAGCAAAGTAATTAAATAAGCAGGAAATGAACTTGAATGTCACTACTGCCATTGTCCCAAAATTATTTTCACTTTACGTTCAATTTGTACTAAAATGAAAATTCAAGCGGGACAATAATATTGGGACTGAGAGAGTGTTAATTAATACATACCTTCACCGACGGCGACACTGAAGTAGAGATCGGCGACGTTGGGGCAGCCGCGGAAGCAGGGAGGGGAGCAGAGCTTACGGGTGAATTGAGAGTCCAAAAGAGAATCGGATGAGATTCCGAGTGCATTCCTATCCAGACCGCACGATTGGACACACTCATCCGTTTCGATCCATCCTTTAAATCTATCGCCGGCCTCGATTTCTGAGGTCCGGCAAGTGTATTCCTCCTCCTTCATTTTCCTGTCCACGTGCTTATTCTCCAACACGCAGCGTTTCCCGGAAGATGATACCGCGTACGCGCAACTCTGCTTGCTCAGCTCCTCACAAACCACGTTTCCTGCATCGTCCATATATAATGCACATTTTTATCACTATAATAATTCAGATGACTTTAACTACTACATGAAATAATCAAATTAATTAATGCAAATCAGAAAATGAATGAATTAGTAGTAGTGGTAGTACTAACCAAGGGCGCCTCGCACGCAGAGGCATAGAGCAATGATAACAGCTGAAATGTAAAGCATTGTTGTTGATGATGATGATAGCGCCATGCTAACAGCGACGAAAATTTGGAAATGTGGACGGGAAGTAGGAGAGCTTTAAAGTTACGTTCGTTTCGGTTTTTGTTAAGGAAAATGGGCGGAGGGGAGTGGTATTTATAGGGCAGGATTCATGCTGCAACTGTTTGAATTATCGAAAATTAAAAAATACCATCAATTAAAACAGTCACTCTCCCTTTTTCTTTTTTTTTATTTAGGTATTTCCAAAGTCAGTCGACTAGCTTCTTTTTTTTTTTTTTTTTTTGATATACACGAGGGCTAAATTATTAAAAGTCGGAGGTATGCCGAGCGAACAGTGGCCCATTCCAACTTTGCTGCCTGGCGGGTCATTGTATATTAACATTTAAGTATCCATCATTAAGTTTAATCAAAGACGTAATAACTGTATAATCATGAAGCTAAAATCAAATGGAAATCTGTTTTCTAGTGATTGCGAAGTGACATATTGGAACATAATTAACCTAATTTGATGGAGAGGAGTTTACACCATTGATTGATACGTGTTCGCAGAATATAGGTCAGGACGACACCAACAGCAGCCAGCATAACAGCATTCACATTTCACCCAGGCTAGTTGAGAGCAGCTACTACTAGGATTAGTTGTGTGTGGAAAAATACAGGATTCCACTTTCAGGCAATTTTTGAAATTCCAGGGGCGAGTAGTAGGACCCGCACAAAAGAAGTATTAATGACTTGTTAATGACTCTCCTCAAGTCCCCTCCCGCGACACACGATGCAAAATCAGTTAAGACCCTTTTTGCAGTTAGCAAGTTCAAGCCGACCGGCATTGATAGCGGGAAATCCCTAAATTCAACATATGAAAGGGTCAAACTTCCCACTTCTTTCTTCAAGTTCGAACAAAGTGTCACACCATGATGTAATTGCTACATTATTTTATACCAACATTTGTGTACTACTAGTATGATGATATAGGTTCATGCCTCTATCTTCATACCCCAAAAAAAAAAAAAAAACAGTATACCCGCTTCATAAATTTTGTGTAGTATCGTATATACTTTGGAATTAAATATTTACAATTAAAATTACTCAAAATTTAGACATTATAAATTCTCCATTAATTTTGTTCTTCGTTTTTCTTGTATTGGGTTGGTCCTACAGTATTCATCAGTTAACTATTGACTTCTCTGATCGCATTTAACGAACTTGCCTCCAACCGACTTGACTCGTGACGGCGAGACCGATTCGCTTGGTCTGCTATTATGCATTTGAACATAAATCAACCACTGGAAACATGCAACGCGTCCTATCTCAACACTCGTCAACTTTGTTTGGTCACATACCATGAAGAAGATTTGTTACTGACGAATTATGAGTCGTAGACTTTCAGATCTAATTAGTATTCTGACGGCTAATCTCACTCCAACGAACGCGGGTGATAGAACTAGAAAAACGACCAGGAAAAACCCTTCAACAATTTTGTCCCGAAATAATTAGGTCTAAGTTAGGAGTTCCCCAGTTTTCAAAAGGGAAGAAACTTTCACTTTACACTGCTACAAAAATCATTTTGCCCCAGCCCGGAGGGGAAAATCTCCGGCTCGGAGCTAATTCGGGTGCGGGTTATTTGTGTAACAAAAACGGCAAAAAAATGGCCAGAAGAATGGACGACAAACGAGACAATCAAAACCTAAAATCTGAAATTCTGGAAAAGCATCACCGCATCATCAAGATTCATGAATGAGGATTCATATATAAGTCTGATTTTTGACCTCCTGGCTTTAAGCTCCTCCGGCTTCTTATCACGAATCTGGCAAAGGTCAAACGTAAACTTTCAGTTTGTAATTATATGCAATAATCTTACAATCCCAACAAAAGAAACACATTCATAAGACCTGTTTTTCTTGTTCAAGGTCATGAGCCATCCGATGTCTCAAATTCAAAGCAGCATGGTACATCTCGTCTAAAACATGTTCCCAAAGGCACATCTTGTTCACTTTCCACAACATCAACTGGATCGCCTTGCCTCCTCCAGGCCCTCCACCACTCACATTAACTTTCTGAGATAACAATCATGAGTATTTTACTAATTTTACAAATTCTTGAATAGTACTAGTATAAAAGATCAAAATTTCCGAGCAGCAACTCAATGTATGAGTTCCACTTCAAAAAGCAAGATGCTTCAAAAAAGAATCTAATCAAATCATAACAATTTAACGTACCTCCATCTGTAAATAGTCATCTTTCCACAGCTTATAAAGTACTCTGATTGCATCTTTCTTCTCAATGAATGTAGCATCTGCAATCTACAAAACAGAAAATCCACATCTTAGCCACATCAAACATATCTCCAAATATTTAAATCCTCAAAGTCGCTCTGATACCATATTAATATACCTAAGCATCCAACTGAAAGACTAATTGGGCCCAAGAAGGATGGCCTAATAATCTTATCAGTTTATGCATGAGAATTCAGGAAATTGATGATGACACTACATTCTAAAAGGACCATACTAAATTGCAACAAGCAAAGTGAAATATTAACCAAGACTAATATTCATATCCCAGCATAATTTGCAGGAACATTCTGATAAACTTTTGAGAGTTCTACTTCTAAGACAGTACCAAACCTCAATACTTTCGACAATATACCTTATCAGTCTCAAGAAGGTGACCCTTCTGAGAGATCAACCTGAACATCCTATAAGCCTCTCTTCCATACCTTTTCAGTACAATGGATTCCACCTGCAGCATTGTAAATCATATGAACAACAATTCAGCAATATTAATAGTTTGTTTAATATAGTAGTAATTAGCATATAAGCACCTCTTCAGTCTGAGCCCTTTCAATAATGCTCTTCAAATCTGTTACAGACAGTAAACATCAAAACACACTAGTTAAGTGGGACTATGATTTACTGTTCAAAAATAGACAGATGACGGGAGGGAAGTACCAATGCTATATGGTTCATCAATCTCTATCATTGGCCGTTGGCAACCCATTTGAACTAGGCAATCTGTAATGCGTTCCAGGTTCATGGACAGATGACCTTCCTTTATTATCTCATCATAGATTGTAGTTATTGTAAAGGAAGCTGCAAGTAAATAGCAAACGCCAGCAAGAACGGTTATATAGCAGATGAAAACTAAAATAAACGAGAAGAAAAGAAGTTTGAGAACCCAAAAGTACACCTTCAGACAGTTCATATGTTTCTTAAAAATATTGTAAGTGGGAACATGTGATCAGGAAAAGAAGAACCTTCCTAGGATAAGGACATGCACACAATATAGGAAATTAGCCACCTGTCCTTCCTGCGTCAACTCTACCGTTTGAACCCTTATCTAACTCTAAAACTGCACTTAGAACAGTGCCACACTCAGTACCAAAGCGTGATCTCACATTTTCAACGCAAACCTGTCCATAAAACATTAAGTAGAAGTCACAAAAAATGTCGCTAGAAAAATAAGTACACTACAGTTAACTGACAGTTATAAATAAGGAATCATTTAAGGGATTTGAGGGGTTTCTTCAAAATAATCATAACACAACAAGGCACAGAGTAGCGATTAACTAATCTTAGCCTCCTCCTATACATGAGACTGGGGACGAAGATATTACTATAAATCCAAATGAACACAAAAACAGTACATGGAGAGAGCAACTAAGTATAAACCTTATTCCTCAAACGGAGCAAAAATTCTTCGGCATTGACACGCCAAAGAACTTCTTTCTTGTCTTCTTTATCCAGTGGGCTACCATCTAGCTCAAAAACATCTCGCTTCCGCTACAGTTGGGATAACAGAAAATCAGCAAAAATCAGCAAAAATCCAAACAGGGTCAGTGATGCCAATCATCTGAACTAACCTTCTCTGCTGTTGTCACATCCGTGGACCTTCCCTCGCTCTTTTCAGTGGAAGCGTCATCCCAGTGGTGTGCTTCGACCACAAACCTTAGCGAGTCTAACGGAGCTGCTGCTACCAAAGCTCGCTGCTCTATCGTCAATTCAACTACCTGAATTCACACACAGACCACAAGTTGGAAGAGATGCTAGTACCAGGGAGCTTCTTGCTTCCAGGTAAAAGACTCGTAAACAAGGACTCATTCGCTAGCCAAGAATACTGGAAAATAACTAGCAGATGAAATTCCTGACTGTAATCAATTTCTCTTTACTCAAAGCCTCAATGTAGTACAAGCCCTCTAGATCTAGAAGCCAAAACTTGTAAAAGAAATGCCCAATATCTAAAGAGAGCAATAATGAAAATGTAAACACTATGGAGCTATAAACCTCTTTTTCTCTAATATGTACAGCAAAGAAATAACTATAGAGTTAGTAGATTGCACAGAAGTCAGTTTCACACATAAGCTCCTTTTTATCTTGCAGTTTTGGCACTCAAAATTACTTTAATATAGCACATCACATACTAGAATGGAAGTTTCAACGAATCACCTTGGACGACTTGGTACCACGCTTCTTCGCAGGAGGTTGTTCTTCAGGTGGTGGTTCAAGAAATGGTTCAGGGGCAGGACACCGCTCCACAAATCTTCCATGTACAAGTTTATTGAAATTTTCTTGTAAACTTTCCAACGTAGAATTTTCTGGAAAAGAAATGAGTTTTATTTCATAGTTACTAAAGAAAGATAATCACAAAACTTCTGTAGGTAGTCACAGGAAAGAACTAAAGTACATAATACTAGGAAAACTATGGTCATGACAAAGAAGTGCTCATAGTATGAGCAATTAAAGAGTAGAATTACTTTTGCAATCCCTAAGCTTCTTTCTGCTTCCTAAGTACATGTAAATTACGAGTAGAATTTCTTAACACTCCAAAGCATGGATAGTAGCAATTAACATAACCAAACAGGAAATAAAATGGAGAGAGTATATAGGTGGAGAGGACTTAATGATGAGACCAGACTGGAATAAAATGGAGACTGTGTGGCTGTAACTTGAAGATGAAATACAGTGATAAGGTTTTTCTATTGGATCTAGGGGTTGTCTGTACAAGAGTTGTTTTCTTCTTGAGTTTTATCACTCAGTTTTGAGTTCTTAGATATTTGATTATCATAGAGGGTAGGAATATTAAAGCAAGTTGGTGTACATAACAATTGTGATTTGGAGCTTTATATTTACCATTTGCCAAGAATTAAAATAAAAAATAAAAAATAAAAAAACATGCACAAACAGGCAACAAGCACATGGAACTCAAAGCAGAGACCCAAAAAAAAAAAAAATTTACTTAAAAATAAAATTTAAAAAACCATGATTACAAACATCTTAGCATCTTAGCAGCAAAGAATACCTTCAACAGTAAGATAGTAATGCTGTTTCCCATTTCTCATGAGTTCATATATTTAGGTACAGCAAGGAGAACGATGAAGCCTTGACCCCATTAGGTCGAGTCAATTCTGAAGTTAAACAAGCAGTTAAAACGATAACCAATTTTTGGAAAACCAAATGGCTCTATAACAGCCATTCTAGACGGAGTGGCATAAAAATACAAGTGGCCTAGTCAATTTACGAAAGGCACAATGTTACATGACCCATGAAACTTGATCAAGAATCAAGCAAGAAAAGATCATCCAGAGTTATATACATCTGACTTATGTAAAAGCAAGAACATGAATAGCAAAATCAGTTACCTCCTTTATCAACAGTAATTTGACTCAAAGAAAGCCTCCCGTGTTGAAGTAAAAGCTTAAAAATCTTTTCACACTGCCAAACACCAAATACAAACACAAAAGGCAATCAGAACGCTGACCCACAACTCCAAGGAGAAACCAAAGTTCCGAAACCTCCAACCCAAAACAAACAATCAAATCAAAAATAGACTAACATCTTCGCCAAGCTCCTCTGAAACAATTCCCATGAATTTGGGGAACCTCATGCGGTGAATGATGTTGTCAAATAAAGCCATATACTGTGTTATAACCTTTGGCGCCTCTCCGAAAGCACCTACAAAAATGTCATCCCAATGAATTATCCACGCCACTCCCACAAGAGATGGGAAAACAACACAAATCAAATTTTATCGTTAAACTGAAAAAGTAGAGAGTTAGGAAACTAGAAAAATAAAGTTTAAAAAGGAAAAAAAAAATTAAGAAAAGGGAGGAAAACAAACCAACCTTCTTGCTGAATTGAAAAGGCTTGAACGCAATTTTGATGAATTAAAGCAAGTAGACAATGTCTAACATTTTCTTTACTGAGTTCAGTGTAGCGCATGATTAAGGGCAAAGTTAGGGTTCCTCTTCGAAGAAGACAATCACAGACTTTCTGTAATCGGAGAAATAAGCATCAAAGAATGGAGCAAGACAACTTTTAATTAACTTCCTAAACGAAAATAATACCGTACGGGGATTGATTGAAGCAGAAAGGTTAGTAAAAAGAGAAGCTTACAGCATTGTGATCGCCGAAGAAGGAAGAAACCAGATGGACGGCGAGTTTGATACCGTGTTGCGACACCATTACTTCGGCGGGGCGGCTCCACTTCTAAAGAGGAACAATGAATTTGCCGGGAGGCTCCAAGCGTTCTCTTTTATCACACACCTAGGATTGTGAATATTATATTTTTCTCTACCAAAAATATTAATAGGGGTCCATAGCTCAGTGGTAGAGCATTTGACTGCAGATCAAGAGGTCACCGGTTCGAACCCGGTTGGGCCCTTTTTATTATTCTTTTTCCTCCTATTTTCCTTCCCTCTTCTTCCCTTTATTTTCTATTTTCAAACAACAATAATTTCTATTTTTATCCTTTTTCCTCCTATTTTCCTTCCCTCTTCTTCCCTTTATTTTCTATTTTCAAACAACAATAATTTCTATTTTTTTTTCCTCCTATTTTCCTTCCCTCTTCTTCCCTTTATTTTCTATTTTCAAACAACAATAATTTCTATTTTTATCCTTTTTCCTCCTATTTTCCTTCCCTCTTCTTCCTTTATTTTCTATTTTCAAACAACAATAATTTCTATTTTTTTTTCCTCCTATTTTCCTTCCCTCTTCTTCCCTTTATTTTCTATTTTCAAACAACAATAATTTCTATTTTTATCCTTTTTCCTCCTATTTTCCTTCCCTCTTCTTCCCTTTATTTTCTATTTTCAAACAACAATAATTTCTATTTTTATTAGGCCCTTTTTACTATTCTTTTTCCTCCCCCTTCTTCCCTTTATTTTCTGTCCCTTCTTCCCTTTATTTTCCGTTAAACAACAATAAAAGAAATTCTATTTTTATTTGTGCAAAAACTTAAGACCTGTTATTATTCCTTTTTTTATTTAGAGATATCACTTCTTCTTTTTCCTTGTTTCTATGGGGTAAACAAATTTTATTTTATTTTTACAATGCTTCTATCCCACTCTTCCTCCTTTTCCATTTAAAACTACGGTTACTGCATTTATAAGTTCAACTAAATCTCAATTAAAATAGGTTACAATCAAAACCAATATAGTATTGTCTATAGATTACAAGTGAAGCATGGCAGTCTACAGCAGACCAAGTGCCACAAATGAAGGAAGAATATACAAGGTCGAAAACGTATAAGCGATCTCTTAGAACAGGTATATTATGATGTACGTACATAAATATTGATCGCTAGCGCTTTAGCCTTTGGTTTTGTCAGTTTCTTGCAAATTGCCAATTATTGATACAGAGTTTGAACTGAAAATGGATTGAAAATCACGAACCCAAAAATAAAAAATTAAAAAAAAAGAAAAAAAGAAAGAAAATTAACGTGTTCCATAAAACGTGTATATTGCATGCGAGTGTAGCAAATAAAGTCGAAAATATTCAAATGATAAACCTCTCATCGATAACGACTGATTCCATGCCTTCAGTTTGATGTATACCAACGGAAATACTACTTTCTTAAAAATCGATATCACTGTTTGGCTTTGTAAGTAACTTTTTTGTTTCCTTTTTATATAATGACCGTCAATGGTTAGAGTTTGCTGATGCCATAATGTACTAGTTTTGTAATCAATTACCATATCGTACTAGACTTTGGCCTCTTTGTTCGACTTTTTTTTTTAGAAAAAAAATAATAAATAAAATTGATATCACCATATATAGATTATTATGCAGACAATGGGATCAAGTTATGCAAAAGTACCCAACCACTCTAAAATATTCTAACTAGATCGATATCAATTTTATGATTCAATTTGTTAGTCTCTATATATATGATGCATGGATGGATTAGGCGGAGTTCTTTTATTCTTCCCACCATCCTTTTAGTCAGGTATAAGATGGATAATGCAGGATCTTCTCAGGCGGCCGGTCATACCTTTTGTGATATTCAAACTCGTGCATTTTTCATAATATAAATGCTTTTACATTATTACATTGTAACAAATGGCAAATTCTCAAGAATTGGGAGGGAGAGCAAAGTGTCCTAGAACCAAACCGACCAAATTTCCAAGGGATCGAGTAGTGTAATTTTTAAGAAGTGGATAAATATATATACACATATATAGTATGGATGATAGATACTAGTCTTACATCAATGAATGCTAGCCTATAAGCTAATTAAGTTGGGGGGGAAAGCGACAGGAGAGAACTGAAAGTGTGGATGCAGAGTGTTTTGATTTCTGGAAATACCTCGGTCGTCTGTTGTTGTTGTTGTTGTTGTTGTGTCTGTGGTATTGAATATTCTTGCGTGTCATTTTGTTATTTTTAAGCTCCTTTCATCTCTTCCTGTTTCTGCCTAAAATTAGGAAAATGTGTGTCACGCAACATTTAAATTACTTGATTACAACATATATCTCTCCCTCCCCGAAAATGACGTCCATTTAATTTTTGTCCTAGCTCTGTGTACATACATGCATACGTACCTCTGTGCGTGTGAATAAGCTATACACGCACGCACGTATGAAATCAATTCTGTTCAATCATTACTACTACTATATATGTCATTCAATTCATGGATAGTGAAAGGGATTTAGTAGCAGAGCACCATCGTACGTGATAAAATTACCTGTTCTTACCCGAGTGTGGTGGGACTGATTGTATCACCTCATAGACACGGGTTATATGGCCACAAATGAAAAAAGACCATTCCATTCGTAAATGCGAACACATTCTGCCCCCTAGAGTTTAGATGATATCCCTCCCCGTCCTTAATTTATGATACAAACAAATAATTATTTTTCAAGGATTAATGAAGGTAGCTAATTTAATTATTTTTTTAACAAACCATTTGCATTATTCTTGTTCAAAATATCTCTACACTTTCTAAGCAAGAATATAAGAATCGATCAAATTAAAATTTAGTCAATTTTAAAAGAGGTTAATTTTGCAATTGAATATCTAGTTTTCTTTAGCAACTATTGTTCCGGGGAACTTGGCGAAGTTAGCGAACCACTGGGAGATGTGTTTTATACTAACACATGTAATAATTTAATCGTATGGGGTCTGTACTTTCTTATTTGTATCAAAAGGGAAAAAAAATAAATAAATTTAAGTTGGAGTAAAGTTTGAATTATAGTAAAAATGGCAAGTGCGGGTAGTGTGATTAGAGATTGTTACGATAAATGGTTGGAAAGTTTCACCACGAATACTGGCTTATATACTATTTCGGAACTAAATTCTGGAGTTTTTTTAAACCTTAACGTTTGGTGATAGAAAGATTATATATGACTAAAGTTGATAATCAAACTATTATAAAGACAGTTAAAAGTTCGGAAGATGTATTTGAAATTAGTTTTGGAATAGTATATGAGTTCGAAACCGATTGAAGCGATACTGGGGTGTGGAGAGTAATTTTATTGCATATTATTTAGCATCAAGGGACTGCAATGACATGAAAAACCAGCATCAGTTGTCAATCCATAGTTACATAATGTAATGGAGGTGGTATATTCCACAAATGTGCTAATTATACATTAGCCTCTTTCATTTCATCGTATAAAAATAATTCGTTGAAGAATACCTTGTAAGCCGGACCAAATAGATGGAGTATAAGACCACCTTTGACACATCTCCAGTCTCCAGAAAGGATGTGTACCTTGTCTAAACTCTAAAAGGACTTAAAATTGACATTTCAGTCATTTCACCCCCAAATTAGTACCCATTATCACAAGTCCGTCGCTTTCCCAACCAACCCTCCCACCCCACCCCCCACTTGTCTTCCTACTCCTTTTGGAAATGTTGCTAATTTTTTTAATCAACTTACAGTTTCACTTCACCCCCCAACGTACAACTTTATAAATACCACACTTTGTTCCATGCTGACACGGTCGGTGCACGTATTACTTACTTCCGAATAGAATCATTTCGTATAGTAATTTATTTGTTATTTTGTGTTGTGTTTATCAATTCAGTTTCGAAATAAAAAAGTTTATTATTAATGCAAAATTTTATACGTATATGAAATGCCAAATGAATGCCGAAATGTGCAGTATTAATAAAATCTAAGATACATGCGTCAGTATATGCACCAAAGTAACGATCCATACACGGTAAAAATAAAAATAAAAAATAAAAAAGACATGAGGTTCGCTTTTGTTTGCCTGTACTGTTCCTTTTCGTTTTTTCTTTTCTTCCCAGTAAAGTAAAAAAAAAAAAAAAGAAAGAAGTTACATAGTGTACACAAAGATGATACGCCGAATTATTGGATAACTCTATTCACACATGCTACGTTACAGCACTTTGGCAAACGTACGCCGATTGTGCTCAAATCAAATGGGAATGCCAAAAAAGATTGGTGTGGAACTATATCTATACTTTTTTCTTAGTTAATGAACCAGCCAGTTGCGGAAGGAAGTGGATCAAGAAAAGGAGGGAATAATTATGAAAAGATAAATAAGTTAAATCTTTAAAATCTTATATGAGGGTATTGTAGGTGATTAAAATTTTTTTGCTCTCAATATAAAAAAGGTGCTCTCAATTTATCAACTCATTTTGAATCTCCTTCAAATAGGTGAAATTTGACCCTTGACAGCAAAATCTTAAAACAAGACCGGTTTTAGTCAACAAGAAAATTCCTTTGAATTATAAGATTCGGGGAATGATACATACTTTTAGAGACATAGTATATAAATAGCCAAGAAACCTTACGCAAAACAAAAATGATAAATGAGAAAAGAGAAACTGTTTTAACTTTCCAACGGAGAAAATGTTAAAAAGAGGCCAATAAAGTATATCCATGCTTTTGGCGTTTGATAAATCAACCAAATATTTGGTTGAATAGTCAAGAAAGATTGTCTTAATTTTTGCTACCGTGATCATTGGTTGCTGCGTACCAAATTGATGAACAGAAAATAAGAAAAAAAAAAAAAGGTCAGACGGTCAACAAATAATATTACATTCCCACCGGAGTATAGTACCTTTTATAGTACCGTCGAAATGCAAACAGGGTCTTATAAAATTGACGTAATGATCATCATGATTAATCACACACATACTCAGATATAATTAAACAAGTAATCAATTAATATTCATTACACAATTGTTTCAATTAAATTATCGCTATCAACATGGGGCCATTTCCACAAATTAATATAACCGAACACAAAAATTCAACATAGGGGTAAATCATTTTCTCCAATAATTTGAAAATGTGATCACGCACGAAGTTGCTAGTCACATGAAATCTTGCATTATCTGCGACACTTTACGGTGGTCATCGCCGTTAAATTGTTTTATCAAAAAATGTGAGCTTAATTATCCCCACAATTAATTAGTTATAATGGTATGATATACTATAACCGTCTTATTGCTTTCTTAAACAATTAAAAACAGCAGTATAACCTGAATCACCACTCTTGTTTTTTTTTCTGAAAATGACTGTCATATATGCTTAATTTTTTTATATAACAACCCGAACAACCGACTTGATACAAAAGGGACCGCACTATATATAATACTCCCTCCGTTCTAAAATTATTGTTATTGTTTAAATTTTAACTTTTAGTCCAAACTAAAAGTGAATATCCAAACTGGACAATAATTTTGGGACAGTGAGAAAAAATAATCCATCCAGAAATTATTGACCAGTTTGAGTTTTTTTTTTTAAACTTCAAATAGTACTAAAAGTAAAATCTCAAACATTACGATAACTTTAGAGCCAGAAAGTATAACGGATTGATCTTAAATTGTTCTATGACCTCCATTCAGTTCAACCTTCAATTAATTCCTTACATCTTGATTCCATTCTGACCCAACAACGTATGCAGTTTCACTGAAATGTAGGTATAACATTTTTACTATTCACTATTCGAGGTAAATAAATATCTCTTAACGCAAGTTTTTTGGATCACACAACTCTTTTCACTTAGGATTTAGAAAGAGTAGTTCGATACGAAAATCTTATCAAAAAGCTTCGACACGTTGATCTAAATGGTGAAAGTATATTAGTGAACAAGCGACCATTTTTTTTTTTTTTTAAAAAAAAAACCTTCTTTAAATTTATGGATTTGAAGATATATGTCGTCAACATGAAGTCAAGTTCTAAAAGGGACTCCAAAGATTTATTTAAAAAAACATCGAAAGTTCATAGATAGGAAATTAAGTTGAAGGTCCAACAATGGTTTCGAAGGACCAAAAAAAAAAAGAAAAGAAATCGCCTTGGGGTTGAACAGAATCTACGATATTGGAGGTATGTACTCGTTTTTGACAAGTACGTAATAAATAATAATCATATGATAGAATCCTTTTTTAACTTGTGAACGTTGACAAATCTCCGGCGGGAAGAGGAAATAAAGAAAAGGCCAGAGTGCAACATGTCAGACTCGAAATGTGTATATATTATTCTAAATTAAAAGTATCCCCCAAAAAAAAAAGGGTCCATCAGCCATTTATGTATGAATAAAAGCCAAATTAAAAAAGAAAAAAAGAAAAAAAAAGAAGCCAAATTAACATGTTCAAACCTTCAAAACCTCTCTGGTCAATATTTGACGTGTTTCCTTCACTTCCTTCAAAAGCCCTATAAATACTTCCAAATCCATCTCAAGGCTGCTACTCAGATCTTCATCATCATTTTAAACTTTATAGCTTCCACCAGCATAACATTTTGTACTTGGGTTCCATTCAGAATTTTAAAGTGAGCATACAATAACATAATTAATGGAGGTGTTTCAGCTATTTCAGGCAGCCATGGGTATGTTTTTATTCGGTTTGTTCTGTAGGGCAGCTTACCGGTGTTGGGTGCTGCCCAATATTGCTCATAGAAAGCTTAGGGAAAATGGGTTTAGTGGGCCGGCACCTTGTTTCCCTTTAGGAAATATCAATGAGATGATAAAGAGTAAACTGGCAGCATTTTCTTCCCCGCCGCCGATAAGCGTCACCAACGACATCCATCCCATTGTATTTCCTTACTTTTCCCAGTGGAAGAAGCTGCATGGTAATTAATTTATTATAAACCTGTGTCATTCAAAACTTTCAGAGAAATTTAGTAAAAAGTTCCTAAGGTTGGTGTTTTTTTTTTTGACAGGTAAAGTGTTCGTATATTGGCTGGGGATTGAACCATTTCTGTACATTGCGGACCCGGTATTCCTTAGCAAAATGTCAGCTGGAGTGTTGGGAAAAACTTGGGGAAAACCAAATGTGTTCAAGAAGGATAGAAAGCCCATGTTTGGGAATGGTCTGGTTATGGTGGAAGGTGAAGATTGGGTTCACCACAGACACGTCATCACTCCCGCATTTGCCCCATCCAACTTGAAGGTTAATTACTTTTCATTCTCCCCATGAAATATTTTTTTTAAGCATATTATGAGGTGTCGGTGTCTAAAGTCACTATTTATTCCGATTAATCTAAATTTATTAATGTAACCAAATAGAGTATTTAAGTATTTTTTATGCTGAAAAAATAATGAAATGAACAGGCAATGTCGAGCTTAATGGTGGAATCGGCGAATAATATGGTGGACCGATGGGATGCAATGGTCAAGCACTCCGGCAAAAGCGTCCCTATAGAAGTTGACGTGGAGAAAGAAATCATAAACACGGCGGCGGAGATCATCGCGAAAACGAGCTTCGGGATCAGTTATGAAAACGGAGGGAAAGTGTTTGAGAAGCTGAGAGCCATGCAAATCACGCTCTTTCAATCCAACCGTTACGTCGGGGTCCCCTTCAGCAAGCTCTTGTGTCCTAAACAAACCATAACCGCCAAGAAACTCGGCAACGAAATCGACGCCCTCCTGATGGAAATCATCAACTCAAGAAGAAGCCGGCCAAACGACGCCGGCGGCGATCGGGACTTGCTGGGGTTGTTGCTGGCGGACGGCCGGTTAGGGAAGACGTTGACGGCGAGGGAGCTGGTGGATGAGTGCAAGACATTTTTCTTTGGAGGACATGAGACAACTGCACTGGCGCTCACGTGGACTTTGTTTCTCTTAGCCATGCATCCAGACTGGCAAGTTCAACTTCGGGAGGAGATTGATCGAGTTTTTGGGAAAAATATTGGAGATATTGATTCCACTAAGCTTGCTGGACTGAAGAAGGTAATTTTTCTTTTCTTCTTGTACTGCTAATAAACTTCAATCTTAATTTGAGCGTACCAAATGTGAGTTGGATGGGATTCACGTATATAACATTTCTACAATCGGAATTAACAGCTTGAAGCATTTGAAAAATGAGTTTTGGGAGGGGGGGAAAATGAGGCGACAAAAAATACAGTATTGCATGCATTCATTGGGACCTTTTCTGCGCCGAAAGTTGTATCGAAACTTACTTCAGCGGTGGTGTAATTTTTGAAAAGTACGTATGTGAATTGGTGAATATTTTTTGGTCAACTATGCATATTTTTCTACTACTATTACTACTAGTACTTCGAAATGACAAAAGGGGTAAGGGAACACTGCGTTTGGAATTTTGGAAATTGGACTTGACTTTGTGCGGAGACAAAGACCATATGGATTTTCAGAGGACCCCGTGTATGCGTATTTCTATTTGTATGTCTGTGTTCCAAATCATAGTGCTTAATTTGTAGAAGCGCGTGGCACCTTTTTGGCGCTTTTCTGGTAGAAACACCTTAATAATATAATACTTTAAACGGGTTTGCGGCTTGATTTTGACTTCGAACACGAGAAAACATTTTGACCTTTTAATTTGGAATCATCTTACCATATCCAAAAATTCCAAAATGTTTCGAATTTTTTTTTTAATTTTTCTTTTTTCTTTAATAACTAACCGACCAAGCTTTTCAGCAATAATATTGTCGAGTTCACATTTCTTCCAAGTATTAACATTTTGTCATTGATTTAATGCAGATGGGATGGGTGATGAACGAAGTGCTAAGGCTGTATTCACCAGCTCCAAATGTACAGAGGCAAGCTAGGGAAGACATTAAAGTCGAGGATTTGGTGATCCCATCAGGGACCAACATATGGATTGACGTTGTATCCATCCATCATGACAAGGAATTCTGGGGTGAAGACGTGAACGAGTTCAAGCCCGAGAGGTTTCAAAATGATCATCTCTACGGCGGTTGCAACCACAAAATGGGATTTTTGCCGTTCGGCTTCGGTGGCCGGATGTGCGTCGGCCGAAACTTGACCATGATGGAGTACAAGATTGTGCTCACTCTGGTCCTCACGAAATTTTCGGTTTCTCTGTCCCCCAATTACCGCCATTCTCCTTCTATCTTGCTCTCCCTCAGGCCCGCCCAGGGTCTGCCTTTGATTATTACGCCTCTGGAGTTTTGATTCACCAGATTAGTCGTCCGTTAGCAGTCATACATAACACCCTAGGTTTTAACTTATATATATACTCTTAAACTAGATTAGGTATATCGTACCTTCATGGAAGAAAGTTGAAGAAATTTCAAACCTGAAGGTCCAAATTTTTTCCTACAGTTCAGTACGTTATGTATAGTTACTGTGATCATTATGTAGAGGATAGAACTTGGAAACACCAGGGATGTGACTAAAGTCACTGAACAAAGAGGTCTCTGGCTTTCTAATTTTGATCTGTATATTTGAATATTTCATAGTTGGCCTGAAAAAAGAAGAGGCCCTTGACCCTTCGGAGTTCATTAATAATATACAGCTATTTCCTTTCTTGCTAGACTACTGCGATTCAGATTTCAAAGCACCACAAAAACAGTGAAATGGAAAACTGAAACATCCCAAGTTGACGCTGAATCATCCTTAGTGAACTAGAGTTATGCTCTTAATGATGCGAGAAAGACATAATGAGGGTTGAAAACGAGGCACAACTCAAGATCTGCATCAGGAGATAACAACACCTATTCCCTTTCTTTTTGCTCTCTTTAAGAATTGAAACTTAAACAGGGAATGCCTAAAACAGGGGCAAACGAGGTGGGAAGCGCACAAGCATCCACTCTTTCTCGTGTGAAAGCACATGTGCCCACCCAATTTCATCGAGCAAAGAAAGCTTTAGCTCATAAAGCTTCTTCTTCGGAGGTCCATCATCATTTTGGGTTATATCATTCAGCACCTGGTTAACAAGAGAGGAAGTTAAGCCCCAGTAAATAGAATCACAGGGTAAGTCTGATAACTTGTTTTGTGTATGGTGGAAAATACATGAGATCCTTTTCAAAAGATTTATCTACTTAAAAGTATTTTATTGATTGGAGTAGGCAGTAGAAGATGAGTTGAGAAAGAAATACAACAGTAACTACTAACTAGCTCAAAAGCATTCAAAAAACACTACTCACCTTCAAAGCTGTTCCAAGCCTTCGGCCACGTCTCTCCCGCATCACCGAGAGAATTCCATATTTAGATGATTTAACGTCCGCCCATTTCTTAAGTTCCTTGAAGTTCTCTTCAAAAGGATCTAATTGAGCCTCAGTCTGGGGCACATCTCCGTCACCCTGCTTAGTTGTCAAAACTTAGTACAAACTAAAATTCCTTGCTGACTCTACAATGATGACAGCAAGATACAGACTTCATGATCAACTTGAAATATGGAAGCAGAATATTCAGCATGGGACCTTTAATATGCATGCCAGATTTTTTTTGCCAGAGAATTAGGGTGCAGCGGATGCAACTGTGAGACAGAGAAGAGACGCTATTAATTATTTTCATACCCTTGCTTAGATAAAGTCATGTACAGTATGAGTCCCCATCATAGGCACATATTTACAGTCCCTTAATTCCAATTGAAAAACCTTGTTGCAAACATGTTGCATCAAAATCCAACTTTTTGTGCATGTATAGCAATAGCAATAACAGTCTTAAGTGTGCCTTTCTTAATTATGTCTTTCAGTTTCCAACAAAAAGATCCAAATAACCAACTAAAGACGTTTCAAAAAGACAATACCCAACACGCAATAATTGGGAGACACGGAATCTTTTCCTCAATTACACAAATAGCATATACAGATACTAACCAATTTTTAAAAATGCTAACCTTTAATGTTTCAATTTCTACCAATGCCAAGCCTTTTTGATAGAGTGCTTCAGCTAGTTGTTCACGGGTTGTCTCCATTTCCTTCTTCAGCTTCTGCACAATGAAGCTGCTAGTCACTATGAAGTTCTCATCCTCAATTTAAAGACTACAATAGACTTCTCTCTTCCGAAGGAAAGGATTCGTGATAGAATTCCTCAGGAAACCATAAGCCTTGTAATCTTGTCACATACTAAATTATCGTAATCATAATTTTCTGGGTTGATGTAACTCCTGATACTAGAAAAGAATAAAAAGCTATAATGAGTTTACAGATTCTCACTTCATCCTCATCTTCGGGATCACTTTTAACACAGAAATATTTGGCTAGTGCATCTCTGTCAACACTTTCGACAACTTCATCTGCTGCACCAATTATCTGCAAAGCAAGCAAAGTTATCAAAACAAGTAGAAACACAGCCATTATCATCAACAACAACTAACACTTCATATCACTATCCAGAGACAACTATCAAAGTCCATTTTCAATTTTAACTGTGATTCTGATTTACTGAGTGAAAATTGAATATGTTGAGTGTACTGACGACTAGAATGCACGTGAACAGAAAACAGCATTACCATGTTATCTCGGAATAGCCGAATAAGCCTTTTGCAGCAATTGGGTTCTATTCAACACTGTAGAATCAAGTAACTCTGTTTCCTATGGGATCAAGCTCAACATATTTAATTTTCAATTCGAGAATGGCACTTCTTAGAAAAGATGGCGAACAGTTTCATAGGCATATTGCCCAACTTGAGTCTACTATAGGCAACACGAAACTCTCAATTAAACTAGTTGCAGCAAACATTTTATACGTAGCGAGAGAAAGGCTTCAAAAAGAGGGCAAAAGGCCTTAGATAGAAAGTTCCATATTCCAATCCAAATTATTTGTTAAATGCAATGCAACTATTGTAATGTTACCTTAAAAGGAAGAAAATAAAACCATCTAAATGAGAGAAATTATATCGTTAAAACTTGAATGCCATCCAAACAAGCGAGATTTGCAAGAATAAAGAGATGTTCATCACAAATAAAGAGAAACTGAAAAAGGATAAATAAAATCCTTTACCTCCTTATAGTATTGAATCTTATCTTCCACATTGCTCCATGAAAGCAAAGCTTCCAAAATTTTGGCTAGCAACGGAGTGTACTTTGGGTATTCTGACTGCAAATAACCAATAATAAAAAAAAAGGGTCAGAATTACAGATCTCAAGCAGCAAGGAAATCATACAAGAGAAAAAATTACCGTATCAAAGCACAGACTCAATTTCAAGGATGGGATGACTTGATTCATTAAGTTTTTTTTACATCATTCACAGGGCCATGTACCATGCTAACAGCATTTTCCTCATGCAACAAACAAATGTTGGAGATAGAAGTATGTGAGGCAGAAAAATGGAGCCATTACCTTGAGGGAGCTGGACAATTTTTTCCACTCAGAAATCTCCTCCTCTGAACTTTGCTTCAGGCTGTCAAGAACCTTTATTTTGGCAGCTCGGACCTAATTGATCAATATAAGTAGTTGATAAACTCAGATCACACTACCAAACTATGTAAAAGGGAAAGACTTAAAACCAACACGTAAGTTCTTAGGGTTAACACCTTCCCACTGGAAAAATACAAACTTCGAATAAAATAGATGTATCAGCAAGAGGATGTTGTACATGAAAAATGTAACAGACAACAGTAAGTCAGATTTTAAAGTCAACAGGATAAGAACTACAAGTTCATGCTAACATTTTCAAGGTTGACCCTGGAAAAAAACCTATAGTTGACAACACATAATACAATCCACCCAAATAGAAAAGTTGATCTAGGAGAGCAAATTCGCAAGAGATGGAATAGCCCCAACTTTGTTCTATGCGCCAACACCAAAAACATTTTCTAAGTTGATAAAGTCTATTTTCACAGACTAATTCTTGAAGGTTATAAACAGGATGATAATGAATTAGACAACTGACAACAGATGCAGCAAAGAAGGGGAAGCCAAAAATAATTACTAGTAGGCTCATTTTCAATCTGGAAGAAATTCAAGTATATGTCATGACCATTCTTCACATACCTCCTCCTCCAAACATTCAGATACACTCTTGGAGCAAGATGCAGGGGAACCTTTTCCCTTGTCCTCGTCCTGCTGTAAAGTGGAAAAGATGCACTAAGTTCCGATAAATATGGGAAGCAAGAGAAGGTGATATGGTTTTTTAATTTTCACCGGGACAAAATTTCAAAAGCAGCAAGAGAATCAGATGAGAAAATGGATATATAAATCAACCACATTTAAACTAACCTTAGGAGGGGGTATTATGTATGATAGTGGATAAGTAGGGGCCTTGTCTGCTGCTTTTCCATTTTCAGAAATAGCAGAAGAAATCCTTCCATAAGAAATTTCTCCAATCAAAACAGATCCTGCTGGGGTATTCTGCATGTCAAATATACACACTAATGATAAAGTCTGTCCTCACCACTTCCTGATGCTTAAATAATAGACAGGAGAGCCACATATTATAGAAATAATTTGGACAGTTCAAAACCTTAGGGAGCTTATCCTTTCCTGGAGGAGCCACATAAAATGATTCTTTCAACCTGCAACCAAAATGTTCGTACATGCTCACAACAAAGCCAAGTAAGAATTATAAAGGGAGAAGGATGGCATATGGAAAGGAATATACCCAGGAATTAATGTTGAAGATTTAAAGCTACCATTATCGGTAACTGGACCATCTGGTTGACTATAGAAATTCAAGCGAATAACTTCCTGCCAAAAACATCCACATATATTAACCTTAAAGAAAATACAGAAAGCAAAACATTGACCAGCTTTATTGACAAAAACACAGATTATAAGATAAATTATTTCTGGATCAAACATCCGAGTTATGCTTTTTTTCTCAAAACTTTTCAAAGAAGAAGGAATAAAAGAAATATCAACCACAAAATGAGTTCAGGGGAAAGGACAAACAATTGACATAAACATAACAAACGAAAAATCTGCTAACTAATAAGTCGACTTTAAAGGAAATGGTATAAAACATGCTTATTTACCTTCTCCTCCAATTTCCTTTCAACAAACAATAACAAGCCCTTCATTTTCTCCAAGTACTCCAAATTGTCATGCCTGCAAAATTAAAAAGTACTTTTAATCTTCTGTGATGTAGTATAATACTATAAATTCCTGCCAACTATAACACCCATATGTATACTGTGTCTGGACGAGAATTACTTTTATTTATTATAATCTTTTTACCAATCCTTGAGATTTCAAGATAATCAAGCATCCCAAATTAGCTGAAAAGTACCAAAATTTTCAATAAATATTTATACATGCAACATGTGTATAATATCTTTAGTAATTATACAGGAAACAACACCTAAGGTCAGTAATTTTAACTAAAGCAGAAAATTTTTGAAAGCAAGTGCATCGTTCAGCAGAAGGAGAATTCCAGATTATCCCAAAATAATGACTGTACCTCAATAATAGCTGCAAATTGTAATCACCCTTTGGAAGTTTAACAGAATTTGGATAAACGTCACCCACTGCATATACACGCTGGTTTATAAAAGGAAAATATTAGCAATCCCCAAAAACAGATGATCATAGAGAGTACTCCAGGATATAACAAGAATTATAAGGAGTGCCGCAGTTTTTGCTTACGTACAAAAAGCAAGAGAGAAAAGCTAGAGAGAAACACACAGGCTAAAGAGTAAAAAACATAGTAACAGATTTCGTTCTTTACCAACGAAGTAGCCAAGTGACTTAAACCCATGATGACAATTGACATGAATAAAAATAGTAATAGATTTCATTCTTTACCAAAGAAATAGAAAGGTGAGTTAAACCCTTGATGACAATTGACATGGAAAAGAATGAAATCAAGGGTAAAGAATGTGGCCATACAGAAAATGGACAGTACGGTTTATCTTAAGATGGCTACCATTTCCCTCCCTCTCAAAAGACTTTTATAAATTTTTCAATGTCATTGCACTAACAATTAAGTAGGAACATCGGTGGTGCCTCCTCTTCTATCAAGTTATCAGCAACAATAATCAAACTGCTAAGGATTTACAACACCTCAAGCATGGCCTAAGCTGGATGAAGTATGGCATATTCAAAACTTCTCAACGCAATATCATACAACTAAGTTAACTAACTGTGTGAGAAATATGGCAGATGAAATGATTATGTTTCCAAGTACAGTTGCAGAGCAATAATGTAGCACTTACTACCTTAGGCCTATGCACAGACATTAGATACACAGTTTCGGCACAGACATTAGATATACAGAAGAAAACATCATGATAGAGGAGTTTTAGGAGAGAAAAGGAAAAGGATAGTATGCAAGAAGAAATTGGTTCATGAGAAACAAAGCGTAGGAAAAAAATAAAATGAAACTTTTGCAAAAGGAGAAAAAAAAACGAAAAAGTAATGTACCTTATTTGAATCTGATATCATGTAAAATTGAGACTCAAACTTGTTGTCATATATGCGATTGTTAAGTAATGGAATCTGTGGCTTTATTTCCGAAGCATCATCTAGTTTGAATTTGTAGCTGCAATACCAGAAAAAAATGGCAAAGATTTTTAGAGTAAAGAGTGCAACCCAGCTTCTTTAAAATAAATATCACGGGGAAAAGAAACCTACGTGAGCAGAAGAGCTAAAATCTGTTTGCCAGATGGTAGTTTGTCCCGGTCTGTTGATAGGGCACTGACTTTAGCATCAATGGGACGATACGGAACTCGAAGCTGCAAAACAACTTTATTATTCAAGAAGCTGAATAAATATCATATTTGGTCAAAGTTTTAGCCAATTAACCACATGCCTTATTTAACTTTGCAGAAGGGACAAGTTTCTCAGCTGATAGAAGACCTTCAGCATCAATCCTGATGGGGGCTTCACTTCCATCAAGTAATACCTCATTTTGGATGGTGTTGATCCCATGGAAACCAATCTAATTTTCACAACAAGAAGCAGGAAAAATTTTGATCATGTTTGGCTCTTAGAAAAGAGATATTAAAAAAAATTTTTGCCAAAACACCGAATGGCAATAATAGAACTAGAACTGCCAGATCACTAAAGGTCGTAAAAAAACAGAAAAGATCATTAGCTTATAGCTCGGCGACAAGATGAAAAACACCAATACCAGAAAATGTTTAGCAACGATTGAGACTAGTCTTAATTGTAAAAATGAGTTATCATGCAGGTAAGAGAGATAACGAAGAGTTCAAAAAGAACAAAAACAAAAAAAGAAGAAGAAGAAGAAATAATTAGGGCAACTATTGCAGTCATAATTTTAGAATCCTGTAAACCAGGAATATCTTCAACCTGAAACTTAATTATATTATAAAAGATTGAATGACCCAAAACAGAGAAACTAGCGCAGCTCGAATATGACCAATCTACACCCCTCACGAAAAATATAGAATAAAGGAATGAAGACATACATTGAAGCCATGTAATCTGATACATACCTCAAAGTCAACAATGGTAGATTCATGACTTCCTATACCACTGGACCAGAATTGAGCTATTGCTAGTTCTAGCGTCTGGCCACCCTCCACTCTAAAAGCAAAGCTTTTCACAGAAGGAGAAGAGAAGGTTATCACACTCTCCCACTTCATGGGCCTCCGCAGTGGGGATATCTACAATGGGAGCACATCAACACAGGACATAATTACGTAAAATCTAAAAAGGACATCTTACAAGTAGCATATTACCTGGACAGCATCAACAAAGAATCTTCTAGCAGTATCAAACCCTGATGTCCGCATTGCTGCCTCAACCCAAGTAGCACCAGCTGGCACCTCTATGTATCTACGTTCAATGTGGCCTAGAAGAGAACACAGCCAGATAGAGATGGCAGAAGGAATTAAGACAGGCCAAGATGAGGAAAATGGGAAAGTTTCCACTACGTAAAATTGGCAGATAAGCTAAAAGCAAACAAGAGAGAAATGCCGAACTAGCTGTTCTATAGGCTATAATTATACATGGATATTATTGCCATCTGGTGCATACATGTACTCGGAGAATAATGTAAAATGAGAGTTCCACAAGTTGCACAGCTAAAAGAAAAATTGTACTCATGGGGTGAAAATGAAGCTATGTAAAAATAGTTACCAAAAATATATCTTAGTACAATCAACACAATACTGAACGCGTCATGCATTCAATGTATATTCAATGTATATATATACACACACACATATATATATATATATGAAACAATTACCTTCCATCAGAGTATAAGAGTTCATAAATTGTTAAAGTTACCTGGCCAAAATGACATTCCTTGATATAAAATTCGTGGAGGTTGATTCATAACGGCCTTTGGTTTCGTAATAGTAACTGGAATTCTAAAAAGTGGCCCCCGCCATGGTGCTTTACAGTCTATTCCATAGACTTCATAATAATGTAAACCTTCACTGAGGTTAGTCGGGTCCACAATAATGCTACAGAAAGAAAAGATTAGATGTCAATTACATGCTAGAGCACATCATAACATCAATTTCTAGCCTAATCATGCAAAAGATAAGGACAAACAGCAAAAGATGAACAGAAATGTCAAGCAGAACTCCAGACAAGAGCAACTCAATTGCATAAAATAATTACTACTGATACCCAGTGAACAAAAACAATTGTAAATAGAATAAGTTGAGCAAACTGACTTAAAGGTGCGTCCATTGTGAGTCAAAAGGATATACTCAGGAGCTCTAACCACTGCCTCATTGGTAGAATGTATCTCTATTGACTCCTCGAAAGGGACCAGCTGCTCTAAATTGCTCGCATCTTCATGGAACTTTGGCTCAACTTGCACTGTCCACTGATGAAGAATTTGTCAGCCAACGAAAAGCATGAATTATACTTCATTCCCTGATATAATGCTCTAAGAATACCTAATTGATACAATCTAATTTACTTTGCCGACCTGGAAACTAGGGATGATTTGGGGAATCCTTTACATAAGTAATAGAGCCACAAAGCCTACTCTCAGCAATTTTTAAGTCTCTCCATGTAATAGGACTTGATTATACCAAATGCTGCCAGCAGTCATGAACCTTAATATATTCTAGTTCACGAGCCATGCCATTACTCAGGATCCACGCTAGAAGAAATACTTGAATCTAAGTTTAAATTTAACCTATTTGTTTCAAGGATCAGGAATGGCCATTGGAAAAAGGAAGGCAGATGGCATCAGTAAGCACCAATTTTCCTCATAACTCACAACAGACAACTGCATGGCCACTACAAATATCTTACACACCCAAAAGCTGTTTCTTACAAAGTAGAACTTGTAGAGCAAAGGGATAAAGGAAGATTATTTCTACACCAAAGCACACAAGGAATAATCCAAAGAGCTAATTCGAGATGGTTTTTAGCATGTGCAATGAAGAAACAAGGCGCGGAATTTCATTCATTAAAAGTTCCTACTAAGAAATCAATGACGTGGTAGCATGCTGAAAAATAGCTCAGAATCATTATCATCAAATAATCAAATCAGAACCACAAAACTCACTTCTGTAGACTGTTGACAAACGCTGGACTCCCTTAGGTAGATGCCTCGTGATATAGGACCTTCGAACAAATAGGAAACGAGATTCAGCTATCATGAACAAACAGAAAAACAGCAAAACCATATTTTGATCTAACTACAACCCATTACGACACTGAAGGACAAAAATGTATAATTCAAATAGTTGCAAAAAACAGCTCGTGGAATTTGTGAACATTCAATAGACAGACCACAAGAAGGGGCAGGCATATAAATATCTTGTTATTAAGGAAAGAGTGTGTGTGTGTGTGTGAGAGAGAGAGAGAGAGCGTGTGTGTGTGTGTGTTTGTGTGAAAGAGAGAGAGAGAGAGAGGGAGAAGCATTATTCAGTTTATTAGAAAGCACTCATCAGGAACCCACTCGTTTTGCTTGCTTGATTGATCTTTATTTGGTACCAAACAGAAGGCATGCTGTGATCCTTTTGAATGTAGTCATATGCCCTAGCATCAACCACAAGAAAAAATATCATATAACTGAAGTTTAGAAGAAAACTGTTATCATCAGAGCACAAAAGGTGCAATGTGGGCAGCAGTTTACTTGTCAACTTGCATGAGCCCTTGCCCGGATGACAACTTGTCTTCAGGGAGATCACCAATAGGAGTACATGTATTCTCTATAGCTCTCCGCACACTGTAAGGACTCACGGGTATACCTTCAGACTGCACAGTACAATACTAGTCAACAAGTAATATATATGATAGGGACACAAGAGGAAGAAGCAAAGGAAAAGAATGGAAAACATATGTACTTTCTGAACCAACCTTCATTGCACTGATAAGCAAAGCTATACCCCCACAAGCAGATGGAGATGACATGGATGTTCCATTCATAAGCATACGCCTTTGGAGAGTCCATGTTGGAACTGGAGAAACAGCTCCACCAGGAGCGCTTACTGAAACACCAAGGTCCCCATCAACAGTTGGTCCTCGGCTAGACCTGCATCCTTTGCAGTCAATTACAGGTGCACGAGTAGAGGTATCAAAAAAAGTTGGAAGGAAAGAAAAATAATTTATACTAAGACAGGCTTGACTCATCAAGTTCAACAATGTCTCAAATGTCAGGACACTTGATGGTGGGGCTCAGAGACATACGTGTAAAGAAAAGGGACCCAAAACAATCATAACTCAGAGGGGTAAAGGGATCCTTTCATTCAGCAAAACATTCAAAATAAAACTATCCACAGTGGAAAAGTTATTATGAAAAAGGCAAACACGGGGAAAAAAGAAACACACAATGTTGCATACCAAGTGTATTCAAGTCCTTCAGAAGGAGCTTCAACCACACTGTGGGCCCCAGCTGCCATGGCTGGAGAGACATAAGCACCGATTCCTATTATGCTTGATGTTGTGCCACCTGGAGAACCAACAGTACTCAAAGCAGGACCATTATTGCCAGCACTACTGACAAATACAATGCGGTACTTGTTCACCATCTGTATAAAACAGTCAAATACCCAATGCACCGAGTGAGCAGGATCACCAGAATTGTACTTAGAAAATGATACTGAACCTTTTTGCAAATAACACGACCTCATTAACCAGATCAACAAAGCGGCCATAGTCTGGTAGCAATGTTGGTTCTCCATAGCTCATGTTGATAAGATCACATTTATGCTGCAAAGTATAAAGAACAAAAGATTTTAATGAAAGAAAATCAACAAACCAAATTGTCCACATCACTCCACATGCAGCACCTGATAGACACAAACAAGGGTTCTGGCAGGAAATCCTTCGATTGATAAAGAAAACGACACTTTGAAAAAGGAAACATTTATCCCACACAAGTTCCAAGGAGTAGAACTAAGCGAACTAAAGAGTAACCACTATCACCTACCTCCACAGCTGCAATAGCTGCCCGTACCAAACCTGTTCCTGTTTCCATTGATCCCAAACGGGAATCTCCAATTTTACACGAAATCAGCTGCGCTCCAGGTGCAACCCCATTTAGCAAAGGTTCCTGTATAGAACCATTAAGTATTGCAGAGTAAGAACTTTGCACCATTAAAATTTATGGTAGCACTTTATTGTCTCCACCTTCGATGATTTTTCATAATAACACTACTACTTGCAAGGAAGGATTAACTTGGCCCGTAATAACATACCTCCGAGTGGAAAGCTGCTGTAATTCCAGCAACATGAGTACCATGTGGTGAGCTATCCGTCACAATGCTCAAAACATTTCCCTCATCGAAGACATTAAGGACAAAGGTGCAAGCATCAAGTTTACTGAAAACACCATATTTTCGTTCCTTCCTGCAAAGTTAATGCTCTCAATGTATTAGTTACAATAATCTGCAAATCGGAAGTAAGACATCATAAGAAAGGTCCACTCTACAGATTAAAATGTTAAAAGGTGAACCAAATTACTCAATACAACTTAAAGAACAGCAAGTGAGACAAATTAGTCCAAACATGTTTACAGAAACACAATGGTGTAGAATATCACTTTCTTAAGATCCATACAGACTCTCTTGGGGTCTGTATCGGTTATGTTTGACTTTTTTGGCTTTGCCTTGAAAATGTAAGAAGCTTTATTGGAAATTGGGTAGAATACAAACACAAACAATAAATCAAACAGACTCTGAAGTCAGTCGCTTATATCTTTATCTTGGGAGAGCCGACAAAGTACAAAGTTCACTAGTTTTAGCCCAACAAATTTAGTTCTTTGCAATACTAGAACTAATAGAACTTGGACGCCAAGATATTTCATCGCATTGGTACAAAAAGTTGTCATTATATTACTGGTCACCATAGAGCGACAACATCTCCTGAAAGATCATTCTCCCGTTTATAGTACACGCTGAAACCACGCAAAAAAAGGACTCAATTTCAAGAACAAATTTAAGCATGTACCGTGCAACCGAAACAATGCTTCAGTAAGGAAGAAAATCGTACATTCAATTCGAATAATATTAATATATCACAAAAGAAAATGTCTCCTTCGGCACATGGATATGGAAGGAAATGTGGCTCAAGTCTAAATTAGTCTATTTAGATGATGATACATATGAAGAGACAACCGACAGATTCATATTGTAATGAACACAAAAACATGCTACACTGTAACGCCACTACTATGTCCTAATGTCTTATCAATATGATAAGAAGCTATAATAAGCTTCCACAATGAACTCCATTACTGTATCCTAATATTTCAACAACATGACAAGACACCATAACCTCATTACGAACCTATAGTTGGTTAAAGGAGTAAAGTCGGAGAGCTTTCCCACTCCAGGTTCATCCTCAAGACTTTGTGTATCAAGAGCAGCCCTCCATGATTCTCCATCATGCCATACAACGGCATCTATGACAGGTCCTTTATCATCGTAGCTCTAAAAATCAGGGACAACATAGGTCAAGTGAAAAGCCCAAACCAAGAAATCAATTTAAAAAATATTGAACAGGAAACACTGACTTCAGCTTGTTTGCGCAAGACACCAACTCTGTTCTTTAGATCTTCATAAGCCCTTTTCAAGTTGGCATCCTCAACCTTGGAGTGTCTCTATGGCCATAAAATAACACTTGTCAGAGGTAACTAGTAAGCAGAAAACTGCAAAACTTCTCTAACAAAAATGCTTATGGAGATGTTTGCAATTAACATTGTGTACGATGAATAGTTATACCATTTATCTTCATAACAATAACCGAAAATGATATGCAGGTCCAGATACATGCCTCCTACTGTTATGAGACTTCCTAATTGGTCTTGAGATCCAAGTCTTATAATATTTCAAAATATTAATCAATTTTCTAGCAATGCTTTCCGAGCATAGATGTCACAGTTTCAGATAGTTGGATCAGTTCCAACCTTTTCAAAGTCATCAAGCTGCTTCACAGCCTCAGTAATAGCTTCCTGTTGTTTTTCATCCCATCTCTTTTTTCTTTCCTTCTGCACATTGTAGAATTTATGAGGAAAATATTGAATAAGCATCCAAGATACAAAAAGAATGAAACTCAAAGAAAATACTGTGTTGCTTGATCAAACACAAATGGCTTACCTTCAATCTAGTAGTAAGTGTGTCAGTAAACAGTTCATACACCAACTTATAACCTACATGCCATTCCCCTGTAGGATTTTTCCATGAAGAATTGACAACCAGTGAAGCACCTAGCAACATATGAATAAAAAATTATTTAACTGTAAGCAAACCATATTCAAATTAAGCTTAAGTACTTGAACGACCATTGAACTTTTGATAAGACCATCGAAAAGCATGGTCCAGCTCTTGAAAACTTAAAGAAAACTTTCATAATCAGATGGAACAATATACCGACTAAATTTTGCTACCAGAGCTACTAAAGCAAAATCATCCCGAAGGAGACACATACCAGATGCTCCTCGGATGCAACCATCAGCATCAGCTTTCACCACAGTGGAAGTATCAACGTCACCACTTCCAGTGCTATTGTTTAGAAAAATAAATAAGAGCAAGATTTGGCAAATAAAATCCAGTATCAAAAAAGAAAACTAAAATCATCGTGATTGAGTCATTACCAGTCAATAACATCTAGAATTTTCGGTTTTCCATCTGAGGTCACCTGTAATCCATCTGCGGCCGGGTCCACTCCAGAATCTTAAAAAATCAAACGAGAACAGTATCAGAAAATAAAACAGTTACTGAAATTCTGTAATCACGGAGTATTCAATTAAAGGTTTGTATAAGGAGAAATTAGCAAGTTCGCGACCAAAAATGGCAATGGTGACGCCACGGCCATCGAAGTTAGGGTGAGCTTCAATGAAACGATCAGCAGCAATTTCTTTCTTAGGCATGAGGGAAGCTAAGAAGGTGGATTCAGTCAACTTGAGGTTACGGTAGGTGCCATTCTGTTCGCCGGGAATCACAGAAGAACTACTAGGCATCGCCCTAATTCTAGTGTTGATTATACCTCCACCAATGTTTGCCAACTTTTTGCCGGCGGCGAATCTTCTTTCTCTACTTATACTATTACTATAAGACCTTTTCGGAGAAATAATGACGAGCGATCCTACCGAGGAAAGGAAATAGTATGAGTAGAAAATAATTGGATTAGTACAAAGAATGGTGGACTTACGCATATGATGACTACATTGAATATGACTAAAATAAGGAAGGGTGTTTTAGTAATATTACCTAAGAATGGAATCCCGGCGGCAACCATTGAACCGGAGGGAGTGCATATCCCACCGGCGAATCCAAGTGGCTTTTGGTCTGTTTGGTGAAATGGATATCCGATTCTATCGGTTCATCTTGGCAGTGGACTTCATTAGCGGCGACTGGCAGTTCAGTCCATCAAGCATGTGAAATTACGCTCTCTGCCCTTGCATGGATGGCGAAAAAATATCATAAAACCGTCGCGAGGGCCCACAACCGTGGAGGGTTGTACTGATAATACTAGTCTATATAGCGAGAAACGATTGGATAAGACTATGGTTCATCATTTCATCTTTGGTCTTGGCTCGTAGTATATCGTTCCGGCCACCGCGCTCGAAAATAAATGCTCAACTTCGGTCATGTAAGCATTCTCGTCACTTATACTAGCCTATCTTTCACTTCTAATTTTAGTTTGAGTACATAAAACCTTGTCAGGGTGATTACTCTTCTGTGTATCAAACTATCAAAAACACCAAAACTTTGTGACCAAATGAGAATTTTCAAATTGCAGGGTTAAAAAATAAAATTATTCAAGTGTAATTGGAAATTCAAACTGAAAAATTTTCAGCTAACGACCATCTCACTAATGGAAAATTTGGCCAAATCCGGCCACCAGGGTCAATCGACCACCCTAATCTCTTTAGTTCCGTCACTGTCAAAAATAATTTTTTTTTAATAAACCAAAAAATATATTTACTCTTCGGTGTCAAAATGAAATTTTTTCTAAGTCACAGTAACTTATCCGGACCCAATCAAATAGGATAGTGATTTCAAATACAAAATATGTAATATATCAACAAAAATACAATGCAAAAGCTGAAAAGACATTCCAAGATGAAAAGAACTAAACCAAAATGAAAATGTATTTTTTTTTTTTTATGGCGAAAATGTTCTTTGTTCCCGCCATAACATTTCGAGGAATGGTAAAACAACGGATAAGAGAACTAACGGTGGATAACTAAACTAGGCATGTACGTATTTGTTATCGTTATCTGTATTGTCTTGAGCCCGGAAAACTTAAACCTCCCACTATGTAAATGATATATCTACATTTACTCTTTTTTCCTTCTCACGAGGGAAACAAAGAATGAAAAAACATGGAAAAATCAAGGGAGACATTTTCACATTTTGTGAGGCTCCCCAATTACATCTTATACGACTAATGGCGTTAATGTGCTTCAATCAGTAGAAGAATTGTGTCAATGTGCTAGCTCCGCCAATCAAGTTATGGCAAGAGTTGTCGCAAGGGTATGGGCAATCAATCTCCTTGCTGATCCTTCTCCCAAAATACCAATCTCCTACGGCTTCTGCTATGGTCTGTAAGAAACTGTTCAGTCAGTATCCATTGAGGGCATCAGGGCAATGTTGTGACTAGTGCATATCATACAAATTTAACTCTTGATATCTCATACCATTTCCTTGTGTCAATAATAAAGCAGCTACAAAATGCAGTCAACAAAAGCAAATGCATTCCAACTTTGTACATTTTCCATCTAGGTACTGCTGAGTAGGCTTAAAGACTAATTATTCCAGGTTTAAACATTTAAGGGAGATGCATCCCAAATAAGTCTAGAAAATCATGTGAACTGAAGGAAATGCAAAGGAAATTCACAAACCTTATTGTGTATTCTTGGAGAATCATCCGCAAACCATGTTTCTTGATCTTCACTTTGGCAGTGAGCGAAGCAAGAGTTTATAAACATCCCGTCTCTTCTTGAGTACAGGAACAAGAACCTTAAAGCTGTAAGCATGTCTTTTCTGAATCCTAGTAAATGGCAAAGCAAAATCGTTCAGTATAGAAGTTCATCTAAAAAGTTCGAAGGTGTAAGACATGGACTGGTTTGTGCCTGTGTGGCGTTAGAGCTGTTTTAGGCTACACTAGTTGGTTCACAGATTTGAGACCCATAAGCAGAAAAAGTCTTTTCGAAACGAAACCTTGCAGTGTGGCGATTTGGGCTGCATTACATGCGGCTGGATTGAGCTTACAGTGATACCAATGTCCTCTTGGATCAGCAAAAGGTGGCACCAATATGTGATGAAACTGTTTCAACGAACCAACCCAATTACGACCAATAAAAAATCATAGCTCAAAGCAACAACCAGATAACATTTACAGGACAACCAATTAACCAGTTGCTGCATGAAGTTGTCTTACTTGATAAACATCATAAGCTGTGTTTAAGACAAAGAATGGTGTTTTGATGTATTTCAAAGCATACTGTGGGAAGAAGCACTGCAAAAGAATCAATTTTGCTTAGCACAAAGCTTCAAGTTTGTCCATTCTAGGATGAAGAAGAAATTTTGAAATCATACATTCACCGGATAGAGCTGAGTGCTGGTGCAATTCTTGTCCAAGTTATGTTCTACACCCTACATAGAACAAACGACCAAGAATTATATGGTGGAAGAGAATACATTATACAGTAGAAGCCTATTTATAGAAGATACCATATTAGTGAAACAGAAAACCATTTTCACGAGACAATAGATTGGACTGTAATGCCCAAAACCTGCCTTTGTAAGCTTGTAGCATCAAAAGGAATCTTAAAACACACCTGTAAAGAGATGAGGTCTTCGTAAAAAGATCTCATAGTGCGGTTAAGAGAGATGTCTCGCCTGCAGGACAAGGCCAACTAATTTATGTTTAAAGGGATGACATGAAAAGCGTATACTTGTCTTTTTCAAAGGATTTAGAACTAACTCATCCAGAAAAAAACCAGCATCACTCAGGCATTTTACGGTAGTGTTCTTTGGCAAATAATTTGTGAAGTTTTGACAATGCAAGAAGGTTGCCAGACCCCCAGCAGAGCAACCAGAAAGCAATGCCTGGACATAATATGAAAAAGAGCGGTAGTAAGCATATAATTACTGCTATTTGGTAAGCACACCGAAATCCAATACAAAAGAAATCGAGTCATTAACTGATTGAAATTTTAATTTCCATTTGAAAACAAGGCATCAAAACCCCTTTTACAAAAACTTTCAGCATTACTACACAGAATGGCAGTCTAGATGCATTTTGATGGCTTGCCCCAACTGAAAAAAATAATTCGTGAATGATTTTCTGTCAAAGTAAAGCTCTATGTAAATGGCATGATCAATGATCGAAGCAACTCCTCACCTTCCTTGCCTGTCCCAACCCTTTGGGTAGGAGATCATGAATAATGGCTTGCCAAATTCTCTGCCCTCTGAAGTAGAGCAGTGAGGTCTGTTGATCACATAAGGAAACATTTCACTCGGGGTGAAAAAAGAACAACTCAACAGATTTCACTAAGATCACATGCAAAACATTATGGAACAATACATAGTTGCCTTGATGGCTTGATAAGTACTCCCATGTCCCAAAATTATTGTCCAGTTTGTTTTTTCAGTTTGGTGTAATTTGAACTAAAATAAAAATCTAAATTGGACAGTAATTTTGGAACGGAGTGAGTACATTAGAGATGATATTAGGAAGGCAGAATACTAATTGTCATTTTTGAGCATACAGAAAGCCTAAGAATTCATATAGAACTAAAGTTGTATACGGCACATTGAAGTCATAAACGCTATGTACAAGCCTAAGAATTCTTAGTTTTATAGAAAATATTCTTGAAAGGACAACAAATGATCTAACAGTTGCATGTAATAACTAATGGACTCACCCCATTGTCAAACTTTGCATCCCCAGCAAATGAGGCACCATCACAGTATCTAAGTTTGACTCGGTTCCAATTGTAGAAATCTGCATAGTTTCAGTCATGAACAACAATTAGCTACTGGAAAACCAACATCATGTGTTGGTCTGAATCCCGATTCCATAAACGCCATAAATTAGCCGAGTCATATTGCAGTAAATTAATATGATTATTTGGTAGTTTTCGCGAATATCTCCCCGGAGTAGTTTAGTCTGTTGAGTATCCCACATCGGTACTAGGAGAGAGTTGATATCAATATATAAATCTATGGACTACTCCTCTCATTGCTAATTGGTTTTGAGGTGGAACCTATGGACTTCTATATAGTATCAGAGTCGGCCTGCCAAAAGTTGAACTCCAAAGCCTGATGTGAGCTGAGATGATGTGAGCTGAGACGTGAGGACAAGCCTGTAACCTTATGGGCTTCTATATAGTCTAGCATTTGGAAGCATTCTCTCAGACTAGGAGCACAGGTTTCTGGAACACACGGAACGACAAAATCATAGTAGATTTAAAAATACTGGGAGTCGGTGGCTGGAAACTGCATCGAGGACAGAGGTCAAGCTTCTGGATGGCATCTCAATTCTGACAAATTGTAGTTTAGGGGAACAGAACAATGACTGATCAACGAGGAAATGGGAGTCACTGATTAGCAAAATTATTGAAGTTGGAAATTCCCAAAAAAAAAAAAAAAAAAAGAGCAGCCCACAGCTGTCCACGCTGTCGCCAAACGACCCCTGCTTTTATCACGTGATGGGGTCAAGATTAGATGTTGATTCAACTTCAATTATTCTTTCTTTCCTTCACGCGGGTAAGAGAGATCTAAGGACCCAAACCCAGGGAATTGTCTTAAAAGTTTCGCATTAAATTTTAGTATGAAACCCAATTTCGTCATCGGTCACAACAACATAAGGCAAAATGAAAGAGATCCGTAGGTAATAATAAGGGTACCTGGATTTAAAGAAGCATTATTGCTGAGAATGCCGGAGAAGACTTCCAATTTGGTCATGTAACGTGTTGATCCTCTTCGAGTTTTGGCTCTATCCAAACAGGATGGGATGTCATTGCACCATCCCCCACCCTGCGCCAATCCATCCCATTAATTTTCTGCCCAAACTTCAAATACAGTTAAAAGTTTCCCTCCCTAAACAATTGACAATGACACCACCAACATATTTTCTCTACACAAAGCAGAGAGGAAAGAATCACACGGCACTTCTTCTTTTGGGATATACACCCTATCAGAGTGCCACAAATTTGTGCCAATATCTCAACGAATAAGGTAAAAGCGTCTCTGTCCATTATTGACATTGCGTTACTGCCCGTGACCCATAGACAGGCACCTCCTAGTTTGGCTTGCTACCATTATGTTTTAAACGTCTCATTTTTACGTGAGCGCTCAATTTTTTTACTAAAATTTACAAACGAATTTATTACAATTTTTTTATTAAAATTGAAAACTCAAACTGGACAATAATTATGAGAATGAAGAAAATAATTTTGTGAGAGAGGAAGTACTACATCATTTTGATGGCTTCACAATGGAACGGAAGAAGTAGCCATTTCAATTTAAAAACTTTACTGGTTCGGCAATTACTGCTGTAGACTTTACACCAAAGGTTATTAGTTTAAAAACGAAACACTGTAGATTCATATTATGGAGACCACAAGTGTCAAAAAGTTAGGGAGGAGGAAATGATTAGAAAAATATACTAACTAGATTTCACCTGTCGTAAAAAATGACAGCCTTTTAAGAACAAACTCGAAAGCGGAACCAGCAATAAAACGCAACCAAAAAGAAAAGCATGTAGTACTAAACAAAAAGATGGCGGCAGATTCTTTTTTTCTAACCTCCTTTTTTAACTTTTTCCCCCGCAAAAAAAGCCAAAAGAAGAATTACCTCAAATTGCAAAAGCCAATTGCGTGCTCCGGCTCCGAATCCTCTGTCTAGATGATACGCCGGTAAACTTCCGTCCAAGCAATCTGCGAATGTTTACACCCGAAGCCAAGTAAACGAGCACAAAAGCAACTTTTACTCATTTTATAGATATATTTGTTTAAAAGATTACAAAAAGAAATTAAAAAATTAAAGGGACATACATGCTCCAAGAGCCGAAGCGTTTCGAACCAGAGTCATGTTCACTAAAAGGCGGTTGGTCGGGTCGTCCACCGAACATACCAGCGGCGCGCATGATAGCAGCTGCAGCACAAAACAGCATCCAAGTCCCAGTAGAACTATCTGGCAATTCATTTTTGTTTTTTCCAACCGAGCTTTCATCACTCTCCGGCGGCCATATGAATGAGTATTTTAGCACTCAAAAAAACTGAAAGAAGGTGGACAAGATGCAATGTACAAAATCATTGACGACAGAAGGATAAGATTTATTTTTTTTTCCATCAATTAACTGTAGAAGAGATACGAATAACGAATTGTCTTAAAGACAGTAATAAATATTACCTCCCCTGATGTTGTATTGAAATCGAAGCGAAAACCCGGCAAAAAAATGTCCTAATTAATTGGAAAGGAGAAACAGAGTGAACGTATTAATAATATTATGGTGGCTCAATCAATATGATGTTTATGAAGATAGGAATAAATTCAAAATTAATCGGAGTCAGGGAAGTCAGCAATGAGATAGAAACGATGAACCAGAGGCGAATTTTTAACCGTGAAAGGGACAACAAAGGAAGTCATAAATTAGAGAGGGAGAGAGTGCGTGTCCGACCTATAAATTTATTCCCTCCCAGAAATGTTTTAAACGAGTAGAACTCGTTACAGAGCTAAACACGACGGAAGCATTACTGAAAAAATTGAGACCCCCAATATCAGTGTGAACCGAATGAAATTTGGTTTCCACTTTTACCCTATGATTTAAATGAAGGGATGAGGAGAAACAGAGCCGAAACTTAGAAACAGATGGGTTTTCACTTTTAAGTTTTAATGGCGGAATGGAGCGAAATCGTAATGCCCCGTATATAAATAAGGTGGTCGCGGGTTTCGAAAGGTTGGAATGTTTTGGTAATACTACTTGGATTTTGGAGGAGATGAACATTCACCAATGGCGGAAAAGTATTTATACACTGTAGCCAATGACTTTGGTGTGGGGACCATCCAAGAAAACATATAAGACAGAGGTCTATTAGGAGAATGGTGGACCATATAGTGCTGCTGAATGGTGGTTAACGGAATTACGAATTTTAAAAAACCATAATACATCACGTAGTTAGTATTTCTTTCTAATATACTCTAATGAGCTAGAAATTCTTGGAAATTGCTTTCTTAGTTCAAAAAATAAAAATAAAAACAATTCATAATGAAGGAAAATGCATTTCATCTGACTATCTGAGTTAAGAATCTCGTGTTATCAAAACGTGTTTAGATCTACACTCATATTTGTTTCGTTAGCTTAATGCATAGTTTATCTAATCCAACTGATCATAAGGAAGATACAATAACACGAAATAGTTTGAGAATACTCGATAACTCTAACTCAAACATGACCATTTATAGGTGCTAATCCAATCTAATCCCTGAGAATTTTCGGTATGATTCTAAACAATTATACAATGTTCTATACGGAAAAATTGACGGTCTTGCTTAAAGTTTTTCCCTTATTGTTAATCCTACCTTATAGCTTTATAATTAGCTATTTTGTTATTTATTTTTAAAATTTCTTAAAGTTCGTTCAATCGGCCTAATGTTCGTTTAACTTGATGGATTTTCATTCGTTTTTAAAAGGTGGGGAAATAAACTTGATAGGTCGGGTCGTTTGATCATGGTTCAATAAGATTTTGAATGTATATCATTTACACAATGAGTGTTACTCATAGGTTAATTTATTGATCCAAAACTTGATACTCTTTTCGTCATAAAATTATTATTCAATCTAAATTTTTTATTTTTGATTCAATATGTACTATAAATAAATATTTAAATTATATAATAATTTTGAGACGAAAAATAATAAAAATTAAATGCATATAACCCGAGTTTTGTTTTTTGCATCATACTTAATTTTTCTATCGGGAAAAAAAAAAGTTTTTCCTAGTCTTTCTTCGTTAGCTTATCTGACCATTATTTGCCATAATATCTCATGGTTTGTGATATAATATTATCGTATTTCTTATTCATCGTATACTAATACATCTATTTCATAAAAATAGTTCACATTTAATTTTTAAATTTGCACTAAAATTAACACGAATCTCAAAATTCAATATAAATTTTTGTTTTTGCGACATATGGAGAATAATGAATTTTATATTTGGCGCTATTTATTTTTTAAAAAAATAATTACTTTACATATTTAGCGTATGAGGTACTGGTCTAGAGGTAAAACAACAATTGCTCTCAAGAGAAAGTCTTAAGTTTAATTTCCCACTCCAACAAATAATGGTTTGTTATACCTTTGTGCATAGACATATCTAAGATTGTTATGATAAATTTATATATGAACAAATGAACTCTTGATTTCACATTGTAGCTTGTCACTCCAGACTTACACACGATGATTTATCTCTTATTATAATTTGCATACTACATTATGATAAGTGCGAGTTTGCCCATCTCTGGTGGGATTTTTACTTTATAAAAAAAAAACAAAAAAACACACATAAGATATCAATTAATACGAGTTGTTATAAATAAAAAAAAAATTTCAAATTATGTACAGTAGAGTGGATTTTTTTAATTCCTACGTGCTATTTATTGAGGACTTTTAGGGCTACGTACCACGTGCCATCACCAAATCTATTTTTCATTAACGTGAAAAAATATTACTTCGTTAAATTAAATTTGTAACCTTATTTCACTGTAAAAAAAGTATTTACCACTTCTTCACTGTCATTAATTTTGGTCACATAATACTAAAGAAAAAATCAATGTGCTCTATTATTAATCTATATAAGAAATTTTATCTACAAAATTAATAAATTGAAAATTAATATCATACCAAAAAAAACTAAATACATTTGCAATAATATTTTAATAATTATTGACTATTAATTAATTTAAAAGAAAATAAATTAATTTTTTCCCTTTAGTGTTATTGAATTGAGATACTCTCTTTCTACTCATAAACATTGATGCATATGTATCTGAACTTTATTACTTCTGCACGTTGCAGTAAGAAAGTTATTAGAAAATGAGGTGTTTTTTATTCGGTAAAGGAGGAAAATCAATATATCATATTTGTGGTATTTAGTATTAATGTTAAAAAACATGAAGTCAACTTTTGAATTGTTTATTTCCTTCTATTTATCTTTTTTTTTTTTAATTTTGATATACCCTAGTTATAATAGTTTATATATTAAAATCAGTTGTTTGCCGAATGAGAGTTTTTTTTTTTTTTTTGTACAAAAGAGGAGGCAATCGACTATATTATAACGTTACCCGGGTATGAAACCCGAACTACATTGTGGCGTAGCCATTTTGTGACTAACGCCACAGGATTGGGTAGAAGTCGAACTCTCCAACTCTCTTCTGACGACATGCCCGCAAGACAGTCGGCGGCAAAATTTTCTTCCCTGTGGGCGTGATTCACCGATACGGTTCAGTTTCTCTCCAACAATTCTCTGATTCCTTCTATAAGGCCACCATGGACACCAGTGGGTTGGTTCCTGTTAAGGACTAGGTTGACCACTATTGAGCTGTCCAGTTCGACAATGACCCTCCTTTCCCCCGCATCCCATGCTTGTGTAAGCCCCTGCCAAATGCCCCATAACTCTGCTTTGGTGACCGTAGTTGCTCTAATGTTCATGATGAATCCCTACATCCACAGCCCATTAGAGTTTCTAATCAACCCCCCTGCTCCCGTTTCTCCCGTTGCCGGATCATAAGTCCCATCTGAATTTACTTTTACCCATCCTGGCGGTGGAGGTTCCCAATGAACCAACCTCTGTTCCCTTCTCCTCCCTTCTCCTCCAATCTTCGAATCCCTTAGTCTAGCCCCCTGAATCTCTTCCACTTTTTGTCGAATTTCCTTCAACTTGGTCCTATGCGAATATCTGACATTAGAGCAAACAAGGTCGTTCCTCCACTGCCATATTTTCCAACAAGTTATACCAAAACAGAGGACCCATTCATCTTCTTGACTTTTAGGCTGTCTGAGCAGGTTGTCAAGTAGCCACGCCTGTAATTCCTCCCGATAGAAACTCTGGATTTGCAACCCTTCTGGCAGTATGTTATCCCAAATTTGACGTGAGGAGCTGCAATCTCTGAATATGTGGATTATGGATTCATCCGCCAATCCACGGTAGGGGCAAAACGCAAAAGGTCCTATATGACGCTGATTCCTCTCCAAATTAGTCATCAGCTGACCTTTCGCCGCAAGCCATAAATAAGTTTTGACCCTCTTCGGACTGGGCCAAGACCATATTGCCTTCCATATCGGAGAGCCCCGTGCCTGTGACTGTTCCTCCATTATACCATAGACTGATTTCGTGGTAAAACCCCCATTTCCAGAAATGAGCCAATAGCTCTTGTCTTTCCCTCTTCATGGGTCTGGTGGTAACATTGCCGCAATCTTCATCAGAATGCGGGCGGGTAACAGATGTTGGAACGACCCCTAATTCCATTCGCCCTCCGTCAGTACAAACTCAGTCACTGTAATCTGTATTTGCTCCTCTGGAATTGGTTGTACTGCCGCTTCTTCAAGTGGTTTAGAACCTAGGGTCCAAGGGTCTTTCCAAAAGCAGATTGACTTGTCATCATTAAGAATCCAGTGGATCCCTTGTATCAGGGGAGTCCAAATCTTTGCAATTGATTGACAAATCATAGAGCTGTTTGAGGGGGAGAGAGGCCCAAAATTTTGGACCCCAAACTGACCATACTTCGCCTTAAAAACTTTGACCCACAATGGATCGGATTCATTCAGCAAGGCCCATCCCAATTTCATGATAAAGGCACGGTTCATGGACCTAAGTTTCTTAAGCCCAAGTCCCCATCTTCCTTGGATTCACATACCTCCTGCCAGCCCACCAAACTGAGTTTCTGTCCATCCTTGTCACGCTCCAGAGAAAACACCGACAAAGCTTCTCAATTTCTAAGCAAGTACTCACCGGAATCATGACAAATTGCATACTGTAAAAGGGCAGGGTAGATAGAACTGATTTAATCAGAGTAATTCTGCCCGCCAAGGAGAGACTGGAGGCCTTTAAATTACCCAGAATCGATCGGACTTTATCAACAATTCCAGCAAAGGTGTGTCGATTCAACAGCCCATGAATCATGGAGAGCCCAAGTATTTGCCTAAGTCCGAAACCGGTTTGAAGCCCATCTTCTTGGCCAATTCTCTGCTCCTTCTTATGTGGACGTTTTTGGAGAAGAATACTTTGAGTTTTTGGCATACTGACCTTCATACCCGATGCAACACAGAACTCCCCCAATACTGAATTCATCAGTGTCACCTATGAGTTTGATGCTTCTAGAAAAAGCAGTATATCATCTGCAAAAAGAAGGTATGGCAGTGGGAATTTGCTCCTGCCAAAACATAAGGGTTTTCATGTACCTTTATCCACTTCTTTCATTAAAGCGTGACCCAATCGTTTGATGTAAAGGACAAACAGATATAGCGAGATCGGATCTCCTTGGCGAATCCCGCAGTTTGGTTTGAAACTTCTGGAAGTCTCTCCATTCCACTGCAGCTGCATAGAAGCCGAAGTAATACAGTGCATCACACCATCAACAATGAGCTTCGGGAATCATGCCTGTTTTATCGTGTCATTGATAAACCACCACTTTATCATATCATACGCTTTCTCTAGGTCGATCTTGACCGCCATGTAGCCCTTCTTCCTTGTTTTTGGGGGCATGGTATGTATGGCCTCTTGAGCCATGATAATGTCGTCCGAAATCAATCTTTCTTTAATGAAGCTCGTCTATGTGGGGTTTATGATCTCCGGCAATGACAACTTAAATCGGTTGGCCAAGACTTTGGTGAGAAGCTTGTAGATGACATTACATAAGTTTATGGGACGGAATTGCTTGATGTTCTCCGGATTCTCCGTCTTGGGAATGAGTACGATCAAAGTATGGTTAACCTCCTCCACAATAACACCTCCATGGATGAATGCCTTGACAAAATCACATACCGATTGGCTCACCACTGACCATTTGTTTTGAAAGAAGAGGGGATGCAACCTGTCCGATCTGGGAGCTTTAATTGGGGCCATTTCCTTTAATGCTTGCAGAATCTCATCATCCTCCACTCCTCTACTCATAAACTGAAGGTCTGTCTATTGGAGCTGAGAGAAGCAATCCTTCACCCCATATAAAACTGATGCCGATGACTGCTCTGTATACAGGGATTGGAAATAATCCACCGCTAACTCCCTGATTTTCCACCAATATACCCTGGTCGTTTTTGAGAGCCACCACTCTATTCTTTTTTCTCCTCCTTTTTACAAATGAGTGATAGAATTTTGAGTTCCTATCCCCATATAAAGTCCAGCCCCTGTTTAATTTTTGGATCAACAAATGTTCTTCTTGGGCCAAGATTTCATCTAACTCTTTTAGAAGCCCCGTTTCTAGTGTTTTGGCAGTAGTACAGTGCTCCTTGGCTCTTTGGATTCCTCCGAGGCACACTAAAATTTTTCGTTTTTCCTAAATATGTTCCCAACTGTGGATTGGTTCCATTTGGTTGCTGCCTCGGCAAATTCCTTTGCATTCTATACAAAATCAGCACTCGGCATCCATGTACTCCTCACCAGCCTGTCAAAATCACCATGAAGCAGCCATGCTGCTTCAAAATTAAACGGTTTCCTCCTGTTGGGTCCGCCATTTTGGCCCTTAAACTTGACCATAAGTGGGCAATGGTCTGAGTGTACTCTCGGAAGATAAATGGTAATTGCCTTTGGGAACATGCCATGCCACAAATCATTGCTCAAAAAACGATCCAATTTCTTCAATAGATTTCATTCCTTTCAGGTAAATTTGGTCCGCATGGTTGGTAAATCTTGCATTTCAGCTTTGAAAACCCAATCACAAACCAACGGCATGGACCACTGCCATTCACTGCCCCACCCTTTTTTTCTAAGCTTCGCAAAATACAATTCCAGTCCCTACCCAGTAACCACGCCTCATTCACTCCATTCGTTATCATGCTTAATTCATGCCATAGCTCCTTTCGAATACTCGGAGTAGGGCTTGCGTAAACGAAGGTACACAAAAAGGATTCCATTTCCCTCTGAATCCTCGTATGCACATACTGCTTGGGGCATTCCAGGATTTCCACTTTCACGTAGTCTCTTCACAGGATCCAAATCCCACCCGAAAACCCTTGTGCCTCCACTCTAAATGATCGGTCAAACCGACTTCGTTTAACAAAGTCATCCGCTTTGATTCCGCTGATTCTGGGTTCTAAGATTGCCACGATATCCGGCTGATTCACCGTAATTAACAGCTCAAAAAAGTTTTTTGAAAATTTTCAGATCGTGCGCCCTGCACATTCCATGAAATAATAGTTGTATTCATTAAAAAACTATTATTCATGAGGAAACACACACCTTAGATTTCAGGGACTGCCACCGTATTTCCGGTGGCTTCTTCCTCCATGCGACATACTTCTTTCTCCGGCTCCGTACCCCCTGGCATATCCAAGTCAATTATAGGTGATGGTTCCCCCGTCAAAGGATCAGGTGGTATGTCCTCCTCCCCCTGGTAGGAGATCACGACGTCCACCATCATATCCTCTTCATCTCCTGTAATGGTTTTTTCCAAAGGTAGTTTGGGTTGAGTCTGAATGGTAACTGCTTGGTGCTTCAAAGGGTCAAGAGAGGAGAGGGTTGGTTTAATGTTTGGTCCAAATTAGTTTAGAGGATCTGTTGGGCTGGTGTGGGTGACTTCACTTGGCTCAAAGCGAACATAGGGGGCACTTGGGCAGTTTAGTTGGGCGTCAGGTCTGTTATTTGGGCTTGGAACATATGGGCCGTGTGTTGGGTTATTGGTGACGATAGGGGTCTGGTAGTTATTCGAACTGGGTTTATATGGTGAAGATTCGATTGGGCCGGTTTTGTTATAGTTGGCTACTTTGGTCTTTGGTTCAGGGCGTCTACTATCCTCTATTCATGATTCTTCGCTGATTTGTCCCGTGAGCTTGACTTTCTAGGTCCCAATACCGACCTTGACGGCACCATTGTAACACCTTTACCTTTGTATTTGTCTGTTGGGTTTTCCTCAGTTACAGTTGGGGTTGATGAAGATTCGTCCTCTTCCCCAGGTATTTCTAATAGCACATCAAATCTAGAAGCATGGCCAATATTCTTGGGTCCCGCTTGGTTCACATGTTGCACCTCGAGTGGGCCTTCGTCTTCTCTCTTGCTGACATAGTGGTCCACTCATCTGTTGACTTGGTGGTTTGGCTAAGGCCACCAGCATCTGTGGAGCTCTTTTGCCGCCGATCTGGCTGAGTTGAACTCTCTGATGGCCGGGCAACATCAGGTTGCTTTGGCGAGACGTATGGGCATGCTCCTACCTGATGGCCCACTCTGTTACAGGAGGCACACAATGGTAGAACGTTTTCGTATTCCACCCTTTGTATTCTGCCCCTCATTTCAACTTCCGTCACCAAAGGCTCATCCAAGTCAATCTCGACGACCATCCTTACAAATCGCCCCCGTGTCCTGGTGGCGGTTTGTTGGACGATATGTTTCACCTTGCCCAGAGCACATCCAATTCACTTAAGAAGAGATTGGTTATAATGATGGACTGATAGACCTGGGAGTTTAGCCCATACGATTGTTGCCTTGACCCGACTGGATGGCGCATCAAAGGAGATGTCCCATGGCTGGACATGCAAGTAGGTGTTAAGGATCACCTAAGGCCCATTATTCAGCACCTTATACATATCCTCTTTACACCTGAATTTGATTAGGAAATAGTCCCTCACTTGGTCCATGATCGCTATACAATCGGTGATTTGCCACAAATCCAGGAGGCTGTAGCATAAGGTTTGTAGGGAAATCGATCTCCCCATCAGCCTTAGGACTATTATGTCCTTCCATTGTTCAACCAGTTTCTGCTCAACTCGATCGAAAATCTCAATTTTTGCCTTACCTCCTTGCTTCGAGAGAATCACGTCATCATCGGCGATTTCCAATTCATCATCTACATCAAACAAGGAGCAGTTCAACCCTCTCATGATTTTGTCTCTGAAACTCATGGGTGTTGGATTGGAAGACTCTTTGTCAATACTATACCTTGGACTTCTTGGTGGATCTGGTATCGAGCAGGGGTGAAGAGGGGGGGCAGTTGTCTTTTTGGCTAGGAGGATGGATTATGTTTTCATGTCTGAATGGGTTGTTCCTCCTCCGTCCGACACAAAGTTAGCAGGAGATGTTGACCATGTGTTTGAGAGTAAAGTTTTTAGAGAGAGAAACTTAGAGAGAGGATGAACATTCTCACGTGCCGAATACTTTTCTACAAAGGCACCTTACAAAAAAACTTGGTGTAAAAAATAAAATTTTAAAAAAAGCATAATTTTGATTATACATGGAAGTCATCATACCAAAAAGTATTGTATGTGTCAATTAATTAAAAAAAATATGGAAATTTTACTAACTATTAAGATTTACAATGAAATTAAAAAAAATATGGAAAGAGCAAGCTGGAGATTGTGAATAGTTGATAGATTGTTCATTCGAAATCAAGATGACAACATGCCAAGTTTTTTTGGTACAATGAAAAAGATTATTGTCTAAAAAATGAAACTACTACTAAACAAGTGAACTAAGACAAAAAAATAAGAAAATTATGAATAAAACCTGACAGTACTTAGATTGCTTTAAAATTTCCTTCATAAATGCAGACTTCTTCACTTGTTAAAGAAAATATCCTCCATGACTATTTGGCTGAGCACATCGATTATTTGGATAGAAGAAAAAACTCCAACGTCGAAAAAAATGCGGCGAGATTGTTGAAGTGAATTTCAATGATCGTACTATAAGTAATCATAGATCAATAGTTTCATTCGTACTTTATTCTTCTTAGTATAGTGGGATCAATTATATCATAAAAAATATATTTAAAAAATATGAATGCATAAGTTTTTTTTTTGAAAAAAAATTATGTAAGCTTAAAATAATATTTACTTTCTATGAGTTCGTAGTAGTTTATTCTGAAAGAATGATTCAAATTTAGTCTTTTTATCAAGCTACAGAATATTACTAAACTAACATATCAAAACATCATAATTTGGAATTGGGAGAACAAAAATATAGTTAATTTTAAGACATGTGCAATTATGTTTTCATTTAAATTAAATATTAATATATAAACTTTAGAAGAAAGTGCCTTATTTTTTTGTTTATGTTTAATTAACGTGGCATGTAGATAACAAAATTTTTAAATATTGTATTCAACTCATAAAAAAGATGCCCGCGGGCACTTTAAATTGTAGCACCTCAACAATTGCAAGATATATATACGTTGCAGTTTTCATTTTTTTAAAATTAATTTTAAAATATCTTTTACAATACTTTCAATATAGGACGATGCACTGAAATCTGTAGAAAATCTGAGGGTGAAATTCAAAATTAGAGTTATTGCGAAGTCAAAGAGAGTTAAAACAATGATGAAAGAAATTTTACGATTCAAAACAAATTTTGGCTTCTGGGGATAGTGGTACATACAAACACATATTGAGGCATGCTAACACATGAATGTATCAACATTAACACTAATTATCTATTATATATATATATGTTTTGTTTGTTGATTAAAATCTATAGTCATACCGTGCAACATACATGAACATAACTAGTTAATTATCTATACTACTAAAATCATAGATATCTTTAAAAAGTCCTTATGTGTTTTTTTCCAAGAATTATAACTAGACTATTTGAACCATAATAAGAGTGGAGTTTGAATAATCCTACGATGCTGTTCTCGAATGAAGTCACGCCGACGTGCTAATTCAGGCTTTGTTTCTTTTTTTTTTATGGTTTTTAAAAATAATATAATAGTAAATGTTTCATCTCAACAAATCTTTTTACCTTTTTAATACATCCTTTTACATTCACAATAGAAAAAATACCTAAATACACACGCTGAAATAAAAAAAATCCAAACAATACCCTCACTAATTAGGTTAAAAATACAAAATATAAGAAATTATGGGGCAAACTTGCAATATCTCATACAATATGTGGCTCAAGAAGACAAATAAATATTTATTGCGGAGGCCACAATCTCCGAGAAAGACGGCCCTCGTCCAAAACTCACCATAAAAGTGTGAAAACTGGGAGTTTTATATCTCAAGCTCTGTTAAGTCCAACGAAAGTCACACTCGAAACACTTTCCCCCAAATTCAACGCGTAAGCTTTCGATGAATCTACAGTAAGTTACAGCGGTTGTTCCCTTTTTTCGATCCTGATCTCGTTCACATATTGTATAATTAGTTCTAGATCTTTGAGGGTCTTTATTGGTTTCTTAGTTGCATTGCTTGAGCGATGATATGAGCGTTATTGAATCCTTTATTCGGTATTTGTGGGTTTGATGTGATTGAGGGGAACGGGTTGTTTAGTGATGTTCTGTGCTTGAGCTAAAATGGAAAGAAATTTGCTGCATTGACGTGCTACTTGCGGAATTTCACAGTTTTCTTCCACTTTCTTGGTTTTGTACCACGCAGTTGATTTTCTGACATTCTTTATTGAAGTTATGTTAATGCCTGTTCGTTAAGGGTTTTTGTATGTCATTCTTTTGGTTTGATCGAACTAGTCAAGTGGGTGTGGGTTTACTGAAATTATTTTTAGGGTACATTTTAAAGAAGAAGAACTTTGCAATCGAAGCGTTTTGAAGATTATGGTTTGTTGCTCTTTCACTTGGAATCTTTCAAAGAAACCATTTTTGTAGTTATGTAAACCTTTCTGTTTTCTTCCAGTAGATGGTTTGTTTCTGCAATGCTCTCACCTGTGCCAGTCCTTTTTCACTACTTTTATGGTTTCCCCTTTCAATTGCAATTTACAGGTCGATGAGCATCTCAAGCCTGGTGATCAGAAAAAGCTTTCAGTGTCAATTTGCTTATTTGTAGTCACAGGGGAATAATATTTTAGTTGGTATTTGACATTAGTAATTGGCATTAGAGACTTCCCCAAAGGGCTTTCTTATTTACTGAGGGCTTGTTGAGTTGGGATTAAGGAAAGAATTGTTAAATTTCAAAGTTAAGATCTTTCAAGGGTGGTGAGTGATTCCAAGATGGAGTCTTTTTGGAATCTCGCCTTTCTACTGGAACCAGCACCGCTGACTCTTATTTTGACTGCCATAGCTGTGACATATGGATCGGCTTCTCGAGCTCTGAGCTATGGGAAAGAAATGGAGAGGAATCGGGATTTATCTGAAGCATCTATTACTTTGGACAGGTCCCAAGCTTTGATGATCCCAGTCATGAGCTCTTGCAGCTTGCTTCTGATGTTCTATTTGTTCTCTTCTGTTTCACAACTTCTAACTGGTTTCACTGCGATTGCCTCAGCTTCCGCTCTCTATTTCTGCTTAGCGCCCTATGTTACTCATGTCAAGTCCCAGTTTGGTTTGGCTGACCCTTTCATCTCTCGCTGTTGTGCAAAGTCATTTACCCGGATGCAAGGACTTCTTTTGTTGCTATGCACAGCTACTGTTGTGGCATGGCTTATAACTGGGCATTGGGTGTTGAACAATTTGTTGGGGATTTCCCTCTGTATTGCTTTTGTGAGTCATGTGCGCCTTCCGAACATTAAGATATGCGCAATGCTCCTTGTCTGTTTGTTTGTGTATGATATCTTCTGGGTATTTTTCTCAGAGAGGTTTTTTGGAGCAAATGTTATGGTATCAGTTGCAACACAGCAAGCATCCAACCCTGTTCACACGGTTGCTAATAGCTTGAACCTTCCTGGACTACAAATGATCACGAAGAAACTAGAGTTGCCTGTCAAGATTGTCTTCCCCCGGAATTTGTTGGGTGGAGTAGTTCCTGGAAATAATGTTACTGACTTCATGATGCTTGGCCTTGGTGACATGGTAATTTATCTTTATTTTGGTTGATTTACTGTTATGTTCATACTTGTAGGAAGTAAACTCATGGCTTTCTGAATCTCTTTTAGCCTTGTAGCTTGTAGTTCTCACCTTATTTCTTTGCTGTATATCTGGATGCATGTTCTGATGATATGCTAGATTAGTGGGTAAATGGAAAGAGATTTTTGCTGCTTAATCAATGCCCTATTGTATCCCTTTCCAGATTGTTATATGTTCCCCATTATTATTGCACCACCTGGAAATCACCAGGGTTTCTAATTTCTTGTTAGTATTTGCTATCTGTTCCTGATGTTTAAGAGCACAATCTCATTTCAAAAGAAAGACATGTGGGCTACCATCCTAATTATAAATTCTTGAGCTTCTGTCTATTTTGTTGTGTTACTGAGACTAAAATTTTCCATTATTTGTGCATGACGAGTTCTGTGAGCGGGCTCGATGCTAATTTGTAAAATCTAGTGCCATACCTTCCAAGTAACAGTTACATACAACTATCTTGGAGCATTCCAGTGATTGTGATAAATAATCTGTCGCATTTGTTGGAAATTCAGGGAGTTATAGCATGATTCCAAAAATTTTAAAATACTGGTGTTCATGGGGCAATCTTTCAACCTGGCTTTGTACTGTATTTGTGGTGTGCTCTTTCTATACTTGGTCCAGCTGAGCAAACATCTGAAGCATGTAACGTGCTGATATTCTGTTGTCTTCTGATGAATGTTTAGGGTGGTGGAAAATTTATATGAAGGTGCAAGTTTTTTCTCATCTGTCCCTTCTAGTTTCAAGTAGTATATGAAATTAGTAGCTTTCATGCATAAGAATGAAAGAGGATGTAGAAGTCATCTTGTAGTGGATCTAGTCTGTGCCTTTAGAGTTGTGGACTAGTTTTCAGCCAATGCAAAGCAATTTTTGTATCTTTCTTAACAAGTTTATAATAAGTATTTAGATTTACTTTGCAAAAGCTGAAAGAAGGGTTCACCGGCTTGGTCCTGCCATCGTTGTCAATTCTGAGTTGCGTTATTGCTATGAAATGCTAAGTAAGTATTTGTTTCAAGAGCTTATATATTTATTTTGTTTTTGCAGGCTATTCCTTCTATGCTGTTGGCATTGGTTCTCTTTTTTGATTATAGAAAAAGCAAGGATTCAGAGAATGCCTTGGATATGCCACCAACAAAGGGTTTTAAATACATTCGATATGCCCTGTTTGGATACGCAGTTGGCCTTGTAACAGCATTATCAGCGGGCATTTTGACACGCTCGCCACAACCAGCCCTTCTGTACCTGGTATGCTTTATTACCTTACAAGATCCATTCCAATATTGCATTAGTAAATCATGCTTCGCTCTGAAATAAATTTTCTTGTCCTGGCGAAGTTTTTTCTTACTTTTCTTCATGTTTTTGTATGTCCCATCATTCTTAACATGGCTGTCGTTAAGGATATTTTTGTTTTGACATTCAGACATTTTCAGGCCATATCTCTGTCACTAACTTATGATTCTTTTCTTGGGGGGAACACATAGGTTCCTTCTACTTTAGGTCCCATAATTGTCATCTCTTGGGTGAGAAAAGAGTTTTTGGAGCTTTGGGAAGGATCACATCTGAACACCAATGACAAAATTCGTTTATCAGAACCTTGAACCTTGGTTCTTACACTCAGATGCTTTTGCTAGACAACTAAATCTCAAGTTGTATACGCTAATAAAAATGCTCATGGAAGAACAAATGATTTTGGAGTGAGATCAAAAGCGGTCCAGGCTCCATCTAGAGATTTCAATGAAGCCAAGAAATGATAGGGAAAGTGTATTTTAGTGTTGAATACACATTGTTAGCCTGTAATTCTTTTACGGATTCAAATAGTTCATAGGATAGTTCCTTGCCACCCCAATGTAATCGCCATCGGAAACAAGATGTGCATGTAATTTGGATAAGTCTTCAGCGAGAACTCCTCTCCCTCTCTCTCTCTCTCTCTCTCTCTCTCTTTCATCAAGTAATCCACTTTTGTTTTCTGGAGCTAGCCTAAGTAAGGAAGAAATATGGTAAAGTAATGACATCAGTCAATTATTAACAAGATTAGAGTTGCATCCTTAATGATATTTGTCGAACACAGTCTTTTATAGTAGTTTATTTATACCCAAAATAAAAGTTCAAACAATATTTCACTAGAACAATTCAATTAACAAAGTTCTTACTTTGTGATGGAGGGAGAGCAACTACTGTAAACCCTTAATCTTATTCCTATCTAAAGGTGTATACTTGGCAATTGGCATGTAACTGCACATAACAACAGCTCAAGTCACCTATGTTTTTTGTTAACTCACTCAAACAGCTCCCTCTCTTAAGGGGTTGATGTTGAATTTGCTTGTCTCAAAATTTTAAATATTCTTTGAATTTGCAATACCTATTATACATTTACGTCAACTTAAAACATACACGCTATATAATTATTTCATTCAAGGGTGATGTAGTTAAAAACATTGAACTACATCTAATCATGTCGAACATATGATCTTAAGAGTGATGATATCTAGTAGTAACTTTTAAAATGTTGACAATTGTATTCTAGATGGATTAAATTTGACAGATAACTGAGGTTTGAGATGAAACTGAATTTTTTTTAAAGATGATGGACTAAAACAACTGTAAATTCGGATATGAGGGGTCAATAACTAATTCCTCGCTGTTTATGATGCTGAACGTTAATTACTCACCCCACTGGCTTCTCAATTGAATTTTCCCACCTCCACCAAAACAACTCGCACAGGCAATGCCCGCGGAGGAGCTGCCGGAGTGAAGGAGAAGACAGCTTAGTTTGTTACCGTTCGAGATTAAGATTCCTCGCTTCCGGGGAAGATGGGAACCTCAGTGCAAGTGACCCCACTTTGCGGCGTCTATAACGAGAATCCGCTCTCCTATTTAGTCTCAGTGGATGGCTTCAAGTTCCTCATCGACTGCGGCTGGAATGACCAGTTCGACACCTCTCTTCTTGAACCCCTTGCCAGGTCTTCCAATCTTCCTTCTTCAACATTTTTCTTTTATCTTTACAATGACCTCAGATTTTATGATTAAATGACAAACACTTCCGCTGGTGAAATTTGCTTATACCCTAAACCCTATTTTTTTAAACGAATGGGCTATTAATTTATGTTTCTCCATGGTTATTTCGCAGCAAATTGAACTTTAAGTTCTGTTTTCTAACACTATTTGCTTTGACAAACTTAGATTTAACTTGGGTTTTAGTTTGGTGTTATTGTTTTAGATTTCTGTACAATGAGGTTGGTTATTATGTTTGATGAAATTAAAATATATGAACTCCGTTTATCTTCTTTTGCTGGGTGTCCTGGACGTGTAGAACCCTGGGACGTCAGTTATCGCTACTCCTCTCCTTATGATCGTCTTGATTGTACCCTGAGAAAGCTCTTTTTATGTCATTCAGGGTGGCTCCAACCGTGGATGCCGTCCTACTCTCGTATTCAGACACTCTTCATCTTGGTGCTTTGCCTTATGCTATGAAGAAACTTGGACTCTCTGCTCCCATTTTTGCAACTGAACCAGTGTGCAGATTAGGCCTGCTGACGATGTATGACCAATTTGTTTCACGGAAGGTAAATACATTTGGCTTCTTGCTGTGCCTATCAAATCTTAATGACATTCCCTACATCTCTTCTGATTGAGCTACAGTCATTTTAGTGTTATCTGTGTCAATCATTAAATTGTCTCTGGGTTGTCATCACAATTCCCGACTATCTAATACCACTTTGTGGCTGTGCAGCAAGTCTCAGATTTTGAGTTCTTCACACTGGATGATATTGATCAAGCTTTCCAAAATATTACCAGCTTAACCTATTCTCAGAACCATCATCTTTCAGGTAGGCATGCCATCTGTGATGTTTTCCTAAATTGTGTATCCAACAGACGGTTTTCATTTTAGGACCTTTCTCTTATCATCCTTTGATATGCTGCTTTCGTTATTTTAGTCTGTAAATGTGATTTTTTTGTTTATCTTTCTGGTTAGGTGACTAGAAACATTGATAATTAGTTCTGCTGATAAACTTGATCTCTTTTTACTTGATTGTGAATTTTACTTATGTGCTTTCTATTACTGCAATTGACTTGAATCTGATTCGTCAATCTTGATAGTCATGACATCCCTACTTTGTCCTCCAGAAGTTTTTTGAAGAAAATTACAAGTTTTATGTTAATTTCTGTTATGTGAGTTGACTTAATATTTTTTCTAGTTACATCAAATACTCTGTTCAGCGTCATTAATTCTAAAATAAATCGGTTTAATAGGGAAAGGGGAAGGAATAGTTATTGCTCCCTATGTAGCTGGCCATCTTTTAGGAGGTGCGGTTTGGAAAATTACAAAGGACGGGGAAGATGTTATATATGCTGTTGACTTCAATCATCGGAAAGAGAGGTCATCTGCTTACCAAGCACTGATAAAATGCTCTGTTTTTTATTTACTATCCTCATGAGATCTTCTCTCCCCCTCTCTCCCCTCTCTCTCAGGCATTTGAATGGGACTGTCTTGGAGTCTTTTGTTCGTCCTGCAGTCTTAATAACGGATGCCTATAATGCTTTAAGCCACCAGCCTTCAAGACGTCAAAGAGACCAAGAATTTTTGGGTAATTGTTCTCCTTTTATTTTTTGAAATATTCTAACTGTTTATATATTCTTTCTTTACAATATTTCTCAAGCTGCAACAATGCTATGAATATTTGACTTCTTCCAAATGTTGGTTTTGCACTTCCTACTTTCTTCAGATGCCATAATGAAGACCCTTAAAACAGGTGGAAATGTACTGTTACCAGTGGACACTGCCGGTCGAGTATTGGAGTTGATTTTAATCCTGGAACAGGCCAGTTAGTGTATCCTTTGAAGTTATAGTTATGTTTCTACCATTTAAATGATCCAAAATTAACTTTTCTCATATCCATGCAGCACTGGGAGCAGTATAAATTGATCTATCCTATCTATTTCCTTACGTATGTGTCTTCAAGCACAATAAATTATGTGAAGACATTTCTTGAATGGATGAGTGATTCAATAGCAAAGTCTTTCGAGCACACACGTGACAATGTTTTCCTCTTGAGGTAGAGTATCTTCTATTGGTTTCTGACATCAAAGGATATTTTTTTTGGCAATCAAGGTAGAAGCAGGATCTCTTGTATTGAAATGCAAAATATATCCTTTAAGACCTTAAGTGAGAAAAAAGGTTAATCTTCCATGTTCTCTTTTATTCTATCTTTCTATGGCTTGTACAGTGTCTCAACCCTCTAACAAACTTAAATTAAGTGTCACAATTTCAACCCCCTCCTACAGTTTCTCTACTGTTAATATAGGCAGTTTAAATTCTGCCTTCTTTGTGTGGATGACATTTCCATACTAATGCATTCATGTTTCCAGGCACGTGAAACTTTTAATCAACAAGAGTGAGCTTGAAAATGTGCCGCTTGGACCAAAGGTCTGTACCCATTTGCTTATTTATAATGCTTTTAATTCTTGATTTACATTTTTGTACTGAAACTAACGGGTTATCTACTTAGGTTGTTTTTGCATCCTTGGGCAGTCTGGAAATTGGTTTTTCTCATGATTTATTTGTTGAATGGGCTTCCGATCCAAGCAATCTCGTACTTTTTACTGAAAGAGGCCAGGTGTGTCCTTATTCTAGGTCTAGTCTTGCATTTATGGAATTTGAATGCACCCTCTTTTTTCCTCCTGATATTACACATAATCTGATATTTAATGCTTATATGGTTGGGTTGTTATTACTTGGTTTGAGATGAAAAAAAATTAGCTTTCATACTTGAACATCTTATCCCTTGACTGTCTAATTGATTTGTGTGATGTGTGGTTTTATATGTTGGATCGTATTGCAGCTGGATCGTTGTTACTTGTAATGAATCATTAAATTTTCTAGATATGTTGGATGGTATTGTTTTTTTACTGGCTTCTTTTATTGTTCAGAATACGACGGCCATGACTTGCATGATGCATCCTTTTAGGCATTTGTCTAATTACTGCCTTCTGTTTCAGGTCATGGTTTCTGGGAGATGTTAAAAATAACATGCATTTGTGTTTTTTCTCTTCAGATCTTGTATCTGTATTCATATTGACTTATTGAAAAAAGAGGTATATTTTTTGCAAACCATGTATAGGTGCTGACTATTTTTGCTTCTCTGTAGTTCGCCACCTTAGCTCGTATGCTTCAGGCAGATCCACCTCCTAAAGCCGTTAAGGTGACTAAGTCAAAAAGAGAACCCTTGGCTGGGGAGGAATTAGCTGCTTATGAAGAAGAGCAAGATCGTCGTAAAAAGGAGGAAGCCCTTAAAGCTGCTCAAATAAAAGAGGAGAAATCAAATGCATCTGCTCGGAATGATAATGCTCAAAATGATCCAATGGTTGTTGACAAAACTCATGCCAATGATTCTAAAGCCGGTACGCTTAAGTTTTGTCTGCCCCTGGAGCTGTAAAGTTCCATTTTCTGCAAAACCAACTGTTTACCTGTAGTATAGCTCAAATGACCTTTCCTCAAGCTAGTAAGCAGGAAATGGGATCGAAATTTACATCTTGCTTGGTGGAAAATGAATAAAGGACCTAGTGCTATTGGAAGAGAAATATGTGATTATCATAGTTCTAAGCTCCATATCAGTGACTGGTTAATAAATAACAGAACGAATATCAGTCTGTAGTGGCTGAAACTGCTTACAGTGTTCTGAATGAGTGATGATTTTTCTCTCTGACGCAACATATTTGTGCATATTCTCTTCTGTACAATGTTAACGTATTTTTTAATTTTTTTAATGGATAGTATGCATTTTACCAGTCAGTTATACTCTTATCTGCTAATGGTTTCATTATCTCTAAAGCCCACAAATAATTTACCTGCATTTTACATTCCCCATCCAAAGCTCCTAATGATGAGATGGTGAAGTAGGAGGAGTTTTATTTTGAGATTAAAGATAGAATGATGTGTTGGTTTCTTTTTTATTTGCTTGACATTTACGAACCTGTTTTGCCTTTTTCTTTTTTTTTTTCTTTTTTTCCCGCAGCGGTTGGCCACCGCAATGAAGCTTTCAGGGATGTCTTCATTGATGGTTTTGTATCTCCCTCAACCAGTGTTGCCCCTATGTTTCCTTTCTATGATTACACGAGTGAATGGGATGATTTTGGTGAAGTCATTAATCCAGATGAATATGTGCTTAAAGCTGACAACATAGATTCAGCATCCATGCCTGTAAGTCTCTCTGTGATCTTTATGGAACTTTTGTGATCTGTTGCAGTTTATAGTCAGTTTCGTGAGCCTGCTTTGTCTCTATGGTGTTTTGAAGGGTTGTTTAATATTCCAATTTGGTAAATAGGTTAACAAACATGGATTTTTCTTTTCTTGACACCATAGGTTCGGCATTCATGCCTGTGAGTCTCTCCATAAACTTTATGGAACTTTTGTAATCTGTTGCAGTTTATAGTCAGCTTTGTGACATGCTCTGTCTTTATGGTGTTTTGAAGGGTTGTTTAATATTCCAATTTGGTAAATAGGTTAACAAATATGATTTTTTTTTCCCCTTGAAGGCCGATGGAGATCTTGGAAAGCTTGATGAAGGACCTATCAGTTTAATGTTGGATACAACACCTTCAAAAGTTGTTTCTATGGAAATGACAGTAAGATCCGCCTCTCTCTCTCTCCCGCACACACACGCACACAACCCCTTCAACTGGACGTCTTGAATTATCTGTTTGTTATTTTTACACACCGTGTTGGATGCAGATTCTCCTCATTCAGTTATTTGCTTCCAGAGTTCTCTCTTTATCTAGGAATAGTTGGTCAGTATGGCTTTAGTTTTTCTGTTTCTTATCTGGTCTGGGGAAATATTTGGCTTCAAGCCGTAGATTGTTTTAATTTCAAAAATCATTTGCCACTTTCATGTGGTGCTAATGGGTGGGAGCATTTTTTTTTATTTGCGAAAAATTTCTGTTTCGTTGATCCCATTATGATCTTTGAGGGAACTGAATGAATGGTGACCTTTTGCTTGAATCTAGCATTTAAGTGTATGATATCTATCTTTCAATGCAAATTATCACCTACAGAATGCAGTGTATATTGCAGACGCCTCAAAAATATGCTCATCAGTATTCCCCATTAAGAACTACTTTTTGTTGTTCCGAATTATTAACATCTTTGTTGGGCCTTTTTTGCCTTGTTTTGATTCTTCTATCAACACCCTGATTTCAATTTTAGGTTCAAGTTAAATGCTCTTTGATTTACATGGACTTTGAGGGTCGTGCTGATGGTCGGTCAATTAAATCAATCCTTGCTCACGTGAACCCTCTTAAGCTGGTAAATGTGCTTCTCCTTTGATTTATTCCTAGGCAGATAGCATTTGTTTGCTTCTACCTGGCATCAGTAGGAGATACTCCAAATCTTTTAGTTCTCCTCAACTTTTTTTTCTTGATTCTGTAATGCTTCCTATTTTGGAGGTTTTGGTGCATGGATCAGCTGAAGCCACTGAGCATTTGAAGCAGCACTGTCTGAAACATATTTGTCCCCATGTGTATGCTCCTCAAATTGAAGAGACGGTTGATGTCACATCGGATTTGTGTGCTTATAAGGTTAGAGTACATGCAAATATTTGTTCTGATACCACCATTATTTTTGCCTTGGATTCACTTTTCTCTGATTCTATTACTCCAGGTGCAACTTCCTGAGAAGTTGATGAGTGATGTGCTATTTAGGAAGGTAATAATACAAAAATCTTCTGTGTGTGTGTGTGTGTGTGTGTGTGTGTTTGTTTGTGTATTTATGTACATTCAGAAGTGTGTTTGGTGTTCATTGACAATCTATATTGAGGCGCTCCCATTGCAATTGCAGCTTGGAGATTATGAAATAGCATGGGTTGATGGTGAAGTGGAGAAGACAGAAAGTGGCATGTTATCTTTAGTTCCTCTTTCATCTCGTGCTCCACCACATAAAGGTGTGCTGGTGGGGGACATAAAAATGGCAGATTTCAAGCAGTTTCTAGCAAGCAAAGGTGTCCAGGTAATATAAAGTTTCTATATGCATATTGAAGTTTCCGTTTCTGTGTATTGAGTTATCCTTCCTGCTGTCTTAAGATGTATTAGCCAAAAAAGCACCACTAAACCGTGTTTGTATGAAACCCGTTTTGGCATCCATTTGAGATGTCACACGTATCACTGTTGCTCTTCCTGGGCCAGTCTGTGTGACTCTCCCTCCTCTTTATGATACACCTTCTACAGAAAAATAAAAGGAGGTTTTATATTAATCAGATGTGTAATGTTAAACAATTCATATGCAGGCGGAGTTTGGTGGTGGCGCACTTCGATGCGGGGAGCATGTGACACTTCGGAAGGTGGGAGATGCCAGCCAAAAGGTGGGTAACTTGCGCCTCTTCTGTTATTAGTGTTGTATGTATATACACTGACTTTCTGGATGGTCCCACAGGGTGGTGCTGGTGGTGTTCAACAAATACTTCTTGAAGGACCCTTGACCGAGGATTACTATAAAATCCGTGAACATCTGTACTCACAGTTTTATGCTCCATGAATTTGACACAGAGAGAGTTTTTGTCCTTGAGTTTTTGACAATGGAGTTGGTCATCTACCGAACTTACGCAGCTAAGCCAAAAAATCTAGTCTTTGGCATTTCTCGATGAAAGGCGAATGTGCTGTATTGTGGAACTTGTGATGTGGTGTAATAGACGACGACTAAGATGTGTATTCCCCTATAATGTTGTCAGTTCTTCTTGCCCTGAACATGTGGTTTTGCTTGAGCATACAAAACCCAAAGCACTATGATTTGTATAGTGAAATAGATAGCCTTGTCCATTAAATTGCTATCTTGGATAGTTGTACGTAAACGGGAGGCTTTAATATCGCATCCTTTTTTAATTTAAGTAGCCATTATTAACAGCTGACGTAGCAATTCCAACTCTCTAATCATGCGGATTCAAATGCACTATTATTTTATTTCTTATTATTGGAAGAAATATTTTCTTGCTACTAGCATTAGCAATGTCGCAGGCGGAAGAATTTTTTTTTTTCTTAAATGGTTTTACTTACATGGTAAATGAGCAAGTGTAAATAAAATTTCCATGATCTTTTCATTTAAGCTTGCGATTTACTATAAATTTTGTAGATTTCTCCTTTAAATTGATTGTGTTCTCTGTATTGTCAGATTAAATTCTAAGATCTGTTACGAACTTTTCCTCATTCTAAAATCCACAAGCAAAAACGTCCATCCACTGTTGGTAAAAGTAATACTCCCTCTGTTCCAAAATTATTATCCAGTGTAAGATTTCACTTTTAGTATTTTCTCTGTTTCAAAATTATTGTCACTTTGAGTTTTCAATTTAGTATAAATTATACCAAAAGTGAGAACCCAAACTGTACAATAATTATGGGACAGAGGGAATACATTTTATGCTAGAAATGAAAACCCAAACTGGACAATAATTATGGGACGGAAGGAGTATTACTAACAATGGTGTTTCCAATTTTCCCAAACCATAAAATTGGGGATTTCAACGTTTCTTTTTGCCCAAACTAGAAACGGTAGTAACAAGCTAACTGACAGCTGAAATTTTTACAGAGATACTTTTTTATCGGGTATGTGCATTATCCGTGGGAGTATTTCATTTCATTTTAGTTGTGTTTAAAGATACAGTTACATAATATCACCAACCCCCCAAGCAGCCAACTACAAAACTCACACTGAGAGAAAGCGATCGGAGGGAGCAGCATAAACGCTAATACAAACAACCTCCAAATCGATCAATCACGCTCATTTCTGTTGTTTCCTCAATCCGTAATAATTTCCAAATCAGCCTGCCCTAGAATTTTCTCACTCTTTACCGTCCGGTCCTTGTCAAAGGCTCATTTCTGTTGGGGTTGTAATCTTTTCTGTAGATGACAATGCCTTCGTTGACCACTACATGGTCTCCCAGTTCGCTTCAGCTCCGGTTAGCATTCGCCGCCCGGAGGTCTCCTCCCCCTCCCTTTCTCAGGATGCGAATTCGTGTGTTTTCGGTTTCCGAGAATTGGTCGGTTAGAAATAACGTGTCGGAGCGCCGTCGTTCCGGGGATTCCTGGGCAGTGAATCCCAATTCAACTTCTGATGGATATGCTGGCTGGACCGACGGAGAAGAATCCAGCGGCGACTCGAATCCGAAGGAACCCAATCATAGTGAGATTACTTACTCCCTTAGAGCTTCATGTTTAATTTTTCTGTTAAACATCCCTTCCGTATTTCACATGCGACGAAGACAGTGCTTTTTGGTTAGGTTTTTCAATATAATCTCTATGTTAGTTTGAAATATGGTCGTTTTCGGTGCACAACTATTCATATTTACTACTATTCATGTTCTGGATGTATGTTGTTTTAGTTCTGGTTTGTTGTAGTCTATAACACTTGTAAGTAGACATCTTTCAGGAATTGTGGTGGCGGGTGTTGCGGGAGCTCTTCTTCTGGCTGGTCTCACCTTTGCTGCTTTCTCATTTCGAAATCGAGGCACATCCAGTAAGTTATATATTTTCATGCTGCCACTACGGTTACCTTATTCGTGTGTAGAATACTGGAGAACTCTTTTGCGATTTCTTGAACAATATATAAGTATCCAGAAGACATTAATTAATGCTTTAGAAAGTTTGATTGGTTTTATCATTTTGTTCCAGTGAACAATGACATAGTGTCAATTCAGATACCTATTTTCTTATTTTAAATTATGTACAATCCGGTGTTATTTTAGGAGTAGAACAGCCAATGGAGCCACTAACAGCACGTGAAGAAGTAGCATTGACATCTGATTACAATGATCAAACCTTAGAAGATAGAATCGACAGCAAGAATCAAACTGAAGATAGTAGTGAAAAGGCTGAACCTGCAAGTTTAGATGAAGATCTCAACACAAGCACTGTAAAGGCTGAACCTACTCTGAGTAAACAGAGTGATGACTCTGATAAAGGAGATGAATCAAGTCATGGTGATGTCTCTAATATCACTTCCCTTCAACAAGAAGATGAATCATCTCTTGATGACACTTCAGTTGGTCCTGAAGAGTTTCCCCAACAATTGGAAAGTGAGTTTGCTAAATCCAGCTCAGGAAGTGGTAAGGTTGACCTCATTACTCTGGATCTAGAGCATCAACATGCTCTTGAACCTGAGGGAGATTCTGTTGTCACAAACTCATCACTCTTAAATGATGACACATCAACTATAAGCACTGTTCGAAACTTGTCATCAGAACCATCACTCAGTGAGCCAGATTATGTAAATGTTTCAGATAAATCACAATTTGATGAAGATTTTGAGCCCTCTAATATGGAAACGAATGATCCAAGCTCTCCGGTGAACACAGATGCTGATCTGAACATTGCTGCAGAAGTTTCAGGTGAACAAGATAAGTCACCTGGGGGTTTGCACAACCCAATTGTCAATGAATCATCTGGAGCAAGTTCAGTGTCTGATGTTTCATATCCTTTTACCAAGAAGCAACTTGGAAATATTTATCAAACTGTTAATGAAACCGGAACATCTTTTGACTTGAACAGCCTTGGAATTACGTACACTACTGCAGTCATACCTGCTCCGTCGAAGCTATCTACAGCATTGCAGGAATTCAGAGGAAAAGTTTTGATTCCTGCTGTTGTTGATCAAGTTCAAAGTCAGGCATTATCCGCTTTGCAAGCATTAAAGGTATTTTGTTGTATATTTTCTGGTAACAACATGTTTTCAGTCGTATGCTTAACTGTAGAAATTACCTATACCTTCCTTCTCATTATTTTTCCAACTAGTAGTTTGATTGTGTGGAATCGTTTGCTACCAGATAGCCATGGAACTGTTAGCAAAGTTCCAGGTTATCTTGAGCTGCTTATTGGCTCTGCTTATGTTAAGTTATGGGGGTTGGTTTAAGCAAACACAATAAATGAAAGTTTCCTCTATGGTGGCGGAAGTTGGATCCATGTCACTTGTTGGGCAATCATTGTAACCATTCTGCATTGTGGCAGTCCTAATCTATAAGCTTATTAATTCTGCAAACTAATTCCAATTACATAACCTGACAAGAGCTTTCTTAAAATTTTTAGGTCATTGAAGTCGATGTCCAACCAGGAGATCTTTGTACTCGTCGAGAATATGCTCGTTGGTTGGTTTCAGCCAGTGGTGTCCTATCAAGGTACAGTTACCTTCTGCTTTTTCTGAGGAAAAGGTTAGACTAGTCTACCATTGATCAGGCCTAATAGACCGAAGGCCTAAGTTACACGGAAAAGATTCGATACGACCTGGATTGGCACAGGTGCAGGTGTGGATCAAATACTCTCCTCTTTGGTGGAAAAACCCCATCTTTTCTAAAATGTTGCCGAGTCCGACCCTTGGATCCTGCATCCGAACCTGACACTTGTGCAGATTCCAGTGACTTGGCTAAGTCTGATAATATAAATCTGAGACAGTTTAGTTATAATATAAGTCTTAGATAGTTGAGTTTATTGGACCATGTCTGAGATGGTTGGATTTAGTTTTCAAGAAATCCATTTCTATCTCTTTAGTTCCTTATATTGTATGGTTTAATCTCTTAATCATGTAGAACTGAATCTGTTATCTTCCTTTAGGAGTACAGTTACAAAGGTCTACCCTGCCATGTACATTGAGAATGTCACAGAACTTGCCTTTGACGACATTAGACCTGAAGATCCTGATTTTCCATCTATTCAAGGTAGGAAGGATCCATTTTGTTATTTTACGGTATTAAATTATGGGTTTTTGAACTTGTTAGGTATTTTCAGGTTTGGCAGAAGCTGGTCTGATTTCCAGTAAGCTATCAAGACGTGACATGCAATCTTCTCCAGATGATGACCATAGTCCTGTTTTCTTCTCACCAGAGAGGTATCTTTTCTGGCTAGTGAGAGCCGAAATTTAGTAGAAGTATACAAGCCCAAATATTATGCAATATTCATAAGCTTTTTGATACTTCGACATTCTGAAAGTGATACATAATTTCATCTCTTTTTCTGGGCACAGAATATTAAACACGTCTGATATTGTCAAAAAGTTAGTTTGTTGACAGCAACTGTTGATGGTGTTGCTCGATATTTATTTGTCCAAATTTTTCACTTTGAGATTAGGATCGCCTTTTTTCTTTTTTTGTTTATCATACATTTTTGGTGTTGCAGCCCTTTGTCACGTCAAGATCTTGTAAGTTGGAAGATGGCCCTAGAAAAGAAACAGCTTCCAGTAGTTGACAAAGAGGTTACGTAGTTCAATATGATCTTTTGCTTTTTTTTTTTCTTTTTTTTTTTTTTTGGTTTTTGTCAACCAAACCAGGTTGTTCAAAAGACTGAACTTGATGCCTTCTTATGACAGATTTTGCAGCAACTCTCGGGATTCATAGATTTAGAAAAGATTCACCCTGATGCTTGGCCTGCACTTGTGGCTGACATAGCAGCGGGAGACCAGGGGATTATGGCCCTGTCTTTTGGTATGCTAAAACTTCAGTCAATGTACACATTTTGTGCCTAGTTTATCCCCTATTACGACTGGCTATATGAATACACTTTTTCAAGAAGCTCCCATTTTTCAACTGCAATATCAAAGATAATCTTCTACACCATTTTCAACTTTTCTAGTGATTTTCTTACTCTACAATTTAAAAGCCATTGCAATAGCTAGATTTCTTGCACGATTGGTAACAACAAACCAAATGTGTCTCATTGACTAGGTGATAAAAGTACCCGTCAGTCGTACTTGAATTACTGTCATCAACAAAATCCTGTTCATTTTTGTCTTTGACTTATTTTATTAGCAACTAGATTTCATGCCTAACTCATAAATGAAGGTGAGAAATCTGCTAACATTTTTTAGGATACACAAGACTATTCCAGCCAGATAAGCCCGTGACAAAAGCTCAAGCTGCAATTGCCCTTGCAACTGGCGAGGCTTCTGAAATTGTTGGTGAGGAACTTGCACGTATTGAAGCAGAATCTATGGCAGAAAATGTTGTTGCTGCACATAATGCCCTAGTGGCTCAAGTTGAGGAAGAGATGAATGCCAGTTATGAGAAAGAACTTCAACTGGAAAGGGGGAAAATTGATGCTGTAAAGAAACTAGCTGAAGAAGCAAGGGCAGAAATTGAGAGGTTGAGAGCTGAGAAGGAGGAAGAAAATCTTTCGTTGCTGAAGGAACGAGCTGCAGTTGACTCAGAAATGGAAGTTCTGTCTAGGTTGAGACGTGAAATGGAGGAGCAGTTGCAGACCGTCATGAATGACAAAGCTGAAATTTCATATGAAAAAGAAAGACTCGTCAAGCTTCGAAAAGATGCGGAAATTGAGAATCAAGAGATTGCACGATTGCAGTATGAGCTGGAGGTTGAGCGGAAAGCTTTGTCGATGGCCAGGTTAGATAATGAACCAATTCTTCATTATTTCAAAAAGATTATTAGTTTTTTTACAAGGATTCATAGATGAAAATGATGTACTTATGGGTAATGGTTAAAATGTAGACATTATTTTTTTGCTAGCAATTTATATATTGAACTTACCACCGAAGCCACTGAATAGGGTTAGGTAGATCTGCTTGTTTTGATCGTACATTATTTACGACCAAAGTTGTGTTAAAAGTATGTAATGATTGGACTATATGTCGGTTCTATGACCATTAGGTTTTGTGGTAATTTTTGTATCATCTTTTCCCTTTTTCCTTTTTTGTGACCTGTTCATTTGGTAAACTTTGACTAGAGCATGGGCTGAGGATGAGGCGAAAAGAGCAAGAGAGCAAGCAAAATCCTTAGATGAGGCTCGGGAAAGGTGGGAGAGACAAGGGATAAAAGTAGTTGTTGATGATGACCTGCGTGAAGAGGCAAATGTTGGAGTTACTTGGGTGGCTGCTGGAAATGAGTCATTTGTTAAAGGAACCATTGATCGGGCTGAAAATTTGGTGGATAAGCTAAAGCATCTGGGAGATGTTGTCAAGGAAAAATCTAAAGATACAATACAAATGATCATCCAGCTGGTCCTCTCCACAATACACAGGTTGAAGGAACTGATTGGAAAAGCTGGTAGGCAGGCTGAGGAGCTAAAAGATACGGCCGTTGAAAAGCTTGGTAACTCATTACAAGAGGCTCAACAAAGTTCAGTTGTACTTGCTTCAGCTGCCAAGGATGGAATTAAGCGGTTTGCAGGAGATTGCAGGGATGGAGTAGAGAAGATCTCCCAAAAGTTCAAGACATGAGTGGGGCCAGTGTGCTCTTTTCCGTTGCCCATTTCCATCAGTGATATGTAAAACCATAAGTACTTGCCTAGACCCTCAACCGCGTTTAACTAGATCAGCGATGCTCCTGTTTTGCAGGTTCTGGCATTACTGGGGTGAGAACTGCAATTACAGCGCACCATGGCAATTTAGAAATGTACACCAGAAAAAATAAGACGCCTGATGAACCCACCTTGTGGTTGGCCAAATGTTGTAGCAGTCTTCGCAATTGTAATTGAAGTCTTAGTTTAGAAATGTTTATGTACACCAGAAATAATAAGACGCCTGACGAACCCACCTTGTGGTTGGCCAAACATGGTACGCCCTTGAGAATTTTTTCAGGATTGCAATTGGAGTAAGACCTTGTTCATCAAAAAGCTCTGCACGTGAAAGCAGAAGCTCTGACGTTTCTTGATTGCTAGGCTCTACTATTTCTCCAATTTAAAAGAATCGCCTTCATTGAAGTATAATGAAAATTTTACTCTTTTATTTTTGGCATATGTCAATTGTGACCAATGATTCTGTTTCATCAACATGATGTCCTTTACCAAAGGGGAAAAACAGAACACCCTCGCTGGGGTTCACTGGTATTCTTGTGCTGTGATCAGCTTAATAGGTGCTTTCTTTTGACAAGTGAACTGGCCATATCCGGTCTTATCGACAAATCAATTGAAAATATAAATGTAGGACGTGCAGATTCTATGGTGTAAATGATCAATACCGCATACTTTCTCAAAATTAAGCTCCATACAGATGTTCATTAACCACAAATTTGGTCTCTACATAAGAAAGAAACACAGAGCAAAGGCTAACTGAATTTCATGAAGTAGAAGGTTCCCCAAATTATCAAAATCTAACATTCTTAAGTGACATTTAAAAGCTACAACATGAATCCCTCACTTCTTCTTTTCACCACCTCCAGCTGCCCTGCATTAGGAACACAAGGAATTAGACAATGGTGTTTACCATGCAAGATTTCATTCTTCAAGTGTTCCAATGGACATGCAACAAAATAAGTTAGATCGGTCATCTTTACCTCATCTTACGGAGAACATTGGACATTTCCTCTCTCTTCTTCTTTGCCCTCTTGTGGGTGCCCAACTTTCTCTTTGCCACCTTTAAAGCACGCTTATCCTTGCCAACTTTAAGAAGCTCAGTGATCCTTTTCTCATAAGGCGCAAATCCAGCAACTTCCCTGATGAGGCTCCTTACAAAGTGAACTCTTTTGCTTGTTTTCTGCAAAACATTATAACTTACTTGAGCAACAAAACTGAATTAAAAATATACAACTCTAGATTACAGACCCAGGCATACATTGCAGGAGCAATAAAAAAATCTTTGAAAATCTTTATTTCTAGTCGAGTGTCCAGCTTTTAAGGAGTTTGACATACAGATAAGGACCAATATGATCATCAACTTGTACTAAATAGAGATACTAGCACTAAAATCAAAATGGATAACTGCTAATGCTGCCACGAGAAGCAAGTTGAATGCCTCAGATTAGCATATTGGCTGATTAATCATTTGCAAACAGCAGCCCCACAATAATCATTGTAGGTGCGCAAATTAGCTGCTGTTGCTCGTGCCAATAGTAGTCCTCAAAGGCTTTTTAAATCTCAAACAAACTCAAAAGCCTAGGAAAATCACATCACAGTGTTATGCAAAACATACATTGCACCTATCAGATACTGAAAAGGTAATCTCAAAAAGAGCTCCAATTTTTATAAGAACATGGCTACTACACAAAACATTAGTAATAAGAAAAATAAGCAGCAGGACTAACTTTTCTAAAGCTTATATCACCAAAACTACATTTACAACTATTTGAAAACCAAAAAATAGAAACAGTTTAAATCATTCTAAGGCACAATGAGAAGCAGCCAAAGCTTCCAGAAAACGTACCCCTTTCCTATCAGAAGGACGTGGAGCCAATTCCCTCCTGGTCACGACATGACCTTTGTTCAGTCCAACAAACAAACCTGCACTCGGAGGCTTCGTCTTCCCCATCCCTACTTAGCCGAAACAAAAAAAGCCACATTTTTAATTCATATTGCCCAGCTAGATACCATAAGGACCCTACATTCCAATCTACAAATAACCTTTTCAATTAAGTTCCAGAAAATAATGTCTTCCTAAGCATATTATCCCAAAACCCTCAGCATTAACAATTGAAAAAGGATCAAAATCGAAAGAGTTGTCTTGACAGCACAATTCATGCATATATCATCACAAGGACCACCATGCTACATCGGAGAAGGTAACGAAATATGGGTTTGGTCGATGAAATAGATTTCAATCTCAGAACAACTGAAACATAATTGCAAAAAGCAGCAAGATAATGCATACTACATCGATTACATATTTGTTTAAACACACTAAATGTCAAGCATCGAGATCAAGACCAAAGAAAAGTTGAAGCTTACCTTCTTCAACTCGTCGGAATCGCTGGCTGTGACTGAGGCGGGGCGATGAAATGCAGAACTAGGGTTTTAATGGAAGCGCGTGCTTTTATATAGGGTTGACAGTTGGGTCGATCTGCCGGTCTCACTTTGCGAGCCCTAGTTATGATATAATTTGGGCCGATAAAGAAACTTAATGTTGGAAGTCCAATTTAGTTTAGACGTTTCATGCTGGTAACGCTTTGGGCCCAATGAAAGTTTCTTATTTTCCCCTTTTATTTTCCCTTTCATTTTATGGTAGTAGTATTATTATTATTATTATTATTTTGTTTCAAATATGAAGGTATCATGATTATTATTACCAACTATCAGGATAAGATCAAAAAGGTAAATAGGGATGTACGTATTTAATTACCTGAAATAAATAAGTTTAAGAATGGGAATTCAAAAATATAACAGAAAAGATAATTAGTGAGTCCTCACCTGAGAATATAGACACATAAAGGCAAATTTATTTCCTACTTGCAAAACAAAATCATTTTTATTTTTTACAAAGTATCCAAGTGAAACCCAAAAAATAAATGGCAAAATGCTACTTCTTTTGTTTTGTTAATGACTCCAATTAATTTTTTTACTACTTTTATTACTAAGGAAATAATATGTGTTGAATTTTGAAATTTATTATATTTTCTTGAAACTTTTTTCCGGACAGAGCAAGTAATAAAAAACTGTATCTGCTCTAAATGTTTACTCTCAATTCTTTTTCTTTTTTCTTTTTACTAGTTAACTCTTCTTAGTAAATCAATTTTTAGTTGGTCAAACACTGAACATGGTTAAAGGACAATGTTATGGCGTATCACGCATTACTCTCTCTTTTTTGGAAAAATTTGGCTAAACGATAGTAAAACAAGTCAAATTAATAAAAAGGATATGACATAAAAATATATTTTTTTATGAAGAATGGTAGTATATTTGTCAAAATCACAAAATCAATATAATTTTATAATGACATAATTATCTTTATTTTTTTAATTACCTTTTTTTTTAGAAGAAAATTTTCATTCATACGTTAAAAATCATCCAACTTTGACAATACAAAGAAACAAAATGAAATACATAACGTAATCACTACCCGTAGCTCTTTTTCCCGTCGATCATCATGATTTGGGATTTTGCGTAGAAAACCATGACGAAACTTCTAATCAGTTTCAATTGTCGATTTTAATGATGTAGTATTAGCAGCATCATTTTGATAATTTGAAAAAATATAGTAATATTAACAATAACGTTAGTTTGACCCAAATTCATCCTTGTCTGTAGGCTGTAGCCGTTATGTTTCTTGAAATCTAAGTTGGGGTTTCTTCCAAATATGTGAAGCATGTTTTTGCATTCTGATTAAGCCACTGATGTTTTGAGCTTTTGTAACAAAGTACAAAGAGTTTTCTTATAAAACTTTAAGATTAGCTAGTGTGAAATGAATCCTTCGTATTAATGATTTTCTAACACTTCTCTTCACATATTATCTACTTCATAAAATTGCTGTCCTAGCTAGTAGTGCTTGAAGAGTTTATCCACTGTGCATAACTAGAAGCAAGGAAAAAAATTCGATAAGTTTCGCGAGCATGCTTGCTACTATTATTTAAACTCTAGTTAGCGAAAACTTAATTCTGGGTTCTCTTTTCGTCTACTGTGATCTTGAATGATATGGGCTTAAGCATTCAAACAAACAACAGATCTCAGAGTTCTCAAAGGCTACTCAGTGAACATGTCCAAAATCCACTCACTACTGGGAACGACGGTCCCGAAGTTTTGCCTAAAATTTGCTTAGTATCCTCGAGCCGACGTAGAAATTAATTACGTAAAAGTAAGAGATCCAATCATAGAAATATGAGAAAATGATTGGTTCCATGCTAAGTTTTTTTTTTTTCTTTTTTGGTCCTTTAAGGACGTTGAACAGTGATAAAAACAAAGATATAAAATTAGGAGAAAAGCCATAAAAAAAAAAAGTATTATAAGAAATTATAAGGGTTGTACTGTCAAATCAAAATATTTTTTATTTATGATGTTTGAATTAATAAGTTACTGTCCTTCATAAAAAATATTTTAAAGTCATACCTTTTTTATTAATTTGACGTGTTCTACTACTTTTTACCCAGATTTTTCCCTCTTTTTTAACCCTCCCTCCTTTTACTGTTTTACATTTAAAAAAATTTTTTGGTATGCGATTAAGTCCTTGTTTTGTGTGTGTGCGGTGTTGTTTGTTTTTCTTGGTGATCTTAGGGCCTTGTATCGTATGTAACATCAATAAGACAGTTACGACTTACGAGTTTAAATGCACTGTTGTTAGGACATCATTTATACATCTCCATATGATTATGAATCGTTTCCCTTCAAGCTTATTTCTCCCATTCACCGGCCCTTTTCTGGTTCAATCTGATATTTTGATTGGAGTCCATGGCTTTCGTTGGTACTTGGAACTTCTCATTTCAACTAGACCAGGCAGGAAGAAATGAACTTTTTCCTTTTTTTTTTTTTTTTTTGACTACTGAAAGGAAAATTGAATAAACAAACATATTTCATTGTCCTTCCTTTTCACCCGATCTCTTGAGTTTCCGAATATCGAGGATAAAAGGTTTTAGAGACTATTTTGTACTGAAGGAGACTGCAATCAATAATATGGATAGTAAAACAAAACCCAAATTTTTAATTTTTTTTTAATTTTTTTTTTCCTCGCAGAATCTAGAATATGAAACAAATCATTCATTACACCAAACGGGGGAAATCAATCACTCAAGACAGCTTTGTGTTCCCAATTTTGCACCACGGCTTCCAGTCCAGGTACTCCAATGATGGGTGGTTGGTAGTTGAGTTCCAGTTGACTTGCAGGTGTTACCTTCCTCTCTCCTCATATTTTTTTTTCCTCTTCCACCATTTTTTCTTGATTCATTCATTCCGGGTTCGTTTCCTCTGTACTATGTAGCACAGAAGCTGTTCATTTTGGGATTCTTATTTCTTTAATGGGTTCTCGAAGTACTTTCGTTTCTTGATTAAAGTCGGTTGCTTCTTTATTTCTTGTCCAAATATCCTAAAGCCCAAGAAGAAAGAAGAGGTCGGTTGGAATCAATGGCTTTCTGAGTTTTTTTTTGGTGAAATGCTGATCGCGTTCTTGTAAGGTTGCAACTCCGGTATACTTGGGCTATTGCTGATATCTGGTTCTCCTGTGCTGTTGTTTTACTTGTATGCTTGGAAGAGATTACCTAGCATCGTTTTAGGCAACTAGGGAATACTGGATTTTGTTTTCTTGTTTGTTTTAGTTTGAAGTATTTTACATCAATTTATGCTGCTCCCAGTTTTATGTATCAACTAGTGAAGAACAGAAAGGGATCCCTCTGTGTTGCTTGCTTTAAATGTCTCCCATTTTGAACGTGTGCATTGCCTTTAAAGATATTTGGCTTGGGGCTTCCGTGTTCTTCAAAATTTGTGCTGTAATAGTGTAGCGTTTTTTTGACAGGAAGTCCCAATTGTTAGTTTATTAGGAATTCTGTTACCGAGAATTTGTAGTCAAGCCAAAACGCTTAGCATAGCCTTTTGGATTTAACCAATATTCACATTGTCTTGGAATTCACCATGTTCGCGAGCTAGTTTGCGATGTCATTCATCTGTGGCCTCCCCATTATCGAGTGTGTTTACTGTCTAGCCTGTGCACGCTGGGCATGGAAACGTTGTCTACACACTGCAGGACATGACAGTGAGACTTGGGGGCTGGCCACAGCAGAAGAATTCGAACCTGTCCCTAGACTATGCCGGTATATACTTTCGGTTTATGAAGATGATATTAGACAGCCTCTTTGGGAACCTCCAGGAGGGTACGGAATGGAGCCAGATTGTGTACTTCTGAAGAAAACGTATGAAGATACCCTTGGACTAGCACCCCCTTACTTGCTATATCTTGATCATGACCATTCCGATATAGTTCTTGCTATTAGAGGCCTTAATTTGGCAAAAGAGAGTGATTATGCTGTTCTTCTGGATAATAAGCTTGGGCAGAGGAAATTCAATGGAGGTTATGTGCATAATGGCTTGCTAAAAGCTGCTGGCCGAGTACTAGATGCAGAATGTGATATATTGAAGGAATTGGTTGAGAAATATCCAAATTATACCCTGACTTTTGCTGGACATTCCCTAGGATCAGGTGTGGCAGCTTTATTGACAATGTTGGTGGTAACAAATCCTGATAGGTTGGGCAACGTCGACAGGAAGAGGATAAGATGTTATGCTATGGCACCGACAAGATGTATGTCACTTAATTTAGCAGTTAGGTATGCAGATGTCATCAATTCTGTTGTGCTTCAGGTAAGGTCTCACTCTAATAACTTTTCATGTGTTATTGCACATGCCAAGCTTGTAGTGGCTGGTTTCGTTGAACTTAAGGGCTCCTTTTTTTTGTTGTAATTAGTTAGTTGTATGAAACAATTCCGAAATGTCAAAACAGGCATTGAGTATGAACTTCTAATCATTTAATGGAGTCCAGGATTCATGGTTCTACTTTATTAGAAGAGAAAACTAAGGATCCTGATTGCAAGTTTGTCCTCATGTTTCATGGTCCAACTCTTTGACTTCAGACTAGCTTGATTGATTACTGCCAGATATCTATATTTGTTCATACTGTGTCTGTTTCTAATATAAGTAGTTCTGCCTATCTAATCGTTTGGTTTCTAATTACTCATATGCTGATTAAAAGGTTATCTTGTACTAATACATACTTTGCTGAAGTAGGATGACTTTTTACCTCGAACAGCCACTCCTTTGGAAGATATCTTCAAATCACTTTTCTGGTAAATATTCACTGGGGCCTTTCCTCCTTTTACTATTATGCGCATAACAGAAGCAAGAAAATAGGAATTGGGGGAGGAGGGAGGGAAATTAAGTACTATAATGGAATGAAGAATTAGTAGATGATATTTTGCCATAATGGAAATTAAGTACATTATCCACTCGAGCCATTTACGTTATTCTGAAAATTGCGGTGCATTCTTGCACTCTTTGCTTTCCATCATTCTTTATAAGAAATCTTAAAACTGCGACGTACTGTTAAATGGATAGAAATATCATAGTATTTTTGAAATTGTATTCTTATTAGTTTTGTTTTGTTTGTGCCTGGGCAGTTTGCCGTGCATTTTATGCCTAAGATGCATGAGAGATACGTGCATACCTGAGGAGAAGATGCTTAAAGACCCAAGGAGACTCTATGCCCCAGGTCGTCTTTATCACATAGTGGAGAGAAAGCCATTTAGGTATATTCGAACTTTCTGATACCATAGCTTTTCTGACTTTTCAGCTTGGTGAAGAAGATATATGGCCGCCTTTTTTTATCACATATTATGTCCTGATTCTTTGAAAGTACATGAAATGGAAGATAGAAGCTGAATAGTTTGAGTTCATTAGTCGTGTAAGGATGCATCGGTCGCTGGAGAATAACCATTTGTCACTCGTTATTCTGTTGGCCTTATCAGGTGTGGAAGGTTCCCACCGGTTGTGAGGACTGCAGTTCCTGTAGATGGCAGATTTGAGCACATAGTGCTGTCCTGCAATGCCACCTCGGACCATGCCATCATTTGGATAGAGAGAGAAGCCAGTAGAGCCCTAGAAGTAAGTTGACATTAAGTTATTTATAAGCTTTCCTTTTTCGTGGCATTCTCGAGGCTTTCCATACCCACTGGCGCTGACTGTTTTGACCTTCAATAAACAATTTGATACCTGACGAATATGTTATCAGATTCTAGAAGTTCAGCACCAGTTAATTAATTGCTTTCCGCTTTGTTCCATCTTTAAAACTTCAATCTATTTTGATTGCACCTCACATGCATCTTTAATCTATGCAGCTCATGAGAGAGATAGATCACACTTTAGATGTACCACCAAAGCAGAAAATGGAGCGACAGGAGACAATTGCCAGAGAGCACAATGAGGAACACAAGGCTGCTTTGCGGAGGGCTGTGTCACTAGCTGTTCCGGATGCCTATTCCCCTTTGCAGTATGGAACATTTGAAGAACGAGAGGATGAACATTCACAAAGCACTCCTGGTGATTCTTCTTCTAGTTCATCGGACCAAAAAACAAAAGAAAGCTGGGATGAACTGATTGAGCGCTTGTTCGACAAGGATGAGCATGGTTATATGGTTCTGAAAAGACCACTTCTCAATGATTGAACAACACCATGCATTCATTAAGTTCCAACTTTCTGGACAAATTGAAATATTCAAACTTCCCTTGTCCACCTGTAATGGCATGTCTTGTTACTGGAATGATTTGCTGTCTTCGAGCTCTTCCATTATGTTAAAGGAAGAAGACTCTTGACAACACTTGGAGAAGCAACCGGACGGGAAATGTTAGCGGCTGTGTGGCACCAATGGCATTGGCTATTGTTAGAATTGCAAGAGATGACACTCTTTCCTGGAATGGTTGTGCAGATGGTTCGGTGGTGGCTGAGCTGAAACATTCAATATTCACATGCAATTGTGCATCTTTCTATTCCATTTTTTTTGGTTTTGTATAATATAAGCATTAGAAGAAGAGGAAATTTTTATTATATTCTTTGGTTTAATGGTTTCATCAGAATTAAAGATGTTGTCTTCCTGTATACAACTGTAAAAACTGTAAATAGAGCATGGAGCATTCGTCCAAGTTTGGTACCATGATTCGCTCAGCCATTATGTTTGTGCCTTGTATGATTTTGACTCAACCATGATTAGGAGCCAAAAGAAACTTTTGCGACAAGTGGTTCTCGCAATATAATTCTTTTCAAATTTAAACTCCCTCTATCCCAAAATTATTATCCAGTTTGATATTTCACTCTTAGTACAATTTGAACTAAAAATGAGAACTCAAACTGGACAATAATTATGGGACGGAGGGAGTATGTTATTTTGGGTCGGAGAAATTTTCTGTTCATCTTCTACTGCTTTTGTTGTCGGCCTATGAGAGGTTTTGATGGTGCCGGCCGACGGAGGAGATGGAAGATGGTGCGTGATGGCCGGAACTTATGAACTGTCTTATGTACAGTATTTGGATTTTGGTCTAAATGGCACTTACGTAGGACCCCTTGCTGACCTGTCAAGTTTATGTAGAAAAGGATTTTGTACAGTAACTTTTTGTTTACCTGTTTCTTTTCTATTTTTGCTTTTCACCTCCTCCATCGTCAAAACAGTAAAATTTTATTGGCGTGGAAAAGAAAAAGAAGCCCCCAACTTTTGAACTCGGGAGTAAAGCTGCTGGAAACAGCTCTGGTGTGGGAGCTTTTTCTTCCCCAAATCTCTGATTATTATAGAATAGCTTTGATTGATCTCCGTGACTGGCTTGGTGATGTTTGTGGATCAAAGTTAAGGCTGAAATCTTTTGTCTTTGTTGAGCGGAGTCATCGATGGCGAAGGGAATTCGTATCTCACTTTTCCTCATTGTCCTTCTCTCTACTAGTTTCTCTGGGTGCCTTTCTGTCGCTGAAACGTGAGTATTACATCCAATTTTCTTCTGCAATTGTAGTTTGATTATTAAATGTTCTTCTTTCAAAATCCTTAAAACCTAGCCTTTTCGATTGTCTTCGAATTGAGGTTATTTATAGGTTTTCTGTAATCTATTTTTTCACGGTTTCACTGGAAACAATATTTGTTTGATATTTCTGTTGTTTGTGTCGTGATTCTGCTCTCCTTGAAGATATATAGTTCATTGGTTACCCTTGGAGCAGAAACTTATTGCGGGAATTTGTTGTTGTTCAGTGTACATTGGTTCTCCTTACTGTTTCGTTTCCACGTAGCATTATTACTGAACTGGTTGAAATTTTGCTTACTTGTGGATTCTGCATGTTGGGAATAATCAAAAGGTAAAAAACTACTAGTATTAAATTTACCAATTGGGAGGTTACGTTCCAATCTTCTGTGAGAAAAGTTCCTTAAGAAATGACTTATGGAAGCGTTCTCATTTCTTTCTCTTTGTCTTGTGTCTTGCTTATATAACCGGAATTGAAATTGATGATTTGGGTCCTTATGTTTTATTAGTGTTATATAGTCTTAAGCACATCGTTCTGTCTTAATCCAAAGATATGGCTTTACCCAGAAGAAAAGCCCTTTCAACTGTAACTTATTTTCATCCGAATAAATAATCTTTCACTTTCATGAGTTTGAAAAATTTTTGTTGTCAATTGAAATATTCATTGCTTGCTATACATGATTCTGAACTTTCTTATTTTCTTGCTGCATGATAAAGTTCGGTTAAGAACAATGATGTAACAAATATCTGAATTTTTTGAAATCTGAAATGGAAGTACTTCATGGTGAGTAATTGGTGTCGCTTGTGTGATCTCCTTTACACCAGTATCCGGAAGGAATTGAGAACCAAGGAAGTTGAGGGAATACAAATTAGCAAAAGAAGTGGGAGAACCAATGTAATTGATCCGTCCAGAGTTACTCAAGTCACTTGGCGACCAAGGTCAGGTACTCTTGAGGGTCCAGCACTGCTTATGTTTCCATTTATGTCTTTAGTTCTCTTATAATTTGCTCCTTCAATTTAAAGGTCTCTTGTTGAAGTTACAAATATAAGATTATGCATTCTATAAATCTCATTTGTTAGGTATAGAAACAAAGTAACTGATATTGCTTTCTGGTCTCAGGGTTTTCCTGTACAGAGGTTTTCTATCAGACGAAGAGTGTGATCACCTAGTAACTTGGGTAAACCCTTTTTCTTTCTGTTGTCATATGTTTTATGATGTTCGTGGTTTTCACACACTATGTGTTGTTCTTTTTAGCTACAGCGGGAGGATACTTCTGTTACTGGTGGCAGTGATTTTGTGGAGATCGACTCAGAGGTTAGTGTTTTCCATAATCCTGTTGAATTTACTACATGTTTTGGAAGATGTTTGCCACTTTTGCTTTTTTCGTAAGTCTAGCCATCTGTCCATTTTTGTGTTAAACTTGCATTGTCCTCAATCTGTGTAGTCATATCTTCAGTAATTGCTTTATGCGTAACTATCCAAGACGCATGCGAGTCTGTTGGCTAAATCTGTATAGGAGCTTCATGGATTTTTGTTGAAAGCAATTTTGTAATTTTCTAGCGCGATTGTTGTTCTGTTTGGCTCTAGGATGAAGTTGTTCAAAGAATCGAGCAAAGACTTTCAGCCTGGACTTTTATTCCCAAAGGTGATATTCTTTGCTTGTAGCTCTTGATAAAATGGTGTTTTACTTCTACCATCCTAGTTTTTCTGCTATTTTGAACGGAAAACTCGTCTTTTCAGAAAATGGAAGGCCTTTAAAAATTCTCCATCTTGAGCATGGAGAATCAAAACAGAAGCATGAAAGCGTTGTTCAGGAATCCACCAAACTACTCAGTGAACCTTTGATGGCAACAGTTATTATCTATCTTTCAAATGTCTCTCAGGGTGGCCAGATCCTCTTTCCGGATTCAGAAGTAAGGCACAGAAACCTTATATTATTGTCGGCTATGTTTCAGTTAGTTTTGTAGCTCTGTTTAGCAGACCTAAGTTAAATTTTCATGCAGAATGAGATCCTGTCTGATTGCACCAAGAGTAGTATGGCTTTGAAACCTACAAAAGGAAATGCTGTTGTTATTTTTAATGCTCATCTAAATTCATCTCCTGACAACAACACATCACATACTAGATGCCCCCTTCTTGGTGGGGACATGTGGATTGCCACCAAAATTTTCCATTTGAGGGCCATCAGAGAAGTAAAGAATTTATTAAAGTTGGATGGCTCTGACTGCACTGATGAAGATGAAAACTGTCCTCGCTGGGCTGCATCTGGGGAGTGCAAAAGGAATCCAATTTTCATGGTTGGTTCACCTGATTATTATGGGACATGCCGGAAGAGCTGCAATGCCTGTGATTCGGTAGAGTAGAAAAGTACAAGTAAGCTTTTGTTTTTCTTGTTGACCCTGTCTGTTCATATAGAAATCGGGAAGGAAAAACTTCCTGCAGAAATTTTGTTGCATTTGAAATTTACAGTTGTAGTAAAAATTTCAGAATTTTGTTCATAATATAGTGCCAATTTTCTGAACTTGCTGATGAGCTATGATAACTTGGTTCAAGATCTTCAATGACACCTTTTTCTGTGTCATTTGTCGAGTGGGTGATGATGCTTTCTTCTGGATCTCCAATTCCTGCTCTGCTGTAGCCTTTCGTCTACCATGAAATTTAACTGCTTGAAGAGTAGGTGTTAATTCATTAGCCTCAGAGTGCAGTTCACCTGCAAATGACTTAGAGTTTGGCCTTTTGCCTTTTGGGATTGGAACTGGGAAGAGGGTGGTAGATCTTGGCTAGTTACGTGTAAAACGTTTATGAAAAAGTTTGACCAAAAGAGAGAAACCAAAAGAATATTAAATTTGATTGGAATCCCAAAGCAACACAACCCAAAGTCAAACGTTTATTTTAACAAGTTCGCCTAAAACATAGTAATAAACACATTACAATCAGAGTCAGAAATGCACCAGAAAAGAAGACACTCAAGTGCAAATGGCAATAAAAAACAACCAATTCTAAGGAATCTTTCAAGAATACAAAACACTTGTAGTGGTATTGCAGAAATGATGCAAATTCCAAATGCAGCAGAGTGAAAATTTTCCTGTTCATTGGCTCTTACAAGAACGCCAAACCCTGTAACTAAACATCAAAATCAATAGCAAACATCAAAAATAAGCAATTGATTCGATCCTCAACTAGTTATTGATACCAGCAAAGTGTTGAACTGTATAACCAACTTTCTCAAACTTTCCCTTCTCACTGTTCTCCCTATATCTCATATAATCAGCACAGAGGAAAGGCCTATAGAGTCTTAGATTACCCCTGCCCACGATTTCATCAGGCGCAAATATCACCTTTTCTTCCTCAAAACTCCAAAAGAATGAAACAGAATATCGTTTGGGGCGCCTTCTGAGGACAACTCTGTGCTCAGAAGATCTCAGTTTCCCATTGCTCCAGGCCTGCATCAAGTCACCAATGTTCACTACAAGGATGTTTCCTTTTCTGGGATTTACGTCCATCCATTTTCCTTCTTTCGACCTCACTTGTAGGCCTCCCATTTCGTCCTGATACACGATGGTTATGGAGCTCATGTCGGTGTGCATGCCCAGACATTCCACTTCGTCTTCTTCTCTTAATAGTTTCTTGCTCTGATAATCAGTCTCCAGGGATGAATAGTTATTTATCCTGAAATAACCTTCGCATTTGTCAAATTCAGATGATAGCTTCCTCCCCGAACCATCCTCCCCCAAGCACATTAGAAGAATCTCGACAATCCTTTTGGATAATTTCGTCATGATGCTCCCATATTCTTGCAACGTATCACTGGAAACAGAGGAAATAACAGAGAGAGGTTGATCAAATCATACACCAGCAATATATATACGGAAATTTGCAAGCCAAGTTAACTGCACAATGACCCTATTTAATTACCAGAAATCTGAATAGGGCTCATTGAGAATCGCTTCGGAAGAACTCTGCGCTGAGGCGAAGAAGTTGGGTCCAGAAACCTTGATGCATTCGTAGAAAGGCGAGGCAATAAAGTGAGGAGTATACAAAGAGTGTCCCGCCTGGAGTTTTACTTCAGGAGGAAGCATGAAAATGCGGCTCGAAAGGGACTGAACCTTCTTGTGGAGTTCAGTGGAAATCCCATGGTTACAAAGAAGAAAGAATCCCCATTCTCTGCAGGCAACAGACAAGGAAGATAGAGATGATGGAGATAAGGGCTGTGAAATATCCAAAATAGGAAGTTCTATGGAAGCCTGAGATGCAGGCATTGTGGGAAAAATGAATGTTCAAACTGCAAGTTAATTTCTTGAGTGGCAGGTTGCCTTCTTTAAATAGAGGATTCAGCACTAAAGTAGTTACATATATATGCTGCTACAATGGTTTAAATTTTATAGAGTTTTGAATTAAAAATTGGAGCAGCACATGATGTGGAGTGAAATAAGGTCCAGAAGAATAACTTGATGAGCTTATTAATGATTGAACTCATCACTTGTAAATAAAATACATTTGACTATTTAACTCAAGTTACGAGAATGATTAGGACAAAAAAAATGTTTTGACTTTTCACTAATGACGAGTAATGAGTGAAAAGTTAAAACGTCAACTCCAGACAAAAGAATGCATGCGCATTAATATATACACGTTACGGAGGAAATGACGTAGAAGTATCCATGCACGAATCTCATTCGGATGCCAAGGTTTTCGGAACAAGTTTCATCGAACTCAAAATGTCTGGTTTTTACTCAATCCAATGAACCAAAAGAGACCAATGAAAAGGCGATGAATATAAAAAGGGTTCAACACTGGCTCGTGTCTTTGACCAAACGGGGTGGTCATAATGTTATGTAATTATGACTTGTAATGTACGCAGAGAAGGGTAGCAGCAGGCTGGAATGATATGGATGCTGCCATTTTGTAGGTCTTCAAACAATTTAATCACAATAGATTATGTGAATCGATCACCAATTCTTTTATTGAGGAAAAGAAGATGGAAACAAGGTGAATTCAGAGTGAAAAAGGACGATGATCGCCACCCAATTGATGATGTTAAAGGGTACAATATAACAAGTAAAAAAAGGGTTTCAACAGCAATTCAAATGGAAGTCAGAACCTTGGATTCCACAATCCAAACTAATGCATATTTGCGAAAGGAGACCGTTATCGTTATACAATGGAGTACTAGGATTCACCTGCAGTTCTGCAACTTGAGCACTTTATTTTTTTCCCCAGCATTCTTTAACACGAGGGAAAAGTACTACCATGTTGGGTGTTGGCACTGAAATCGCTGGTGACCTGTCCATTGATATAGAGACTCAATTCCTGCAACTTTTGGTCCCTCAATTGTTAACAACCAACCCACTTGAACATTTTTTTAGAATACTTCCATTTTTCCACTATCAAATACTCCATCATCAAAACAGTTATAGAACTAGGCAACGGAAGAGTCCTTTGGAAGTAAAGCATTTGACTTTCATGGTTTTGACTTCAGAATACCGGTATTTCTTTAATTTGAGGTTCTGCAGGGCACATGTTCTCCCTTGCAGAGAAACCTTTTTTGCAACACAACCTAAGACCATAAGCGTGCATTCAATCTCTTGACCACAAACTCACTCCAAGAATTATTACAACTAAAGACCACTTGCATTTTGCACCTTCTCCATTAACACAGGATGATCATCTTTCAGCTATATAAAAAAAATGCAGTAAATGCCCCAAAAGTAAACAAACTTCGATCGGAACCAACTGAAAATGAGTCAGATGCATTATAATAAGTGCTTGCAGAATCAACCCATCTCTCCATGGATAAATTAATTGACAGCTATGAATGTTAGCAAATTCAACTTCAGAAATTCAGACACGAATTAGAATGAGTGAAAGCTGAGATAAAATGACCATGACAAGGCTTGAGAGGTCAAGGAAACTTGTCGCCATCATACGCAACAAGTTAACACATAAAGGCATCAGAAGTGTTTTTCTTTGATTCTCTCAGCAACGTCAAAATACATGAATCATGGACAAAAATCTAGTCTAGTACCTGCCAGATCGATAATAGGATAAAAGAGAATCCTTTGCTCTGGATCATCATGTCATAGCTTACATAATGGTAATAATCGGACCACAACTGTCCATCCAGAGTAAGTAAACTAGTCATTTCTAAGTTGTTTTGTGCCATAAATACTTCTTCTCCAGTTTGCACTGTCTGGCATTATTTGTTTACCAAAAAACCGAGGAAAAAAAGCCATTAACTTGAAACAAAATCAATTCTTAAAGGGCTCATTCAAAATCCTCAATTGAAAACTGTTTGAGGTACATAATACAATATTAGTATTAGCAAAAAAGAAAAGAAACACAGCCAAAACGAAAAACTAAGGGCTTGCGAATAATCATACCAATACAAATATTAACGTTTAACATTGAGCATACTAATCTGTAAGAACTGGGTGAAGGAGATTACTAATTAAGGAGTGGAGTGGGATCTAAGATGGGGAATTCTTGATGCCACAGGAATTCCTGAAAGCTTTAATTTGGGATTGACATTTGAGGTGATCCCCTTTATGCTCCTCCAAGCACTTCTTCAGAGCTTCCACATCACATGCCCTAACATTGCTTTTCACTCCATCCCCCAATTCCTTCTTCTTCTCGGATTTCCCATCCATTTTCGATCCAATTCTCTCTATTCTCAAAACCTGCAAAACCACCAATTCAAAGATCTTGAGGGACGATGTCTCCGATGCCCCAATTACAGAAATAATACGCTCGACTACGGTGGCGTGAGCGCCGACGAATGCCGCCGCTTGTATTTCAATTTTGGACTTTAGAAAGATTTATTGGATATCAGGCCCAAACTTGCAATGGTGTAAATGGCCCAAAACTGAGCGTTCTCTATTCTTACCCATCAAACGGGCAATTGGAAGCTTTCCCAGGAAGTTTTTTGAATTGAAAACCGGAGAAGGTACTACCAATCATTGACAATAAGGGTAAAAGTGGACCATAAAAGGAAAAAATTTTCTGATGATTAAATACTGTCTAAATTTTGAATCTTACTGAAATATCAATGATTTTTTACTAATTTTTTTTTTAAAAAAAAATCAATGATTTTATGTCATTTTAGGCATAATTATGAATAATGAATCATAAGAAAGGAGTAAAGACAACCAAATTGATACAGTTGCGGAAATATTCAATACTGAAATATAAAATATTTGTTGCATAAAAATGACGATTTCATTATTCTCAATATATTCAATTCTGCAATATTTATATTTGATGCACCAGGATATTTTTTTTTTTTACCTCATTATCACGAAATCTAGCGTAAATGGAGGTTTTAGTGCTTAAAATGACAATAGTACCCTTGAGGCGTCATTGTAATAAAAACAAAAAAAAAATGCTACTGTAGCGCCCAATTCCCAAAATTTGAAAACCTGCGCTGAGGCTCCGCTCGGGGGGACACTGACAAAGTGAACTAATAACGGCTATTCCTCATTCCATTCCCCAACCGCAATCAAACTCAAGGAATTCTTGATATCTTCTTCTCCTCCACAACCGTCTTTGCTAATCTCATACCCTCAATTCTTCCAGTTATTAGCAAAATGGCTTCATCTGCAGCTGACTCGAATCTCAGGACTCTCCACCTGTGTCCCAGTCCCAGGGTGAGAATTGTTGGAAGAATTCGAAGCTTTACAGAGCGAGAATCTGAAGCTCTTAATCAAGATTCCAAGCCTTGGATAACTGTTCGCCACAACGAAGACGGAGCTTCATCAGATTCTGGAGTTATACTCTCGTGTACAGATCAATCTTCCAGGTACGACTTTCAATTTCTCCCGCTTCTTGAATCTTGACTCGTGATTTGAGATAAATTATGCCTGCTGCTGTGTTTCGTTTTTCTTTGGGTGGGAATTCACATCACTATCTGAAAGTAACCTCAAAACTTCCCGTTTGTTGTGCTCCTTTTCTGATTATTCAAGACCGAGGTTCTTGATTTTATATTCCAAACCACCTAACCCTAATTTTTCTTTGTTTTGGATGAATTATCGAATAAATGGATTGTATAGCCAGTATGTGACTTAATCATATTTTTTGCTTTTGGATTTCCAGCCTGGAGCAGTTTTTATTTAGTTGTTTGTTTATCATCAACTTAATCTTCATGTTAATGTTGTTTTTTGGCTGTGATTGCAGTCGGAAGGATGGACCTTATAAACTGGATTACTGTTATGAACAACATCAGGGTAATGATACCATTTTCTCAAGAGAGATAAAGCCTTTGATTTCAGATGTCCTTAATGGTAGAAATGCATCTGTAATCGCTTATGGGGCTAAAGGAAGTGGAAAAACTTACACCATCCAGGTTTTTTTTTTTTCTGTAATTTATCTCAATCCATTGGTTATAAATTTGTGTTGTTTGAAGTGTGGGTGATGTTTTATCTTTATGAAGGGTACCCAAGACAAACCAGGGATCGCTGCTCTGTCAATGGCTGAATTGCTTTCAAAAAGCCAAGAGGCTGGAGATGTGGTTTCGGTTTCCATTTTGGAGGTGCATCAAGAGCATGCATTTGATCTTCTTGATCCGAAACATTCCGAAGTTCAGGTTCTAGGAGATGGTCGGGGAAAAATCAATCTTAAGGGGCTTACTCAAGTAAGTTTTCGTATTCAAAAGGAATGCACTTATGGATCTATAACTGGTATTTTCAACATCTTTAAACAAGTGAATAAAAATGGACTGATGGATCGAGGTTTTGTGTTCTGTTATCCGCATCAGGTTCCCGTGAAATCCGTTCCTGACTTCGAGAATTTATACATTAGTAAGTTAAATATCAGCAAACCAGTTCAGAAAATGCCATTGGAGCCTCCAAAAAGGAGCCACAAATGTTTAATGATGCACGTGTCTAAAGTTGATGACAACTCAAACAAGAAGCTTGTGGGGAAGATGCTCTTCATTGATTTAGCAGGTTCTAATCCCCGTCAGAGCATCTTATTACTTAATAGGTTGTATAACCATTTCAAAATTTTTATGCCTTGGTGTCAGGTTATGAGGATGGCAGAAGAAGTAGCAGAGAAGGAGTTGCATTTCAAGAGGCCACAAAAACTAATAGATCCCTGCAGGCTTTGATGAACGTTGTTTATGCACTGAATACTAATGAAAGCCATGTGCCATATCGCGAGAGCAAACTGACCCGCATTTTTCAAGAATCTCTTGATGGCATTAATCACGTTGTAATGCTAACTTGTCTGGTATGAATCTTCACAAATAATACCGGAGCTTTTCAAATATTCAAAGTTTTGTTTCTGATTGCTGTACTTTTTTGTTCCTAGAATCCACATTTTTGCCCAGATACCCTTCACGTGTTAGGCTTAGCGTCCCGTTCATGTCAAAGTACAAACCATCTGCTATCAAGCTTCACAAAAAGTACTAAAAGTTCAAGCCGCCAGGAGTTGTTTCTGTCACAAAGGAAGATGAAGCCTTCTACCACTCCTAACACCTTGAAGAAGCGTGCAGTTTCTACTGTACATGCATCCACAAAAAAAGCTAGCATGTCAAAAGGACGGTAGGATAATTTGGCCTTGTATTCTATGCCAATGCTATATTACACTTTATAAAGAGGTGTACTTAGCATTTACTAATTTTCATTTCACCCTCTGTGTAAAGGCAACTTCTTGACGGGGCAAAGAAAGTCTACTCAAACCAGGTACTAACTGTTAAATCTCTACTTTAGTAAGTTGTCATATGTGCATTGCTCTACTGCCAGCTTATGAGGCTCCATTTTTTATGAGCATGCTCATGTCGCATTCTTCATTGGTTGATGCCTGAGCATTTGATGAGGTTTATCCATTTTTTATGAGCATGCTCATGTCGCATTCTTCATTGATCGATGCCTGAGCATTTGATGAGGTTTATCCACTTTCTTTTGGGATGCTTAGTTCTTTAGTTGCGGGACAACATTGGGATTGAAAAAAAGTAATCTTGAAAAAGATAATACTGTGTGGATGAGAGATAGTAAGAATTTAGTTTAAATTTAAAAATCCAGAAGCGTACAGGTCCATTCGAACTTAAAAGTTACTTAATGTTACAAGACGTTGCTAACCTAGTAAGAATTTCTGATCAAATTTAATTTTGCAATGTGGCCAAAGCCCGAACAAGATGGTGATTATTCAGTCAAGAAGCTTGATTTTGAAACTGATGATCCTAAAGCGTTGGCACTGGTGCCGCTGATAAAGGTTGGATATTCTTAAGCATCACGTTTGAATATATTTATGGGATTGAAAAAATGACTGTCCATTGATCATTTGTAGATTTTTTATTGTCCAGGATTCACAGGATGACAAATCTACATTTGATCATGATTTGAACTCAGTGCCTGAAGGAGAAGTAAGCACATACTGTATTTGGTTTCATTTTCAGAAAAACTTCTAAGGAATTTTTCTCTCAACCACTCATATAATGTTATGTCAGGTTTCTTCTACGGACAAACTTGTTTCAGATTCTTCTTCATATGTGGAACCTAAGGAGGATGTAAGAATAATTTTATCCTTTTTTCTTTTTTTTTTTCTGGTTAATAGATTCTTTTTTTCCCATCTAACATTTATGCTTACAAATTATCAAGTTACGAGAACTTCTACGTTTATCATCCTACAGGCTTGCGTGGCAGATCATCCTTTGACTGCACTGCCCTTAGAACTGGTAAGATGTTTACATGGGTTCAAGATTCATGGATTTTGGAATTTTTTGCTCATGTCAACCTTGACATTACAGGTTCCTCATGAAAACTCCATATCAGGATATCCTTCAGAAATGAAATTTAAAGAAAATGTGAGAAACCTTTTTTATTCTATGTTCAATTCAATTGACAGCAAATTAGATTTTCCTTTCGTAACTCATCATTTTTCTTTTCTTAAATCCAACATGTCAGTTTCATATTTTCGTAGAAAGTAAATTCTGATTGTATTTTTATCTCAGGATGCTTCTGTGAATAACGTGAAGAACAGTTTGGATGTAGATCCCCAGTGCATTTCTATGAATTCTCCGCTGGAAGATGGTAATATTACAAAGCCGTTTCAATGGAACTTCTCAAGCTATACAAAATTTGGATTTTATACATGATAGTTCTACTCTTGATATGTGGTGGCACAGGAAAAGAGAAGAAACATATCGATACAAATGCAGGTGGATCGCCAACACTTACTGCTAGACTACAGGAGATGTCATACCTCTTTAAGTCATTCTGTACTTCAACTCCATTAAGTGTAAGGGTGCCAGAAGATTCTTGTGCCCAGCTTAGTGTTCAAGCAGGCTATCCAAGTGACCTAATTGAACCAAAGACCCCAACAATTGAACATGGAGCAAATCTTGGTCAAAGATTGGAGGCTACAAAATTTACTACTCCCTTGAATAGATTATATACCCGCAGTTCTGGCATGAAGGTTAGAATATTTTGCTTTGCTTCTTACTTCTTTTTGTAACTTTGACAACAGCATTTGTCTCTTGGTGTTTTTTTGTTAATATATATTTTCGCTGCAGGACTCTTTAGTTCAGGAGTATCTTAAGTTCTTGAATACTGCTGACAAGTAAGTTAACCCCCGATATGTCTATGTCAAATTGTTTCTTTGTGGAATGCCTAACAATGTGTCCCCACTTTCTTCAGCTCTTCCACTTCATTTCCCATTCCAATTAAGTATCCAGCATGCAAATAATGTATGAATTGTGCTGTTAATGCATCCTGAGATAGGTATAAAATGAGTCTTTACAGAATAAGTTGGCTTTAATTGTCTAAGCAGATAATAATCAGATCCAATCGTTTGCTTGAGTTAGAAAGGGTGGAGAATATTAGATGCTTTGATCACGATGATTGACAGACATTGTCTTGTTAATGAAGCTCTTCGTATACATGCAGTTTTATTTTCTGCATTTACATCAAGATCACCGTCTTGCTTTTCTGCATTAAGATTCTCATTTGTGTTTTATTTTCTTGTATCTGCAGAGAAGAGCTAAAAGAATTGAAGGTAAGGGATCGTATCACTTTCATTTTTTTAGAACCATCAGTAGCTTGTAACATGTACAAAATTGAAGTGTATAATCTATTGTAGGGTATTGGAGAAAAAAGAGCGACCTACATTCTTAAGCTTCGAGAACAATCACCAGAACCTTTTAAGAATGTACGCTACCTGTTCCCTTTTTATCTACGCATCAGTTGGTGAATAACTGAATACTTCAATTGGAAAGAAGTTTTTATTATGCACTCTGAGACCTGATCATTATTTTCTTGGTTTCTTTTGGGGTTTCACAGCTTGATGATTTGCAAGACATTGGTCTTTCAGCTAAGCAAGTATGTTGCTTCTTATATCCAGAACCTCATTTTCTGTGATAGACTTTCAAGTTTACATACAATTTCAGTTTTATTTAATCTGTCTGCATGCTAATATTGTATTTGTTTATAGAAAACTCAAGATATATTTGATCTAATTTGCCATGGGCTCCGTATATGCTTACATTTTTTTATTCATTGTTCTTGATGGCACAGGTCAAGGGCATGATGAAAAAGATGGCTGGAGAATTCTTTAGTTAGTTAGACTCAAAAGCTTAAAGTCATTGATGATCTAATATGTATAAACTGTGAGTTTAAGTTGTTCCCAGCGGCAAAATGATTTGCTGCGGAAAGGCCTTCTCTTTGCCCACTTCGCTTTTTCACTTTTTAATGTGATAATTCATTTAGTAAATATTGCAGACCTGGATGGTGTTTAATCGATGTAGTAGTCATATTCAACAAGATTTATGGTCTCAAACATAAGCTTCAAAGTTTAAAACCACTAATGAGAAGAAGAAATACAGCAGAACACATAAGTTTGACGAGATTCTATACTTTGAGACGTTCAGGAAGCAACGCTTGCATTTCTGGTCGCATCTGCCTTATATTCCTACTAGAACCATGTTAGTTTGCGTAGCGTGGAACTTGAGAGTTCGCCATGGCCAGCAAATGCGCTTGATCATGCGCCTATTTGCTCGCTCCCTCTTTTCAGCTTCCTCGAACTGTCTTGTGAGTTCCTCTATCCGTTCGCAAAGTCCTGCAGAACGGCTGTCAGCTAGCTGGAGTGATCTCTCAGCTGCTTCCCGAGCTGCAATTGCTGAGGCTACTAGTTCATCTTTCAGCTTCATTTTGCTGTTTGATGCCTGCAAAGCTGCCCTTAACTTCTCCAGTTCTTGTTTCAGAATGTTTATCTGATGAAGCATGATCAGTCAGGATGCACATAAATTTCAGGTCACAGAGTGAAGATTGACAAAATGTGTGTAGCAAATTACCACTTTTTCATGTTCTTCAGAGACATTTTTCCCAGCTTGCACCTCCAATTCGCATGCATTTCTCCACCTTACCACCTCTTTCTCAGCTCCTCTGATTTCTATCTGAAGTTCCTCAACCTGCATAAATCAAGAAAAGGCTGCTGTGACTACTTCAAAATAATCGGGTGTGGAAAGAAAATATGAGTATCTATTCTTCCCTCTACTCAATGATAAGAAAACTCAACTTTGTGGGTCAACATTCGCACTCTTTCTTCTAGCTCTTTTATGTATAATGTGCTTTCTTCAATTTTATGAGTTTGCAACTCTCTCAGACTCTTCAAGCGCTCGATTTCTGACCTGATAGACAATAGCAGAAAGTTGAATTAAAAAAGCCAATGGAATTGCATCGGCAAAAGCTATCCTGTTACCAAAAATCTTCCATATAGAAGAGTATTCGTTTAGGAACTGAAAATGGTACCTAGATTCATCCAAAGATCTTCGAAGTTGCGTGACCTCAAGCCGCATGTTCTTCATTATCTTTTCCACAGTTGAGGCCTGAAAAGAAACATCATCACTATTAAATATAGTTCTTTTCAACAGCATGTTATCATCATATTTTACCTGTATGGATTGGGAGTTCGAAACCTACCAGACTAACTGCTTCCTCATCGAAATCACTGCCATCAGAATTAGAGGCTGCAGAAGCAGTGGCAGAAGTTTCAGATGACAATTCATCTGCTCCGGTCCCCAGCATAAAACCGAAACTGAAACCTACTCTCTGCAAGCCTCTTTCTGCAATTTGTAAGATCACACCTCTTTTCTGTTCATTGTTTCCCCTCAACTTACTCAAACTTCTCTCCACTGTGTCTTTTTCCACCAGAGCAATCCTCAATAAGTCATTGATGTCCCTGTTTTCCTCTGTTAAACTCACCAAACCCTGTTCTAACTCCCTCCTCTGTTTATCCCCTTTCTCCTTAAATTCATCCAGTTTTAATCTAACCCTGTTCACCAATTCCGAAATCCCCTTCAATTCCACCTTCAGATCCTCTCCGCCTCCTTCTGATTCAACAATTTGATTTTCTTCTCCTTCTTCGCTGATGCTGGAAATCACTTTAGCCATCCCCTGTTTAATCACCTTGACAGCGTCCAGACATTGGGAAAACTCTCTGCTTTGTTCACTCTTCTCCTTCAGCAACACTTCAACTATTTCTCTGGAATCTCCAAGTTCTCTCTTGATTTCCTCCTTCTCCCTCAACAGAACACCTTCACGCTCTAGAGACCTCGCTTGGAGTCTCGACACGTCTTTAATGGCGTCAAGAAGATCACTGTTTTGCTTTAAAGCCTCTTCCTTTTCCCGAATCATTTGGGATAAACTTTCTTCCTTCCGGGTGCATTCTGACTGAAGGGCCAGATACGCTGCGCGAAGGGATTCCAGTTCCGACCTTACTGAAACATTATCCAGCGTTTGCCCGGAATGTTCGTCGGGAATTCCTTCGGGTTTCCCCGGCGAAGCTGCTGAATCGTGGCCATTGATGGAATCCATGATTCCAGTTCGGGACGGATTATGCTAGTGACGATGGAGGATGGAGAGAGCAATCAAGGGGATCAAAACTACCAGTCAAATTTGTCAAAACGGAAGGAAATTCAGATGGGAGGAGGGCTTGTTGGTTTCGGAATGGCGGGGAAGGATCTGATTTTCGTGGAATTAGTTGAAACTCCCCCAAGCTATGGATATCATCACCTTAGACCCCCAAAGTATGTGATTTCTTCAAACTTCATTACAACTAATACTACTATTATCCATGTTCCAAAAGTCCATGTTCCAAAATTATAATCCATTTTGGATTTATTCTTTGTAATTATACAATTTGACATAAAAATAAAAATCTGAACTAATATCAAGACGGAGGGAATATCATTTAACTACAACATCTCGTGCTCGCTCTCTATATTGGAGGGAGTACTAAATATATAACATCTTCCGTAGGTACAAAAATATTTTATACTACATCCGTCCCCAAAAAACAGTCTATATTGAATTTTTAAATTTGTACTAAAAATAGTACAAAACTCAAAACTCAATGTGGATTATTTTTGTGGGACGAAGGGAGTAATAATTAAATGTGAAAAACTATAATTTGAACTTGGAATTAATTTACAGACCTAGTAAAATATACGATTTTTAAAATTTATATTCCCTCTGCCAAGAAAAATTAAAAAAAAAAAAGAATTTACTAATACGAATTTCAAGACTCATGTGTATTATTTTTTGTGACAGAATAAGTAATCTCCATCCCATGTGAAATGTGAGGTTTAGTCTTAAGATGATCAGCCGTCTACGAGGAGAATCAACGACTTAAAAGGGTCATGTTTTATATATTTTAAAAGTAAGTCATATGTATCTACATTATATAAACAGTTAAAGCCAAGTTGCAGGTTGGATTTGATGACGTGGCACTTTATTATTGAACCACCTCTTTTTTTTTCATTTGGCCGTTGATTTCTATGGTGTGACCTTTCTTTCCCGTTGCCAGTTTTCTCCTTTTTGTGCTGTGTCGTGAAGACCAAAGCCTAGAACAAAGTCTCACTCCAGTACCACACTCCGAACATAATGCCTCCATCTATCCTGTGTCTAAGCGAAAGAAATTGCGGGATTAAGCAGCAGATATCCGGAGGTTCGTGTGCTTTTAATTTTCGAAATTATCAGATTTATTGTCCTTTCTCTCATATTCTAACTCTTCGGATTAAAACCTTGAATTATGCGTCAAATATATTGGAGTTCACTTGGTTGTATGTAAAGCGTTTGATTATATGTTTGGAACACTGTACGAATTTGTTTTGAATCTTTCGGTTTGTTGATATCAAATTTGGTTGCTGCAAAAATTAATCAGAGTAGATTTATTTTAGTTCTTTGTGTGTTTTTTATTTGATGTTCCTGTTGAAAACCTCCTTTCGTCTGAGAATTATGCTTTTGGCATGGTTGCGTTGTTTTTTTTTTTTCCTTTTTGTATGTGTAAAGTTCGGAATTTGTCTGGAGATTTTATTTTCTTTTACTTAATTGGAGCTATTTGGGTTCGCTTAACAATATCTAAATGTGTACTTGTTGAGTGCAATGATGCCAAAGACTATGTCAATAATGGCTTTAAGAGGCAGGATTGAATTTTTAAGAGCAGTGGATAACAAATATACTTCGTTTATGTAATCAGAAATACACTTGGTTTTCTTTGCATGTTACCTGTTTGTTTTTATGCCTAAATAAAGTTTTGATACTAATTCTACATTAGATTCATACTTTTTCCTTGAGACCGTTAATTTTGATTAAAAAAAATGGCTTGAGTGTTATGCTTGGCGGCAAAAGAAAAAATGATGAAAAGGCTATGCTTGTTTATGAATTTGCCCGAAATATTATATTGACAGAAAGTTCATATTTAGTGTGTTGAAGGTGTTCGCTAATATTTGACAAAGAGTGTTATATTACATATAGGTGTTCCCCTATTGTCATACAATTTCGAATGATTGGAAATTTTAAAGGAATTTTTTTACTGCTTTTGATTTGTGTTTAAACAATGAAAGAGGTCCCAATATTGACTTTTTCCGGAAGAAGTCTTGATGGGTCTGATTTTTGGAGGTAAACTGGTACATAAACTTTTTACTGGATTGTTTTTTTTGTGTAAAGTAACATTCAATTAGAGCTAAATGTAGTGCAATGAGAGTTTGATTATTGTATGTTATTATAGGCCTGAACCAGAATAATCTTTTCTAAATTTTGGTTGTCTCCTTTTACATTTTATTAGACACCAAATGGTACTCTGACTAGCTCCTGAAAACACACATTGAATTTTTTTTTTCATGCAATATAAAGTTTGAACTTTTTTCTATCAATTGCACAAAAACAACAAAGCAGTGACGATAAGGAGTAAGATCTTCGGTCCTATTTTATTAGTCGACCTTCTACATATAATAAATGAAACAGAGGAATCAATTTAATCATTGGATTGTAATTGTTTGTTTGGTTGGATTTTCTGTATTTGCTTCAAAATAAAAAGATTTTGATTTTGATAGAAAAGCTCAATTGTTTGTGGGTGATTTTTGTAGGTACCAGTTGATGTGCCTTTGAGACTACTAAGTTGAAGCGCTGTGTTAAATTTCCTGTTACATAGGGCAAACATTTTCCTTTGAAGTCTAATATATTAGCGTTGAAAAATTGTGCTAGCCAGAAGTCTATGTAATTGATATTATGAACATGGTGATGCATCAGTGTGTGATGATAGGTTGGAGGCCATTAATATGAGTAAGGATGATGCATCAGTGTGTGGTTTAGAAGGTAATTGCTACATGTTTTATCGATGTTTAGAACTGGTTACTTTGGTGTATACAGAGTATTGATTTACTAATTACATAAAATGATGGAACCTTAAAAAGTGTTTGTTAATGAAAATTAACTTTATCCTCTAAAAGAATACTGCTATTGCAGCCTTGATGTTGCAAAAATTTTGATTTATTCTTTTTTTACGAACTTAACGCACTTGCTAATGCGAAAAACCACCATATATATATCCGAAGTGAAGATATCGAAGGATTGTAAGAGGAAGTGTCTAAAAATGAACCAAGACTTGATTTAGATGGTGGTGCATGAATGACCTTCACTTATGCAATGGTGCTACTTCTATTTTAAGGACTGGTGGATTCTTTGCGTTTGAGGTAAACATTTCACGTTCTACATTAACAGACAAGTGAGGAGAACAGAGCCAGTTTTTGGCGGGTGAATTAGAAGGAAGATTGCTTAATATTAAAATTGAATTTGATTGGGCTGGCATATCCAGATTCGTGAAAGGATTCAAAGCAAGACGAAGACGTAAATAGAGGATGTAATTATATAGAAACAACCTACAATTTTAAGAAGAAGCTGATTAATTTCAAGCTATCATTTATTTTATTAATTTTTACCCTTACTGATTTAGTTAGTAATGAGTAATTCAATATATCGGATTAAATACAAAGTAATTGAGTTCTACATTATACCAGATAAATTACTCACAAACATCACACCTCGTGCAGTGCAACCAATGCTAGTTTTATAATAAGCGCTGGGCATTCAATAAACTTATCCTTATGGCGCCTTTTGATGAAAAATGAAGAAGAGGTGAATGTTCATTTTTCTTTATTTTTTAAACACCAGAGCAAGTACATAAGAAATTTCACAACTACAAAAGTTGCTCTACTAGTTAAAGCATGAGTCTGAATAATTGGTAAGTTAATGACGATAAGAAGGATCTTTCGTGAAATGTCTTCACAACCAAACAAGAACTTCTAATCAAACATTTGACAATCAGATATTTTGTTCTCGAGATAAACACAATTAATAATAGATGATGGTGAAAAATTCAAAATCAGTTTAACTACAAGGTATCTGGAACTGAATGATAAAAACAAACTTATATCAAATCCAAAAAAATAAAATAAAATTATGCTTAATTATAAATTTGAAATTTTAATGTGATTTTTTTTTGGGGAGGGGGGTAATATCTATTATTGATGACAATGAAATTAGCTTGACATCATCGAAGATGCTCGTTTTTGTAATGCTTAGGTAGCCTACCCATAAATACTGGTTTAATAATTCAAAATCACAAGCCAATATAAAAATCATCTACCATCATTTAACTGGTTACTAAGAAGGAGTGTGGGCTAAACATCAAGACAACAAGAATAGGCTAAGAGAAAGCAAACGCAAATTCATCTTTTCAAGCAAAAGGCCAAGCACTACAAGTAGAAAAGACTTTTTTTTTCCCCAAAAAGAAACCTTAACAAGAAAAGAAAGAAAAAGGACTACAATTTTATTTTCTCATTTATCTTCAGCTGCGTATGAATATGTAGACATATATGGATATATTTTCATCGTTACACTCAATTCAGATGTATTAAAAGCTTCAACATTTACATTTTCTAAAAAATTTAATAAATAAAAAAGTTTATATATATTTTTATACTCCTACTATATAAAAATAAACTCTCGCCCAGTTCAACAATAAGTCAAAAATAATAATCATCTTAAGCAGGAAGGAAGCACGGATATGTACCAAAGCTGGACTGAATCGTCGTCAGTTTGTGAGTCGTCGCAGAATGTACACGAACTTTGCCAACCCTTTCTTTTCTGTCTACATAAACAAAAAAAAAAGAAAAGAAAAAGTAGATGTATCCACCGCTCCATTCTCCATACTCCATCTCTCTACTCATTTACCACCTCCATGCTTCCCTTCCCACATCACTTCCTTAGTTTTCCAATTCCAAATGCAATTTCAGACTCATTGATCCATTATTGTTTCCATTGTAGTTGAATTGCGTGTTTTGATTCTGATTTCAACTTCAACTTTTGATCAAGAAAACTGAACCCGGTGTTGGAGCTGAGAAGCAAGAAAGTTTTGGAATCACAGAAAAATCTGATTCCATAATTGGAGTGTAAAAGGCTGAAGGAGGAGTAATGGGTGAGGGAGAGGTGAAGACGGAAGGGATTTGTGATGTGGAGGACACGATTTATGTAGCTGTGGGTAAGGAATTGGAGGACGGCAAATCTGTACTTTCATGGGCGATTAAGAGCTTCAGTGGCAAGAACATATGTCTTCTTCATGTTCATCAGCCTAATCAGTTTGTCTCTCTCAGTAAGCTGCTTTCTTCCTTATTCTGCAATTTTCATTGTCTGATTACTTACTTGTACAACGTGTATGACTGTATGCTATATTTGGGGAAAAAAAAATCGCTTCTAGTTAGTTAAGAAGCTATTTTCTTATTGCTTTAGCATCTGAGTGTGCCAGATTTAGGAAACTATTTACTGCAAATTTTCAACAAAGAGTAATTGAGTGAAACCAGGAAAGGGTGGTCAATCGTGCTGTTGTGACTTGCGATCATCTATCCTAGTTTTGTTAGAATAGATCAATTTGAGATGCAAAACGAGATTTATTGGTTTCTGCACTGGATGAGAACCTACTAGTGTAGGATCCAAAACTATATTTACTTGTGATTTTGGTTTTATTACAAAACATTAACTTATAATTTTGAAGAAGTGAATTGCTGAAATGATGAAAGAGTTGTTTGCGAAATCAAATGTTAATGGGGAGGGGGTAAAAAAAGAGATGACAAGAATGACAAATAGGATTTTCCGTCCTAAAAGTATTTTTTTCATGCTATTTTTGTATCACAAAAAGATGAAATTAAACGCCGGATATGCGTGTATAATTCAGTATTTCTGGCATTTCTGCCCAAAGTTGATTGTCAGTATAAATTCTCGTTCTACTTCTTATGCCCCTTTATTGTAAATTTTACAGTGAAAGAAATGCATTCAGCAAGCAAGCTGAAATATCAGGTGGTGAAGACATGTCAGGAACTTGAACGCCAAAAAATGCACAATCTTATGAATCAGTATATCCTCTTTGCTCGGGAAGTCGGGGTAGTGCTTCTGTTTCATCTCATTCTGCCATTGAACGATATTCGCTTTCACTTGTATACGGATTCACCAAAATGTTCAGGAAATGTGCTTAAAGGCAATGGAATTGTGGTTTTCTGCAGATTGATCCAGGGAAGATCTGGATTGAAATGAGTGATGTCAAGAAAGGGATTGTTCGCGTCATTTCTGAACATGGAATTAGATGGCTTGTCATGGGAGCTGCTGCAGAGGAACACTATTCAAAGTACGAATCATCTAGTTTCTCACTGATGAAATTGTTTGCCTCTTGAATTTTCGGACTTCTTGTTGAGGTGGTTTGAATAAGGTTGACATTTATGTAACATGCCACGAGCTGATGGTTTTCAACGTGATAATAATCTATGCTGCTAACTTTTCGTGATCCGCTGATTTCAAATCTCCTAGAATGCAGAAACTTGTCAGAGCTCAAATCCAGTAAAGCAATTTTTGTCTGCCAGCAAGCGCCAGTTTCATGCCAAATTTGGTTTCCCTGCAAAAGTAGCCTCATTTGGACTAGGTATTCCACCCTTTTTTCGTATTTATGTTTCTCAACGTGCTGCTGCTCCCGAAAAACTAAACATGCATTTAGCTAAAGATAACCAAGGACAAAATAAATGAATTTCTTCATGGATTGGAACAGACTTTTATGTTTAATCATTTGAAGAAGATGCCATACTATTGAGTTGTCATTATCTTTCCTATGAATTCTGATTCAAACTGTTAGGAATGTGCATCAAGGATTGCCAGTAAATTTAATGATTATGTCTGGTGCAAGGTGTGAAGACGTTGGCTCTAATTTATCTCGCCTTATCAAGTTGCCTTCTCGAATCAACACTTGTACATTGTTTCCCCAACATTCTGAAGAAGATGAGGACAAAGGTGCTGAGAGTTTAGGGTCTCTGGATATTGATAAAACTGTGGCTCATGATCAGGACTCGGCGCCTTCTATGATGAATGAGGTGAATACCGATGGTTCACCTTCAAACTCGCCAACTGAGTCTCAGGATTCACCTTGTTCCATCTTGCCATCCAAGTCTCTGGATTCACCTTCTTCGTCATCTTCATTTTTGCTGGTATGCATGATTGTTCAGAAATAAATATAACTTACTCGGTAGATATGGAAATTATAAGGTTTGCAAGCAAGAAACAGTAAATACTACATGTATGAATCAATAATTCTGTGTTGGAGAAGCCTGTTCTTGCTTGCCATTTCTCCAGGAGCAAATGGGAACTCTTCCTAAAATTTATTAAATTAATTAAAATTTGAATCCCTATTGTATTTGGAAAATTACAAAGGCTATGTTCTCTGTTGGCCTGATGAAGTCTCTATGATTGCCTTAAGATTTTTGAAGTGATCATTATTGTAAAATAGGCAATGAAGAAGATAATCTCCTTCTATGACAATTCTATTTTGCGCAGGAGGATGATTCTGGTGAGCTAGTGGAAATAGATGATAAGCTAGATTGCGATAAACTGGATGGCGAAAACCCTAAGCAATGTGGACCTGAAGAAACCCTGGAGGAATACAGGGCTAATGAAGATGTATCTGAGCTTATGCACAAGGTAACTCTGTTTGACCGCCTGTGGATAGTAGATACAATGATGAACCTCGAAAGCTTGCTCCAGCCATTTTACTCTTGCTCTTGCATAATATATTACAACCTTGTGTGTTTTAAGATTTCATGGGACTTTTCTAATTGCTGACCCGAAGAGTATGTCTTGGATTTGATTCTTTTAGTACCAAGTACTTTGTGTATCATTCCGTGAAATTATTTTTTTGTCACTTTCTGTAATGTGAAGATCAAAACATTGAAATTCAATCTAATGGCCTAAACATGTGCTATACAGGATGAAGCCTCAGAATGTTCTTACGTAGCAGAGTTGGGCCAAAAGCGAAAAAAAGAATTAAGCGATTTGTTGATACAGCAACGACAAGAACTAGAAAAAATGCAAGACAAGCAGAATGAGATCTTGAGCGAACACCAGTTGGTTGAGAACCAGACCTTTTTTTTAGAAAGACAACTTCAGGAGAACTATGATGCAGAGAAGGAGTTGGAAGAGAAGATTATCCAAGCAGTGGATCTCATGATAAGTTTTAAGGAGAAGCGTGATATGCTACGGATAGAACGTGATAATGCTTTAGAAGAAGCTCAGAGATATAGGAAATTGATAAAAGAAGATGCAGCTGCTATTCCAACTTCCTTTTCTTTTTCGTTCTTGGATATCATGGAAGCTACTGAACATCTTGATCCTTCAATGAAGATTGGAGAGGGAGAATTTGGGAGTGTTTACAAAGGCATAATTCGGCAAACTAAGGTAGCTATAAGAATGTTATTTTCCGGGGGATATCAAAGTGATGCTGCTTTTGAACACGAGGTAAAATTCCGTTCTTCATCTTGGCCTCATTTTCATGGCATGAGTTCCTTCCAACTGTTTTTTAGTGCTGTAACTGTAACCAGATTATTTATGTTGACAATAAAATTACAATTTGATCTCCCAATTCCTACCTTGAAAGGTTGATTTTGCGTGGGAGTGCGGTTTCTTTATTTTAATTTTTTCTCACATTAAGGGCTAAAACTAATGATATAGTTGTAGGATGCTGTCACAGTGGTATGGCTAATGACGTTCTTTATGACTTTCAGTATATTTGTCCCAATATGCCATTAATTTGCAAGGTACTGCAAAATGGCTGGCTTATCACGTTCTGGTCCATGAAATTTGTTACTAAAAAAAGCTTGACATGAGTCTTGAGCTGGTTATCTGTCTATGTAACATTTGCTTGTCACTCGTCTCTTATCATTTGGGTATTGTAACATTCTGGGACCTCGATTAGATATAAACAACATCCTCCTGGATCTTTTAGGTGTATGAAGTCTTAATCAAAGTTCAGGGAAAGATGAGTATCTTTTATGATACAGCTTTGGATTGATAATTTTGTGTTGGGTTTGTGGTATCAAATACTGAATTTGACTGACTCTGGCTTTCCTGAATGCAACATAGGTAGAAGTCTTGAGCAGGGTGAGGCATCCGAACCTTGTCACACTAGTTGGTGCCTGTACTGAATCTAGGTCACTCATTTATGAGTTCCTTGAAAATGGAAGCCTTGAAGATCACCTTGCTGGGCGGTCCAAGAAGCATCCTCTTCCGTGGCAACTTCGCCTTAAAATCGCTAGTGAAATCTGCTCTGTTTTGCTTTTCCTACATTCAAAGAGATGTTTTATTGTACATGGGAATCTCAAGCCTAGTAATATACTTCTTGACGGGAATTTTGTCAGCAAAATAAGTAACTTAGGTATGACCGGTTTCCAAAATAAAGATGGTCGGGATTTGAGTAGGAAGAATAACCTGGAGGCTTCCTTGTATCGGGACCCAAGAGTTGCTAGAGGAAGGTATACGAGAGAATCTGATGTGTATTCATTTGGGATTGTTCTATTACGTCTTCTGACGGCAAGACCAGTCTCCAGTCTAGTTAGGGATGTGTGGTGTGCCATGGAAGCCGGCAGCGTAGAAACTATTCTCGATTATTCAGCTGGTGACTGGCCTCTTGAGCCAGTGAAACGGTTAATATCCTTGGGGTTGAAATGCTGCCAAGAGGATCGAGTGAATCGAGCAGATCTAGGGACAGAAGTTTGGCCTGTACTTAAGCCCTATAGCCACTTGAATGCTTATTTGTGCTTGGATTCAACTTCATCGCACATGGAATCTAAGGGTCGGGGTCGGATACCTTCACATTTCGTCTGTCCCATATTTCAGGTAATTTTAGTTAATTGTAATCAACTGTTAGAGTCCGCATGCTTTATTAGACCTCTGTACTTCATCTCTAGAGGTTTAGGCATTTTTCAGGTGTCATCTCCAGCAGAGACCTTTTTGGTTGTTGTTGAAGTGCTGCTCTTCTGTTATGGAAAATTGCAGGAAGTAATGAAGGATCCATACATAGCAGCTGATGGTTTTACATATGAACTGGATGCCATAAAAGGATGGTTGAATAGTGGTCATGATACTTCGCCCATGACAAACTTAAAGCTCGACAACTGTGAACTTATTCCAAATTACGCCCTTTACTACGCAATTCAGGAATGGGAGCAGGAGCCCTGAAGCTCTTTTTGATCATGTAAAGAGACTTGCACCAGTTTGTAATTAGGTTCAGCATCCAAGCGGTACCCGTGGATGATTGCAAATCTATCTTGGAGCTGATCCACCTCTGGTTCAGTTCGGGATCCCTCTTCATCAAGTAGTGTACAGTGTGTAGAACAACGTACAGAAAGAACATAGCCTTACAATCTGAAGGTGGTGCTGAATTTTGCATCTTATTACAGATTGAAGTTATCGACTTGAAGCAACAAGTCAAATGTACAGTCTTGAGTAATCAAACTGTTCGTTTTTTCTTGTTCATCTTGTGATATCGGGTCAGTAGGTTTCGCTATTCATGGAACACCTAGACTAATATTACTCGTAGTACTCTATGCGTGAGTCTCCTAACTTCTGGCTGTTACTTAAGATCAGGTTACTACGTCAGTTACTGGATCGACCAACCTGTTTAGTCTGTTTCTTTAACGGGACAAGCCGTTGTTTTTGTTGTTCCCAACTGCTGGTTTGTAGTTGGGTGCCTAGGTTGTTTTGAGATGTGGGTAGGTACCCTACTGTTCGATCGAAGATGTTGATGTCGAATTTTTTAATTTTTTTTTCTGCCCTATGCAATTGCACTTAGCAGCCGTATCATTCATTCCCTCTTCGATTCTCTTCGTGTCCAAAGACGAAAATCTTCTTCTTTACAATAGTGGACCTAAAACTTCTTTTTAATTTTTCCCTTTTCAATTTTCACGAACAGAATGTCGTTTCATGTACGAACCACGTTACATCCTCCTTAATCATTAAATTAATAACCTACTTTACTTTGGAGTATGGACCATCCCCGATCCTAGTTAGGTTGGGTTGGTGCTTAATTTTTCTGAAAAATTATGTGCATTATTTATTTCGAAAATTGTTTTCTTGTCCTGAAACAGGAATGCTGCTCTCTTTTCATCTTCACCTTAATTCGATTAACAATTTCGATTGATCTTTTAAAATGCTTCACCGAAAAGCTTGTCAGGTTTATCACACCAATTATGAGTCCAGTTGTTCTCGTAAGTTACAGTAACGCTTGGTTAATGTATAAAATTATCTGTATTGTTTTGTAATGGCAAATTCAATCAATTGAAGCAGTAAATTTTATTCTATCTTAGACACAGATTTTTGTCCTGGCGTATTATATACTGTACGTATTTTTTTTTCACGAATATTCGCGAACAATTCTATTTTTAGCACTCATAGTGTCGTAGGCTGTCGACAGTAAAAGAGCAGCCTCCCTATTAAACATCCATACATATTTTATTTTATTTTAATTAAAAAAAATGGGGAAACTATAGAGAATGAACCGGTGGAAAGGGTTCCATTTCCGCCTTTATAAATTACCTCTCTTTTTCACCATCTCCGTCCCCATTCATCTCTCTCACTGTCTGTCTCCGAATTCTCGCCGGCTGCCAGTTTTCAGTTGCTAATGTCTCTGTTCGTTCATTCGTTATAGACTCTCCGGTCTGATTCTCCTGCAACTTCGAAATCACATATATCATCGACGATCTCTTTTGATCCTCTGCTCGTAAACTGGTAAAATCCTGCTTTCTAGACTTGCTCTTATTTGTGGAGTGATTGGGCACGTGCTGATCACGGATCACGTGACTCCAAACCCTAATTCCATTGTTCATCTATGCTGATTTTATTTCACCAGTGTGCAATGGAATTTGTTTCGCCTTGAATTCATGCTAGTTTCTTCAGTTTTCGACGATTGAACGGGATTCGTTGATCTATGCTGGTGCATCAGTGATGATTATATGGAATTTGATCTCTTTGATATATGTGCTGGTGTTTTTGTCACGTTTCTGTTTTAGCTATTGTTATTAGTTTGGTATGTATGGTTTGGGTGTGTGTTTGGTGAAGTTTGTTCGATGTGGACGAGGGATCGGCTAGTTCTATGCCGTTGATTATTTGGTTCATTTTTCTGAATGTAAATATACCAGACGCTTACAGAGAGTGGATCTATAATTCGTTAATTTTGAAGTCGAATTGGGGATTAGGCTTTACTATTTAATTACTCTGCTTTTCGATTGCCTTTAAGGCAATGTCTTACTTCCCTTGATCATAGTTGTCTTGTGTTGGTCTATAACTGTTGTAAATGAGCTTTTCTGGATACAACAATTGTCTTTTCCTGCACGGTATTGTTTTGAAGTCCTCGAGGAATTTAGCCTGAGAATAAGGTACATTGTAGCGAGTCATCCTGTGGTTTGTAGTTCAAGAATCTGGAGTGTTATGTGTTGAATCTAGTATTGACAGAAATGGTTTTGCAATGCCGCTGTGTCCTGAGGGTTTGTTATCAACTGTTGTTTGACGGATTGATTGCTTCGCAGTTTATTCCTGTGTCAGTTAAATTTTTATTCATGTATTTTGTCTTTAGTGTCATTAAAATCCTTGGGGACATGCATTTGAGTGAACACATAGGCCAAAGGTGATAGTCACTGATTTTACTTAGCCATGGTTCAAATTTTAAATTTTCTTGCTACTATTGCTCTTATAAGTTTGGCTGTTACTATTTAGCTGGCATAGAAGGTTCTGTGATGAAATTATTTTGTTCCATTAGTTCGCAATAATCATTTTGCATTATGTCCTTATGATGTCCCTCTTTTGGTGTTTCTTATTCTCAGCCTGGATTCTTTTGCTTTTTTTTTTTTTTTCTTGTTCAGTTTTGCAGTATTATTTGAAATCAGAAGTTGCTGAATACCAGATGCCAGTTCCAAGGCTGACTGGTCCTGGTAGTATTGATTACATGCGAGCTGATGATGGGAATGAGTCACTTGATGCACTCCTCCCACAAACTATCGGAAAGGAGCCCCTCATTTCTTTTTCAAGGTCAGGAGATAACCCGGTGCAGTTGATTCAGTTGCTTCATGCCTTGGACCAACCAGGTGATGTGAAAATTTACAGTTAGAACCTAGTAGTAAAACTGATTTGGGTTTTGGTATTTGTTCTTTTAGATGCTTTAGGGAATTTGTTCACATGTAGACATATGGTTTAGGAGGAAAATACAGATATTCTTTTGGGTGAAGTCATTGAAGTGGCCTAAGGGAATTTACAGTTGATTCAGTTGCTTCATGCCTTGGACCAACCAGGTGATGTGAAAATTTACAGTTAGAACCTAGTAGTAAAACTGATTTGGGTTGTGGTATTTGTTCTTTTAGATGCTTTAGGGAATTTGTTCACATGTAGACATATGGTTTAGGTGGAAAATACAGATATTCTTTTGGGTGAAGTCATTGAAGTGGCCTAAGGGATTTATTACCTTCTTCGGGGTGAAGAGTTAATGTCCCAGAGTAGTTCATATGCTCTGGTAATTTACACTTGTAATTGACAACTAATGGTTCTGTATTTCAGAGTGTGCTTTGTATACATTTTTGTTTCCCCGGTGCTGTTTCATTCATTTAGACACAATTATGTACATTTGCTGTTAATGGAGATACCTGCATATTTTTTGTTTAATTGTTTGCTTTATACCACAAATATTTTCTCAAGAAGTTGAAGCTAAATTTATGGTTCTTGCCTAAAATATGGCAGAGCTCCCTGGTTGGCCCTTGCTTACTCCTCTTAAGACTCAGATGCAGAAGTGTGAGAAGTGTTCACGGGAATTTTGTTCAATTGTTAACTACCGGAGGCACATCAGAGTGCATCGTCGATCACTGAATGTTGACAAGGTTTCTTGCTAAGCCTCTGTTTTTTTCCCCTTCAATTTCATTTTTACCTTTTCAAGCTTACCTTTTTATAATCTTCTTAATAATATACGTGTTCTGTGCAGGAGTCTCATAAAATAAGGGACGTGTTGGCAGCTTTCTGGGATAAGGTAACTATATTTTTTCTTCTTACTATTCATGTATCTGAGTGGATGATCTACTTTCTGTGGAGGTTGATTCGGATTGTGTTGCCTGCAGCTTTCGCTGGAGGATGCTAAGGAAGTTGTATCGTTGGGCGATGTCATGCTGAAGGTGCACACATGCATCTCCACTCTATTGTTATTATTATTATTATTATTATTATTATTATTATTATTGGCTTTCGTTCTTGTTGATGTTGCTTTCTTTTACTGTGAAGTTAAGCGGCTGTTGCAAATCTTTTTGGCTTTCAGTTTCTTTCTAGCTTTGCTTTCCTTGGTTCCTCTTGTCTCAATGAATAGCTACTTTGTGACCATTTTTCTTCTGCACATCTTTTCTAGCCCCGTATATTGGTTTGTAATTTTACTGCCTTGTGTAGGAAATCCCTGGATCTTCAGTTGTCATGGCATTGTCATCATCTCTACGCAAGCCAGCAATATGGACTCTCCCACAGGGTTATGTGAAGGCTGGATCTACCTTATTGGTAATAGTTATTTGATTTTTTGGATCTGATTCCAGTGGATCTGATTCCAGACTCTTGATTTACCCATTTGTCTTCTAGTTCAACCTTTATTCCTCTAATATTATGCAAATTTCTGATATTACTTGCAGGACATCATTTACGCTAAACCTTCCAGACTTCCAATATCCTCCCAGGAATTATTGAGCATTCTTGACAGTACTAGTGAGAGAACTTTCTTGTGTGCGGGGATGGCTGAATCCTTGCAAAAGTACGTTTTTGATGGAGAGGCTGGAAGGATTGCACTTGAATTGAAGAATATAATTGCTAGTGCTGGTTTTCTTTTTGAACAGAAACTGGTAAATGCTCAACTCCAATATTAATGATGTGCTGATGTATGTGCTTTGTGCGACTTTCGCTTCTTACTTGTTTGCCTTCTCTTTTCTTCCTGGATTTTCTTAAATGTAATTTGCATCTTGTTTTGCACATCTTGAGATGTTTCCATTTCCTCACAGTTGAAGATGAAATGGTAGAATCAATTTTTTTAAAATCTCTGCTCACTGTGGCCTGGTTGGACCTTCAGTCATACATTTTATGAGCTTATTCAGGTAAAAGCTTGGCTTGCTGAGAAAGATGCTGAGGCTTTAAGATGCCAGAAGTTGCTTGTGGAGGAAGAGGAAGCTGCTCAGAAAAGGTGTGTGTGCACGCACAATTTTCATGATCTCGTTTCTCTGTGAAACCATTTTTTCCCATGCTGGTTATAAAGTTGGCAAAGTAACATTGTGGCAAAGTACTATCTTTAGGCCACTGCTTTCAATGCTTATTAACTTTACTTGGCAACTTTTGTTTCTTTGACCGAATAGAAATATGAAGTTGGTGATAAGAGAACTTAAAAAAGAAGAAAAAAAAAAGGAATCATTTGAGGGTATTCCAAACACTAAAAAATGAAGGTTATGGGAGTCTTTGACCTAACACCTTCTTTTGATAATATTACATCCAAGAACTCCTTTCATGTGTAGATGCGATAGCCTACCTTTTGGTGGTATTTATTTGATTGTTAATGTTTGGTACTGAGATTCTTTGCATCCGGCAATGATGATAGGCTAGCTGACATGTTGGAAAGGAAAAAACAGAAGAAGCTCAGGCAGAAGGAACAGAAAGTGAAGGAGCAAGCAAATGGGGAGAAATTGGATTTGATCATCTCAACAAATTCATCGGAGGTATCACTTCTGGTAGAACCAAGCAGCCCTCCACCTGCTTCTGATTCTAATTCTGAAACTCCTGATGTACTAAATGACCTTCCCTCCAGCCCTGAACAAGTTCAGTTTACAAACCACGAAGAAAATAACATTGAGGCACAGCTTGATTTGAGAAGTGACCATTTGATTTCTGACAATGTTCAGAATGTTGAATCTGTGTTGGTGCCTGTAGATCATCATCGCTGGCAAATGCCTAAGACACAAAAGATCGGAAGAAATGGCTTTCATAATAATCAGAACTTTCAAGTCCTGAAAGTTGAACCTGCTCAAAAGTATGTCCCTGCCAAGGACCGAGGTGGTGTAGTTAGCAGCAATAAAGTATGGACCAAGAAATTAAAAGATGAAAATGTCATAGTGAACTCGAAACCCAAAGTGGAGGAGGTAGTAAAACAAATAGATGAAACGAAGTGCGAACTCCTTATTGGCTCCATATCTGTTCCAGTGGAAGCCTGCATTTCAAGGAAAAGGGAAGTGATTAGCGAAGCTGACGCTGATAATGGCCCAGAGGCAAGCAAACACAGAAGGAGCAATTTTTCGGAAGTACCTGCGGATTCTAATATCCATCCGTCTGTTGTGAATCAAGTTGGCTCTCAACTGTGGAGACCTGTTAGTCAGCATAGTAGAAAAGGTTCTTCACCAGGGAAAAGGGTCGACCATGATCTTGAAGATGGAATTCAGCTCGAAAAGCTGAAGGCCCGGACTGCACCTGATGGAAGTTGTCTGCAGACATCCACTTCAGATGATAACAGCAGCCAGAGCAGGGAGTGCTCTTTGTATGAAGGATTGAAACTGCCAAGTGGTTTGCCGTTCTCAACTGCTTCTGCAAAAGCTTTTCTGTCTCAAAGTATGCCTGCCCTTCAAACTGCTAATTGTCTGAGTAACTATTTACCTTTTGTTTTAACCTGCAATGTATAATCCTTTCGTGTTTGATTTGTTCTCTTGCTATTTAGGATGGAAGGAGGCTATTTCGGCAGAGCATCTGAAGCTAGAGGTTCCGGCTGAACCTGAAGCCCCAGGACTCAATCAAAATCGCGAGGAGAACTCTTTGTCATCTGATCAGGCATCAAATTCTCGGAAGAATTCTATTGATGGTGCATCCAATCACCTGCAGCTTGATGAAGGTCAATTTTCGTCGACGAACAAGAAATCTAAAGCTAGAATTAGGAAAAAACCTGAAAAGGGAGTTAAAATTAAGTATATCCCCAGGCAGAAAGTTGTTGGCTAAAGAAAGTAGGGTGGGGGATTTGCTTTTTATGCTTGGTTGTGCAGTTTATACATTGTCATTGCACTTAGCAGCAGAGGTTCCAGTTTTTACCGAAGGTCTTCTGTCAGAGAAATGGAGTTTTAGGATATAGTTCTTGCCGGTGTTAAGGATAGAGAGAATAGCGAATTATAGAGGTTTTTACTCATCCTTTATATTTATGCAATAAGTGTAATGCAACTTTTGAAGCCTATAAGACATGTATATGGCTAAAGATCCATCTGTAGCATTATGAGAGAGTACGAACTTTACGATCAGGGAGTAAGAACTTTACTATCAGCTCAAATGGAGTGTGATGTACTATACTTAGTTGCTGATTGTGTATGGCTACGCTGGGTTGCTTGAGTTGCATAGATTTTTTATATTCAGTGTTGCGCGAAGTTATGATAAAGGAGCAACAACCTGTTTTACTCATAAAACTTCCCCTTCCTCCCTAAACGCAACTCGATCTCTGGACCGTGTTTGTATAAAGAAGAAATCCACCAGATAAGCAATCACCTTTTGACGCACAGCATGTCAAGCCTTCCACCTTAAAAAAAGACTATCTCTGTTTAGGTTATTTCAAAAGTACAACTTTATCTACTCATTTCAAAGATTATCGACCTAATTTTTCGAAAGACGACAAAATTCTTGTTACGCTAGACTTCGGCACGAGGATAATTTTAAGAAATTCTCATTTGTTAGTGGTTTTTGGCCTTTAGCAATTAGCTAGCGGATTTACTAGTGCTTCCGACATTTGATTTGACCAACACCACAACCACACACCTGCAACCCACCGACCATTTCCCAACAACTGCCTCTTTATAAGCCACGTACTTTGGGTACACTTCATCCTCAGATTCTTCACACCCTGCCATGTGTAAAATTTGTCAGTCTTAACCTTAACCTCCCAAATCAGGATCGGACCGATCATCAGAAATCCAAGATCATACACAAAATTTTTTGCTGGCTTCAGAAATTGCAAAACACTAATTAAAGAAACAACAGAGATTAAAGAATCGAATCACTATCGTCATATCGAAATCAAGGAAGCTCGGAACAGTAATCCAAGGAAAAATAATATGTCAGGTGGGGTTGGTCCAAGCGGCGACATAAAATTACCCAGAGAAGAAGAAGAAACTTACAAGCCTTTGGTGAAGGACGGCCGCGGCGATGGCACTCAAAAGCCGCAACAAAGCAGGGCTTTATTCACGTTTCAACAGCTAAATGCTCTGGCCGTCATTGTTGTCCTCTCAAGTAGTGGAATGGTTAGCATTGAAGACTTCGCTTTTGTGGTCTTTTCTTTAATCTACATGTACTTCATGTCCAGAGTTGCTTTTCCTTCCCTTTCCCCCCACGCCGATCCCCCTGTTTTTGGCCAAAAAAACAGGGTCTTGACCCTGTATGTGTTCATCGGAGCTTTGGTCGGATTGCTTCTTCCGATTGCTTATATATTTGAAGGGATCTTTGAGGGAGATAAAGAAGGTATCAAGGCAGCCGCACCCCATGTTTTCCTTCTTGCTAGCCAGGTTTTCATGGAAGGGGTGTCTTTTAGTGGCCGGTTTTCGCTACCCATTAGGGTGTTTGTGCCGGTTTTCTTCAATTCGAGAAGGATCTTCACCATTGTGGAGTGGTTGAGGAGTGAGATTTACAAGGCGGATATGGAATATGGTGGCAATATCAGGAGGCTTCATGTTGGAAGAGCTCTTGCTGTTGCTAATATGGCCTTTTGGTGCTTCAACTTGTTTGGGTTCTTGTTGCCTTTCTATCTGCCCAAGGCCTTCAAGCTCTATTATTCTTCTTCTGGGAACAAGGCTAACGACCAAAAAAGCAATTGAGTCTTTCGTTGTTGCCTAATTTTATCAGTACGCTCTAGTTTTTAGATTTCTTCTCTTTTGTTATTTGTATGTTCCTTTTAGCTCCTACGGTCAACCCAGAAAAGAAGAAATACTTGTAGGTTGGTTATTTTGGTCCTGCGGAGAACATCGTTTTGCCCCTTTTATATTCAACATGTAATCTATTCACTGTTAGGCCAAACTAGCATTGACGCTGATATCTGGTAATCCTGTGCATAGATACAGTTAGATTTCTCTATTGTCTACTTCAAGTTATTCTCGTGTAAATGGTTTTAACCACAGAAGTTCGCATCACTCTGACCCCAATTTCGAAAGCCAAATTTCATAAACAAAAATTTCCTGAGCCATTAACGTTAAATCACTGGGACCACTACTACCTTTGTCCCTTTTTAAGGCTGCCCGTCTATGTCCCTTTAGCACCAGTAATTTGGGAATCTTGTTAAGGGGGAAAAAAAAAACCACAGTGATTGAGCGTTTTGCATCAGGAAAAGATGTCTGGCGAGGTTACAGAAGAAAATCACCAACATAAACCAGAAGCCCCTTCAAGGACTCCGAAAGGGAGTAGGTTTTCCCTCACTTTTCGGCAGTCCATTGCACTAGCAGGAATGGTGGTTCTTTCCGCCATGCGATTGGCTAGTGTTGAAGACTGGGTTTTGGTGGTATTCTCTTTCGCATACATGTCATTCTTATCAAAAATCGCCTTCCCACCTATTTTTCCTCCTCCAAGTTTCCGATTGTTCGGTGAAAAGAGCAGGTTTCTCGGTCCTTACGTTGTCTTGGCTGGAGTAGTCGGCTTCGTTTTTCCAGTACCATACATTCTGGAAAGTTTCGTCAGAGGAGACAAGGAAGGCATCAGGGCAGCCGCTTCGCATGTTTTCCTTCAAGCAGCCCAGATTTTCGCCGAAGGAGTAGCCTTTCACAATGGGTTTTCCTTGCCTGTCTTTGTGTTCGTACCAGTTTTCTACAATTCCAGGAGGATCTTTACAATCATAGATTGGTTGAGGTGTGAAATGTATGAGGTTGGTACCAGAAGAATCTACATCGGAAGAGGTCTCGCAATAGCTAATCTGGCATTTTGGTGCTTCAACCTGTTCGGATTTTTATTGCCTGTTTTCCTCCCAAAAGCATTTAAGGCGTACTATTTTGCTCAGAAGACTTAAGATTAAATACTTTCGAATTGGAGAGCAGCTGCACCCATATTTCTTGGGGCACTTGTAATAATATTTCCTACTCCTGATGTATCTTTGCTATGCCATAAAAACCAAACAGTATGGTTCTCGAGATTTCTAGTACATTATGGGCTCAATTTATTCGTTCGACAATACAGTATTCAGCGACAATGCATCAAAAGTCAAAACGTATATCAGACACTGGGAGAATCAAAACTTTTAATGATACAACAAAGGCTCAAAAATGTAAACATAAACTAGTGTCAAAAGCAACATATGCTTGATGTCAACTAAAAATTAAAAAAAAAAAAAAAAAACCTCTGCACCAAAAAGTATGGACAAGTCAAAGCGGTATAGCTATCCTTCTTCAACGGGAAGGAGTGTTAACAGCTTCCATTCAATCATCGGACAACTGGAATTTTGCCTGTATTCCGGCTGGAACCTCCTCATTGAATCAAAGTTATCGGCTGCCAGATTCTGATGTAACAGAATGTAAGGTTTCTGAGCCAAAAATGATCAAGAAGCACAAATCATAAATTGGCAGCTTTTATATGCACGATTATACAATGCATCCTAATCAACATTCGCTTCGGATAAGTGAAGAATGGCCATAAAAACTGGTGCTAACCCTTGATGAACTCAAATTTATAAAAATGTTTAGGTTTGAGTCTCAACTGAAACTAACTACTTTGATAGGTTTTCAGTTTCTAGCATTTGGTAAAAGGGCTAACACCTAAGAATCCCTTTTACAAGGCACACTGTACCTGCTATTATTATGAGGATCAGCAGATTCCCTTATCCAACTTCAATGCAGTCAGGATTGGGAACCCAGGGGCACAACAAAGATACCAGAAAGGCAGAAATAGTCTCGTGGACAACAAAGAAAATAAACACTTTCCAATTTCTTTAAGCTGGAGACTCTATATGGATGAACAAGATTGAAAGAAAGTAACAGAAAAAAATCAACCTTTACTTACTCTTTACTGAACCATCTCCTTTCAGTGATACTGGCACAGGTCTCCTTTCTTGACCCATGGACAAAAACTCCTGCATCCTTTCTGGCCAGACAGAGTTCAATCTGCGAGCAAAATCAGCAACCTCCCTGCAGTTCAAAACAAACTTCTTCAGAAATCATTTCCAAAAAAAAATAATAATAATAAGAGTACCCTTCTAAATAAATTTTCAAACTGATACCGAAATACAGAAATTAAAAATCATGTCAGAGTCATGAGACAAACAGAAAAGAACCACAGCATGACAGCTAATCAATCCATAATCAGAGTTCTAAACATAAAAACTAGTAGGAAAAGGCAGGATCTATAACTTAGGTACAGAATTGGCAAGAGACAAGACCTGTCCAATTCTTCCTTCATCGCAGGATCTAATTCATCATCCATATCACCATCATCAAATTCGATCTTATCTTGAAACAATAAATTTTTGCTGGGAAAGGACTTGTCAGTATCACCAGGCAGGCAGCCAGAAGGATGATGGTTCGCCTCCTATAGTACAGGTATTATTATGAAAATCAAGTCAAAACCCACAGATATAATTTTCCACAGTAGAACAAATACGTTACCCCAGGGCACCTTTCTAAACTACCTTATCGCTATTGCCATTCACATTATCTGATGAAGAGTTTTTGGGTCTATCTTTTCTCCTACGGTTTTTCTTTTTGTTCTTTGGCACTTTTACTCCCTTAGATTCTGCAAAACAGCATAGTTGAGCAACATCAGAACAGAAGCACTGGGCAACATGAGAGTGAAACAACTTTAGTGAAGAAGCCAAATATCAACTGTGTACACTTATTTAATCAACTTAAATAGGACAGGCTCACTGAATTTCTCCCATTATGAGAACAATGTAAACTAGTGAATAGTGATAAACACTAAACATGTACTTCGTCATCCACATGTAAACAAAGTCGATGAAGATACAATCATACAACACATAAATATGTGTGTACAGACCACAACAATTATCATACTCTCAGGTTGCAACTACTGATAGAGCCACTAAAAAGCTATTCATGTAAAATCACTAGTTTGGCTGTGAACCATAGCACATAACATTATTTTTGGAGTAGATGGACCAGAACGAAAAACTTTCACCCAGAACTGACATGAAATGTGTAGACACAAGCCCACCTCTATCTCCACCATTTATAAATGACAAGAGGTCATCAACCGATCGTTCATCGGTACGGTGCTCTTCTTCAACCTCCACATTCTGAAAAGTTACAGACATACAGAACAAAAAAAGCTCATTACCATTGCCGATGTATATATTGCAACTGGAGCAAGAAAACTTTTTAGACGCTCCTAAAAGAGAAGCAACAACATCATGTCAGAGCACCTTTAGTCGTTTTCTCTCCTCTAATTCTTTCCTCTTTCTTGCATACAACCGATTCAAAAGCCTAATATGTGGATCATCACCCCAATTTCGCAAAGGTTCCAACTTCTCCTCCTACAATAACGAATTCTGAATATAAATAACAGAGACCGGCAAGAGAACAGAAACAGTTTATTGTAGCCAAGGATACCTCTGTTAGATCATCAGGTAAATTGAAGGTCTCTCGAATTTCTTCTGGACTTTTCCCTTCAATAATCCGAGCTAATGCACGACTAGTAAGATCTACCAGAGGCCTCAGTTGAAGACTATCAGCAGCAGAAGTCAATTCACATAATGTTTTTATACTCGACTTGGCAAGTTTCTCATCATAAGTTTTACGCTCCTGGATACAGAATACTGGCAGAATCAAATAGAATATATTTCAAAAATAAGAAGTACTACACCACAAGCCATGTACGGTGTACCAATGAAAAGAAGGTAAAAAATATATAACAAACTAACCTTATTAGAACGGCCTGGAACTTGATGAAACCGACAGTAGTCGAGTATTAATCCTAATGAAGCAGCGCTAACTTGATGAGGAAGAGATATAGCATAATTTTTGGACGATCCCTTGCCTTGAAGAACTTCTCGGCATATCATAGGACAAAACATGGCAACTTCTTCCTCCACTTGTTGGATGGAACCACCAGCCGTTTGAAGCCAGACATAAGACTTCATCTTGATTCAACAAAGGAAAGAACAATGAGCAATAGCCAAGCCAGAAGTTTAATCCGACCAACATAAGCACTAAAATGAGAAGGAGTTCAGAATGGTAATAAATAACTACGCGACACAACAATTCATCATCACTCAAATGGAAAACATCAAAACTACAAAGTCAATCAATTTTTTACCTATTTAAAGCAGCTAGCAGTGAGGAGCTGTGTCAGCCTAACGTTAGCTGTTTTCCCGCCTAAAATACACCCTCAAAAATTAATTTATTTTTTATGTTAAATTAAGCCTCAAACATCTAATTCCTAATTCTCTAAACCCTAAACCCAAAAAAAAAAAAAAAGGCGTACACAATTGTATCCATAAATTTAAATATGGAAGTGACCAACATTTATTTATAATAACAAGTTCCAGCAATTATATCACCTCACCCCCAATAACTCAATTCAGTTAACATATTACCAAATTAACTTTCGATTCAACCTTAAAAAATTTCAAAAGATTATGCACCAATTTTATTAACAAACATAAAATCACTTTCCCTTGTTCATTTTCTCCACACAAATAGTTCTCCGCTGTTGAGATTTAACAGACAAGATTTAGTTATTATCTTATAATATTTATCAATATGTTAGTGATTATCTTATAAATTATCTTTTTTTAGTTATAGTTATATATCAAAATGTTAGCGCCCGGGCAATGGCCTGGGCTAAGAATCTAGTACCACTAATAACAGAGACCAACAGAGAATTCAGATTGGCAAATAACAACCCAAATTTTGTGCACCAGAGCCACAGAATAAGGAGTGGCAACGGGAATCTTTAGTAGTTCCTCAAAGCAAGGAGATTCAATCCAGAATTCACCAAAGTTAAGATTTGTGTTTTATTTTTCTTCACGAAAAAACCCAAGAATAAATATAACCCACCTCTGGTTTGACAACCGCCATAGGGCCTTATGACATTTATAAGTGCCAATAGGCATAAAATGCTAACAGACTATAACTCCCAAAAGAAAGTTCGCTCGGGTATAGTCTGACTGAAAGCACGTATCCAGTTTCTCCTGTTTCAGTAACAGCTTCTGCCTGGAAGTCAAGTGCAAAAATACTCAATTGCAAGAGTGGTCTGCAAGATTCCAGAACCTGTTTAAGAGTAAAAAGGGACCCATGAGAGGAGCAATTGAAAATTCACAAAATAACACCTTGCAAAGAAGACAGGAACCATGCAAACAGTAAAATCGACAATTTGATCGGAAGAAGTGATATATTACAGAAATTTAATAACAACTTCCACCACCTCAAAGGCTCGAAGACTCAAAAGATTATTTTTACTACAGATGGACTTAGAACAAATGTCCGTTAAGTGATTTCTCCCCTTTTATTGTTCACCTTTCATTCCCTATCAGAAAACAGTCTATTCCGAGAGCAATGGAAGGATATACAAAATTCACTGATACGAAAATATCAACTCTAAGATTAAGATTTGAGACTGTAGCCGAATTCGAAAGAGCAAATTCCCGAAATGTGGTTTCATTGAAAAGAAGCCAAATCAGATTGAACAGATAAATTCACTTCTTAAACAGCTAAATTTGCTTTGTTTTAAGTAATGGAGCAGCAAAATCAGTGAGTTCTAATCTAATCAAATCCAATTTTAATTGGGGAACACATTTCACAACCTTAAAAGAAAACTCTATAATCCTATTCCTGCCGCCAGAAAATTTTCCTACCAGAACAAATACTGAAGATTTCAAGCGTCGCTTTTCGCACAAATTAAAAAAAAAAAAGAAAAGAAGGAAACAATTCAAACCGCTTGAATTGATAATTCAACAATAGAGGCATCAATCATATAGATTCAGGAAAAAAAAAAGATTTACACATGCCTGAGAAATGCAGCAGAGATTAGGGTTCTTGACTGACTGTAGAAGAGCGGTTTTTATATATTTGCGGTTCCAGTTTTCGGTTTAGCGTTTTGTAAAATATCTGGTTTTCCCCTAAGCGCTTTGTTATGTCTTTGCTTATATGACACGTGCGCTGAAGATGGATAAAATCATCAAGTGCTTGTTCTTACATTTCATTTTGACAATTAAAGTGGAATGTGTTTCTTGAAAACTAAATGAGAAATAAAATGTCGTTTCGATGTTAGTGTCGAGGGTATCCCGGAGACGGAGAGCCGACGGTCTGACCTAGACGAGAACCTGCAAAACGGAGGTTAGCACTCCAAAAGTCAAGTCAGTTCTAGGGAGAGAAGTAAATTATCACACTTAGAGAGAGAAACGGAAGTGTGAAAAATTGAATTAGCAATAAATGAACAAGGTGTATTTATAGGTCCCAAATGGGACAATACTTGTGGGCCCTGTGTCGGAAGGGGCAAGAAAGTAAATGCACATGCACTGATTCCTTGTGACCCGGTTGGGCCCAAAGGAATTAAATAAGTGACTTGGGCTTGTAAGGAGAGCCCAAGTCTGTCAGCAAATTGGGCCGGGATTGACCACCAACAGTTAGTTTTGAAAAAAAAAAAGTATTTTGAACTACATTTTGAAATATCAAATATAAGTCATCACTAAATAATTAAATACTGTCAATTATAGTTACTACAAAAAAAGAACTTTTCCAAAAACAATCATTAAACAACGGAATCCTGCCAAATCTATCACTGAACTATTTGTAGTTCTAAAATGGTCACTACACAAACAAAAAGTGTTTCAAGTTGGAATTTAAAATGTAAATCAGAAAGTGGAAAAAATGTCGTTCCTACCCAAAACTTTGCCATCGTCGTCAATCATACTTAATAGATTTTCCGTTAGCCAAATTTACCCTAATGTTTGAAATTTTCGCCAATTTCGTCCAATTGGCCCATTTTCTGTCTAAATTAACGGATCTCCATAAGTATTTTAATAAAATAATAAATTTAATTACAAAAATATCCAGTAATTTTTAAAATTTTTAAAAATAACCGCTAAAATATATAAAAATAATAAAACAGTCCCTTTTTACTTTTTTATTTTATTTCTCTATTTTGTTTCATTTCTCTCAACTACTTTTAATGACCATAAAAATCTATTATATGAGTTTTTTAAAAAATATTTATTTATTTTCAAACTTTACCGTAAAAATTAATCTTTGTATAGTTGTAACCCGTGATTGTATTTATATAAGTATGTTAATTTTTTTAATAATATAGTTTAGCAATAAAGACACTATTTTTCTAATTTATTTTATTTTTCCTAACATAAAGATTAAAAACATTTCAATGAAACTTATATTTCACATAAAAATAAAATATTAACTCAAATAAAAAAATATATTAATATATTTTAGTATATTACAATTTAACTCAAGAGACTATAACTTGCATTAACATAATTCATAATAAAATAACTAAAATATAATATAATTAAAATCTTTAAAAAAATCCTCCAAACATAAATTTTCTTTCTTGAATCTAAAACCTATTTTCTATCACAACAACTTATTACCATATTATTACCTCCATTTATTTATTTTAAACTAAAATCATATAGAATAAGCTAGTAAGACTTCCTTTTAGTCAAATATATTAACATCAAATAATTATTACAAGATGTTAAATCCTAGCATTGATAAGTATAAACATATTTTTTATAAATTATATTATGCCATGTAGTCTCTCTAGTTAAATTATAATACACTAAACTATACTAAAATATTATTTTTTCTTTGAGCTAATTACTTTATTTTTATGTGGAAAATTTTTTTCATTTAAATGTTTTTAATCTTAATGTTAGGAAAAATAAAATAAATCAGAAAAATAGTGTCTTTATTGCTAAACTATATTATTAAAAATATTAACATGCTTATATATAAATACAATCATGTGTTACAACTATACAAAGATTAACTTTTATGGTAGAGTTTGTAAATAAATAAATATTTTTTTAAAACTCGTATAATATACTTTCATGGTCATTAAAAGTAGTTGAGAGAAATGGAACAAAATAGAGAAAAATAAAATAAAAAAGTAAAAATAGACTATTTTGTTATTTTTATATATTTTAGGGGTTATTTTTAAAATTTTACAAACTACTGGGGTATTTTTGTATTTAAATTTATTATTTTATTAAAAACTAACGGAGATCCGTTAATTTGGACGGAAAATGGGCGGATTGGACGAAATTGGCGAAAATTTCAAACTTTAGCGTAAAGTTGGCTAACCGAAAATCTATGAGGTATAATTGACGACGAGGGTAAAGCTTTGGGTAGGAACGACATTTTTTTCTATCAGAAAGTTGTTTGGATGATGTTTTATTTTCTATTAGGTTTTGCGTATAAGAGGTAAAATAAGTTGATATCCAAATAAGGCCCAAATCACTCGCCAATCCTATACAGTCAAAATGTAGTCCTCCTAATTTATGCAACCAAAGAGAATTTATTCTATTTTATTTTTTGGAAATGATTCGTGATTATTTCACTTATCTTGCTGATTAATAAAAATAAATACTATAAAAAAATTATCAGGTTGTATTTCAGTATTAAATTTATATTTTTTATTTAATGATTACATTACAGGTATGAAAATTTTGATTAAGATGCAAATTAAAACCGTAAAAAAATTTATAGTAAAAGATTACTCTCTCCAATCCTAATTATAAGTATTCTTTTAAGGTTTCTATATACTATTTATAAGGCAGTTGGTGTCTTATAAGGTTTCATTTAGATTGCATTCGTTTGTCTTGAAGAGAAAGAAAACAGGGAAAAATAATCTTTAATTAATTTTGACATGTTTCAAAATATATATTGGAAATTTGGAATAGTACGTATTTAATGATTGCTACATTTCTTTTTTATGGGTATAAAAATGGAATTTTTAATTAAGAATGAATTAAGAAAATTAATTTTACACAATAGTTCATAATAAAATAAATTTAGATTACCATTAATTAAGATATATTATGAAGAGCTCAAATTTAAAGCCTAACCCTAAGAAATTTGGACTGGAATACTTGGAAGTTAAATCATCGCCTAAAGCCTATATTAATTAAGTTTACGTAAGTATGGAACATCCCTTCTATATAAGAAAGTGATATTTCTCCTTTGTTTAACAATCTCGCTGATAAACAACTATCTTCCATTCTCTCTGTCTTTTTTTTTTTAGATTCTTTTAATGACTAAAGTATTGACATTCTACCCTCAATAAACCATTAAGACTTTGTCTTGCAAGTATTGGATCGTCCGCCGCGGTTTAGATCATCGTTGTCGATCGTCTTAAGTATCATATAGATTTCGATTTCGACATATTTAATTTTTTTTCCTAATTAATAAATTGTGATATTAAGAAAGACATACTAAATTAATCACATTGAATTATTTACTAAATGGTACAATCAATCTTATTACTATGTAAAAGCAATCTTTTACCTTTTTTATTTTTTATGGAACATCTATTTTTACCTATTGAAAGAAAGTAGCTGTCACTTAAATCACGTGAGAATGTTTTCCCGCGTAAAGGTAGTAGCTAAAAAATAGGAATAGAAATTTATTAAAATACATGAACAATTCATAATAATCTATTTTTAGTCCCTAAATTCAAGCTCCATGAAACACAATCTCCTCAATGCTATCGTGAACTTGGATTCCTTCAAACAAATCCATCAATATGATAATTTCACGAATTAGTTTCTGATCCAACTCCAAAAGAACTCCCAAGACTAATGAAAAAATAATCTGTGATTCCAATTTAAATTGCCAATTCATGTTTATTACCTTTTCAATTGTACTTACATTTGTTTTTTTAGTTATTATTTTATCATAATAAATATAATTTTTTTCTAAGTTACATAGTGTTTTATTTAACAACACCCGGACAACGGGTCAGACTGAAAATCTAGTATAGTTGGAAGCAGAATCAAATTACTGTTACCTCCATTCGCTCGAGCCTTATGATGCACGTCCAAATTAAATTAATTAAACTTTACTCTGATTAGTTCCTAAAAGAGTGAGAACATTTTAATATGAGTAATATGGTAACGGTGAGGATTTCTTACACTAAAATCCTACAATACTTCCTACACCATTATATAAATTTTGTCACTCTTTTTATTTAATTATTATTTAATATTTTTTAACATTTATTAACACTCTAACCTACCATTGGATAAACCTGTAAGGACATGTATTAAAATCTTAGTGAATGATATAAAAAGTGGTGTACAAAACTTTTTACTGGTAATACAGACAGTGCACAAAAAATAACTTTCCTTAATTTGTACAAGTTAATTAGTTAAGACTTATATTAAGGATTGGAGAAAATAATAATGAGGAGACATTTTTAAACACATGATGGACGACATATATGCCTGGGAGGATAGTAGTAGTATTGTTTTATCCGCTACCATTTTACTCGCTTCGGTTCTTAATATAATATATTTTAGTTTGTTTTAGGTTTTACAAGGTATGTATTTTTAATTGGAAAAAAAAAATCTTTAAAATATAAGCTTGTTTGGATGATGGTTTGTTTTAGTTTTTTGGTTGAGTTTGTAATGTGATTTAAAATGAATTTTGAGAGAATTTAAAAAGTTGTTTGGATAATATTTTAATTAAATTAATATTATTTTTCTACTACCACTAGACCACCTCCGCCACCCACATCTGCCGCCTCGCCCCCTCCCCCTTCACCGCCGGACCGCTGTCGGCGTGGTAGTGGATAAAACTTGTATTAAAATAGTATTTGAAATAATTTTTAAAAGTAAGTTAAAATATTGTTTGGATAATGTATCAGATTTTTTGGTTTAACGGGAAAAATAAGACAAAAGACAAAATAGGAGGCCATCCAAACAAGCCTTATTTTCACATTTGTTTTTTTGAAAAAAAATAAAATACCTACTAAGTTAAATTTAGGATAAATAAAAATACCGAAAATTAAGGACCGGAGGCGTGTATGGGGGGGATATGGGATATTTGGGTAAAAATGAGACTGAGCAAAGTGAATTCAATCTTTCACTGTGCTTGTGCTTGACTGGTGCAACGAAGTCAAAGCGAAGAAGTCGATAGTAAAAGAGAACGACAATCTTGAAGGACGACGATGTATGTTTTTTTTTTTTTTCCAAAGAAAAGGACCCTCGGAGTTTTCACCATCTTCCACGGCCGAGGAAGTCACCAATGGGATCGAGGGTTCTGATCTCACTGCCATTGTCACAGGTTAATCCAATTTTGAATGGGTTTTTCTTGGAGGGAAGGAGGGAGTTTGGGTTATTAACCATCAATTGATCTGATGGTGGTGCTGAGCCCAAATGAATTGCAGGGGCATCAAGTGGAATCGGTGCTGAGACCGCCCGTGTTCTCGCACTTGGTGGAGTAAATGTCGTGATGGCCGTCCGGAATATGGCCGCTGGCCGAGACATCAAAGAATCAATTCTGAAGGAAATCCCAAATGCCAGAGTTGAAACCATGGAGTTAGACCTCAGTTCGCTTGTATCCGTGAAACAATTTGCTGGGGAATTTGTTTCGTCCGGTCGTCCATTGAATATTCTTATGTACGTTACCTTCTTTGCCGGCGACGAAATTCTGCAGTCTTATGAACATTTCTTTGTTGTTAATTTAAGCGTATACAAAGCATTTTCAACTGTTTTTGTATTTGATAGTAATAATGCAGGAATCAGGGAACTCCCTTTCAGCTATCCAAGGACAATATAGAATTACATTTCGCAACGAATCATTTAGGTAATTACTTCCCTTTTCTTCTTCTTGTTGTATGAGCAGTGTTTGCATTGTGTTTGGGATTGATTAATGGCAGGATTGTTTTTTATGTTACTTTTCAATTGAGGGTTTGGTTCCCTTCCGTTTGTTCTCTTTATTGTAGATTACTGGTGAACTTTTCCCTGTTGTTTAGGTCATTTTCTTTTAACCAGTCTTTTATTGGACACCATGAAGCAAACATACCAAGCAACTAAGAAAGAGGGACGAATTGTGACTGTATCATCTGAGGGTCACCGGTGTACATTTCGTGAAGGTGTTCGTTTTGATAGAATCAATGATCCAAAATGGTGTGTTCCGCATCCTTGATTCTGAATTTTCTCACTTGCCCAGAGGTTCTTATTTGTTATGTGCTTGCTATCCTGCTGATTGGAAAATTTTATCTATTAAAGCTTTTGGAAATTTCCTCTCCTCTTGCTGCATTAAGGATTTCTTTGCTCAAGTTTGTCATGAATGTTTGAAGTAGTTGTAATAATAAGAATAAACTCATGATCAAAGTTGTTAAACCATATCATTGTTTCATTCACTTTTTTGAAATTATGTTCTTTTATATGATCATAACGTGTTAGATAACTCTCAAACTTGACAATGGAGCCTTCTACGGTTCTATTTACTTAATTGATAATACTATCCCACTTGGATCTTGACTCTTGTGGATAATTTCTATCACATTTCTGTTCATTGTTCCTCAGGTACATCAGCTTCTTAGCATATTTCCAGTCCAAGATTGCAAATATACTACATGCCAATGAGCTTGCCAGACGCTTAAAGGTATCAGATAATGATCTTTTAACTTAAATGATCCACCAAAAAAAATTTGACTTCTGAGTTGGATGAGGACTCTTTATCATGGAGTCATTTTTTGAAGCTTGTTACCGTAAATTGAACTTGCCACTTTTCTCTGGAGAATATATTATCTTCTTCTGCCATAGACACTATTCTTTATCCATATTTTAAGCTAATGAGGAGATTCCTGTCTTTTTAAAGGATGGATCTCATTAGATCTTTCAATTGGACATCTAAAATAGAAAGCGTCCTAGGATATGCATCAGCTTATCCCGGGTATGTTTAGGAGGCAAGGGCTCTTAGGGTTCCTCTTGAGAAATTCAAAAGAAGGGTAAATAAGGTGCTTGCTGGTTTAGAACCATACATTTTTTCCTTCCCTTTTGTACGTTACTTTTGGTGAAGAGCAGAAGAGATCTATGTTTGTACTATTAGATTTCAGATCGTGGCTACTATTAGTTCATTAATATGTTTCAATAACAGGAAGATGGAGTAGAAATAACTGCCAACTCAGTTCATCCTGGAGTAGTTACAACCAATATGTTTCGTCATCTAGGCATTTTTGAAGGTAAACATCTAGCTCCTAGTCTAAACTTTCTCACTTGAATTCAATTTATAGGTTACCAATGTCGTGTCATCTCTTTGTTTTTCATGAAAACGAATTTGATCCAAGTGAAACAGGTAGTGATGGATTAGTGGTCTGTTTCTATATTTCACCATTGAAGTGTTCTAGTATGTCTAGGTTCCACTTTCTCGTATGTATTCTAGTTCCGGTGTGAATATATTTTTAAGTGCTAGAATGAGGATTCTGCAGTTCACCTGTTTCTTAATTGATTGACAGTGAGACAAATGCCTTTTCAAGTCTTAAAAGTCCAGCTTCTTCTTAAGCATCATAATGGAAACTGAATTGCTTATTAACGCATTCAACTTAGAAAAGGCATTTGGACTTAAGAAAAAACTTCCAGAGCAGGTGGTGTCTATTCCCACTTAATTATATGATTCTGATTATGGCCTGGGCAAATGTGTACTAAAAAACGTTGAACAAGTACGTTTATTCCCCGAATCATCTTGAAGATTTGAAGCATTATTAGTCGGTTGTGATGCTTAGATTTATCATCTCTTTGAAACCCGTGGTTTTAGGGAGCTTCAACAACTTGCTATGTAGCCCTGCATCCACGAGTAATGGGGATAAGTGGCGAGTATTTTGTTGACAACAAGTTGTCCAAAGCAAGCTCGAAAGCCGTGGACATGGATTTAGCCAGGAGGCTTTGGGAATTTAGCATGAAACTAGTCAAGCAACATTTGGATGACTCTCCTGATGGACCTAATCAGTGAAGACTGAACTGAAGCGCTCATTCTGATTGAACAAAGACTCAATCCGTTTTGATTGACCCTTAGCCCTTCAACAACAACCAAACATGAAGCTTTTGCCTTGTTCATATTCGTAATCCTCATGCAAATTGCGAGGAAACAAGTCCGTAATTTGCTTTTAATGAATTTGGCCGATTGTTGAATCCAACTTGGTATACCATTTGGCACATTGAATGGATCATTTTTGTGATGAAGTTTTCTTTTTTTGTAGACTTGGCATTTATTCAATTAATTGTGGATTGCAGAGTGCCGGTACATAGTTAAATGTTTGTCGACCATATTTTCATGAAGCTATTAATACATTTGATGTGATATTCCAACTATCCGATTTAGCTCCCCGAGTGTTGCGAATCGTAAAATTTAAAATCAGAGTATCTAGCTTTGAATTTCGACTCGACCAATCAGCTCTCCGGTGTAAATGGCTTTCAATGTCAGGATTTTTTTTTTTATGATACTTAAAATACTTAAACGCGTTTTAGAATCCATAATCTTTGGTTATCATGTTTAGCCAAGAGGGATCATTGTTCCCGTCATTTATTTTTTCTTGTTTTACCAAATATACCTTCAAAACTTCACCATTATTCTTAGCCACATATCTCAAAAGCTATTTTCCTTTTATTGAAAGGGTAGTTTGACAATTGAGCCTCACTTTCGTTTTTTAGCATGATGTGTAGTTAACAAGAAAGAAAAATGTCCTAAATTTAATTAGTAAAATAGTAATAAAGACTCTGTCATAAGTCTTGTGTGTGTTTGGTACTTCGGTTGTCAACCAAATGATAGTGAAAGTTCGCTTTTACCTCTTTTCCTGATTTGACCCAACTGAGAGACTTGGAACTTCAGAAACAGAGTAAACAACATTGTCATTTTCAGGGGACGGGAAAAAAAAAAAAGGTGTTTATTTTCAAAGCCAGCACATTTACTACTTGAACTTACATATTTTAAAATTGGACCATTTTACCCTTATAATTTTTTCAAATCAAATAATTTGACTAGAAAGAAAATAAAAAAAAATTAAATTTTTTTTAAAAAATTGACCGATCGGGCGATCCACCCGTCCCGGGTTCACGGGGACGGACAAGGAATGCGTCCTCTTGTTCGCCCGAATGCGTTCATTGCGCCGCGTTTTTTACTCGTCCCTTTTTGTGTTAATCCGGGACAAGTGGATTGCTCGGCTGGTCCCGGTTCGGTCCGATATGGTGAACCGGACCGGTCATGCCCTTTTTTTAATTTTTTATTTTTTTTTGTAATTAAAAAATAGCAATATTTGTTATTTAAAAAAGTCTAAAAATTAAAAAATATCAATCGGATTCATTGCTATTTTTTTAATTTTTAGATTTTTTTGTTGTAATTAGTTAATCTAGTTTTTAGGTCATTAAATTTATTAATAGTTTATTAGTTGAGTTACATTAAGTATCACCAATCTTTGTAGTACAAAAAATAGTTAATCTATTTGCACATATTTGTCACAATCTTTGTGGTACAATTATTATTTTTCATTATAAATGTATAATTATTATTTTAACTAAAAATTATTTTAAAATAATAATTAAAGCAAAATTTATATTTTAATATCAATTCAAATAAATTAAATTAACAAATAATCTTAAATTTTTTTCAAGTAAAAATTAATTACTTGTTTATTTTTAAGTAAATATAAAATCGAGAGTTTAAGCATTAAAGTATAAATATTGTTAATAATATTTAAAGTACGAGGTATTTAACATGTAATGATACTGCGAATAAATTAACATTAAAATAAAAATTAATAATTTGTCCGTTCTCACGTGAATCGGATCGAATAACTTGTCCGGTTCGATTCGAGTGACAGGGACAAAAAGAGAATTTTTCAAAATTGGTGATTTCAAGTACTAATTTGGGTGGCTGGAAAACCAATCCCAAAAAGAAAATCTCACCTCGTTTTTGAATTAAGTATTCAAAGTAACATCTTCGTCTTCTTTTCGAAATGGATAAATCATCCGGTCTTAGTGGCAGAAATTCTTTTTAAAAAAGCTGAAATTGGGTTTCATATTCCTGCAATGAACCCATACGATTTAAGCACTTGCCTTCCTTTATCTTTATGTACCAAACATAAAAATTAAAATAAAAGATACGGAAAGGTACTAGAATTTCATATTCTTACCATTTCCAAAAAAAATTATATTCCTCATGTCTCAAAATTATTGTCTAATTTGATATTTCACTTTTAGTACAATTTAAACTAGAAATGAAAATTCAAACTGGACAATAATTATGGAACGGATGGAGTACAAATTATTTTCGAACTAAGACAGACAGTATGACAATAACGGCAAACTTTAAAGAAATAAGAAGATAGTCGGACGGATCAAATAGGATTAATATGATACTATGCAATCTAATACTCCCTCTATTCCAAAATAAGTGTCCTTTTAACAAAATGTAGAAATTCTAAAATAAGTGTTGTTTTCGGATTTTAATGCATTTTTTGTTAAAGAATTCCAAACATGCCCTCAAAAGACATAATATTATTGACGAGAATTTATTTTAACGGGGTTGGTTGAGGATATTCTAGTAATTTAACTATCATATTTAATGTTTTCTTAAACTATATGCAAACTCTAGAATCACACTTATTTTGGAACAGAGTGAGTAATACATAATGTACCTGTTTTCCAAAAAGAATAAAAAATTAATGTTAAAGTAATAAATTTTACAAAAAATAAAAATTACACTCTCCACTTTCCAATTCCAGTGTGAATCTAGTCAATCACAGACTCGCAGCTAGAAGGTTTGGAAGATAAAGAAAGGACAGCGCCCACGATTTTGGACCAAAAAATAAGAATAATGTGTTCCAAATCCAACCAGGAAAAGAAAAGGATAATACCATACAGTACTAGTAGTAAGTATAATGCACAGACACGCAATCCTGCCGAGTAAAAAGGAACGGGATACTATTATTTAATGATGACTGAATGAATGAATATATATAAGCCTCATTGCCTTTCCACTCCGATTCACGTTCCATTCCTTTTAAACCGTCAAGTTTGTCAGATTCTGGAACAGAAGACGATGATGTGGCCTTTCAGCAGAAAAGGGCCATCTGGGTTTTCATCCTCTTCTACTGCTGAAGATGTTACCCAGGGGATTGATGGCTCTGGTCTCACTGCCATTGTTACCGGTGAAATTCCATTCTCCGAATTTATCTGTGCATATTCCATTGTTGGATTTTCCTTTGCCGTTAGTAGTTATTAATCATTCTCAACTATTAATTCTTTAAATAATATTGATGCTTTCTTTGAACCCTGTTGAAAGAATTAAAAATTCCTGTATTGCCATCATACACCACTGATGGAAAGTGGTCGTTACACTCGTGAATGGGATTTTTGCAGGGGCTTCGAGTGGGATTGGTGCTGAAACTGCCCGTGTTCTTGCACTGCGTGGTGTAGATGTTGTAATGGGTGTGAGGAACATGGCGGCTGGGCAGGAGGTGAAAGATTCAATTCATAAGGAAATTCCTGCGGCCAAAGTTGATACCATGGAGTTGGATCTCAGTTCTATGGCATCTGTTAGGAAGTTTGCATCAGACTTTAATTCTTCGGGCCGTCCCTTAAATATTTTAATGTGAGTCAAGACAGGGTAGCAATTGATTATTATAGAGTTAATAATAATACTATAATCTGTTTTATAAGATTCTGTTCTCTTTTGAGTTTTCTACCCATAGTATGATTGTGACTGGTAATTTTGTTCTGGCAGTAACAATGCAGGAATCATGGCAAACCCGTTTAAGCTTTCCAAGGACAACATAGAACTACAGTTTGCCACAAATCACTTGGGTTAGTCCTTTCTCCCTTGCTTTATCAGATGGGTAGTAGAATTTATCAAGTTGTATTGCAATGATATACTTAAGCTTGTCTCAGTAAACAGTGATTTGAGTCGATTGCTAGTCCTTTCTTCCCATCTCCTTTATGTAGACTGTGTAGAGCACGATGCATGTGATAAATGGCATGTTTTAGGCTATTATTCAGATCCACTTATTGGTCATGCTAAGGATTCTGATCTGGTTGTCTAAGAATTCTGATCTGGTTGCAGGTCATTTCCTCTTGACTCATCTGTTATTGGACACAATGAAAAAAACATACCATCAAACAAAGAAAGAGGGAAGAATAGTAAATCTTTCATCCGAGGCTCACCGCACTACCTATAAAGAAGGTGTTCGCTTTGATAAGATCAATGATGAAGAGGGGTACGTTTCCATTACTGGACTGATGTTTTTATGTTTTTCAGATGACATTTCTTTCCTCTTGTATTGTCTCGAAGCTCCAAAATGTTTTCCTACAGCTTCGAGATTCTACAACAACGAGAATCATTTCTATAAGCCGCAACTATATACTTGACCTTTAAATGTTTGGGACACATCAGGAGTCCAATCAGAATCTCTGTTAAAATCTCTTGCATCCATGCATTTGACACCTTTGATGGAAAATCATTTCTAGATAAAATAATCATTTTTTGGGGGTTTGACTTCTCAATTGATGTATACGTTGTAATATCAGCTACTATCTTCACTTCTGGTTTTATTTGTGTACTCTATGCTTATAATTGGAGTTTCCAGTTAGATATACGTGTGCTCATCATCCCAAACTGAAGCTGTTGCATGTTGATTTTCTTTCTTCTTTGTTACCTCTGGCGTTGAATTTGGGGGAAAGTGTTTCGAGTGTGACTTTCGTTGGACTTAACAGAGCTTGAGATATAAAACTCCCAGTTTTCACACTTTTATGGTGAGTTTTGGACGAGGGCCGTCTTTCTCGGAGATTGTGGCCTCCGCAATAAATATTTATTTGTCTTCTTGAGCCACATATTGTATGCTATATTGCAAGTTTGCCCCATAATTTCTTATATTTTGTATTTTTAACCTAATTAGTGAGGGTATTGTTTGGATTTTTTTTATTTCAGCGTGTGTATTTAGGTATTTTTTCTATTGTGAATGTAAAAGGATGTATTAAAAAGGTAAAAAGATTTGTTGAGATGAAACATTTACTATTATATTATTTTTAAAAACCATAAAAAAAAAAACAAAGCCTGAATTAGCACGTCGGCGTGACTTCATTCGAGAACAGCATCGTAGGATTATTCAAACTCCACTCTTATTATGGTTCAAATAGTCTAGTTATAATTCTTGGAAAAAAACACATAAGGACTTTTTAAAGATATCTATGATTTTAGTAGTATAGATTAACTAGTTATATTCATGTATGTTGCACGGTATGACTATAGATTTTAATCAACAAACAAAATATATATATATATATATATAAAATAGATAATTAGTGTTAATGTTGATACATTCATGTGTTAGCATGCCTCAATATGTGTTTGTGTGTACTCTATGCTTATAATTGGAGTTTCCAGTTAGATATACGTGTGCTCATCATCCCAAACTGAAGCTGTTGCATGTTGATTTTCTTTCTTCTTTGTTACCTCTGACATGTTTAATTCTTGTCGGAGATACAGGTACAAGAGGTGGCTTGCATATGGTCAATCAAAGCTCTCAAACATACTGCACGCAAATGAGCTTTCGAGACGCTTGAAGGTAATAGATTGCACCTAGATTCTGGTTGGTTTTTGAAACCCTTGCATCATTCGTGAATCAAACTTTGCAAACTGGTAAAAATTATTCTAAGTTGATCTCAAAATCAGTTAGCCAATTGCCTGTAAAACATTGTTGTCTTTTACTTTCCAGGAAGATGGGGTTGAAATAACTGCCAACTCGCTTCATCCAGGAGTGATTGCAACCAATCTTTTTCGTCATTTTGGGGTTTTTGGAGGTACACACAAAATATTTGACTGGATGTCTTTAAATTTGAGATATCACAATTGATGGCACTATTTAAGGTCTATAACATTTCGAGTGGCATAAACCCAGTTAAGCTCATGGACACTTCTACAAGTGTTGATGTTTGTGATGCTTGTTCAAATCATTTTACCTTATCCATGGATTATTCACTGTTTATATGCCGAGTATTTTTTGCTCCCTTCAGTTAATTTACTTCCAAGTGTCTGAAGGTAGTCTGCTTATGCTTCCAAAATTTTTTCATTTTTAGTACAAGTGATATCATCCACTTTATTGCTTATGAGAAGGGCTAGATTTCCTTTGTCCACCATTTAATACACCAAGCCTGTTATACCTCTCTCTGATCAACCATATCAGATCAACCTCACCATGTTGTTAGGGATGTGTCAGTTACCTTGCCTATACAATCGTGATGGTAGGTAGTTGCTGTTAACTGCATTCCAGCTCTCATTTCACTATTTCTGATCTGATGCAGAAATTGTGGGTAAGCTAGGAAAGCTTGTTTTGAAAACCCCGCAACAAGTAAGTTATGCAATCAAATAATGAACTCATGTCACATTTGGAATGATATGATGATTTCTTTGAGCATGTATGCCTGTGTAAATGTCCTCAATCTCTTCTTCATGCATGTCTCTACAGTGGGAAGCCTAAAACATAATTCTACGCAGAGAATCTCTTTGTATGAAAGCTTGCTAACGTGTTTGTTCTTCGGGTCTTTTTCCTTCTGAAGGGAGCAGCCACAACATGCTATGTAGCATTAAATCCACAAGTGAAGGGGATAAGTGGCGAATACTTTTCAGACAGCAACATAGCAAAACCAACCTCCAAGGCAACGGATGTCGATTTGGCAAAGAGACTCTGGGATTTTAGCATGGATCTCACGAAGCCATAAGCACTCTAAACCTTGTATCATCACTAAAAAGAAAAAGTACCGTAAACCTGTGAAGAAGCTGCATTTCTTCGCAAAATAGCTCTTTCTGTGTATTCATTCTGTTACTTTGTGAAGGAAAAACAATCCATATCCATTATTACCCGTGATCTCCACCATATGTTACTATTTATTTTTAGTGACAATTATGCATTAATCAGTTTTAAAAACAGAACTATTTCAGTTCAGCACCGTTCTTCCGAAACTGTACTACTTTCTCTCTACTTGTTGAATTATATTTTTTAAAAGAAGAAGAATCTGTTTCGACAGTGCGTACAAAATAGAACGTTTTGTGAATTGTGCATTTGAACTACTAATGACGATTGAAATATGACTCGGACAATCTGGGGTTTGGAATTGAGTCAAAAGTTATCTTCAGATTGCAAGTGAAAGTGGTCAGTGAAATCGCCGGAACTAGGGTTATTTAGATTAGTGAAACCTGTGAAAGAAAACTCCAAATTCGAAGGTATAGGACGATTAGATGTGGTGGTTCCGCAGCAGGAAAGGGCCTTCTGGATTCTCTGCAACTTCAACCGCGGAAGAAGTCACACAAGGGATAGATGGCTCTGGTCTCACCGCCATTATCACCGGTCAATCTCTATCACTCATTTGAACTTGTCAAAACCCGATATCTTCCATGACCTAAATTCTCCTACTATTTTTACTTTTTCCGGTGCTGATCGTCGTTTTTTGGAAGTTGTAATAGGAGCAACAAGCGGCATCGGAGCTGAAACAGCGCGGGTTCTAGCATTGCGGGGTATCCATGTTGTAATGGGAGTCAGGAATATGGCTGCTGGAAAGGAAGTCCAAGAATCAATCAGAAAACAAATCCCAAATGCCAAAGTTGACGCCTTGGAGCTGGACCTCAGCTCCATTGCATCCGTCGCCGCCTTCGCCTCTAATTTCAAGGGCTTAGGCCTTCCTCTGAACTTACTCATGTACGTACTATATACAGGTTGTTTCTGATTTTTAGTTGCTTATTCAATAAATTCCGATTCATAATTTTTGGTCTTCTCTTCTTTGCCTAGTAATAATGCCGGAATTATGGCAACCCCTTTCGTGCTATCCAAAGACAACATAGAGCTGCAATTTGCTACGAATCATATAGGTAGGGCTTCTGGAGAACCGGATTATGGGCAGGAACTTTTCCCCAATTAAGATTGTGGCCATCATCGTACTTAGTGAATTTGTTTGGTTTAGTTGCGCTTAAATGGATTTTAATTCGAAAATTCTATCTTCTTGCAGGCCATTTTCTTCTGACGAATTTAATGCTTGAAACCATGAAAAGTACTGTTCGGGAAACTGGAAAAGAAGGAAGGGTGGTGAATGTATCCTCTCGGCGACACAAATTCTCATATCCTGAGGGAATTCGCTTTGAGAAAATCAATGATAAATCCGGGTAGGTTGTGTGTTTCTTCAGAGGATGGTGGATTCTTTTCTTCAACACATTTTAGGATCTCTTGTACCGCATACTCCCTGTTTTTAACTCTTATTCGAGTCAGACATGATTGTAAACACATTTGGCTAGGGAATGCATGCCACTTACAAATGTAATTTAGTTAGGCATGGTTAAATATGCACGAAAGGGGCCATAGTAAAGTCTATTTCAGAATATGTCTTGAGTGATGATGAAGATGGAAAGCGTGTTCAAATAGATATTCAATACCCATATCATAATTATCTCCTGAGGTGTTTTTCTTCTGCATAGGTACAACTGTCTTTCAGCTTATGGTCAATCAAAACTTGCCAATGTCTTACATGCGAATGAATTGGCAAGGCATCTGAAGGTATCTGATTTATTAGTACTAGAACCTTATTTCCAAAGTTTATTGACTACTGTGCCTGCTATGTAAATTAACGGAAGGGGATGGAAGATCTTTTAAAAGAAGTCACACTTGCCTTTTTGAGTTACTGGTGTTGTGGAGGGAAATGATGGCAATTATTCATGGAATTTTAAGTTTTAGGTAGGTCGGAGAATATCTGGTACTAATCTGACAAGGTTGAATGGAATAAATGAATTCTCGTCATTATTTTGAACTGTTGTTTATGTATGATAGTTTTGGTGATATCTTTTTAGGAAGAAGGGATCAAAATAACAGCAAATTCTCTTCATCCAGGAGCAATTGCTACAGATCTTTTCCGTCACCATCCCTTTGTAGAGGGTAATTTCTTTCAAAATGTTCATGCTGCCAAATATTCGTTGCACAGTGTTTTTCTGTACCGAGTCTGAAGCTTGCATAGACTTAGTTGCTTACAAATTTTACGCAGTTCTGCACTTTATTCCTCGCTCCATTGATTAATCACCTCCTAATTATTTTAAGAAATGACATGTAAAAAACTGCAAGTTCTTTTGGGTATGAGTGGACATTGGGATAGCTTGGAAATTCCTCGCTTCAACTATGAATTCTCAATCCATTTTCGATTCATCTAACCTGCAAGTGGATATGCTGTTAAGTAAACTGGAGAAGTTTCTTTGGTTTAATGCAGGTTTTATGAACGCCCTGGGTAAGCATGTCATGAAAAATGTCCAGCAGGTATATGTTCTTTTCCCTTTGTTGATAATGAATTTGGTTTCTAGTTGAATCAGTTATCAACTTCAAGAGTGATCTCCGGAGTCACACCAAATGGTGCCTTTTCTTCTTCCAAGATTTCTGAAATTTTACAGCTAACATCAGTCCCAATCACGTTGTCCTGAATGTTATCAGAAGTTATATTTCTGACACCTTAATGGCAGAGTTGATTTTGCAGGGAGCGGCTACGACATGCTATGTAGCACTGCACCCGAATATTAAAGGTGTAACTGGAGCTTACTTTGCAGACAGTAATATCTCCTTGGCCAGTTCACAAGCTAATGACACTGAACTAGCCAAGAAACTCTGGAATCTCAGCTTAGATCTGATTCACCAGTCAAAATCTCTTTAGATTATCTAACTCACTTGGCTTCTGCTTTATCTTTCCTCAACTCCCCCCAAGAGAGCACCTATCATGCAAAAAGCTCTGCTCCGCAAATAGCCAAAGTTGTCTGCCAGCTCACATGTTTTAGCACTTGTTCAACATTTCGTTTGGAGCAAGCTGTGAGTTCATTTGCAGAGTTCATTAGCAGCTGAAAGGTGGGATATATCTGTTTCTGACCAATTTGGCCTAGATTTCAATCATTCATTGCTTGTAAAGGAGCAAATGTTTTTGCGTGTTCGTACTTTTAAGCCAACTTCAATTGGGGTACCGTAAACCAACGAAAGAATCGAGTAATGATCAACTACGGTATCATATCACGCATTACAAAAATACAGCAGTTAGTTTAATTTTCTCGACAGACTTCAATGAATGGCCTGAAGTAATTATATTAGCTCGCAACTTTTTGCGATTCTGCAGACAGTGTAAGATCAGTATGCTTAGCTTACAGGCAATGCAGAAAAATAAAAACAGCTAACTTCAGGCGAGTGAGTGAAACGCAGGGAAAGCATTCTAGCAACCTTTACTGTTTCATTGGCATAATCTGAACCTATGTTGGCGATAACATTCTATATACAGCAGTTGCGGACCCCTGAGAAAAAATCAAGTCCTACAGCTACTTATTGTCCAGGCTTACTTTCTGTTCTCTTCTATTTTGATATAATATTTGCATATACAATTCTTGCTACCACAAATTTTCTTAGTGAAGGATCAGCTATACATTACATCACAGAAGCCGACTTAGCTGAGAAACCACACTTTCAAATCAGACCTCATGTCAGTCAAGTGCCAGTAAACTTTTTTAAGCACTCTCAACTTTGGAAATGCTGGTGCAGAGTCAAGTGAGACATCTTCAGCCACAGCGACTAGTCTTTCTACCACGACAGAAGCTTTCTTCCTAAAAGATGAACATGTTTCAGGTCATTTCTGTTTGTTTCGGTTAACTTGTTGAAGCAGCATATGCTGTCAACCGACCAAAATTGAATTCTTCACTCAACCATCCAGATCCTCTGAAGCTGTCACCTTATTATGTGGGTACTTTCCTATCAAAAGGTCCTTATTGTGCCAATTGGCTGGCTTCCTTCAAAGCAGATATGGTAAACAATGCCATCGAAGTAAACCAAGAAACAGTGATGGTTGTGCTTCCCCTCAAAGAGACTAAAAAAACCAGTTATACGCCATTAGTGCGGCCTGTCAATGGGTGGCGAGAATTAAGATCTAAAGTAGGAGTCAATTTCACAGGATCACGTCGCAATTGCTGAGACACACGATCTGCCAGGACTGACTGCTTAGCTAGTGCATTGTTGTCGTTGCATGCCAGTTCACGGAAGGTATGAGAACCTGCTTGCGTTCCCCTAAAAACATCAGGATCCCAATACGAGGGGCTATTCATGAAGGCACTTTGTGGGGCCTTGTGCATATTTCCAAAGCCTTCTTGTAGGTAACTAGACTGACTAAGTTGCTGAAACGGTATAGCACCAGCACCTCCAGATAGAGGAGTAGATGAGCCAGATGTAGCACGAGGACTAGATATAGGTGAAGGAGACATCCTACCATTAAGGTGTGGAGGTGACCTTGGGTGTAAAAGAGGACTTCCAATAGGAGAAACTGGGCAAGAAATATTCCTCTGAATATGGATCTCACTGGAGGAAAACGTATTCATAAGAAAAAGCTATGATAACCACAATATCAGTTTTTCCCACCATACCAAAACTCCCTCCAATCCAAAATGATTGTCCTGTTGTGCTATTTTAGTGTAACAAACAGGACAATCATTTTGGGTCGGAGGGAGCATCAGGCATGAAATATCATAATTTGAAAAGAAAGAGTCAAGAGGCTCAGCAACTGAACGGACCTGGAATGGAAATTAGACCTGGATACTCTGGAAGAGTGGATAGCAAGTCTTTCTGACTCAGAATTTGATAGATTTCTCGACTGTTCAGTGCCCTACATTTAGAAACACCACATTGAAGAAAACACATTAGACGGCAAGAACAAAAAATAAATAAACAAATAATTGAAGCTCTAAGATTCACTATCATAAGAGATGGTGCCGGTTCAACTTATAGACCCATGTCCAAACAGGCCAATTCAAAAATGCAACTAAATAGTTTTAATACTCGGGAAAAAGCAAAACTAAGTTCAAAACATTGTTATTGTTTGCACTGGTCAAAATTTCATCCCAAAATTAAGTGTGCAACTATAGATGATTGTAGCAACATAAACCTCAGTTTAGTGTTTGAAACTACAGAACTTCCTTTCTTTCACCATGTGATGCGCAATCTTTATAGCAACTAAAGTCCGGAGAGTTATAAACTAAAGTCACAATTCCTATACTAAATGGAAGAAAGGCCATGGATATGGGAGGAAAAAGGATAACAGGCCATTAAATACATAAATACAATCTCTGCAACTATTATCAAACTCAGCAAGGTTAGTACAATAATGGAACCATCATCAAACAACAACTTTGTCCCAAATTAACAACTAAGTTCTCATTCAAATCCTAAATGCTTTTCTTTAATAATCCTACCATGTTCCTTTCAAAGAATGGCGAGGCTTGATCCTCCAATGCCATACCCAGTCACAGTTAGTATTTTAATTGAATTTATTGAATGGCGAGGCTTGATCCTCCAATGCCATACCCAGTCACAGTTAGTATTTTAATTGAATTTATTGTACTCAACGACGAACTGAAGAAATGAGAAGGCACATAAAATGTATTAACCCACTGAAAACTGGATTTTTATGCAAGTCATGCATAAAAATCAGAAATGAGTGCCCAAAGAGAATAAAATTTCTGATGTCACATGCATAAGAAATATGAAAAGGGTACCTACAAAATCATTAATCACGAAAAGAAAAGAAAAGGAAAAAAAAAAAAAAACAAAAACAAAAGCAGGGGGCATCTTAATTCCCCAGAAAATTGACAAGAAGAACATTGATCGAAACTAATCAGGCTAAAAGGACTATGCTAAAAAAATTACAATTCCAATATTTTTTACCATGGATGGTGGATCTGGAGATGCAGGCACTTTTTCCAAAGGAGCTGCATTCTTCACAAATGGATGATCCAAAAGCTGAACAGCTGTTGGACGATGTAGTGGGTTGCGCTGTAAACATTGCCTCACAAAGTCCTTTCCTTCCTCTGAAAGGTAATCAGGAATTGCAGGTAGTTCTTTACTGTTACCAATCTTGAACATGGCAGCAACCTTCAGAACAAAAAATGCAAAGGTTCATAAGATGATCCAAAATTTCAGATAATACTTTCTTAACTGAGAGCATCTTATGTGTTTGTTTTTCACATCTTTTTTCCTGATAGTTTGTCGGCATAAATACTTAGCTTTATCAAACTATCTTTTAAAAAGTAGATTTTACATTTGACAGACATAGTATGTAGGCAATCTTTCCAAATACAGACCCCTTCATACTGACTCCAAGGAGGCTTTGCAGTAGCCATTTCCAAGACAGTGCAACCAAGACTCCATATATCAACAGCAAGATTACAGCCACTTGAGTTCTTTATAACCTGAATAGCAGAATAGAAAAGTTCAACTCATAAAAATAGTTACGAAGTCATGAAAATGGACTCCAGGTGACAAGGAAAGTTCTTCTAACCTCAGGTGCCATCCAGTATGGGCTCCCTTTAAACGATAAAGGACATGACTGCCCTGTAATCTGCAAAGTTAAAAAGTGTATAGCTCTAGTCAACATCAGGGAGGAGCTAACAGGTAAAAGCCATTTCAGTAGTGCCACTTGGAAATTAGCAGGTTGGCTGACAAACACAAACATGGAACTCTTTCTATGTCCTAACAAGGATCAAAAGCTGAGATCCTCACAAAATGAAGATTATGGTCAGAAAGGTAAAGCTGATCGAGGCAAAATAAAGAACAAAGTTTTTGCCCTTCAAGAATTTTCCCTCCAATTTCACAATAAAAATAACAGTTCTCCATTTTTTAAATTTTCCCAGAATATATAATTCACTTGTTCCAGCGTACTACCCACAGACGAAAGGAAAAGATCGAAGTATTTAACTCAACGTACATGTTTTGCCATTCCAAAGTCTGCCAACTTGACACGGCCATTTGGATCTACAAGTATATTTGCCCCTTTGATATCCCTGCCAAACATGTCCCAATGAAATGAAGGTTAGCTGATAACATTTGGTAGGTCAGAAACCAGTTCAGAAGATAAATTTCACCTGTGGACAGTATTTTTATTGTGTAGGTATGCAAGACCAGATAATATTTGTTGCGTATAGCTACGAATAGCCGATTCCCCAAACTGACCATAATCCTGCAGAAGTTTATGGATGGAACCTCCAGACACGTATTCCAAATATATGTAGAGCTTATCACACACCTGATCAGTATGAAAATAAACCGAGATCAACACTATCCAGAAGAGACAAAAGTGTCCAAGGCCGTAAGTCAAAAGCACTTCCTAATCACGGATGACATAACTATATAGCTTCATAGCAAGAGATATCTAATACACAGAAGCCCTGAAAACTAGCATCCTTACAAGAGGTCAACTTTCAGAGAAATGGCAAAACCATACTACTTGTATCTCAATCAAATTGTAAGCAAGCATCACTTTTGACGAGGTAAAAAAACAGAATGCTGGAAACAAGAATCTTCGAAACAGTACTTACAGTTTCAGATCCATAATATTGTACAATGTTTGGATGCCTTAGACGGCTTAGCATAACTATCTCCTGCATTTGATCAAAAGAAAATCTTGAGTTAAAAAATCCATTTTTCTCCCCATTACAGTGCATATGCCCTAAAAATAAAACTTTTTACAGAAACAGAAAATCTAGCTTACTTGTCCCAACTGCTTTGCACTTTCCTTGGACTTTGCATCATCTGCAAACAGTGTAACCTCCTTCATTGCACACATTTCGCCACTTTCTCTACACAAACCAGCAATAGTAGAATGAAAACAGAAAACAGATTGATCAACAAAATGAAGCCATTAAGTATGCTTTTGCAGCTAGATAAATAAATGGGGGGGAAATCGCCAAAGTGAAAACTATAAGCAGTCAAGTCTAAACAATGCAAAAGCAAAATGACTTACAGTTCACCCGTGGACACAATAAAATAGATACAAAAAACATGAGAAAGGATTAACGCACTGGTCTCTTTGCATACCTATTAAAACCCACGTAAACATGTCCAAATGTGCCTCTGCCGAGCAACTTCCCTTTTTTCCAGCGTGAACCGGGACTTGCAAGACTTTCAGCTCGGCCAGGGCTACGCGGTACCGAAGGAGAAGTTGCAGCAGAATTTGAATGAGAAAATGGTAAGGAGTTGGAGATTGTTACAGGAGGAAGTGGCAGTCGATGACTTTGTTGTTTTCCATCATCTGCCCTACCAGCCTGTGATTCAAGTCCTCCGCCTCCAGCTCTTGGATGGATTGGCGTAACAGCCCCACTTTGAATTCTAGAACTAGGCCCAGGACTAGTCATTCTGGGACTAGGGATAGGAGAATACTCGGGGCTGCCTCTGCTGGGTTGCCAAAATAATTGCCCAGACATATCACCTCCCATTGAATTATGTCCAGAATTTTGACCTGAGCCTGGGCTTGAACAGGGTCCAGAACCAAGTAATGGAAGGTCTGGGTAAGGCCTTCCAGGCCATAACCCTGACCCTGCAACTTGGTCATTCCCAAACGCTCTCATTGGACTTCGAGAAGGACTTGACATTGAACTATCCGGTGCACTACAAAATGCACCATGATATGGAACCTGTAGACTGGGAACACCATTCAAAGGACGTCTTCTTGGCGATGAAGAAAACCCGTGTTTGTTGGAAGATAGATCAATAGGTTTAGGTGACTCCCTTGAGCTTTTCTGTCCAACTGGTGACTGATCCTTAACAATCAAGCTTCAAACATAGTCAAAAATTTTAGTAAGCCACAGATTCACTGGCCAGGCATTGTTAAAAATTGAGCAAATGGTTGACAGTACTAACAGAGGTTCTTAAACTCATTTTGATTTACCATTACCCCAAGATTTTCTTGAAGATTAAACGACGTGGAAGCATACCTAGAAGGGCTGCCTGTAGCAGTTCTAGTCCCGAGCTCATAGTCAGATTCCAGAGGACTGCGTTGGCGCGAGTCTGTTTGATCATCACTGTCAGTAGAGCTTTCACTACATACAGAGGGAACCAATTCTCCATCTAAATCTGCAGGATCTGGTCTATGCCGGATGCATGCAGGCCTTGGAAGTGGAAGAAATGATGATGTTTTGGAGCTCTTCTCAGCTCTGGGTTTTCCCGTTGAACTTATTCCAGAATCTGTACGCTGCACGCTTGTAGGTCGTAAACCAGGAAGTGGAAGTGGTTGAGCCTGAGGCCTATCAGCGAAGCTCTGGCATCTTGAAACATGCTTTGAAGGTGACGGTGACCTTGATTCTGCACGGGACTGAGACCCCCTTTCTGAATATGTGTCACTGGTCCGTCTTCTAAGCCTTCCTGATCTACTGGAAGGTTTACTTTCAGATGGACTCTTAAATAAATTCCAATATGTAAAACTTTCTTTCGTAGTTTTCTTTTTGGCTTCTTTTGATGATGACTTCCCCCACCATGAAGGCATATTTTCTGATGCTAAACATACAGATATCAGTGAGTAACAAGCCAAGTAAAGCCATCACTCAAGACTAATGAATCTATAACTCTGTTGAATAATACTAAAATGACTACGGCACTTGAATAACTTAGTAGTCAAAAACGAAGCAACATTCACATAACCACACACTATTTCTCCTTCTGACAACAACAACAAAAAAGGATGATCTTTCCAGTCCAGGAAAAGATCACGCGGCTACACCCTCAACTAATTTGCGATTTCCACAGAAAGAAGACAAAGTTCTAGGCAATTTAGTCAAGAAGAATAGTCCTATGGTGAATCAAAGTTCCAAAACTCAACATACAAAAATTGGACAGTATGTTATTGGATCAATCAACAAAGGCATCTGATACGTGGAGTGGAGTGAAATTCTCCCCAGTGAAACTCAATCCAGATACAAGTCTTACAAGGAAGACCAAGTCAATAAAAAAAAAAAATCAAGACTGGTTAGACTCCTGAGAAGAAACCAGTTATTTCTCTTTCTTTTTTCCCAGATAAGTAATAGCTAATAATTCACACATACCCCGCACTTAAAAGGATACATTTCCAATTCTCCAGCGTTCAATTAGATTCCATTTTTCAACCAGACACATAAAATCAGACAGAAGCGATAACTTTTCGAACCATAAACTCAACTAAAATCTACAAGGTTCCCAATCTTCCGCTTCTGATTATAACTTCAACTTCGGGCTCAAATTTCCTTTTTTTCTCGCTCTAGCTGATAGTAAAACCCAAGATTCTAACAAGGCAACAACCGAAAAATTTAGTAAAATGATCCTACCAAAATTATCTTTTCCAACTAAATTTGGCAATCACTTCGATCTTCAACACCCAAAATCTAACCTTTAAATCACAGATCTAACCTCACATTACAAAATTTAGCTGGGACCAAAAAAGGCACCCAGCAGAATTAAAAGGAAAAACTGCAACCATAAAAACTAAAAATTTAGTGAAAACATTAAGTACAATACTCACCCAAGTTCGCCTCTTTCACATAGCTTTGAGCAAACACGAGTCACTCAGATTTAGCTCCAAATCTACTCCAAACCAGCTCAAAGAAATGAACAAATGAACAATATGGAAACCCTAATTACTAGAGAAAAGAGGTATGAACTGTGTGAATGTGTGATAATTTAGTGAGAGAAAGTGGGAGAGATTGAAGGATTCGAAGTGGAGATGTTTTTTTTCTTTCTTTCTGAAGAGATCGCGTGAAGGGATGGAAAGAGGGAGAGAGAAAGAGAGAGTACGAGCAGGTGGGTGAGAGACTCTACTCTCTCCAGTAGAGAAGAGAGAGTATTCTTTGTGAGTGAGGATTTTTTTTCTATTTCTTTTTTTTTTTAATATAATAAATTGGGAATTAAAATAAAATTATTTAAGTCTGTAGTAGTATCAATTATTAAAATATTATTAATAATTAAATAGTGTAGATAAAAAGTAGTGATCCCGACATCTGAACTTTTTCCCCCATTTTCACTCGTGTTTATTCGCCTCCTGCGTAGGGACTAAATGATTATGAACAAATTTAAAGCGTTTATAACGGCAAGTCCTTTTGTATCTTATTACAAAGAATTGGTCCTTTTTCTGGGCATTTATTTGAAATTGCATACAAATGTTGGTATAACTTCAGAAATTACTTGAGAAGTAGTAATATCATGACTCGAGTGGTTGCTTTGTTTTTCCCCAAGAAAATTAGCATCTAAACTATTGGACAGATGAATCTATGAAAAGGGCCAATTGGGGATAGTAACTAATAAATGAGATACCGGTATTTCGAGTGACATGTTGCATGTTTTATTCAATTACATATTTAACAAGTTAATTTAGTATTTGTGTTGGTGTAGATCGACCCATGTTATTCAGGTTTGTTGATTTACCATTTTGAGAATCCACCCGTGTTTTGCTTGATAGATTGATGGGATAAACATTGCATTGTCATCTTCAAGAATAATGTTTTCCGATGGATCTTCTAGGAAGAAATAAGATATATTCCATTGACTCCGTTTTCTAATGTGTAAGCGCATTAAATTATTAATATTGTTATGTATACAGAAAAAAATTATACAACCCATAATTCGGTTGTATAATAAATTTTGCGAGCTAACCAAAAAAAAATAAAAAAATTGAAAAACTGAAAAGGTATGCAGATTGTAGGAGTAAATAATTATGGAAAAGCAAAAAATTAGTCCACCAAAACGACACGCTGCGTCTAAGGTTGAATTACAGCTAAAGTCATGTGAGTCTTTATCACTTCATTCTGAATTTGATAATTATGTATTATGTCAACTTCGCCAAATAAAGAAAAACGTAGGGTGCATTGCATGAAGAAGATTATATTGTACTACCTACGTCCCAACAAAAATAAAATAATTCACATTGAGTTTTCAAATTTGTATTAAAAATAGTACAAAATTTAAAATTCAATGTGGACTATTTTTATAGGACCGAAGGAGTATCTGATTATAGACTATATTAATTAATCATTTACTTTAGTATTCTTCCACTCCATTAAATTTTTACATGAATTGTGAAATAAATAGTAATTACATATAATATATATTATATTATATATGGATTATCAATCACACTATATGTTACCATCTCCGTTCCTCTTTTCTTCTTTTTTTTCTGTCTGGTGTTTTTTAGAGATTTCACAATTAAAGTGTTTTTGTATTTTCCATTTGTTTACATGGAATGAAAACAAGTGGGATTATTCATCTGTATTTTAATATTTTTTTCCATACAATTGCGTGTTTATATAGTACTATAACAATAACTAATTTTTTCGTGAAATTGCATACAATTTTGTATGAGTTATGATAGTCAAAGTGTTTAGAATTGCCCACTAACAATTTTAAAATCTCCATAGAAGGAGATACAGCTCTTGGGATTAACTGATGCAAAATGACAGTGAACATTTTGGAAGGATGGGTGTCCTTGGTCCTAGGATCAGACTATAAAAATGATTGATGTACCCCACACTACCAAGGTTAATTTCCCTTTTTAAACAAAATTACAAACAAAACACCTATACCACAATAAGTGGGACAATTTTGTTGTTTATTTATTCGTAAATTACACTACAAGAAAAAAAATGGCATTTTGTGACACTGGCATTTTGAAGCGGGAACAATGCATCAAATCACTTTGTAAAATACTACAATTCAAATTTATTTTTGTTTTCTTGGGTTGATGTTTTGTTGTTGGATTTATTAAAAATGGAGAACTATTATGCGATCAAATTGTGTATTGCCGGCGATTATAAACTACTAACTAGTTTGTTCTTAATTTCGTCGGATAAACTAAAGTATAAATTGAGATGACGGTAATTGATACTTTTTTCTGTCCCACCAAACTTTGCTAGTGTTTTTAGATTGAGATTGATTGACACCTAAATGAGTATTTCTCCGAACAAAATTCTGCATAATGGTGACAGTACTGAATAAAAAAACAGTATTTATTAGCTTGTTTTAATAAGTTATATATATACATTGGATTGGACTAATTGGACTATTTGGAGGATTTAATTAGATGCACTTTCTTTTCCGAATGATAAACTACCAAAAGTAGTGTTATTATCAAAGAGCTTTAACGCATGATGCCTGCATCAAATACCCACTGCTGATCGGAAGAAGTAGGTTTTATTTACTCGATTTTATCGTCATTATTGTACTACATCCGTACCAAAAAAATAGTCTACATTGAGTTTTTAAATTTGTACTAAAAATAATACAAAATTTAAAATTCAATTTGGATTTTTTTTTTTTGAAACGGAGGGAGTAATTATTATTGTATTTCAAAAGCTAAATAAACAAAAATAAAAATTAAGATAATGGGTTTCATAGGTCCGATTGCCGTGGAATGGGGGCTGGGGTTGTGGACCTTTTTAAGCTAGTGTCACCACCACCAACGGGGCGGGGGAAGGGGTATATAAAATATGGGTATGACTTTTAATTTGGGACCATCTCTTTTTTTTTCTTGACTCTAAAGTCCCTCCTAAATCCTAATCGAGCACATTTTTTTTTTCTGAATATTTGTAAATTGTAGTCACAATAATCACACAAGAAAATTGCATCCCATCATCCATAATATTTTCAACAACCAAAAATAGTTTTTGATTTGAAACTAAGAATATTAAAACAAAAATCCGTAAATGCTGCATTATCATTATTGACATCAATCAGAATTCAGAAAGGTTGATGATGGCATTAAAATTGCGAAAAATGCAAAGAAAGGGCTCGGACTTAAACTAGGAAAATGCATGAATCTACAAGAGGATGACCTTTTCTTTTTGAGGGGCCTTATCCAACATGCATTGGTTGGGAGTCTTGGGACTTGGGGAATTGATGGGCTCATAGATGTCTTTTCTCTTTGGGCGATTTGTCTCACTGCCTGCCTTTTTTCTTTATGAAGCTATACCTTTTTTTTTTATTTTTTTTATCATGTTTATACTAAAAGAAAAACAGTAGCGTAGGGAAAATTTACAGAGATGATGTATATGAATTCTAACCTTTTAAATGGATAAACCCGTAAAAATAAGTTTTAACTATAGATGTCGATGATTCATTCTTTTTATATTTTTTCTCATAAATTTTTTCAGCAACAATTATTACCCACATTAAAATACTGGGTTGATCAGGTATAACCTAAAGCATCACATTATTATATACGGATAAAAATATTTCATTTCACGAATGAGATACAAGTGAAATGATGCATAACAAGTGAGGAAGAGACAGTTTATTCTTTTTTGTAAGAAGCTCAATGTTCACATTGACAACGTGATGCTGATGGCATTTTCGTTTCGCAAAACGTCCATCCGAAACCAAAAGGCACGTTTTTTCTCCCATGCCTCGTTATATCTGTTTCCGCAACTCACGTTTCTGTCAAAAGCTTATTCGAACTCTAGCTAGCTGCAGAAATAGTGCTTTATTCGTAGAATAGGATTCCACGACACGGAGCAGTCCATGATAGCATTTCAGTGTAATCACATTAAAAAATAAAAAAAAAAGCCAATTGTTTTAGGCCAGCAACGAGAAATGGCAGTGTCGAAGGCGGTTGATCTGTTTCTGCTTGTAAAACTTCAAGAAAAAGATGTTGATCTATAATTCTATGCACACGAGAACTCAGAAGATCTTACATCAAAGGAATGTGGAGGGGGAAAAAAAAAGAAGAAAAAAGATATCTATTGAAGGATATGTTACCCAGTTTATCCACAGAAGAAATATATTACAGATTGTGGGTTCAGAATAACCCTTGAAAGTGAGAAGAGAGCATTATCCCTTGATCAGCATTAAACCAATAGCAGTCACCACAAGGGTGGAGGGGAAGCCAAACTTGAGGTGACTCCAAAACGAGAGATTGTAGCCAAAATGCTGAGAACGACGAGCCTGCTCGCACACTATCAGGTTGGCTGCTGATCCCAGCAGGGAAAGGTTTCCTGCTACTGTGCTGACCCAAGCTAAAAGTAGCCACGCCTTCTTCTCACTTGAAGGAGATATCGCAGCTGCTGAAGCCGCAACACGTGCTCCTAGCAGTAGAACTAGGGACCAAAAGTCACATGTGACTATCACAAGCACATACACCGCGTATACATTATTCAAACACTGATATTTCTATGTAATCCGCTACGCTAAGAAAACTTAAAATTTAAATTCCAACAAAGAAGACACCAATAACTGATGGGCCACATAGGATAAGTTTATTTTGGATTGTATTTTATTCAAGCCTAGAACAGACTGTCTTGCTTATGAAAGGGCTTGAAACATTTTAGCATAAAAGGATCTTGGATGTTTCACAATTTACATCCAAGGAGCAAGTAACTGAAAGACTGGCCAGAGTATATATTGTGCTTCTTGTTTCTGTCTTTAATACACTTTCTAATGGCATATTATCATTAAGGCAAAAATCAGAACCATACCCAATACACTATCCACGAGGATCAACTTCCAAGACGACGAAAGAATGATAAAAATTAAAGAAAGTACTATCATTATGGTCTATTTGTTGTTGCTTCAGGTACATTTGCCTATAAAGATTATGCATCAGTAAGAAAATATATTATGATCAGGGAGATGAAATGAATCTATCTTACCTGTGGGTACATTTGAAGCCAAATTTGAGAGGAAAAGGATGACAAGAGCAAGGACAGCCATTCCGCTGATGCGATTAATTTGTGAATAAGGCTCCATAAAATCCCACATTGCACTAGGGATTCCTGTTTTATTGAACCCATCAACGGTGATAAACATTCCACAAAAGAATATCAGCAGTGAGTATGACACCTGCATATGTAATGAATAGAAGAAAATTAACCATCTGCCTGGCCAAGCATGAAGGATAAAGTTACTAAACGTTGTCAATTGAAACTAAGAGCAGATTGTTCACCTTTTCCAAGCACGGACGGGCATCCTTAAAATCAAGGACAACAAGAGCCAAGGCAGCAGTAACTGCAGTCCATGACATGTTGAGACCTACTAGCAAGGATATTAACATTCCAATTGTAACAAGATAAACACAAGTTTTCCACAGTAATCTTTTCCATGTTGCCTTCTCTTCACTGGTTATGTGGAGATCACCATTGGAAACTACACGATCTTCTTTACTCTCTGTCGATATCTTGTTTGCCACCTCCTTCCACGGGGTTGTGTTCCCTGCCGACTCAGACCCTTGAGATGAAGCCTTGTGAATTTCACTTGCATTCACAACCCCCCTGTTCCGAAGGGTCTCAACCTGATTTGTGTGACCGTTTATATTAGGAGAGCCACTACTGCTCAATGATTCCAACGTAGCATTCCATTCTTGGGAATTTAAAGACGAAAGATGAGACATAGTTGCTGGAGAAAAACGGTGTGAAATCACTTCGTCTTCAGCCACCACTTCAACAGCAGGAGCCTCTTCATCTTTGCGTGTGGATAACAATCTCCAATACATGCACAACAGAAGTATGGCATTGACCGATACTCCCACCAGCATAGCAGGCAGTAACCCAAATAAAAAGGCACCAAATGAAATTTTACTCTGGACTGCTATAACTAAATTTTGAGGATTACCAATTGGAGTTGCCGAAGACCCGATATTCGCACTGGACGCCAAGGCGAGTAAGAATGGGTGTGGTGGAAGATTATGCTGCCTTGCAATTTTCAACACGAATTCCGTCAAAACAACACAGGATGTATCATTAGTGAAGAGGGCACTGGAAATCGCAGAAATGATACAGATTCGACAGAGCAAATCTTTGGGTCCCTTACTTTTCCAAGATAGCAACTTACCTAAGTATTTGAACATGTCAGCTCTTTCGAGATAGGTACTAACTACCATTGTACCAAACAAGAGACCAAGAATTGGAAGATCTATGGCAGCATAGGCCTGATCAGGAGTTATGACTCGGAACATAACCATAAGCGTGGCCCCTAGAAGAGACCCTGCAGTTCTACCAATAGGAAGAAATGGGACAGCGGGAAATACCGCCAGAACCCAGAATATAGCAAACGCAATTGAGCCCAGGAGCAATTTAACTGGAGTGGCCATAGCCATGGTTTTAATTCTATATCCCCAATCGCAATCTACAACGCAATAGAAAAATGATTCCCATAAATCATTACTGGAACAGAATAGCCTCTACAATCCAAACACAAGAGGGTATCCCAAAAAAATTTAAGATTCTAATATAAATTATCCATCCGGCTTATACCAAAGGAAAATGAATGCCAATACAAGGGTTTCTTTCAGTTGGAATGAGCATTATCCAGATACCAATATATGATTGCAATAAACGAAGCAGCAATCAAATGATGCACTAACTTGTCTGCTAGAGATGAAGAAACAATATAATTGAATCGTAAATATTTAGCAGCCAGTAACGAACAAAAAGGTTCACAAGGAAAACCACTATCACTATCTGCAATTGAAGAATGAAGGATAGAAGAAGTATTAAACTATAAAAAACTAACCTGAACTCGAAAAAGTTGAGCACTTTAGACGTGGAAACACAACCCCAAAAGTTTGGAATATACGAGCCGACTTCAAGAACAATGTTCATCAATAAAGATTCAATATTACTGGGCAAATCCTGAATCGCAGAGTTGCAGGACACGTCATGCCCACATGCTGAATCATCTGCTGCACGCTCATCATTTGTTCCCCCAAATTTACTTAGTACATCATTGATCTCTGTCAATCCATAAAATACAGATTTAATCTCCTGCTGTAATGGCATTTAATTCTTATTACATGGCCATTTATTTTCAGGAACATTGAAAATTGTTAGTATTATTGATAATAAAGAATAACCGCCACTCTTTTCTGTGTTTTTTAACATATCCTTTTAGCTGGGTTTCGGATTCTGCTCGATGGTGACCTCATGCTCTGTCTGACCAAGTAAACGAGAATGACAGTCTTAAAAAAACAGGAATAATTACTATCACAAGCTGACAGGTTTCGTTTTATTTTATTTTTATTATTTTTTAAAAAAAAATTGTTGGGTTTTGAAGCGTAGCTGCAAAATCTGAGAAAATGCAATAGATCATGTAAACTCAGATCTCACTGAAACAGGTGTTTAAGTCGATTTAAACGTTGGCGGCAATATTCCCAATAAAAGAGAAACTCCCGATCCATGTCGATGAGATGAGGGAATTCAAACAGCCAAACCTCTTTGATTTCTTTTTGACCACATAAAGCAGCCCTTTAATTGAGGAAGCAGTATAAATAGTGAGACAAAGCAACGGAGGGTAAAGAAAGACCAAATATGAACACAAATTAGAATACGTACGCAATAGAGCTGGCTAGTCAAAATTAATCCACGTACCACATTTATATACATTTAGTTTATTGCCGCCGGGAGGAAAAAAAACAAAAACAAGGTTTGGATGAATCAAAATGAGGCAGCAAATGACGTTGGGAAGAAGTTAACTCCGAATATAAAAGAAGTTGGTTCAAGTTTTCAATTGATGCCAGCAGTTAAGCAGTACAGCCACTTGTCATGTTACTACGGACTGCTTCTCAAATTTATTTATTAGGGTTATCTTCTTCAACCTTAACGACTAGTTAATTAATTGTCAATTATGCATCAGCTGGACTGTAGCCACATCCTGCCATTTTTAGTAGGATGAGCCACCAGATGAGCCTTTCAGAAAACAGGGCATCCCCCAAAATTATTAGCCTCCGTAGAACTCCCTAGTAAATTGTATTTGATGAACATTAAGTTGTGGACTAAATGAATTTTCAATTATCTATATGTAAGGGTAGATGAAAGATTTTTACAGCGTACTTTTTTAGGGAACAACAGTAAAAAAGGGGGAAAAAAATATTTTTTTAGGTAAATCTCACTAGCCTAAATCACTGCAAGCCATTTTTGGTACTGGATTAGCGATCATATGAGGGGAGGGCAAACTGTGCAGTCTATTTTGCATGAACATCATCAAATACAAGCTTCTGAAGCTTAAGTTTTCGAACTGCTTTCTGGGTGTGATGTATGAACCAGTATGGTTGCAAACTTCTTGTCAGCAAAATCAGCTAAAAGTTCCCTTTTCAGCTTACTCCTGGCTGAAGCATTGGGAAGAAGTTCCACTTGTTGTCGGAACCTATTTCTTTTGCACCAACCTTTTCATTGGTCCACCACTCACAGTCAACTGTTGGCTTATCTGGGATTTCTGGCTTCATGTGATCAAAATGGAAATCTCTGCTTGAACCTACTGAAATGTTGCGGTCTAGTTTAAGGTCCTCTGCCACGTTGTTGATGGTCTCGTTACAGCAATCTTCACAGTTACTCTTACTGTCCACTGACATAGAATTGTGTCCATTTGAATCTTCAGCTGCTCTACCGATTGCATGGTCCAATGTGGTTTCTTTCATTATGAGGATTTCCTTCCCCAGGGAGTTTGGATCGACTTCCCTGGTCAATTCAAATGAAACTCTATGGTCAATCAGGTCATCTTTTCTTGGAGATCCATTTTCTGAGTTGGCAAGTGATGCAACCTCTGAAATTTGGCTCTCCAGAAGATAAGCTTCTTGAGAAGCAAATTCTCCAGCATTTGGAGTTAAAGTTCCTGAACCAAGCCGTGATAGCCCACCATTTGGTGTCAGACTTCCTGATCCTAACCTTGAACCCCAACCACTTGGTGTCAAACTTCCTGAACCAACTCTTGAACCCCACTTCCTTGCAAAGTGTTCATAGCCAAGAAATTTGGGAGCTTCACCCATTTTAAACTCAATAATAGGACGCTTTTCTGGAAAAGGCGATGAAGTACCAGAATTTGAAATTGCAGAGCCTGGAGATATAAGACGGCTGCCTGGGCTTCCAGGGCATTGATAAGGCTGATAATCATACTGTGATAAAGGGAACTTGATGCTCGCTGCAGTATGTCTTCTGTTACGAGCCAATGATGATGACAGAAGCTGAGCAAACGGCACTTCTGGTGAGGACGGCGTAGTGAGTTGCACTGGTTCAGGAGGCGGAGTAAAAGAAGCAGTGGATGGTTCTGTTGTAAAAGCAGAAAATACCGGGGGCGTGACTAGCTGAGGCTCATAAGCATATGGCCCAATAGTGAAAATGGTGGAAGCCTCACTAGATGTATTAACAGCAAGAGATGCAAGTGAGAGAAATCCAGCAGGTGATTGAGTGGCTGAGGGAGGATCTGATTGAAGAAATGATGCAGGAGAAGAGGGTGGAGCTATGAAGGGTATAACCGGAGTAGCCGAGTGGTTAAAGGCAGAAGATACTGGAGCAGAAGAACCTGCAACAGCAGGTTCTGGTATAAGGACAGCATGTCCAATTCGTTTGCTGTTTTTGACAGACCCAAAGCACCAGTAAACACTCCAGCAACCTCCCCATCTTTTTTTCTGAAACAAGAAGCATACCAAGTTAACATTTCATTTAGAACCCTGAACTGGTTCGGATTAAAGGAGTAGCAGATTAGAATGAAAGACTATTCTACGAGTGAAACATCAAGTGTATCTGAAAGGGTGTCTACAAAGGCATTAAAGATAGCTGAAGTATCATTGCCTTCAGCATAAAAGTCATAGCTCATGAAAACAGTACTGGTGCTCGCTCCCACAATCTAATAAAACAAGGAGTCAGCTCACACTTGCCAACAAGGTCTAAAGGTCAGGCCTCTCAGATCACATATAGGCAATTTTACTCATTTAGATTTACATTACTTGTCTTCTCTACAAAGATGGAAAATCGCGTTTGAACTTCATAGTTCACACACGAGTTGAGAACTGCGAAAGATGAAGAATATGTGTTTTTGACTTGCACTCCATTCGACTGGTGAATTACGTAATTTAAAACAAAACTTTAACTTGTGGACTGCGAATTCATCAAGTCAGCAAAATGGAGTTGTTGGAAGCTTCTTTAGTACCAACCCACAACCCACCCCAAGGAAAAAATAAGGCAGAAGTAGAAGAAGCAGAAGAAAGTGACGGAATTCAAAATTTTCAGTAACATTATAAGAAAGTTCCTAACTTTAACATCTAAAGGTTAAATTGAATCATAAGGTAAACAAAGTTTTTTCTTGAGATGCCTGTACGTTGAATTGGTTAATACAAGCAGAACTAGTAATCTAGAAATCCCTGTGCTTGTTAAGAAGCAGTAAAATTAAGTCAACTGCTACAAGAAACAAAAAGAAAATGTTGATTAGAAAAGAAGAACAGCAGCAAATCAAGACGTTATATTCCGAATCCATATCTTCAGAGTTTTTGAAATCTCAAACTGCTATACAAGAACAACTTTTTGAAGAATACATGGAAAAAAGAAGATAAATTTGCAACTAGGAAGGAAATAAATAAATAAAGAAAACAAAACTTTCAATTTCTGGAATTTTCAAATTCCTTTACCTCAAAGATTGCAGAGCAAATCCAAAACTAATGGTCCCAAATGAAAAACGAAATCATTGGCTTGTTTTCTGCAAAAACTTTTTGGGCATCGTATGGCTATGTTATGTGATACTAATTCATTTGGCTATGTTATCTGACAATTTATTTCTGAAAAAGGCTCAGCACTTACAAGGGGGATTAAAAAAAAAAAACTTATTTTCCTATCCCGTTTACAAAAACAGGGCAATCGTAAAAGAAGAACTCCAAAGTCCAAACTGATCCCCCAAACAAATTCACACCATCAATTCTTTCTGGATATAAACGCATCGAGAATTTCTAATCATAACCAAAAAGAAAGAAACGAGATTGATTACGTCATCAGCAATCACAGAGTTTCAGAAATCCCGTTCATAGCTCAAAAGACGAAACGGAAACGATCAAAATCAAATCTTTTTGTTCAGGCACAAACAATTGAGAATGTACCTGGACACTGGAAGGCTGAACTCGACTCTCGGCGGTGACTATGGCGGTGGCGGCGGCATTTACGGTGTCCACGCTGTTATGATGCAAGCTGCCCCTGTTCATGCTGAAATTCGATCAGAAAAGAAGGGGCCGGAAATAAAAAAAAAAATCTGAAATCCCTGTCCGACGAGCGCGACTTTCAGTTTACTTTTTGTCAGTATGCTCCGGCGAATTGCCGTCGTAATCCAATTAGAGAAAAACGATCACATGAGATGAGAAATGGGAGAAAGGACACAGATGCAACAATAACCCACAAGAATACAAACCCAGAAACGGTGGCTTTATAAATGATGGCATTTTATTTTAAAAAAGAAATATTTGTAAGAAAAAAAGCAAAAATACCCAAAAAGAAAATGATAAATAAAATAAAATCACATCGCATTATACTTTAATAATTTTAGGTCAGTGGGGACCCATCTAAATAATTAGGCTACGATTTCCCAAATTATTTGTATAGAAGAGGAAGAAAGTGAAAAAGGTGAGGAGTTTTGATTATAGTAAATTTTTCCCAGTTAGATCGGATAATGTTGTTGTTGGATTGTCGAAATGCCCCAAAAAGGGGTCTCGTCGGGATAATTGATTGCGGCGGAGGAAGGGAAGATAGGGTGGTCGGGGCTATTAACGGCAAAGCTGACGCCAGGGACTGTGTCTGAAGTCTGAACCGGATCAGAGAAGTGGTCGGAAGTAGTAAAAGTAGATGACTTGGGATCACGTGACGGTCGTGATCTTGGTTGTCTTTACCAGTTTTTATTATTTTACCCAGGCCAACCCATCTCATCTGGTGATGATGAGGACCGTAATATGAGCCGGTTTTGAGAAAAAGTAGTATAAGTAAGAGGGTTTTCTTAAAAGAAAATTTTTAAATTACTGGTTTCGTGTTGGAATTGTTGTACCACTATGATTGGTTTGACTAATGAGAGATGAGTACTGTAATATATTTACAGTACAAAAGATTTTTAGAAGAAAAAAAAAAAGAAATAGAAATACAGTACCACATTATATAGTCAAATGATTTTTATTTTGTGTCTGTATAAAACATCAAACTATATTCTGATGTTTTACAGCTTATGGGTGTTATTAACTGTTTGTTTAACGATACTTTTCATTACTGTTTCTTGATTATTGTTTATTAACTAAAGTCAATGAAGTCAAGGCCTGCAAAAGTTTGAAAGCTCTCCAAATTTTTTTTTTTTTTTTATGGTTTTGTCATTTCAACGGTGTCTTATATTCGCACAGTTGATTCGAGTGATATAATAGCAATTATTATTACTTGTGAAACTAATATTTCCATTTTTTCTTAAAACGAACAACTTTAAAATAATGATTCAATTATTGTTATACAGGGTATGTGGTGCAACCGGCTCCTTTAATCAGTCTTTGATCTGTTATGAATTTTGTAAGTTTATTAAAATGCATATTTCTTGTAAAACTCTTTATTTTTTGACGTTACACGTATTTCATAACACTTTTAATTATCAGATCATTTAGATCTTCTTAAGTAACCTATATATAAAGTTGCCCATATCATTACGATTTTTCTATTTTGGTTGTATAACTAATGGTTTTTTTTCCCTTGTCATATCTACTATAAGACACAATTTCTTATTATTTTTTTAAACTTATGTTATAGAGGAAAAAATAAAACAAAAACAATTATTTGTAAGTTACTTATCTCTCTTTTTGTTTGAGGGCTTTGAAGCGTACGACGTTGAACAATTGAAAGGCTTCGAGTTTGTGGAAATGGAAATTCTATCCCCTTTGTTAGCCAAAAAAAAATTAAAATAAAAATTCTACCCACTTTTCGAAAGAAAATGGTTTGTAATGATGAGTTTGTAATGGAAACTTGAAAACAAGAAAGGGAGCTTTTGTGTCCAAGAAATGCACGTGTGCACATATCAACTTGTTTGGTTTTGAGAAGATGGGTTTTTGGAGCTGTAGCCGTCTCTTTTTTGTGGAAGACAACGACGTCCTCCTCTTCCCCCATCATCATCATCATCGTTCATACTTTTCTTTTCACTTCCCTCTAAATAGTCTACAAAAGTAAATTATATATGTTCTTTTTGCTTCAAAATAAATCATCTTTGTGAAATGAAATGGGTATTTTCTTTATATTCTATCCATCCCACCCGACTGCTCTAATCTAAATTTTAAGTCGGGTAAGTTTCTTTCGAGAGGCAAAACTTTCTCGACTTGACTATTTCAACTCCATTAAATTAACTCTCGTTCTTGTAGTCAAAGACTCATTGATTCCATGAGTGAATTAATTCCGATGATGAAAACAATAGTTCATACACCAAAGCAAACAGATATTCATTTATTCCCTCCAAAAAATAAAATAAATGAAACGTTATCCTATACTTTTTTTCCCGGGCTGTAATGAAAATGATATCACTGCACTCAGTACTACTACTCACTCACTAGCCATAAGTAGTTTCGGCCTCAACGATACAGGTTTATGTGGTGCATTCGTGTTCGTGTGGAAAGTTGAAAATCCAAAAGCCAGTTTGGAACTGAAAGTGAAAGCCCAAAAACAAAAAATAAATAAATAAAAGCTCTGCCTTTTTTTCATCAATGAAAATTTTCCATTTCCTCATGCAACTCCAGTCTTTTTTATCACCTTTTTAATCGATCTTTATTTTTATTTTTTTAACATGGCTTTCATCAGCCTTTTTACCCCTAATAGTGGTAGGAGTAATCTACTGCCTTTTTAGACCCATCCTTTTCGCTTGATAATGATGATTGGTTATCCGTTATTATAACGTTTTAACTGCTTGCTGGGATGTCCTCAATAAACTAACAACAGATACCTCCCCCTCCTCTCATAATGGCCGCAAACTAACAAAATCCCCAAAAACTTTTTCAAAAAGCATAGTTCTAGAACTACCGATCCTTTATGTAATATTCTATTTATATAAAATTGTATGTATATGTATATAATAAATTATATGACAATTGTATGAGTGGTTTGCTAATGAATTGGCACAATGAATCATCTTTTAGGTAATGTAATAAGACATACATAAACGGTTTGTCTCATTAGATAAAATGATAGTACAAAGTAAATAACAATATGTTAGTGTGAAAAAAGAAAACACTTTACATTTTATTCCTCATTTAAGAAATAGAAAATAATTGAATAATTGATTATGTTATGTGTCGTATATGTTATAGTGGGTTTTCAATCATTGGACTGTGATAAAAAAAAAATAATTTAAAATATTGTGATTATAGCATAATGATATATTGTTATTATTACATAATATCATATCACATGATTCCTCTTTTGTAATCTCAACCACAAATCATTGAGTTATAGTCAAATTACCGAAATTTTGACTAGATTTTAGTTAGCCACCAACGGTTTGGCATATTGGTGATTGTTTCGAGAGATCGGAGGATGACGGTGTTTGATACCATGATCAAACTACATTCTAAATATGGTGAACATTTATATATATATATATATATATATATGTATCAAAACAAATTAAAAAAAAAATGGAACCTCATTATTTAATGTGTTAATTTCATCTTAAAAAAAAAAAGGAAAAAAAAAAAGCAATTTGATGGTTTTGTTAATTAAGTAAGGATGCATTGCATGTGACCCCACCCATGAGGTGGTGGATATTTATTTTTTGGGGGTGAGATGGGGTGGCTAAGTATGGTTATGGTCCTACTCCCACAAACACTCATCCAGCATACCACATGTTCAAGTAGGTGGTGGTTGGTCTATATAATTAAACTCTTACCTTTTTTTTTTGGTTTTTGTAGAATCATCATCTTCTTATCAATGTTTTTAAAGCCATGTGTTAGTATTTACACTAACCATGATTATACGTAACTTTGATTTTGAAAACGTAAGAGCATAACATAAATCGAAACAAGGTTGCAATAAACACGTACGTTATCATAAGTTGTAAATACGTTACTGTTATTATAATTTGTTCTGACGCTCATTTTCTCTATGATATAAGAACCAATAAGAACGATACACCACTTAACTCGGCATTTTTTGGCCTTAGTATTATCAAATGCGTATGAAGCTGGGCTGGGGCTGTTTTCTTTTGTGATTTGTGTAGGGCCTGCGTATCATTTGGTATACCTCAGATAAACAAATCTATATTCCCAATCATTATAATTGTTCGCCCCCATATATGTATTCGAAAGATCTCCATTATGTAGATGCCATATAGTTTTTGCTGGGCCTTTCAAAATTGTTCAACCAACGACCTCCTCCATTTTTATGAGTCTTATTTAAAAATGTGAAATGTAATTTTATGATTGTAAACAAAATGGTGCTGAAACCAAAATATCATAAAAGATATACTGGAATTTTAAAATATTTTTAGACATTTTTTAAAAAATCCTTTTGGAAAAAGAAAAGGCAAACAACAACAATACTATTTTCAGAAGATTCAAACTGCCTATTCATACAAAATTTTCATGAATTGTGTTTTAGAGGGTACAGATTAATATTGGGAACAATATTGGGCTTCTCAGGAAGTCCAAATTCAAGTTAAGTTCTTATTTGGGCTGGTTGTAATAAGTCCACCCTTCTTCCAACGGTCCAGCTGAATGTTTTGCAATTAGGAAAGACGGTCATCATTCTCTTTTCCAATTCGATTTTAACCAATTATTATATTACTTGCCCAAGGAAAGAGGATAGAATGGAACCGTAGAAAAGTAATGTATATTAGCACAGAAAGAAAAAGAAATTTGCTTGAAAGCTAGAACGGAACAAAACTGTCCATTGTTGTTATCTTCATCTTTTCTTCGCATTTGCATTTTCGAGCTGAAGCACATTATTAGTATGACTATGAGTAGTTGCGCAATCTGAATTTCGATTCCACTAGCGCCACCGTGGCCACCCGCCTCCGTCATGGCTTCTGCTGTATTAACTCCTATTTCATCCATTTTTGCTTCCCCTCTATCTTCATCCTCTTCTTCCACAATTAGGACTAGAACTATTTGGACCTCTTCGAGTTCTTTTAATTCGTTGCCATTCCGATACTCTAACCTTGAGTTCTCCAATCGGATTCCTCATTTGGGCCAGTGTCAATTCAGTCAATGGAACGGTCTGAAGAATTTCAGCATTTCCACCTCTCAACGCCTTCTAAAATCAAAATCAGGTACAGATTTCTTGTCATCTGGATGGGGTTTAAGGGATTTCCATGTTTCATTTGTTGGTAATGTTGTTGCCAGGGATAAAGATGGTCGCTTTGATGTTGTTTTTTAATCTTTGCCGTAGTTGTGGTTCTGAAGAATTGTTATTTTTTCTCCCCAGCAAAAAAGGGCCTGTGTAGAGGTAAAGGAGCTCACGCTTCTCTATTTGGTGTTGGGGCTCCTGAGGCCTTGGTCATTGGAGTTGTGGCCTTGTTGGTTTTTGGTCCCAAGGGTCTTGCAGAGGTTAGTGCTTTTTTTGGTTTATAGTTATGCTTTAGGGTGCGTGCATTCAACACAATTTTTAAGATGAAACTTTTTAGTTTTTAACTAATTGATTATCCTGTGCATCTGCCTGTTTTTGGTTTTGGAAGTCTCTGTGATTAGCTATACAGAACTCTGCATAAAAAGGTGCCTCTTTTATAAGTATATATGGCTGCCAACTTGGTACATGTAGACAGAACTCTATTTACTGGAACCCTTGATGATTACCTAATACTACATTATATGATTTCAAGATGGCTTAACCGCCTGGCATTATAAAAACCTTAAATCGGGAATAGGTTGTTAAATACAGCTATCCATACATTGGTCATTTCTCGTTCAAAACAAGTAATCTTGTTTATGTTACCGCTATTGGATTCCATATGTTGTAGAGATAGATCAAGATAACAAATAGATCCCTTTAATTACTGAGAAAACCAGAGTAGGAAATTTTTCTCATTCCACCTTTTCATTAAACTATTTGAAGACAGGTTGCTCGTAATCTGGGAAAAACTTTACGTGCATTTCAGCCTACAATCAGAGAACTGCAGGTAATGAAATTTAGTTATTTACTTCCTTTTGGCACGGCTTGGAAGTGTCCTTTTATTGTTGAAACCATTAATTTCGTTGTTTTGTGCAGGACGTTTCAAGGGAATTCAAAACTACACTTGAGAGGGAGATTGGTCTTGATGAGATTCAAAGTTACAACCGGAACTTGCCTACTTCAACCAAGAATACCTCCAGCCCTTCACTAGATGTGGACTCCAAGGCTTCTGGGCTGCAGATTGATCCAAGTGAGTATATAAATTTCAAGAATTCAGAAACTTTCTATATTGGTTTAGTTACATGACCATTGATAGTGACTTTATGCAAGTTCTTTGTCTTATCGTGTGTACAGCACTTTTGGGTGCAATTCTGTGTGACTTCATGATCTCATATGTTATAGTAAACTTCCTTGTTTTGAAGAGCTTCCCATGTCTTGGGGAAAAGTGTATAAGAAAGATCTTAATGGAAAGCACTTATGAACTTCATTTTTCCTTGGACAAAGTTGAACTCTCTTAGTCCTCATTACCTTTCTCATAACCTCATGAAGTTTGGGTGTTCTTCCATTTTGATTGTTTTCGAAGAAGGATAATTGTTAACTTGTTACTCTAATCTACTCCCTGGATCCTAAAGATAGGGGTGGACTTTGGCTAGGCCTCAACTTATAGAGTTTTAAGATACAACACACAATCTGTTTAGTCTGTTAAGCTAAGTACTGTTGTCGCAAACATCATGGCAGAAATGCTGTTACTGCTTGAGTATGTTTTATACTCTTTCTTCCCCTTACCAATGAGAATAGTGATCTATGGTGCCTGCACTGATGAGTCCCTTTCTCAAGTTGGCTTTAAGATTTCTAACCTTGGAAGCTATCAAATTTTTTTATTTTTATCAACCATCCTTGTGAGACACAAAAAGTGAGAATAAATGTTCTTTCTTCTGAATTAGTAGTAATTTATTGTCTGACTAGAAGTGCATGGTCTATATTCAAGCTGATAAAGGTTTATGTTCTGCTTATGAATGCCTGATCTACCACCGATACATGAAGATGGTTCCCCATCACCCAGCAAGGCATATTCAAGTGAAGATTTATTAAAGTTAACTGAGGAACAGCTAAAAGCAGCTGCAACGAAGCAGCAGGAAGAGAGTGCATCTCCCGGTGATAATCGATCAGGAACAGAAACCCCAGTGGCGCAGCAGACAGTAGAAAAATCTTCTAGTGAAGTCCCTACAGATGGTCAAACCCAACCTCCTCAAGGTCAGTAAATCAGTCAAACTTTAGTTGTTCAGACTAGTAGCAAAGCAGAATTCCCATTCTTTCTGTAAAATTTTCTGATGTCACTTTAATATTCTTCTGTATGAGTGACTTCAGATAGTCCTCAAGAAGCAGCTTCCGCCACGCCTTATTCTGGAAAGCCTGAGAGTGACACATGAGCAGAAACTATACAAGTGCAATTTTGGTGGTTAGATTAGTTAGTATATTTCCTCTGGGGTTTTCCCTGCATGTATGGCCATCTCAAATGCTTACTGTCCCCAAACAATTATTATTGTTGAAGAAATTTGAGCCGAGTAAGAGAAGTAGATTCTAAGTTCTATATTGGGGCGCCTGTAGTGACAAAACTGTACAGGAGATATAATTAGTGATTCTGCCAAAATCTTGGTCCATTCTCTTTCTCTAACACTTAAACAAACACTGCAATCAATCAATCATCCTGTGATATCTATGACTATCAACAATTAGTCCATAGATCTTCCAGTGATAATAAGGATAAACATATGACTTGAAAAACATAGATGACAGGAAACGCCTGAAACATATGCCATAATTCAATACTAAGTTCTCATACAATAGAGAGGGGGATAACAATTAAACAAACACTTGCAATCAATCATCCATTACATAATTTAGCATTCTATTTTCCTAATACTACTACTCCCACCAGATTAGGCCTCAATGAGGAACTCCTTGTCCTTCTCCAACTTCTCCATGGCATTGGCCTCCAAAGTGATCTCCACATCAATGCTCCTTCCTCCGTTCTTCCCTTGATACAGATAAACCATTCCATCAAACCTGTTGTTCGGCCCGCTCCTCACAACTTCGGGCTTCCCGAACCCGAAATCCACATCATAAACCTTGAAGCGGGGCGAGCTTCCAACCGCCACGCAGTTGATCCCAGCATCTTTGAACTCAAATATCTTTGGGTTGCTCTCCCACTCCTTGTTACGTTCGTCAATGGCCTTGGAGTTATGGTTCACGATGGCTTTCTGGATCAAATCCGCCCCGAATTCAGGCGGGTTTGCCAGCAACAACCCGGCTGCAGTCACGGTGAAAATGGCCTGGATGAGGTTTCCGAAGTAGCTATCGGGCATGGGTGGGTCGACCCTCTTCCGGCAGTCGGCGAAGACGGTGAAGACGGTGTAATCCTCCGGCTTGAGTTGGCGGGCACGTGTGACTGCGTGCCACACGTGTGTGGAGAGAGACTGGAATGTAGAGAACGGGTTTGACCCCTCAGGTGGATTGGCATTGACTTTGGACTTAATCTGGTCAATAGCTGCCTCGGAGAACCTGAAGACTTTCTCCCTGAGCTGTGGGGCCTCCTTGCAATGGGCATCGCCGTTGGTTTCTGCTGACTTGGCATGCTCTGGGGCGTCGGATGGCTTGCTGAGGTTGAGCTTGACTCTTGTGTTACGGGATTTGGTTCGGTCGAGGAACGGTGGAACGGAGATGGAGGTGGACCCGCTGCTTATCTGGGCCCACGAGCTCATGAAATGCCACGTGGAGGTACCATCCAGAACGGCATGATTGAACGCACAACCGATCGATAGTCCATCCTTGAGCTTAGTCAACTGTTACAATAACACAAGTGAACAATTTTAATTAATGTAATAATTTTGATACAAAAAAACACCTCCTAAAGTTACAACAATTAACCTCGGGACATGTACCCTCCTAAAGTTACAATAATTTTGATACATCTAATTCATGAGAAGGAATAGAGCAATTAGTGTATTTAGTAACTCGGTAAACAAATTAACATGTTAGTAACAAAGTACTACAAACTATATCAAAGTCAAGGCAGGAGTTTGTCTTAACTTTTTTTTCCGATGAGATTACCATAATCCATAATACGAATAAACCAAACTCAAAAAATGATTGTACGCAACGAAAATCCCAATTTTTGCTTGATTAACCGTAATGAGAAACATCCAATTTGAGTTGGTTTCATGGCTAGATGGTTTTATGAATTGCAAAATTGAAGTGTTATTGATACAGAAAACAAACAAAATGGAGCAGTAAATGCACCGATCTAACGTTACCTGGACAGACAGAAGAGGACGATGGAGTCCTTCCAAGTTAAGGACATTGTTGTAAGGAATGAGCTCCTTAAACTTGGCGGATCCTTCTTCATCAGTCAAATCCGCCACAGAAATCTCCTCCGCCGCTGCCACCACCACCTCCGCGCCGTCCATGTCATCATCGTAATCCACCCTGAACACTCCTTCTTCATCCTTCCCCAGCTTTCCGGCCAACTGGTAGAAATCCTCCAGCACAATGCTGAGGCTGGCTTTCAATTCTTCCACGGATTTCTCAAACGGGTCGGACCCTTTATAGACCATCAGTTTTTGGTTGTAGTAAAAAGCCAAGTACGGGAGATCAAACGTGACAAGTTGACATTCTTTCCTCCCCAGTGCCTTCCTAGGCTTCACATTACAAGTGTTGATCACTTTCACCTTTCCCACACTCTCTTGTGGCTTCTGGATCTTTCCCTGATCCATTGTTTCTGGTTGATTCACCTGAATTTCCACATTTTCTTGTTGGATTGGGAAGTCGCCTGCCATTCTTTCTGATTGGAATTTTTCTTTCTTTTTTTTTTTTTTGTGGCTAAGGAAATGAACCTGTAAATTTCTTTTCTTTTTTTCCTCTCCTAGTAATATTTTTTAGTGGTTTGGTAACTGCGTTGAAGGGAGCACAAACTTTATAGATAGATAGACTTGGGGACTAGGTGGTCTGGTTGGGGATGCATTAATGGCTTTTTTGCGGATGCAGTTGTAAGCCATTTATTGTGATCTCTCTCTTCTGTTTTCTCTTCTTTTCGGTGGGGAGTTGAATGGAGGGAAATGCTTCCATCAACTTTCCTCCCTTGTTAGTAATTACTCCGCATCACTAATACTACAGGGTAACAAACCAAGACAAAACTCACAAAAGCATAGATTAGTTGATTTTTTGGACTACCTACTTTGTTAATGACTTCATCAGATAACCTTATTGACCCTTTTGGCATTTCTTGGTGCATTTCAAAATGAAATACAAATTTTACTTTAAACAAGTCACAGCTTCCTGCTGAACTAAATCTCTTTGAAAGGAACATATGTAATACAAGAGCATTATCAACGACAAAATGCGTCAGTAATGCGTTATCTGTCTCTGTTTATTTTCCCTGTTTAGATACATTAAGATATAAGGGATTTTTTGTAAAATGGTTCGATGTTGAGAATTTGCCAAACATAAGGGGAACTAGAGTTGAACCCACTAGAGAGTATATAGGTAGGATTCAAAACTTTCTTTAGCTGAGTTGTAAATTAGGATAGCTGATGTTTACAGTGCAGCTGTGAGAACATGTGGGTGGTGGGTCATTTTTATTTTTATTTTGTATCATCGTCCTGCTTTCCTGATGATGATCAGCAATCTTCATAAATTTGCAAGCGTGGTAGACAACTACTACTAACTTTGGGGTTGAATGTACTACCACAATATTGAAAAGCTAGCTTTAAATGTCCTATATATATACACACAGCAACAAGATTGTAGGCCATTTAACAAGGATTTTACGCATCACGGCAACAAAGATTAATAATGGGTTTGATTATTGGCATCGTGGAGATTTCCATTTTCCCGTGATATGATTGTTACATCATCCCACACACCATAGATATATAAGTAAATGTGTTTGTCAGAGCTTGATATTGTTTATTACTGCTAACTGCTAAGGGGTCAATGAATACTGGTGCATGCAGCAATAAATTGAGATGGCAGAAGGACGTGGAAAGTTGGGTATGAATGTTCTTACACCATTACTCCACCGTGGCATCGTCATGGCCTCGGTGGTCGGAACAACTCCACATTAAGACCAAGAAGGATAATAGTAATACTAATACCCCCCGTTCTAGGTAGGTTATGATCCTGCTGCATTTTTATATATTTCTTTTTACAATGAAGGAAGTCAAATATTTCATATTATAAGATATTTTGATTTTGTCTTAAATTTCACTTAAAATATCTTTTTAATTAAAATAAAAATTTTAAAAATATTTTCTAATAATTAGGAAGATACAACGAATGTAAAAATATATTTTTAAAGTTTTTTTTTCTAATTAAAAAGATATTATAGGTAAAATCTAAGACAAAATCAAAATACATTATAATAAATACCGAAGGGAGTACCTAAAATACTAAACGGTCACATTTCATATACGAAAGCTCACGATCAACTAAGTTACCCCACATAGGAGATACAATACTGTAAATCTACAAACCAATTGCTACTCAACAATTTCTGCATATCCCTGGTATTTTTTCTATAATCGCACAAATAAATCATCTGAATCATCCAATTGGTTTTCTTCATAATAAATAATCGGATGAAGAGAGACATAGTATACAAACTCTTCTTCTTTACCAGAAAAAAATTAAAAATAAATAAATAAATACGTAATAAAATGAAGCTCCATTTCCCATGTATGCAACGTCATCATCGAATTTGGACTACATTCTACATAAATGAAATTATGAATACAGGATATGAATTGGAAAAATATATATTAACAAAACTACATGGTACACAAGAACGTTTCTTTCATTAGGGTCACATTGAAATCATAGGAGCCCATATCGTCCAAGTAGTGTTCCTTAAATTCCCACCTGCAACACTTAAAAAAAAAAAAAAACACTTCTGTGGATGGTAGCAATGTTATTCTTGCGGTTAAGGTGTTTGGTTCAAGTAGTTTTTATTACGTGAGATCTTCATTTGCTTACGACCATTAAGACTAATTTCCTTTATTTAATAACAGTTGCCTACCAATTACCAACAAAAACAAACATAATAATGATTTCGATCTCATTTTGCTCGGTTCACCAAAAGAAAACGGCTTTTCATAGCTAACTCATGAAATATAAAAATTAAAAAAATAAATAAATAAAAAGAGGAAAAAGATAACGGCTTGTATGAGATAACTGGCCTGATCGCCGAAACACCCATCTGGGAAACGAAATGAATATTTTTAATTAAAGAATACGTGATGATAATGTAAATGTGTGGTTTTTCTTATCATTATTATGTGAGGATCAATTTGATACATTTTGACTCGAGATGTTCCTACGTTGAAGGGGATTGACCAGCAGGATGATTTTGGATTTCTTTCAATACGAGGTTTCTGGCTCTGTTGATGGTCATGAAACACAAATACAAATGCTCCTCCAGCTCGTCCAGCTGGTCGCTCAAGCTCACATCATTCATTTTCAGCTGCCGCGCCACTTCCCCTCCGGCTTGAACCCGGCTCCCTCCTTTCCCCAGCCAGAACCGTATAATTGCGTGGAAATGTTCCAGCTCGTCGCTTAGCCGGCTCACCAGCCGGCTTATTGTGTCCAAGTCTCTCATCAATATGTACGTTCCTTTGGCCGCTGAATCTAGCTGAGCCGACCACTTAGCCAGATTCTTCGAGGAAATGAGCTCCAGCGAAGCCGCCACCACACACGGCGCGGCTACCAGGACGGCTAATGCGTGCGTCACCACCACAATTGTCAACGAAGCCGTCAGAGCCACAAGAAAAACAGCCGAGCCGGATTTCAGTCTATTGATTAGCTGGGACTTAGCTTGAATCTTGTCTCGGCTTGACTCAAGACGTTTGAGTAGATCCGAACAGTCCGTCTGGACGGTTTGGATCCGCTCAGAAGTTGAGTTGGATAGCATAAACGGGTTGTAAGACTTGGAGAATTCAGATAGTCGAGCCGGTAAAACGGGTACATTATTAACTGGTTGGATTTGGCCGATTTGAAGGGAATCCAGTGTAGCTTTCAGGGCTTTATATTTAATTCGGGTACGATCAACATCTCTAAGCAAACGGCTACACAAGAAAGAAGCATTGGCGGTTTCAGAGAAATATTCAGTTAAGAGAGTTTGTGTTGCCGGGTGGGGTATTCGGGTCAAGGATAGAATTCGGGCGATGGTGGATTGATCCGGGTCCAGGAGGCTATCCACGAAGAGGCGGTAAGATGGCAGGCGAGAGGCGGTGGTGGAGCCGACGGTGGTGTGGGTGGCGTATTTGCCTTTGCTGAGTTCCAGAACTCTTTCCCAAAACACGTTGTATGATTCGGTTCGGAATGCGTTGGCATATTCCTCTCGGAGGTCCAAACCCGAATTTGTTCCGGAGTCTTCCTCTACATCAGTCCTCCCTTGCAGGCAAACCACAAAATCAACAACGTTTACATGCCAATCAAATTAAATAAACAATGATTTCAGGTTTAGGGTTTAGGATTCATTTTATCTTGTTGGACAAAATGATTGGTTTATTTGAATGTTTACTTTTTTTTAATATAATTTATATTAGAGATAAAAAATAAACTAAAAAATTATTTTGAAACGGAAGAAATATTTGTAAAGTAAAAAATGCAAAACGGGAATGGCGACAAGCAACGTTCTCGAATTGTATGGACCAAAGAGATGCACATATTGCACAGCGGTTTAGACTGACTTACAACTTGTGGCACCACAAAGAAACAATGCATAAAAATAGTACCAGTATTAATGAAAATTGGTGGAAACAGTTCTTGGGTTTGATCAATTTATGATGCCTTCAAATTGTTCAACAAATGAATTTAGAATTCCTTAATGATGTGGGCACGGGACCCCTACCTACTACTACCTAGCAGCTTTTCGCGTTTTCATTCAGTTCAATTTTTGAGGTGGGCTCCGGATTGAAAGTTAAAACAAGGGAATTAAGAGGGAGTAAAAAACGTACCGTTGGGGGCGAACAACTGTTTGATGCCCCGAATTATTTTCACCTTCATGGTCAGACCTTTGGCGAGCCAAATCAAGTCTTAAACATGTTTTGCGAGTACAGCCAGCTAAAAGCACCAAAGTACAGATAAAGCATAAAGAGAAACCGTCTTAAAACCGAACTACCTTCTTTTCGGACGGATGAATCGAAGGGGAGAAGATCACTTCTTTTTTTTTTTCAGGTTGATGGGAAAATGGCAATCTAGGTGATCATAAAGGGTTTCACGATGAAATGGAGAAGATTTCAACCTTTTAACAAGTTCAAAATTCTGACATTTGCTGGATATTGAGGGCAAAGATTGAATCATGTGCACACCAAGGCTTATTATATTGCTTGCCCTTTGCAAAGAAGTGGCGGTGTTTCGACGCCTTGAAGTGCAAGGGATGTGTGCTTGCCGTAGTTTGTTTCTTCCAAGCCTTACTATAACAGGAAACTTGACAAAAGTTTTACTCAATTAACTAATACTACCTGTGATGTCATTATATATATCCTGTTCGAATTGCACGAATTTGAGTGCAAGTTTTCCAACATTCCCATTCTTGAATCTCAACATAACAATTGTATAAAATGTGGATATTGGAACTTGGGAATATGATCTTCGAGTATATACTTATGAGGTACTTATCGTGTAACATGCAATCATATTGTTAACAATTTTAAAGATTATTCCGGGTTTGTTTGGCCAACCACTCAAACTACATTTTCAACTCAATTTACCTCTTAAATACAAAGTTCAATGCGAAACAAATCACAGTCCAAACAACTTTTTAATTTATATTTTGAAATTTAACTTAAACTATATTTTAGCATAGTATTTAGGATAGTGACCATTTGTGAAATTGAAATAGTTTAGTGACCAAACTGAAGACTTTACAATAGTTTAGTGACAATCGGTGCCGATATTGGAACTTGGGATTATGATCTTCGACTTTGATTATGCTAGTATTATGCCCGCACGTTGTGTAGATTTTACTATATTTTAGAGTAACATTAATATACCATTGTTTTTCTATGAAAAGTGTCATGTGTTTTAGTTTTTCCGTTTTTTGGTAGCATTCAAAATCCAAATTCAAGAGTGTTATATGTTTTTTTTTCGTTTTTGGTATTTAGTGCATCCGGTGTTCGAAATTATTGTTCCAACTAACCCGTCTTTGAATCGGGTAAGTCACTTTTAGAAGACAAACCTCTCCCAACAATCATTACTACATGCCCATGCACAGATTTAATCATGGATTGTAGTTAACTTGGCACAATATTGTTACCACTTTGATCAAGTATTTCTTAGCCACATAGGGTATTTTAAAACACAAATTATTGTTTAGGAGTGTTCATATATAAAAACAAAAAAAAAATTCTAAATACGGATCAATATGATCAATTATCTACTATCCTTTTTTTAAGGGATGAGTATATAAAAGTTATTTTCAACAATAGAAATTAAATCATGTATATTCTTAAAATATATTGACTGAAAAGCATATATTGTTTACTTGTAGTAATTAAATCAAATATTATAAATAATCTTTTTTTAGGCATAAAGTAAAATTAAAAATAAAAAATAAAAATCCAGCAAAAATAAATAAAGCACAAAAAATAGGTGGGGAAACCCATGACAAAAAAAATTAATAAATAATATTTGAGATACTTATCCATACTCCAAACTTTTTTCTTAGTTTTTTTTAATAGAAAAACAGGTTGTGACTGGCAGGTGCAGGACTCATTTTATTTATCTGGACTCATAACATTTTCCTTAGTTATGAATGCTTTTCGAGGTACTTTTTCTTTTGTCATCACGGTGTCACACTTCTCTTGTAAAACCAAAACACATTTATAATCATGGCCACTTAAAGTAAATATATTTAATTATTAATATCTCAAAGAAAGTATATATACCTTCAAACTCTAGAGCATGAGTAATTTCGATTTAGTCTATCTGGCTCCTTTAGACTGAGATTGATGCATAACTATTTTTTAGCTAAACCTATTAAAATTCTATATTAGCAACGGTGTAAAACATACCAAAATGAGACCCTTATGATTGTTTAAAAATAAAACCATCAATACTCATAAATATTTGTCAATGACATACAACAGAAATAATCCCTAACATGGAAAATATAATGTATGTTCTAAAAATGATGCCTCCCCTCTAGAAAAGAAAAGGTATGTCAGTAGTACCAAAATTTTCCTTACAATGTTGAAGTTTAAAATACAAGATAAAATGATTAGTTAACAGTTCAAAACAAAGGAAAAAAATTGATGAACCTCTTGCAATTAACGACCACATTTCCCATTATTAATCATAAATCACAGTGTTGTAAGACCCGGATTTTAAAGCGGACCGGTGACAGTTAGGAGTCACTGGGTCTCTGGGTCAATCCCGCTAGCTCATAACATAAAACTGGATGATGTCATCAGGATGTCAAAAATACATATATATCATAAATAATTAAATACGTCAACAATATAAAGTATTTATTAAGAAAAAAAATTGAAGATTTCAAGTGTTAAAAATATAACAAACTCAATTATATTTAATAAATCAAGTTTATAAAGTATAGATTTTTTTCAACAAAAATATAAAAAGTATAGTTTAATCAAAATTTATTAAAATTAAATAAAAACCTACTTTAATTTTAAGTTTACAAATAAAAATTAAAGTAATGGGATAGTGGCTTTCCTGGGCGTGGGACAGGAAGAAGAAAACTGGGGGAGAAACAAAACGCTTTTTTTTTGGGAAAAAAAAAAGGTAAAATTTAAAAATCGAGTTCAATCGGTTTACGGTTTGACCGTGACTGTTGACTGACTTTGACCGGTTTTCTTCTATTCCGGGTTTCAAATATGATCGGACTGGCTTAGAGATCGGTTTGTGATTTAACCCGTCGAATCGGTCCGTCGGTTCGGTCCGGGTCTGACAACACTGATAAATCAGATGGAAGGTCATCCACAAGTATCCACACTGGAATAAGCTAACGAACCTTCTTCAACACAAGTAAAATTAAGAAATTAAGTAAAATTCTAACAATAACTCTAAGCACTGAGTTAATAATATTAAAGTACAACTTACCATGCCAATTGAAATCCATCATACTCCTTTTTCGACCAAAAAATAAAAAATATCCATATCGAATTACAACTCAACAAAGAGAAATGCCAGTGTATATCTTTCAGACAAGAAAAAGAGATTCAGATCGAAGGGGAGAAGGGAGAGGGAAGGGAAGAGATAGAGGACGAAAAGGAAGGGAAAAAGAGTAGAGAATCAGAATGTAACCTCTTTATTTTTTTTAGTGACTAATCTTTTTTTTTGAAAAATATATCAAATAGAAATATGTGAAAAATAATATTAACCTACGTTTAACGTATTCAGATCTGGTTGTAAATTGTATTGTGAGAAGAATTATTTGTTACTTATCTCTTTTTATTTTTAGTAACCCAACTCTTTTTGTTTTTTAAAAATACCTTAAATGGAATCATCTTGAAAAAATAATACTAACCAACATTTAATGTGTCCGGACTTAGTTTCGATTTGTATTCGTAACATAATAATTTGACAACTAAATCTATTTTATTTTGTATAAGTAATCTTTTTTTAAAAAAATCAAAAATATATCAAATGAAATCATATGGGAAATAATATTAACCTACGCTTAATGTATCTAGATTTAGTTTCGAATTGCATTCATAGTATAGTATTTTATAAGTAATCTCTTCTTACTTTTGAAAAATATCTCAAATAGAATCATGAAAAATAATATTAATCCAAGTTTAATGGATATAGACTTGGTCTCAATTGTAATACGTACATAGTATAATCATTTGCTAACTAATCTCTTTTTAGTTTTTGTAAATAAACTCTTTTTATTTTTAGAAAATATATCAAAAGAAATTATTTAAAAAATAATATTAGCATAAGGATGATGTATCTAAACTTGATTTCAAATTGTATTCGTAATATAATGATTTGACAACTAATCTTTATATTTTTTATAACTATTTTTTTTATTTTTGAAAAATATATCAAATGGAATCATTTAAAATAATACTAATATACATTTAATGTGTCTAGACTTAGTTTTGAATTGTATTGGTAATATAATGATTTGGTAAATAATCTCTTTATTTTTGTGATTAATCTCTTTTTATTTTTGGAAATATATCAAATAAAATATTTTGAGAAATAATATTAATCTACATTTAGTGAATCCAGACTTGGTTCTCAAATCGTATTCATAACATAATTATTTGTAACTAATCTCCTTTTATTTTTCTTAAATTTATCTCTTTTTATTTTTTTAAAAATATATTAAATAGAATAATCTGTAATATAATATTAACCTATCTTGCATGTATACAGACTTGGTTTCGAATTGTATTTGTAGTATAATTATTCGGTAACTAATCTCTTTTTATTTTTAAAAAAATATATCAAATAGAATAAATCTGAAAAATAATACAAACATATGTTTAATTTATTCAGACTTAGTTTCGTATTGTATTTACAATATAATTATTTGGTAACAAATATATTTTTTTTGTTATTGGTAACTAATATATTTTTTGTTATTGGTAACTAATCTATTTCTATTTTTGAAAAATATATCAAATAGAATCATCAAAAAAATGTTATCAACTTATGTTTGATGTATCAAGACTTCGTTTTGAATTGTACTCGTATAATTATTTGGTAAATAATCTCATAGTTTTGGTAAGTAGGCTCTTTTTATTTATGAAAAATATACCAATCATCTAAGAAATAATATTGACATACTTGTAATGTAGGTAGACTTGGTTTCGAATTGTATTCGTAATATAGTTATTTAGTAACAATCTTTTTTTTGGTAACTAATATCTTTTAATTTTGGAAAATATATCAAACAGAATCATCTGAAAAATAATACTAACTTACGTTTAATGTATCCAGACTTAGTTTCAAACTGTATTCTTAATACAATTATTAAATTGATGATTAATGTTTCCTTATGTCATATATTTGTCAATAATTACCAAAAAACGTGTTTATTTTTTTTGAAATTAACTATTGATTAATTGCTTAATTCAATTTACAATTTTACGTATTAGTAATAAACTTTTAACTGTTTAATGAAGGAGAATTTTGGTGATAGCATGTGGCACAATTGTCTAAACTTGCTCCCTCGGCGACACGTGTCGATTAAGAACTCTGCTTTAATATATACTAATGTTTGACCCACACGTTGTGTGGGTTGTTCAAGATACATATGAGTTTAAAGATTTAATGATTATATGACATTTTCGACGAATTGATATATGTATGTGCACATGTGTGTGTGTGTGTGTATATATATACACATTTTTTTTTATAAAGTTGGGAACCCCACTAGAGATGGGTAAACCCACGCGCACTGCAATAGTGTGCAAACTACAGTGGGAAGTTAACCACCCTGGGCAAGTTCTGGGTGACAAGCTCGGGTGCAAAATCGAGAGTTCATTAGTGGGTTAGCCATAACAAGCCCCTAGAGGTGCTAATAGGCAAAGTGAGAGCCAACCTCTCACTTTTTGTTGGAGTGGGTGGTTGAACTCATGACCTTTTCTTAAAGTAAATGTGGTTTTACCACTAAACCAACTCCTCATTCGCTATACATATATATTTAATGACATATGTAATTTTTAATGTCAATGTGTTTTGTTATTTTAAGTACATTTGAAATAATTTTTAATTTTTGAATCGTCTAAGTGTAACTTATTATTCATCTTTTTTTTTTTTAATTTTGTTGATTTATGGTTTTTATATCGTTTAAAAGTATTATTTTAATTTTTCATAATGATCTCTCTAAATATTTTTATTCATTCCGTATCTTTTAAACTCTCCCCCTAACAGGAAGTTTTCTCATTATTGTTTTTCATAAATTTATCTTTATTTTCCATCTCTCTGTATGTCTTTTGTAATGTTTCTTTAGAACTTTGTTCGTATATTTTTCTTATAATGTAGCGTTTACATTATTTTTTTCTTGGTTGCATAGTTTTCACCTTTTTGTATATATTTTAAATGTAATCAACAGTATCATATATTGGTTACACTTTAACACATAACTATAAAAATCAATATTGATCAATGAATTAGTTTCTCTCATCATGGTGGTCGGGTTTTTTTTTTTTTTTTTTACATCAAATTGATTTTTTAATTTTTCATTTCAGTTAATTATCTTTGGATTTATTAATATTATGCATTTTTTTTTTCTCAATATGCTTTGAAATTTTTAATGCCTTATTTCTATGCTAAGTATATATAATGGGGCACAAGATCTATACTCAGTAGGTTGTCAACGTGTGGCTTCTTTTTTTTTTTTTTTTTACCCTTTTTAATTTTTTTTGTCACTTTTCTTTTTTTCCTAATAAACTTTACCGTTAAAGGGTAATTTTTTAGTTACTTTAATTTTAGCTTTAAATTTGCAATTTTACATTAAAAAATTACCATTAAATGATAGAGTGATGTGATTGCGACGTGTGGACTTGGTTTTCTAATTTTTTGTCACGTGGATTAACCTATTTAATTTTGTGCCGTGTGTTCGATTGAAAACTCTCCTTTTAATATATATAAAAATATAGATTCTTTCGAGGTAGTTATCGTGTGTCTAATCATCATATTCTGAAATTGTGAATATCTCAAATGATGCGTGAGTGGTTAAAAGTTTTAAAGATTGTTCCGTATCTTAAATAAAATATAAACATTTAAATAAAATATAAGTCTCTACCAGTCAGTCTCATTTCTGAACTGAAACATGATACGCATTTATATGGTAGACATCTGTCATTCAGCTGCATGAAGGCATATTATACCAAGTTACCAACTACGGTACCAACAAATCCAAAGCCCAAAACAAATCATACACCAACAACTTTCTAATTTTCAAAAGAAAAACCCAACAACAGTTCCATCAAATTTTTTGGTTCGCATTTTAAGAAAAAAAAGCCCCATTGACACAAATACTATCGGACCAGGGTCGAATGCGGACCAGGGTCGAATGCAACAGTGTGCATTACTTTTGTTGGGCCTATTGAGTTTTATAATTTAGTCATTTACAAATTAGTGTTTGCTCTGCGTTGTGTGCCCACTCATCTTCCAAAATGCAAATGACACACCTTCCTTAGATTTCACGTGTGGGCTCAACTTTGCTCCACCAGGTGAATCGCATTAGGTTCTAGAGAAGACCATAGTCTTCCAGAAAACACAAACGGGGATTAGATGAATCGCTGCAAAACATCTGATGAAGGAAGTACTTTACAGTTTATGGCTTTTAGGCTCTGTTTGTTTGGTTTTTTGGATTGGTTTTTCAAATTATTTTAATAATAATTGTCTCATCTTAGTATATATTTTTACGTTTCTAATATACTTTTTTATATTCCTAACAAAAAAATACCTGAAAATACACATTAAAAAAACGAAACAAACATATTCTTAGGCTCATCATAAACGTGATGGATTATGGATTATTCCAAAACTTCTTTTGCCACTTTTATCTTTGATGATGCTCCTCGCCATTTTTCTCCATCTACAATTTGCCTTTTTTTAATTACTCATACCTTTATATATATATATATATATATATATATCTATATAAAATAATAATAATAAAGAAAGCATATTCAGATGTGTTACCATTACTTTCAAACGGAAAAAGCATAGCACTACTCCAAACTAAAGTTAAAGCATATTCTGATTTATGCCGCCGGGAACAGTAAATTAAAGTTAAACAAGTCCACATTTACGTATCACATTAAATCATTCATTCGTCACAAAGACTCGATCGGAGCATCTTCGATTTTTTGTACTACCTTTTTCAATTTCTTATGACAATATTAAAGAAAATTTTCAATGGATTTTATTTGGTTTCTTCGTCGTCGGAGATGACTGATCAGTGATCACCAATCATCCCCGGCGTCATCGTATCCCAGATCATCTTCAACCTTCTCGGCGGCATCATCGGCGATCTTATCCTCAACATATTCAGCTCCCTCCGCCAAAGCCAGTCCACCCAAAACCCCTGCAACCGCACCCACAGCCAATCCTGTCCCCATCCCACCAAACTTATTCTTCTTTTTCTCCTCATACACCGCCGGCTGCCCGTAACTTCCGTAGGCTGGCTGCCCATAACTCGGCTGACCGTACGGCTGAGGCGGGGGAGGCGCACCGTACGGGTAACCCGTTGGCGGGGCGGCATAAGCACTTTCCCCGTAGCCGCCGTATGGGCTGCCGTAAGGCTGTGGTGGGGCCGGGTAGTCTCTAGAACCAGGCGGTGGGACCCCGTATGGCGGAGCGTAATAAGGATCCGGCGCACGGTAGCGGGGTTCACGGACGTTGACTCTGACTTCCAATTTACCGTGTGGACGGCCGGAGGGGCGCTTGAGCTCGAGCTTCCGGTCGACCGGACGGCCAAGGCCGGCCTCATCGACGACGTCGCGGAGACGGAGGCGAGCGGAGCCGATGAGAGGCTTGGTGTCTTCGGCGGCGTTGGCGTGGACGACGTCGACGTGGAGGGTGGAATCTTCGATGGGAGAATCGAAAGGGATGAGGAGGGTTTCATTCCACAAGGGATTGGTGTCGCCCTCCTCGTCGACCCGGGTGGAGCATTTGGCTTTCGGGTCTACCCATACGACGGCGTATGGCTTCACGGGGCCGTGACGCCAGTTGACGTTCTTCAAATCCTTTGCAGAAGTTATCGTAATTTCAACCTCATAACGAGAACCCATGCTCGATCGCCGGGTTAAGGAACCGTTAAAACTTAAAAAGAGATTTTCCAAGAAATGAAGGAGACGGATAGGTTTTGCGTGAGCAAATTTTGATCTGGATGCCACTGAAATTTATAGCTAATTTTCTCGACGAATGTAGACATTTCTGATTTCTCAGTCAATTTCCAGCAATGACGAAATTACCCTTTGGTTGAATGCTTCATTAAGTCTAAATAACAAAACTAAACCAGGGAAATAGCATCTAATCTGTAATATAACAAAATAAATAATACTCCCTCCGTCCCATAATTATTGTCCAATTTTGGTTTTCATTTTCAGTTCAAATTATACTAAAAGTAAAATCTCAAACTTGACAATAATTTTGGAACAGAGGGAGTAACAAAAATAAGTGATGGTAAATATGAAAAACAATACTCTAGCGAGAAATGATTAGGACTAATTAGGAACCATGTACTCTTTCCGGTCCGTAATATAAGACATTTTGATTTGTCCTTTGTTACACCTAGTATGCATTTTTAATTGAAGGAAAAAATTAAAAAATACATTTTCACGTTCGTTGTGTTCTTATAATTATTAACAAATGCTTTCAAGGTTTTTTTATGTCGATTGAAAATGCGTACTAGGTGAAATATATAACAAATCAAAAAGCCTTATATTAAGGACAGGAGGGAGTAAAAAAAATTAATCATGATTTTCTTTTTCCTGCTTAGATGAAATGAATTATACTACTAATTCAAAAAGTGCAGTGAATGCCCCTTGCCCGTTACGTTCCCGCTGATTCATGCCTACAAGGTTATATGTGTCTGCCGGCATTACCTTCCCATTTTATAAAACTACTTCCTTAAAGAAATCAAATTAAAAATACTAAATGAGGGAGTCTTATATACGTATGTCTCAAAATGAATTCATCAACTCTACTGAAAATTAGTGTGAATATAATATGAGTGTACCGAGAATTATCTATCTTCCGCCCCTGTATAATTATAGGGAAAAAAAAAAACAAAGTAAAATGAAGAGATAGAAGAAGTGAAGAAGTCAAAGAGTATTATTAACTCGGGGAAGGTAGCTTGTTATCCTCTGCCCTGGACCTCCACCAGAGGAAGTAGTGTAGTAGCCCCCCCGCGTGGTGAAGGAATAATCAATAGCAATAATTCAATAAAAGTAGGCAGCTCTAGCTCAACTTTGTGTTTGATTCTTCTAAGCCGATTGGTCTCGAACGTTAAGTGAAGGAAATGGCATGGAATTTGGTCGTCGTTTTGTGGGAGGAATGTTAGTTGAGCCCCATTAGTTACAGCCTTACAGGTCATAATTCACAAATGATCACAAAATCCTTAACTTCTTGATGTATTAACAATTAATTATTTCATTTAAATGTATGTACTTTTATGTCGAGATTCAATTTATATATAAATATAACGTTCCTAAGTTGGGTTCAAAATTTTCCTTCAATGATGTTTATTTTATAATTTATTCATTTATATTATTTTTATTTTTATAAATATGTTGGGTCTACAATATGATGGCGACGCTTAGTGGGATTAGGACTCCCCAGGCAAGGCAGGTATATCTGGTTCTGATATATTCGCATTTTTCCCACCTCCTCCAATGTACTCCTCACTACACACGGTCGGAACACGGATTGGGGCATTATCTATCTCCTTTTACTTGAACTTTTCGAGATGGAAAAACAATTGGGCAGTAATTACCTGTCGTGTTCCACTCAACTACATCAGAAATAACGTTCTTGTCATTCTATACCGCCTTTTATTTTTTAGCTAACAAAAAAAAAAAAAGGTAAATTCAAGACAAGATGGACTCTTCCATAAATCTCAACCCGCCCTGATATTCATCTAATTTGTTTGTATAAATTTGTCGAAAGTCTTTCATCCGTACCATATGAAAATATCTCAACTTACTTGCAAGTAGTAGAGCGCTTTAGGCTACAAGTACTGGTGCGCTACAATGAAACACATTGTTGTTCTTGAAATGGCTTAGGCTAAACTGATACATGGCGAGCGCATTACTCACTGGATCGAGTTTATTACTTGAGCCTTTAGCTTGCAGGTTTTCAGTGTATTCGATGCTTGCTTTACTGCAATTACACAAAAATGAGAATACAAATTACGTTGTAGAATTTTAACTTGTTTGTCTCGCAAACGACATTTGCTGATTACAACCCTTTGATGGATCAAACTTCTTGAACACGATGTATTAGTCCTTTTCTTCACACCAAGTCATAAACGACCAGATTGATGATAAATCACTACAAAAAAAACATGTCCGTTGCCACGACCCAGTTTCGTTGGTAAAATACTTACGTGATCGTTGGTGAATTGATTCTTCCACGACTTACTCACGAAAATGAGAGCGTGGGAGAACCGCCTGTGGATAATCATTCTCCCACGGTCGGTCAATTCTCCGTGGGTAAATTTTCCCACGAAAACTGAGTGTTGTGGGTAATTCACCCATAATATTTTTCGTGTGTACTTTGTGGGAGAATGGTTTTTGAAACAATATAATTGATGAATATTACTCATGACTTTTCCATGGGCAAATTGGTGGGGGAAATAATAAATCAATAGTTTTAACAAATACTTTTACCCACAATTAATTGTGGGAAAAAAATTTAATTTTGTGAAAATATAATTTGTTTATTTTGTCAAATATTTTTACCCACGGACGTCCGTGGGTAATATTTGCTTTTCTAAAAATATATGCACTCATTACAATTTTTTTTTTTTTTGGTAATATTCCAGTCATATTCATCCAACACAATACAATAATTAAAAGTGACACATAATTCAAAATTCTAAATTGCATAATGTATTCAAATTCATCATCTACAAAGATTCGAAAGTTAAACATTCAATTGCAACTAAATAACTCAACAATATGGTCATTGGATTGATTCTAAACCAACCAACCTAAACCACTGCCTTCAGCTTTCTATAAAATCAAATTCAAAATAAGAATTGAAAATCACTAAGTCTATGTCATCATGCTCCATTGAACTTCTCTCCGATTTACAATCATGTGAATTCGGATCATTTCCATACCTTTCGACCCTTTGAGAGAGTGATCATCATCAACATCAAAAACGATTTCATTTCATCCTGCAAATGAAGCCAACAAGTAGTATTGTCTAAATCAATAAGTAGTATATTCATGGATCAACACACTGCTCAAATTAAAGAGGCAAACTCAAGTATGACTAAACTTCAGCCCAAAGATTTTGTCATTTATGATTTAGAAATGAATAAAGTATTTTCAGGGAATGTTTCATTCTCTTCCTAAATCAAAGTGGTTTAAGACTCCATACAAAGTACTATATATAGTAGGAAAAGGGTATTTAAACAAAGAGGAATGAAGTTTCAAAATCAGTTCATTGCTGAAAATCCAGAAACTACAGTGGTGATAATGCGGACAAAAAGGGCCTAAGAACTCTATCATTAGAATATTGTACACTTTATGCCAAGGATGGTCATGGTCCAAGGAAGGCACCAAATTGTTAGGACTTTTGTTGAGTTAGTCCTTTATTAAGCAGTAATTTAATTAGTTCATTAGTTTCAAAAATTTTAGAATCTAAGTCATGTTTCAAACTTCCTTTTGAGACTAGCACTACCATAATTGAACAACTATAAAAGTGTTTTCATCATGTAAGGACTGACATTAAGTAAAAGGTTTGAAAAAAAAATCACAGAAATATGGAGATTTGAGCCTCAAGAATGGGCTCTGTTTAGGTACTCTGAAGAGTTCAATTTCAGCACAATTTTAATCAAATTAACAAGGTATGTAACAAATTATTAATGTTTTTAACAAGCCGTCAAAATTATAGTAAACTAAGATAAAGAGAGAAAGAGTTTTACCCAAAAAAAACCAGAGAAAGAAGTCTGAAAATCAGGAGAAACAAGTCATCCAAAACAGTAGCTTAGACCAAATTTTCTGACGGAAAATTTCAAATTTCAAAGAAGGACACGTCTTGTTCAAACTTAACTTTTGCACATTCCGTAACTCTTTTTTGAAATCTGTAAAAACATCATTAAAGTAAACTAGGTGTACAAGAGTTTCATAAAAGAAACTAAAGAAAAGTGTTCAAGGCTTGGAAGAAATAGGTCCACCAATAGGAGGTTACATGTTTGATTTTTCTGTATTTACAGCAATGGACATGTCATGTTCAATTCAGATTTCTGGAAAAATTGTAAGTCCATTCAATAATCGGTAAAAATCACATTAAACTAGATTACACAGAGAAGAGATTCATATAAAGAAATTTTAGAAAAGTGTTTTGGAAAAATAGGCGAAATGACCCTCTCAATAGGTGGACTGAAATCTGATTTTCAGCAGTTTTTAGAAAACATTAAACATGTCTCATTTTCAATCGTATGCACTCATTTCAAAACCAAACTATGACTCCCAGATCATTCATGATTCTTTTTCCAGAAGCTATTAACATTATGCAGCAACTGAAAATAGCAAACAACCCATAAATTAAAGATTTTTCTAGATGGCATACTTCTCTATATCTTTCCCACTCTCCATTTATACACTAAATTACAATAACAAGGACAGAACTTAAGACTGAACTGTATAAATGGTCCCCTACATTTGTCCGAATTTAAATTTTGGTCCCCTACATTAACATGTATATGAATTGAGCCTTTACATTTCATTTTGAAACTTTTTTGGTCTCTTTTCACTATTCCGTCACCATTTCCGTTATGTTGACCGTTGACCCTACCAAGTCAGGGGTATTTTCGGAATTACACATTTAAAATCAAAATAACAAATATTTTTATAATAAAATAGAATAAAATATTAAAAATTATTATTTTATAATAAAAAATTAAATAATTTAAAAATAATTTTTCAGATTTCAATTTTTATTTTTTTTCATTTCCCACGCTAACATGCCAGTCATTTTAATTGATTCCCCTTTTCACCGATACAGTAAAAAAATCAAAATTAAGAAGCCATCACTCCCAAATCGAACTGAAGAAAAAAAATCGAACTGAAGAACTTTTCTCTGTTGTAACTAGTTGGTTCAAGTTCATTTTGTTGGTCTGCAGTTGGCTCAGGATCATTAGTAACACCACCTCCAATATCTCGAATTTCTGCTTCCTCCACACTTTCAACATCCGAGATCAAATCACAACCTTCACCAATTATAGTATCAAGGCCACATCTTGGTGCTTCCTTAATAAGCTCAATTTCTGGGGGTGATGCTTCAATATCCTCATCAATCAGTTGGAAAATACTCTCACCACCCTGGCCAAAGAGCTTATCCTGTCTTGCTACCCTCTTTGTTTTTAGTTTACTCCTATCAAACTTTTTCTTTACTGCTGCCACTTTCCTCCTTGCTTTATGAGGTGAGGGTCCTTGTCCTTTGCGCTCATTCAATATTTGTGATAAACAATCAATTTCTTGTGTAAGGATGCTTCGAATCCATTCGCCCTCGGCATCATCCTTAGTTTCAACGAACAAATCGACCAGACCTTCTTTTGCTCCTTCAGCAGCCATTTTATTTGCAGAATCATTGCCAGCTAACATTGCAAGTCCGTCATCCATGTCCTTCCCATGGTATAGAAATAAGTAAGTTAACTCTGAAGGAACTAACCCCAACTTTGTTTTGGTGAAGTGATCAACTTCGATTCGTGACCATTGTTCTGGGTCACAATCGGTCATGGCAACCACATCTCCCCCTTTGTATTCTCTGCCTGGTGGATTAGTTAGAAACCCATTGTAATGACACCTTACTGTGAATAGACCATCTGCAAATACCCAACAAGTGTGTCAGTAACTACATAAACTATTATGGTTCCCTACAAATATCAAAAAACTTTTTTGGTCCTCAACATAAGCCAATAACTTTTTTTTGGTCCTCTCCATATATATGACAACAACATTTGTTTACTGACTTACTGATTGAAACTACAGCAACCGTTAAACGGAAAGAAAAGAAAAAAGGACAAAGATCATACAACAATCTATGCCAGCAAGACACAATAAAAAAAGCATGTGTTCATGGTCAACCCTTCATTCCCTTTCACTGATAGACACATATTTTATTTTTCTTTTCCCTTTAGCGAATCCCCTCCCCCTTCTCAATCCCCTCCCCCTTCCCCAAAACATAGGGTTTCAAACCCCATCGACTAAACAATGGAAAAGCTTCCTACTTTTGGAAGACAACAAATAAACGACATCAAAAAGCCAAACATCGATGCCCTACAACCCCCTTTTGCAATGTTGTCACGACCCAACAAAATTCATGCCGACAAAAGGACAAACGACCAATAATACTCTTTAACATCACTATACTTTCATCTATAGCAAACAAGATCTCAGAAGCATACCTTTATCTTTTTGTGGTTTGATGCTTGCAATATTGGCATCCGTACGCCTCATCCTGCTTGACAATATATGCTCACTTCGTCGATTTGTTGTAGATCTATTACACTATCGCAGCCATCATCATCGCATCGATTTTTTTTCTTCAGTTCAATTTGGGAGTGATGGCTTCTTAATTTTGATTTTTTTACTGTATTGGTGAAAAGGGGAATCAATTAAAATGACTGGCATGTTAGCGTGAGAAATGAAAAAAAATAAAAATTGAAATCTGAAAAATTATTTTTAAATTATTTAATTTTTTATTATAAAATAATAATTTTTAATATTTTATTCTATTTTATTATAAAAATATTTGTTATTTTGATTTAAATATGTAATTCTGAAAATACCCCTGACTTGGTAGGGTCAACGGTCAACATAACGGAAATGGTGACGGAACAGTGAAAAGAGACCAAAAAAGTTTCAAAATGAAATGTAAAGGCTCAATTCATATACATGTTAATGTAGGGGACCAAAATTTAAATTCGGACAAATGTAGGGGACCATTTATACAGTTTAGTCCAGAACATAATCACCCCAATTCACCTTTGTTTATCTTATGCAATTGACAAGTTTATACATCACTTAATGGCAACAATGACAATTAGCAATTTCAGCACTTATGCAACTAATGAAATCAAAATAGATTTCATTTTTCATTCTAATTGTTCCCCAAACCATCATAGCATCCAGTCAAAAAGAACTTATATATAACATCCATGGAAGGACAAAATTAGAGTGAAAAAAATTTAGAATTCCATGACTTATGGAGAAAAAAAGATCCGGGGATCTCATGGGATTAACTAATTCCATCCCCTTAAGCCAAAAAAATTTATAGCAATTGGAAAAATTGAATCTAGGCAGCATTATCCAGAAGAACAGAAATAGGATAAATGGATAGTAAAGGCAGAAAGAGAGAAAAATGGCAGCGGTAGAAAGGAGGATGACTTTTTGAGATTGGGCGGCGAAGTGCTAAAATTTGGTTTTTTGTAACAATAAAATAAAACCTCTCCTCCACCTATTTTTACACTAATAAATCAAAACACACGGTGTAGGCTCCGTTTGATAATCACTGAAATCTGAATCTGAACACTTAACACTTAACACTGAAGTATGAAGTCTGAAGACTGGATTTACATTCTTTGATAAAACCGTCTGAATTCTATGTCTGAAGACTGAATCTGAATACTCAGGTTTGAAAGTTATTTAAAATTTTAATATCATTAAAATTGAATTATGAACAAAATTCTTTGAAATAGAAAAATAACTAATATTTTGTTCTAAATAATATAATCATAATTTTAAAATAATTTTTTGGTATATATAATGAAAGTAGATATTACACTTGGTAAAGAATCAATATATAATTAAATTTAGATTATTACATATATATATATATATACCTTGTTATTTAGCAAATTTCATGTATTAAAATTAGTTTAATTTGAGTTTGAAAGTTTGAGATCTTTTATACTCGTAATATAAATTCAACTTTAAGCACTCTTAATTAATTCATCTTAAGAAAATAAAAATTAAAAAAATGTAAAAATAAGCATCGAAATAAAGACAAAGGAAAAAAAGAAAAAAAGAAAAAAGAAAAAAAAAGAGTCATTACATAAATTAAGTGATAAGTGATAAGTGGTAGGCCTATCACTTATTTTCTGGCTCACAATTGAACTGGATATTTAGACGCACTTAATTAATTCAGATAGTTAAATTTTAGTTATCAAACGCACTTAATTTATAAATACTTAATTAGTTCAGAACTTAATTCATTAAGACTTTTTAGTAGCGATTATCAAACACACTTAATTTTATTAAGTACTTAAATAAATTAAGTCACTATATTAAGTGATTATCAAACAGAGCCGTAGTTTGGTTAGGATTTAGGCGGCCCTTTTCCCTCCATTTTTTTTGGTCAAAAAAAATCTCCCTCCAACAAAATCAATTAACCTATTTTTTGGCAATAGCGGGACTTTTTTTTTTTTTTTGGTGAAAGCGGGACTTTTTTTTTTCTAGGATAATAATTTTCAAGGATAATCAATTTAATCAATCTTCTTCTTTTGACTTTTTTTTGACACATTAAAATGACTAAATTTTATATTGATCCCTATTAAATTACAAAATAGACACCATAATATTTATAAAGTGACACCCTTTAATTTTTTTTCTTATTTGAACCATTTGCAAATGAATTTTTTTTTATTTACACCCTTAATAAATAATTTCTTATTTTAATTTTAACCTAAATAGTACGATATATACACAAACATATGAATTTGTACTTCCTCCGCCCCAAAAAATAAAGTTTTCCTTTAGTATAAATGAATATGAAAATAAAAATTATTTCAAAAAATTGATGTTATCAGTGAACTTTACTACTAATTATAAATTAATATCATATAATTAACGAGAACTTATCAAATCATAAACGTCACAAACATTATCGATTATTTAATAACTTAAAAGTAATAATACTATATTATTATTGTCATCATCGATTAGTTATTCACTTGGAACGAATCATTGTTAATACTTAATGATTGTGTAAAAGTAAATAAATTTTATAATTATTGACATAATTTAACACCATATATACTAGATATATAGATAACCACATATACAATTAAAAGTACAAACATACTATATTTATAACAAATGTACCTAAATATACATAGGATAACTGTTTCTTTAGTACTAAATGATATATATACACAGTATGGTATATTTGTCATATACACATTATTGAATACCATTTGATTAAATAATTAGATGAAAAGTTTATTATATATTAGTTAATTACCTAAAACTTCATACTTTTATATTTATTCATAATTATAGAAATATATTTTATTTTTGTTTAATAGAAAAATTAATAAAAAATAATAATTTTAATTTACTCACGAATTACCCACGAGTTACCGACCAAATGATCGTGGGTAATTAAAACCACCGTGCTCTTTAAAGACCACCTCTATTTATATTTTTATAGAAAAAGATCAATCAAAAACATTAATTTTAATTTACCCACAACTTGGCCATGATTTACCCACCAAATGATCGTGGGTAATTAAAACCACCGCGGTCTTTAAAGGCCACCTCTATTTATTATTAATAGAAAAAATCAATCAAAAATAATAATTGTAATTTACCCACAACTTGCCCACGACTTACCCACCAAAAAGTCGTGATTACTTAAAACCATCGTGGTCTTTAAAGACCACCTCTATTTATTATTAATTTAAAAAATTAATAAAAATTAATAATTGTAATTTACCCACAACTTGCCCACGACCTATCCACCATGCACATCGCTCTCTCCAGAAGCCACCTTTACTTATTTTTTGTGTACTTTTACTTATTTTTAATAAAAAAAAAATTCACTCAAAAATCGTAACGGCAATATACTCACGAATTACCCACTACTTGCCCACCATGAATTCGTGGATAAGTAAAACTACAGTGGTCTTTAAAGACTACCGTGCTCTTTAAAGACCATCATTCCCAACACTTGGCCAAATTTTTTAAAATTTTATTTGGTCTTACTACGGCTTACCTATGAATTACCCACAACTACTTACCCACAAAAAAATTCGTGGGTAATTTACTTACCTATGGATTGCCCACAACACAGTGGTCATGTTTAATTAACCACGAATAATTCCGTATGTAATACGTGGGGAATTTTCTCGCGGGAAATTATTACCCACGGATTACCAATAAAATTTGTTGTTGCGTGTAAATTTGTGGGTAATGCGTCTGAAATGCATGGGGAAATCGAATCTTTTAATGGATCTCATTTTGATCAACGCAAAATGTGTGTTTCATGGGTATGTCGTGGGTAATTACCCACAATTTTCCCACGACTGGGAAAATTTTATGGATATGGACAGGTTTTTTTGTAGTGAATAGTTAATCCTACACGTGTTTATGTAGTTATGCCCTTCTGGTTGTCATAATTTATTTCACTTCTCATTTCTAGTTTTGTTCCAGGTTAAGGTGAATCATATTAATAACGAAAACATCATCCTCTTAGACGGCTCATTCATTGGTTCGTACTTAAAAAAGTAAGGCATTTGCTACATTTTTTATGCCTAAATTACTAGATACTGCCAATTAACTATTCTGTCAAATTAAGTGCCAATGGATGAGACCAGCGTCCGTCAATCAGTCTGAAGTGAAGTGATCGAATCATCAAACTATCAAATATTATACATGTAAATAATTCAGGAGTCGAGATAAACACTCCAATGTGAGAGTTAATGCTTTTGTTAAGGTGTATTATCTTGTTTTACATCGCTACCGTATAGAGAAGTGACTCTGTATATAAGTGCCAAATGCCACCCCATTTATTGTCAATTAGTTTTGAGATGTGAGTCTAAAAATACTTATATACTTTGACATGGTATTAGAGCGGTCTGGACCTGTGGTGATGTTCTGGGTCAGAGGTGGCCTGTGGTGATTTTATATTCTCCCACTTGAGTGTTGACTCGTGGGCTTGTTGTTAACCGATACAGCGGTATAACTGACTTTCTCTCGCTTGAGTGTTGACTCATGGGCTATTCTATTCTTGTCATGATCCAAGTTTATTGAGCAAAAAGTTCAAAATACCCATTGGACTTGAGGGGGGGTGTTAATATGTATTATCTTGTCCCACATGGCCACCGTGAAGAGAAGTGACTCTGTATATAAGTGCCAAAGACCACCCCACTCATTACCAATTGGTTTTGAGATGGGAGCCCAAGGTACTGGATAATCAATTTATGACTGAGATAAATAATAATCCAGTTTAGGTTTATATTTCTAGTACAAATTGTACTGAAAGTAAAAACCTAAATTACATACTAATTTTGAGACATATGAAATGTTAATATTTAAAGAATAAACCAACAGGGGTGAAATGTTCTAAAATTAAGTTTATAATGTTTTTTCTACTTTATCCCAACTTAAATTAACTAAACATTTATAATAGTTTCTAAAAGATTGGGGCACTTTTAATATGGAAATATAGGTAGTTTATCAAAAAATTACTAATTTTACTACTTTAAATAATTTATTCAAATTCATTATTTATGTCTCATATTGAGGATCGCAAGGAGTAATATTTAGTTTACCTATGAATTCATGGACAGTCAAGGCATCTCTTACGCGTACGCTTTGGAGGAGTTGGGCACTCCAACAAACTCTGCCGCGCTTCGCTATCCTCGCCAAAGAGCTCCATTCTCTGCCATGGCTGAAGGAGCACTGTTCACCCGCTCCTCTACCAGGTCGGCCCCTTTTTTTTGTTTCCTTTTTTTTTTAATTAAATTTTTTGGGCCAAAATTAGGATTTTTGATAGAATTTTGATTATGGGCCAAATTGGCTTACCTTTTTCCGTAAATATTTGTGAGTTTTAGTAATTCCTTAAGTTTTGTATTAGCATGAGCCTTGTTTTTAATTTGGTAATGTGAGATAATTATAATAGTCCACTTATATATCTATTTTTCACTTAATTTCTTAAATAGCAAAACGAAAGATATAAATAAACATAATATATGTAATATGTTGTTCCTTATCTTGATCTAAATATTTTTCATATTTTACTATTACCAATTTGTTCAATATGATAAATATTTAATAAACATTGTTAGGTATAGTTAACTAAACAATATGAATTTACTTTAATAATTATTAAAAATAATAATTTAATTTATTGATCATATTTATAAATTTATAATTTTTACTGATTGAGCACATTGATATGAAGATTACAAATACTATTAATAATAAAATAAAATAATTAGTAAAAGAATATACAAAAGGATTTGTTTAGAGGGGAATCATAGAGAAAATGTGTTGATAATATATATATATATATATAGAGAGAGAGAGAGAGAGAGAGAGAGAGAGAGAGAGAGAGAGAGAGAGAGTTTAGAAGGTTGTTGGTTTGGAGTTGCCGTTACAGACCTGGCCTTTTTAAATTTTTTATTTTTATATTTTTTTAAAATCTAGTGTTTATATCTTAAAAAAAAAAAAAATCAATCGAGAACTATTATCATGCACTCCTTTTATATCAGTTTGGGCTGAACTACAAGTCCACAATCACTTATTTTGAATGAAACTGTAATGATAGTTACTTGAATCCTACATTGGTGTCAGATAATACTAATGTGCAGTTTATATGTCTTTGGGTTCTTCCCCCTCGCAAGCTAGCTTTTGAGGTGGGCTTCCCCTAAGAGGCATGATAAGTAATATCAGAGCTGGTATCCACTATTCGTGCTGACCCGCAGAAAGGGTTACCTCGAAGAAGGACTACCTGGAGTCACGCAGAGTGTGAGCCGCCGGAGGAAAGGGCTACCTGCGAAGTGAAACCACCACGGAAAGGGCTACCTATGCCGGAGTGAAGTTGTCTAGAGTGCAGCCGATGAGACGTCGGAACGGAAATAAGATAGTATGTAATGATAGTTACTTGAATCTCACATTGATGTCGGATGACACTGATGTGCGGTTCATATGTCCTTAAGTTCTTCCCCCTTACAAGCTAGCTTTTGAGGTGGGCTCCCCCCAAGAGGTATTACAGAAACCCACTTCCTCTTTTTCGGGCCTCTGTTATTTTAAACCCAGTTACGTGGTCTTGTTTTGGTCCTAACTATCCATTTAAATTTATGGATGCTTTCTCCCTTTTTTTTCTTTTTTTAATTCTCTTTGAAAATGAATTATATGTATTATGTTGTTGATCAGGTGGTGTCATGCTATAGAGGACTCTGTTTTCTTTCTTATATTCAGTGGGGGAATAAAAATTTTCAAATTGTAAGGTCAAAAATAGAATCATCATTCGGTCTATACTTATATTAAACACTACAATCACGTGGTGGAGTAGTGCATTTGGTGAACCCCCATGATTTTTTTCCTCATTCAGCACAACAATCCATTAAATCTATTCCCATCTAAATTATTATTATTGTCTATTGTCCAAAATATATGTTTATTGTCTATTGTCCAAAATTTTTGGAAATTTGTTATTATTTTTAACCAAATAAAAATATGTTCATTGTCAAAAGTTTGGGAATTATTATTGTTATCCAACATTTCAACAAACATTTACTAAAATGCCCGATTTTATAAATTGGTGGTAAACAATTAGGGCAAAGTGAAACTCGAGGAGGTAAAATGCTAATATTTGCCCTTACAGCCACACACATACTGAAAACCCTAAAGTAAAACTTATATAAAGACGCCCTTTACCCCGCTTTTATAAAACGCAGCACACCGCCCACAAACTTAAACCCTAATCTAAAACCCTCCACACAGAAAATACAGAGTAGCCGCAGATCACAGTCATGGTTGCCAGAGGAGGTACCTTCTCTGTTCTTACAATTTCTTTTGGTTTATTAATGTTTGATTTTGTATCTTTTGGGTTGGATTGTTGGTTTTCTGCTATTGAATTTATTGCTTGTTGAAGGTGGTGGATTCAGGGGAGGCCGAGGAGGAGGCGGAGGCGGAGGCAGAAGTGGAGGCCGAGGCGGAGGCAGAGGGTTTGGTAGAGGAGACAGCGGGATGAAGCGTGGTGGTGGTGGTGGCCGCCGAGGAGGGGCGCCAAGAGGAGGAGGGCGTGGGAGAGGCCGCGGTGGCGGGATGAAGGGAGGAAGTAAAGTAGTGGTAGAACCACACAGGCACGCGGGAGTGTTCATAGCCAAGGGTAAAGAGGATGCTCTTGTAACTAAAAACTTGGTCCCAGGAGAAGCTGTTTATAATGAGAAGAGAATCTCTGTTCAGGTAGTCCAAAGTTTGGATTTTTCTCTATTATACTTCTACTCTCTGCTCATTCCTACTATGTTTGGAACTTTTGAGAGTTTAATAGGATTGATTTCGTTGTCAGATTGTATAGATTATGATGCCTTATTATTTCAATCTCCTCAGGCATTTTGTGTTTCTTTAATTGGATTTGGGGTTGTGTAAATGCAGTTGGTAACTCTATAGTTGATTTGGTAGAAGTTAGGCTCTGGATTAGTTGTTTACTAATTTCTTTTCATTGCAGAACGAAGATGGAACAAAGGTTGAGTACAGAGTGTGGAACCCATTCCGATCTAAGTTAGCTGCTGGTATCCTTGGTGGACTTGATCATATCTGGATTGTAAGTCTGTTCATTGTATTGTTTATCCCATTTTTTCTTTCCCTTGTAATTTTGGTTGGGAATCCTTCACATCTTATATTGTTTTTAATTTTTCCCCTTTTTGTGGTGTTGAAGAAACCTGGTTCTCGAGTACTTTACCTTGGAGCTGCCTCAGGAACCACAGTATCTCATGTTTCCGACCTTGTTGGCCCTGTAAGTTGCTTGTCTTTTGTGTATGACTTTTTTCTCCTGGTTGTTTTGATTCGCCCTTTGACATGTCATGTATATACGGCAGGAGGGAATGGTGTATGCTGTTGAGTTTTCTCATAGGAGTGGTAGGGATTTGGTGAACATGGCTAAGAAGCGAACAAATGTTATTCCCATCATTGAAGATGCTAGGCATCCTGCAAAGTACAGAATGCTTGTTGGAATGGTTGATGTTATATTTTCTGATGTTGCCCAGCCTGATCAGGTCTGCGTCTTTTGCACATTTTTATAGCTTTCAAAATGACATTCACATAGATTTTGGCTACTTCAGATATCATGGTTATGTTTCTTGAATTTGTTACATTTACCTAGAGCAATAAATTTTCTACAGAAAGAAAACGATTGCCCTCTTGAAAAACTGTAGCTTGGATTTCAAATATTCTTAAATTTACTAGGGTTTGTGAAAATTGAAATTGAAAGCTCAGTTTGAAGCTTTTCCTACAATATCATGATCCTTCTGTGTGTGACCATTTAGCAATTGTTTAATTTTGCTGCAATTAACGAGTTTTCCCTCATCTGTCATGAGCTGGTTCTTTTTTTAATTTGGCTTTTGCATTACTCCTTTAATTGTTTATTGTGTTTATCTGAGTTTGTTATGCACAATACTTTGCTTTTCAGCAAGTTAATGCTAGGAAGCTGCATGTCCTATCTTAAAATAGGTTGCATTACATATTCAGCATGTAGAACAGTTGCTTTTCCTGTTTCTCCCAAGTGTTTTTTTTTTTTGGGTAGCACCTCCAGAGAGGGTAAAACCCACATTAGTTCTTCTTTTTCATTCCACTGGTTTTTGGATATATTATTAGCAGATGACGAGTTTCTCGGATTCCCCTTCAGGACATCATGGATGATGCACAAACCGAGTTAACTGATGCTATTTTTTTTTTCTCTCTTTTCATACCAGAGCAGGGCCCCCTTCTGCTTTTGGTTCCATTTTTTGAAAATTGTAAAGCTTAGCAGTAGTTCTTAATGTTTTTTGTCCATTTTCTGCTCGTGTTGTGTGCTTTTGTTGCAAATGGTGTGAACTTTTTTTTTTTTTTTTTTATTACTTTCAATCACTGTGAGACTCATGATTCCTGCCTGTCATTTCCAGTCTAGTGCTTTAGTGCATCTGTGTTGAATTTCCTTGGGTTTTGATCTGTTGTTTGGTTGCCTGTACTGATTGTGTTGTATGCAGGCAAGAATTGTGGCACTTAATGCATCCTACTTCTTGAAAACTGGAGGACACTTTATCATATCAATCAAGGTTTGTATTCTGATTCTTGCTTCTGTGCTGGTGAACTTAACTGGATGGAGTCTGATCTTTGTATAGAGGGTCTGGTTTTTAACAATTTTGTGAATTTAACAGGCAAACTGCATAGACTCAACTGCTCCAGCTGAGGCTGTATTTGCCCAAGAAGTAAAGAAACTACAGGCAGAGCAGTTTAAGCCTCTTGAGCAAGTTACTCTTGAACCATTTGAACGAGACCATGCTTGTGTGGTTGGTTCTTACAGACCACCCAAGAAACAAAAGGCTTAGGTGTGACTTTTCTACTTCTTCTCGGCCAATGTTTGTACCAAGAAAACAGCACTGGATAGTAGTATTTCTAGTCTAAATGAATTTTAGTTTTAAGGTATTTTTGTGGAGTGAGATTTATCATCATGGCAACTTTCTTACAAGAGCTCTATTTGCATACTTGATTTGATCTGAAGTGATGTCTATAATGCTAGCTGCAACCCGTTTCCTTTTTCAGTTTTTTGTCTGTTCACTCATCCTTTCAGTGTTAGCTGATCTGGAGGTAGATGTAAGTTGTTTCAGTGGAAGCCTATCTAGTGGATGTTATTAGTTGTTAGATGCTATCGAAAACATCTCTTAATAAATAACAAATGGGGCTTTCAGAACGATATTAAATTTTTTATAAGGGCGATCTTCATCAATAGGCCAATATTGAGCACTTTCAACCAGTGAAAACGTTCACAAAAAATGAAGCGCGTTCATCAGCAAAATTCAGAACACAGTAACAGACTTAGTGTCATCAATCATCATGGCATCTAAGGCCTAAACCATTTCCCCAATTGCTCAAGCCTTTTTTACATTGTACAAACTACAAAGAGAAACACAAACTTGGAAAAATAAATTCAAAATCAGACATGACAAACCTAGTCAGAATACAAAAATGCTTGAACTGCCATTTCCATCCCAGCATCATCGGTCACCTACTTCTAGCGGGAGATCAACTTCTAACTTGAGTGATGGAATCTCTCAAACATTGAATTCCAACATTAGCAATACCCAACACGATCGAACAATTGTTGGGGATATAATATTGTTTTGCTTTCAAGGCGGGAGGTAATACTTGTTTGGATAATCCTTGTTTCGGTTTCAATGATGGCCTGCAACGATGATCAACAAAATTTGCAAAAGTTTCAATGATCAACAAAATTTTCCTCGGTACACAAAAACTAGGCCCAAATTTCATCAGCTTTTTGGCGAATCCCAAACTTCGTAATTTACTGGATATACACAACTTTCGCTTATACGCCGTGGGAGGGGTACAAGTACAACTTTCTCTTTATTCAGTAAAAGGAAAAGGAGAGAATGAATGGCAGCTCTCAAAGTATAAGGGCAACCTCAAAACCAAATTCCAGGCACACTCTAATGATATTAAGCAGCACTAATAAGTTGGGTTTGAAATGTCAAATCAAAAGTTTTGGTGTTAAAACCCTAAAGAAATACAAGTTTTGGAGCAATTCAAATTTCCACATTGTCATCATCTCCCCTCCACAAAATAGCCATTGTCATCTTCTTGAGTCTTATTTGTCATCGGATGTCCTCAAAGTGCTTTTTAGCGCGATCAGACCAGCAAATAATGTACTCTTGGCAACTTTCGGATAACTTGTTCAAAAGTTGCTCAGACAGGTACATCAAAACAACGCCCAAGGAGTTAAACCCCTACAGCTTAACACCACATTCTTGGTAGGTTTAAGGTTGCTCATCTGGAACTACTTCCTTATCCATATCTTGGCCACCCCATTTTCTCATGCGTTCTGATGTCTGCTCAACCTGCATGAATTAACAGTTTTGGTTTCAATTAGAACAGTTTGTAGGAATCTGTATTAGGAGTATTTCCCAAGGTGTCCGATGATTGGGAAATGTAAAAGGTTTTTGACACACCTCCTTTTTCCAGTTGGTCTGGTATAGAACAACCAAAAGCAGGAAAGTCTGCAGGGCAGTTCCAGCAATCATGCCTCCCCAAAGTCCCTGCATTCATGGACAAAAGATTAACAAATTGAACATGCATGTTGTTCTATGCCAGTGTCTATAATCTAATCAAATGTTTGGTGGGTGTCCTCTGTACCTTCACTCCAAGGTTAGCTTTATAACCGAGAAGAAATCCTAAAGGGAGACCAAACACGTAATAACTCCCCAGGTTAATATAAGCCACCAGAGCTTGCCATCCACCGCCCACTGCAACACCTGGAAGAAGATAATTCTATGTGTCAACATGGGTAAAAAGGGGCTGCTAGAGAAAAGGCTTACAAACTTGATTGCAACGGCATATAGATATGGAAGAAATCCAAGTAATAAACTACCTGATATTACTGGCTGAATGCTGTTCAGAACCATGGTTATTCCAAGAAGGCCAGCTAAGTCCGCAACAGCCTTTTGCATGTCCTTGCTATCAGTGAAAATTATGGCGAAATGATTTCTAGCCAAAAGGACAGCAACCATGCAAACAATCCCTATCAACAGGGACTGAAGGACTGTGACATATACAGAATATTTGGCTGCTCTAGGATGCCCATAACCAAGTTCGTTAGAGACTCGAACGCTGTACATAGAAAGTACGTCATAAGGGAAAGAGGATGTTGCAAACAAGATGGGGGAATGAACACTAAACGCCACACTGCCATGTTACCTTATCGCAGCATTTACTCCAATGAATATCATGGCTTCAAGTCCATTAAGGCTCATGCTGAAAGTTCAAGCACAAAAGTGTCATGTGGGATATTGCTGTAACAATGGAAACCAAACGAACTGACAACAGATAACAATGAATGAAACTTAGTTACTTTACCAAATATTTAGTGAACCAACGGCAATCACAGCATTATTTAGGTGTCCTGTGAGGATATTGATACTCATCATGTACCATATCTCCAGGCAAAGCATGATTGCTGAAGCTAGAGAGAGCCTAACAAAAGACCAAATCTCCCTAAATGCTGCCCATGACCATCCTGTCCACCCATCTTTACACCAACCGATGACATAAAAGAATTGAGCAAGAGCAACGAACCAATTTGTGATGTTATATGCTACAGCAGCACCAGCAATTCCCAAGTTGAGCACAGAAATGAAAAGCCAAAGGAAAAACACATGCAGCAGCAGGGCTATTAATCCAATCCAAGCTGTAACACCAACTTTGCTCTGCGCTTGAAGAAACTTTTGGGTAGGGAAATTGACAAACAGGGAAAACAACTGAGGAATGATCAGGATGGTATAGTATCCTGCTGGATCCGCGATTTGATCTTGTTGACCAAGGAGCTTAAGGAGTGGAGTAGCAAAAATGTAGAGCGGCAGAAGAATGATACAAGTGACAAACAGGATTATCATGGACCTCTGCATGTAAATACCAAGCATGTGAACTTGGTTGGCACCAAATGCTTGACCACATAGCGTCTCTAAGGCACTCCCCATTCCAAGCTACACATTTTTCACAAAGTCAAAAGTTAGGCTGATAAACAGTTCAAAAGCGTTCCGAGTTTCTGGTACAACTAGTAAATAGTCATTAGATCTAAGCAACCAACATTATGCAATTATACGCTGACATAAGTTACACGATAACGGTCACATCTAAAGCTGTAAAGATCTTAAAACCAACACAGAATTCTCTGTAGAATACTCAATGGCATTAAACAGAATTTACCAATCAGCCACTCCTTGAACCTCATTCTAACATGCAGCTGCAAGTATTTAGTAAAATGACATAGATATGATGATCACACGATCGGCTAGCAAAAATTTTCATTAAAACCAAGGGAATTACTCCACTCACATTTACTTCATAACTATAACAAATGAAACAAATAAAAGATTGTGTAGATTTCTGAACGTGCGTAGTCAAAATAAGGAGTAAAATTCAAGCAGCAATCATTAGAAATGAAGATTTTATTGAAGGGACTGACGTTGTCACTTGATAAAATTTAAAAAATGGAAGCACGCAAAAAGAAGAAAAGGAGAAACACTTCCAAGGTCTGCACTATTTGAAATATATGCCACTGCCAAAAAATTGTATGCTCTGTTTCTCTGCAAGTAACCAGAATCTCACTTTCAGACTTTCTTTTGCTTTCTGCTTAGCCAAAGTATCACTGATACCTGTTTCCCCATAAAACCCAACATTTCTCTGTCTTTCAACTTCCTTATTGTTACTATTAATTATAAAAAATCAAAAGAAGCATCCCAACATTCAAGAGCTCCAGGTCAGGAAGAGTAGAAGATCACATCAACTAAACAGCTAAGTTTAACCAACCCTTCCAGCAAAATAATGGATCAATGGATTGAAGTTTGTAGTCATTTATCCTTCAAGTTGGCTAAGAACGTATGGGCTCTAAGGAGAATCAGATTCAGTTATTCTTTTAGTTATGGAGATTTCAACCAGGAGATTTGGAACAACGAATTCTGTCTAGTCACATCGTATAAGCCCATTCCATGAAGTTAAAGTGTTGATAACACCAGGGTGTAGGTGTACATACATACAGTCTACTACATTCCACAGTAATGCGTACGCGGAAGTTACAAAACAAACAGACAAAAAAGTAACAAATTAATGCGTGCCGCAGAGAGTAAATGCTTGTTCAGACGTAACAGAACAAAAACACACACATAGACCGTGACAGTGTGTGAGAGAGAGAGGTAGTAGGAAAGCGGTGGGGGGAGACTAACCATGAAACCGAAAGAGAAGGTACCGATAACGGAGGTAGAAATTGAGATGGCGGATAGCTCCACGTCACCTAGGTGACCGGCGAAAATGGTGGTGACGGTACTCATACTGAACTGACAGATGATACTGAAGGCCATCGGACCACCTAACGCCCATAGCTTCACCGTCTCAATCCAGAAAATCTCCCATAATTGCTTCACACCTTTCGGTGGACGGTAATCTCCGTCCGGACCCAACAGCAGCTTCTCTTTAACACTCTCGGAGCTGCCGTTAAGCAACGGCGTCTCCATAATAACCTATCTATCTATACAACAAACAGACTTAATTTCCAACTTCTACGTAAGACTAAACGTAAACGCAAAAATTGAAAAAAAAATCCCAAACACAAATTAAACGACCGATTGATGATTTGTATTTGGGAGGAAAATTAGATCTCAGAGAAGCTGATGGAATGATGAACTTATAATGTAACACGACATGGTCAATACTGAATTTTAAACAGAAACAAAAATGATCTTAATTAGATGGAAAGAAACAAAAATTCACCGCCGGAGAAGGGTTGACCGGTGACGGAAACACCCTAGTTTATGATACTGAAAGAGACGACGGAGTAAACAATTTAGGAGGTGGAAATTCGGCAGTGTGTGGGTGTGTGGGTGTGTGTTGGAGAATGGAGAGAGGAAGAAGAGGGAGTAAACGTGTGACAAGGCCAGTGTTGGTTTGGCTATTGAAGCGGTGGCACATTTCGTACTCTGCTTTGTGCTGTGTGTTATATATACAGTTGCTGTTTCTATATTTAGGTATTATGGCATGGATCATCTTTGCCAAGTTTCGCCTAACCATCGTGATTCGTGTTGCCTAATATAATTCACAATCTCAGAGTCCATAATAATACTCTCACTTTCGAAATAATAATTACTCAATTCAAATTTGTCATGTTGTATTGAATAGTAATTTTATATATCTGACTAATAATTGTATATCTGACTTTAAGTTTATAAAACACTACTCCCTCTGTCCCGAAATTATTATAAATTTCACTTTTAGCACAATTTGAACTAAAAATGAAAACTAAAACGGGATAATAATTATGGGACGGAGGGAGTATTATAATAGAGGCCGTTTCCTTAAAAAAAAAATAGTATTACCTCCATTTCACAAAAATAGTTCACATTGAGTTTTAAATTTTGTACTACTTTTAGTACAAATTTGAAAATTTAATGTGAACTATTTTTTTGGGGACGAAGGTAGTATTACGGTGGTGATGGTGTGCTTTTCACCACTAGAATGATTTCAATACCAAAAATATTGATGAGACTTCATACTACACTCAATCCTACTAGAAACGTGTCGAAGAATTGTTCTAAAGGCATCGAAAAAATTTCAAATTGTTGACTTGTAAACAAAACACATGACCGTAATTTCATCATAAACTTTTGCAAACACAACGTGAGCATTATTTTGGCCTGAAGCAGTACCTAATTGTGTTCACTAATACATAGTATCAGCTTCAACACGTCCTTTGTATCTCATTTTTAATTTCTGGTTTTGAGAGGCGTTTAAGAATTTGAGCATTACGTGGACGGCAGTATATCTTAACGAATCACATGCATGTTGCCCCAATGACTGCAGACATCACTCTTGACTTTTAAAATCAATTAAAAAGTGCACAAAGTAAAGTGTCGTATGCTGATGATTTATCGACTCAGTTGGAGTCTTCACCAATTAATTACATTATGAAGAAACAGAGTACATAGTCCTTTCACATGTTTACATTTATACGATTAAAACAATCCAGTATCACCTCTTATTACTTGATATACTAATCTCTGATCATTTTTATTGGTCATTTATGATTGCACCAACTTGTAAATAAGGCTTCGGTGAAGTACATATTTAAAAAAAAAAATCCAAAAATCTTTTAACGACAAGAGTAGGATATTCATTTATGAAAAAAAAGAAAAATGTTATACGTCACACGTTGACATAAATGAACGTGTTTGATAAAACCATATGGAGAAAAAGAGGATATGATGATTTGGGAAAGTTTGGTTGGTAGGATGATCGGTCCAAAATGATTTGGATTTCCTTACTTCAAAAACACCCACCATTCATCATTAATTGGATAAAAAAAAAAAGATGATTCCCGAGGATTCACCGTAGATTCAGCTTACAAAGAAGATGGGGGGAGGGAAATCATCACGAAATTCAGAATTAACATAAATGCTACCATTTGGGCATCTAATTTATTATGGTCGCTCCCCGGTACTCCCTCAATTCCAAAATAAGTGTCGTTTTGACAAAATGGAGAAATTTTAAAATAAGTGTCGTTTTCAGATTCCAATCCATTTTTTATCAAAAATTTCCAAACATACCCTCAAAAGAAATAATATTATTGGTGAGCATTTATTTTAATGGAATTGGTTAAGGATATTCTAGTAATTTAATTATCCTATTTAATATTTTTTTAAACTGTGTGTAAACTCTAGAATGACACTTATTTTGGAACGGAAGGAGTATATATTAGTATATTGCAGTGTAGCTGCAATTTCCTGACAATGCAATCATTTTTCTGCCATCTAAACATAGAAAAATATTATTTGATTTGATGCTCGCCATCCTTTTTTAAAAAAATTAAGAAAATTCCAGTCTTCCCAATTCCAGGAAAAAACATATTTCAAGTTTCAATAGTTGCAGATAATGAAAAGATTGGTCGATGGAAATAAAGGTGATGAGATATTTGTGAAGAAACCTCAGCAACACCCCAAAAAAAAAAAAGGGACCTCCCACTTCTTAACAAAATATTGGGCTACGGTTACCTCAGAAAAGTTGGAAAACTGCGCAGACCGGCCGTCAACAAAACCAGAAATGCATTATGACTTCCTCTGCTGTAGAGTGAGAAGAACGCAGTCCCCAAGTTGCCAATTAATTTCAGTTTTTGCCTTTTGAATTTCAGTTTACACATTGTTTCCGATACATTTCAAAGGTGTTACAAAATTTTTTTTCTTTTTTCGGTCGAAAAAGTTGTTACGAATCTGATATGTAGTGAACCAGCAAAGGCATCTAACTTGGTGCTTTCCATTCATTAATGACAAATGTGTATTTTTTTTGCCTTTTTTTCTATCAAGTGTTGTCTCACCATCAATTTGTACTATGCACGTGTTACTTCCCATTGATTTGCTATAAAAAATAAAATAAAATAAAAAAAACAAAACAAAACAAAGTGCGAACTTTAGCATTAAGCTGGTAAAATTGATGTTGGTAAGAGAAAACTGCGAATATGGAAAGGGTACAAAGATTAGGTTGATCCACTCAATGCGAAACATTTTGGCCCATTAGTTATTGTAAGTATATATCAACATCTACTGCACAAAACTCCAACCCAACCTAACTAGTTTGAGGCTTCTATTTTTTAGATCACATATGTCCAAATTGCCAGCCTAGTTGGGCTAGCATAGGACTTCCATTCTGAAACATTCATGAAATGTCTTATTTTAGCTTTTCCCTTTTAGCCAAAAAGACAAAAATGAAAGGAGAAGAATTTTTCCTCACAAATGAAGAATGAGAAGGACACTTACAGATGCACGTTACACCTTTCTTCTTTTTTTTTAATGCAAATCTACATGACTGATTAAAGTTACATATAAATGAAAAATTAGTGTGTTACTTGAAAGGTTGAGAGATCAATCATTCTGTCACCTTCTAGTTTCAACCATAATCTAAGTGCTCTTGGGAAAAAAATGCCAATTGCACTCAGGGTGATCCAAAAGAGAAGTAGTTACGGAATTAACTAAATTGAAGTGTTGGTAACTCCGATTATGCTTAGAAATGTAATGGTAATTTTGCATGGTTTAAAACCTGAGAATTTTCTAAACAGGCTGATGTGAACCTGTAAAAATTATACGAAATTATTGTTGTTATACATAGTGGTATATACAAGTATTAAGTAAGAACAAATTTGAGGGGTTGAACTTGAATACAAAAAGGACAATAAGTAAATGTACTACTATTATGTAACTCGGGGTGATGGAGAAAAGCCGGCGCTGGAGACATTTTTCCGAGTCACGTGCTAGGTTGAACTGAAAGCAATTTTGACCCGCCGAGTTAAATCAAGTCAGGTAATGACACGCAATCTAAAAGGAAAGGATCCAACGGCTCAGACAAATCCAGACATGATGATCAATTAAGGGGCTCTAGATTTGACAAAGAGGAAAACAAAACTAGCGCACAAACGAAGGTTTCAGTTGTCCCGTGACGTCGGCTGGCTTCAGTTTTCTTCGTTTTCTTTGTTCTGGAATTCAGATTCAATTCGTTCAATTTCAACCACTGGTGATCCAGGTTTTTTCCCAACTTCAACATTCCCTAGTACTTGAGTGTGCAACTTACATGGGAAAAAAAAAATATTGCTTCTAGGTTTTGAATTACAATGATAAAGTAATAATTCTAAGATAATTAAGGGTACGCTTATTTAGTTATTCATTAAATCATAGTATCAAATTAATATTTTCTTTTAAATGTTGTAAGGGAAAAAATCCACTACAGCGAGAGCATTTTCCACTGTAAAGTCAAACTTTAGGGTAGTAGCTATGTTTTATGATGTCTGTCAAAAGTCAAAAACTTTTATATTTTAAGAAACAAGTCAATAACTCATTGTAGTGGGGTTTTACTTTGATTGATTAATGGCCCATCTTAAGGATCGTGTTGTGTAAATTCATTGTTATCCAGTTCTTTGGAAAGATGGCTTGTTAATAAGTATCTCTGATTCAATTTACAATGCAAACTTACAAAATTAATGACCGAACGATATAGTTAAATTAGTGTATAGAAGGAAGCCATTTTTTTTTTTAAAAAAAAAGAATTAAGCAAAATGTCCAAAATAATTAATTAAAATATTTTTGGTTAAAAACACTGACATCGTACTCAAACCATGACTTTATCCCAAAAAATGAGTTTGTGTTTTTCTTTTTAAGATTTCAGTTTGTGTAAATACATATACATAAAGAATGCATGCTATACGTAAAGAAAACTGATATAAATACTGAAAATATATAATGAAAAAAAATAATAATTGATGTGACACATATATAAATAAATAATTACCTCTTTTGTTAGTAGTTAAAAAGAAAATATTTTTTTTATCTTTTCATTAATTACTATTTTATTTAACAATAAATAGTTACTATGTGTATCATTGCTCTCGTGCAAATTGCTATTGTTTGGACCTCCTGCAAAAAAAACTCCTAGGGGTCGTACGGGTGATGCCTCGTAGCCTCTTTTTTCAACTTGCAGGCTGCATTGCAACAACGTATGAGAGGAAAAAACATAAATGGGGAAGATAAAAAAAATCCAAAGGAATGAATGATGGTGGGGGTCATTTCACAGTAGTTGGAGTATAATACTATAATGGCAGATCTTTTCGAATATCTGGACCCACTAATTTGTTTTAAAACTGTTAATCTACCAACTGGTGAACTTTTGGCATCGAAGTCAGAAGTGGTGAAAAATAGAGAGTACTTAAGGTAAGTTATGCTGACCTCCAGCGTCGAAGTTTATTTGTTGACTTTGGTCAGTTTGTTCAGTTTAGGCTACAGAACCTCCATCTGGTTCTTCTTGTTCTTGTGGAGTGAAAAATACAAATGTTTCGCTTAGCAACGAATGAAATCGGACTTGTATAATAGTTAGAATATGTGTATTTTGAGATATACTGGAATTAAATTTTTATCATGAGTTAAGTTGTTTTTTTTAAACAAAAAAATCCAACATTTGTTTATGAATTATGATAAGCCAATATACGGAGTGATTATAGTTGACGTTTTGAAGTGAAATGGAGTATTTTAGTCAACTGGAAGCAGTGACTTTTTGAAAGGAATTGTCTTTTCTTTTTCCCGTAAACTCGAGGTTATCTTCCACTAAAC